AAGTTCCGAAAGCGGCTACTTCCTATATAGCTAGTTTGACTAGCCGGCTTTTATATAAATAGCCCGAAGGTTGCTTAGAAAATAGGCACTTTACTATATAGAGTCTACGGACCCCGAGCGCGACGTATACGACGCGCGCGCGCCTCTATTCCTAAGCCCCCGAACTAAGGCTAGTTCGTATAGGGGGAAGGAGGTAATTATAAGGGCCGTATAAGAGCCCTTATAATAACAGGATTAATAGAGGTAGCTAGATTAACTAACCTTAGAGAAGGGAGTATAATATAACCTAACTGCTTAGCGTAGGCTTAGCGTATACATAACTCCTACGTATAGCGTACATTTAACCTACAAGAATTAGTCTTATCTCTAATCGAGTAATTACGGGTGTCTAATACATTGCTACATCTTTACCCTTATACGTACTAAGAGCTTATAGTAGTAGTACGAGTAGTATAAGATAGTATTACTTAAAGTAAGACTATAAGAGAAGAGCGTTAAATATAAAGAAAAAAGTTTAGGATAACCTACGCGTATCTACTACTATAATAGCTACGGTTACCTCTATTAATAACCTAGCTACATAACTACCTACGCGACGGAAAATAACCGAAACTAATAGAACTAACTAGAAGTAGATAAATATAGTAGATTAATTAAACGCTTTAAGCTAAGTACGTATAGGCTATACGTACTCGATCTAAGAATAGTCTAAGAATAAGAGTACTTATAAATATAGCGATATAACGGAGAGACGTACGTATATTATAGTTAGAAATTAAGAGGCTTATAGAAGCCGAGACGTCTTCCTTTAAGAAGAGGGATAATTATTAGGAATTACTAAGGTTACGGCTATAGCTAGACGTAAAGTTAGACGATTACTAAGCGTACTAGTAAACGCTACGTACGTAACGTATAATCGTCTCTTAAGAGGCGCGTAGGCGCCTTACTATTTATAAGTAAGAATTAGTTTTATTACTAGTTAGACGACTAGTTAGCGTTCTATATACTACGACATCTTTTATATATCTTATATTTAGAAGTTTATATATATTTTATAGATATTCTCCGTTTACGGAAAGCTATATTCTTAGTCGACGGAGGTTACTACGAAGTAGCCTTACCTTAGGATAAAAGGCCAAATGTAAAGACGGCTTCTATCCCGATAAATTCGCTACCTCGTAGCGAGATGGCGCGTATATGTGGATTTCAAGTGAACTAGAGGCGCTAGCAATGTTACACATGTATTGCAAATGATAAGTGTATCCGATTCTCCTCGACTACATTCAGCTGGGTTCAGCTTTACCAGCACTCTCCGGACCACTGCTTCTTAAGCTCAGTCTCGTACTCCTTCTCTCCGGCTCCCTGGTACTGCTCCCAATCCCCGCTCCCCTCCAAGCACTGTTTTGTCGCAGCTCCCTTTCCACCTCTGCATCCTCCAAGCGTTGAAACTGGCCCTCCCTCTCCTCATCCACCTCCTCTTCGGGTGTYCGCTTTCGCTTCCTCCTCTTCATCGTGGCCTTCTCTACGGGCTTGGGTTTGTTGGCCTTGTGCGCTTCGTCTGCACGATTGGCATCGCGGAGCCATGTCCAAAGATCTTCGAAGGGTATGAAGATCTTCTCTCCCCGCACCCCAGTATCCAGTGTGTCCAGCACCTCTGACGGCAACAGATCTGCCACTGTCAGCTCCAACTGCCCTTCTTGTAGCTTTCCCTGTTTCCCCATAAATGGCGCATGCTCCGTCTCGCACGCACAGCTCAGCGTCTCCTCTCCATCGTCGTCTTTTTCCACCTTCAGTCGCCAAACACTCAGTGCCGCGGTGCAATCCAAGCCCATGGTACAAGTCCGCACTCCTGTGTCCCGTCCATATGGCAGTTCCAGACCAATGACACATCGAATCCCTCCAAAGCTGTCCACCACATAACTCTCGGCGATCCGGTCCAGTTTGTGGTCGCGCTGGGAGTAGCTAACCTCGACCACCACGCCCGGCCATTGCGGTGCAGAGTCATGGAAGAAGGTGCCATCCGGACTGCGATGTGTCTCGACCAGGACTTGCTCTTCACTCTCCTGACTGCTGCTGCTTGGTGCTGCTGGTCCTGACAATTTCAGCGTCGGGCTCCCGCCCTTCTTGATTCCCCGGAGTGCGTGTCCCGCCGTGCCTCCCAGCTTCAACGCCAGCGCAGAAATAGCATGGGCGATGCCGTCCACAACTCTCGCGGTGAAGACTTCATGCACGACACTCGGCATGCGCAGAAAGTAGACGCCGTCTTGGTAAGCCCAGCGGACTTTGTGGTGGTAAAAAGCCGCGAGCAGAGAGTCCGCKTCAATGCGCTCGTGAAGTCTCTCGAGCTGCACTTCTGCCAGACGGAATGAGGTCCTACGAGGAGATTTCCCGGCGTGGAGAAGATGGAGCACACGGAGAATGCGGTCGACAGGCGAGCGCGAGGACGATGAGGACGGGCGTTTGGGCGACGCGGGAGGAGACGGAGGGAGTCGAGCGTCGATGAGGGGAAGAATGCTGGCCGGCGATGAGGATAATTTCTGCGAGGACATTACAGAATCCGGAGAGGAGGGGTGCGTAAATGTTGCGAATGTCGTGAATGTCGTGAAGATGGGAGGAGGTCGTCGTCGTTGGATTCGACACTGCGCCCGACGGAGCTGTCTCCGCGAGCCGAACTCCGATCGTGGAGGATCGACAACGCCAGCGCACCCTGAACTTGCTCGAGACATCATGGAAACTTGAAGGCATTTGTACTCATTCATCTTCCCCTCGCAATGGACAACAGCGAGGACGATGCAAGGCGAATCCTCATCCGCCCCAACGTCCAGACAATACCTGGTCTGTCAAATGCGCGGCCTTAGACCTTGTAGGAGATATTCTGCAGTACACACTTGAGTCGACGTGGTACACATCTTGTCGGGCTTCGACTTCCCCCATGACACCAAGGCATGGGGTCTTAAACGATGTGGGTGTCAAGAAAGAGCGAGGCAGCGTAGACACTCTCCACCCGCCACATGACGTCTTTCTCGCGCACTTGGATCAACAGACCGGTCAATGGTATGTGTCACTCTTAATTCATCTTCTCGCATGCAAGCCAACGAGATATGACGGGCTTTTGTTCAACGTCCGATGGCAGACGGCTATCGGGAGTACTGTAAGCGTTAGACTTGGGATGAAAACCAAGCGGGAAGGAATAAGCAGACAGTTCTCTCCGACAATGAGGAAATCAGTCCACATCCCTGTCTTTCCAATGGAGCTGATGACCTCTCATTTAACGTAATTGTCCCTTCGGCCGGGGAAGCACCTCGTAGCGTATCAGGCGGCCTCTCAAGCAGAGTAGATTGCCATTGACAAATACAAGTTACGATACGACGACTCTGGCCGTAGCTGCCAGAGCATCGCTTCCACATGCTCGACCCCTTCTCCGACGCTGTGGAGCAATGCATTCGAGGGGCGATAGCAGTAAAAGGAGAGGCTGCTGTCGAGGCACATAAATGTCAAGAGCTGCGGTCCGTTCCAAGCTCTATAGGAGATGACTTGCCTGCGTAGAGACGGAGCACCAGGTGTCGGGGCTGAGAAGACATAGAGTACTTCGAGCCGGCGAAGACGGCCTACGAGAAGGATCAGCATCTTACAAAGCTATTGCGGTCCGTTCACAAGGATGACGATAAGCATGACAAGAAAGACGAATTCATCCCACGCCCTCTCATTGGATCCTCGAGAACCGTCCGCTAAATCTCTGCTCGACCCCGATGGGGATGCTGTTCACCTGTAGCAAAGCACAATGTCCAACGTAACCAGACTTGGGGCGAAGAGGATCGTGAATATCGGCGAGATATCCGGTATTGAGTAAGCCCTGATACAAGCGAAAGAACACCCAGAGGTCTGCACATCCAGCACATGCTGAGTGACGTCTGACTGGTGACCCGCAGAGCTTCAATACTGCGGAATGTTGTGGAGCGACTGTCTCATTCGCAGATTCGCTTGGCCGTGCTGCTGAGAAGGTATGCCCTTGGGTGAAGCGCCTCCGCCGGCTCGAAGATGCACGATGGTGATTGGGGCTGAACGGCGAAGGCCAGTTGATTTCGAAATGCACATCGTCGTTGGGTATATTCCTTTGGCGCTGGAGTGATCATCTCTAGCAAAGTGTTCAGCCAGCATCTTCGGCCAACATTTGGCATGGTTGCACACCATCCGCAAATCCACTCAGACCTTGTTGAAAGCCTCATTCGTCTGCATCGTCCCACCGATGAAAGCCCTCAATGCCGCCCACCTTTCCGCCTGCCCACCTTCCTTGCCCGCTCCTCCACCTTCCACCATCTTGGCCAGATTCTTCCCAAATCTTTCCTTTTCCTTTCCTTCCATCTCCGCTTTCCTCTTCATCGCGCCCTGCCGCATACTCAAACTCTTCATCTCCATCCTCCCACCCACAGGCACCTTTTTTCTTTTCCGCCTTGCCTTCTTCACGACTCCTCCCTCTCCTTCCTCCTCCACACCTTCCCATTCCTCGCCATCATCTTCCATTTCCTCATCCCCAGCATCCGGTAACGCATCGGCGAGATCATCAAGATTCCCGCCCGCCAGCTTCTTTCCCGGTCGCCTCCGCTTCAAGACCTTCTTCTTCGTGACGCCTGCTTCCCGCACTTTGTTCAAAAGCGCGTTATGTTTGATCGCTCGCTTGTCTTGCTTGTTCAACCGCCACTCTGCATCTAGCATCCCATTACTTCTCGCTTCCTCCGCGGGGACTGCGGGGATTGTGGTGGGTGTCGATTCCGAAGCGTCAACGGGATGAAGCGGTGGCGCATATTTTCCACGAGGATCAAGAGATTTGGAAGCACGAGCGCGAATGTTGTTGCGCTTGCCGGGTTTGATGGGCGCCATTGCGAAGGTGTGGATGTGTCGCGCAATGTTGCGAGGCGGCCGGGGAAATTTTGGAAGGGCGTGGGACGTAATGGAGATTGCGGAGATAAGCAAGCGTTAGGGTTGGGGTAGTAGGGAGATTCACTCACGCCTGCGCTAGCGCATGCTCCTTCCTCCATAGTGCTCTAATTTGATGATATTTTCGAGCCCTGAACAGCTTTGTATTGAATGTCTGGCTCTCTTACTGTTGGCAATAAGTACAGGATTCTTCACCAATATTTGTTTGTCAACTTTAGAATCTAGGCGTGGTACCGTGAACAGATGGCAAGTCTACCGGCTAGGTGTCACTGTTGCTGGCAGAATTTGCGTGCCTCAGGTCGACGACCAGAAGAACTCGAAATAACATCAGATTTGGGAGACAAGAGATCTTTGATCTTGCTCAGGAGAAGCTGTTCCTCGCTTGTTGATTCGCCAGGCCACCGTTCGTCGCTTATCATGCCTTGCAGTCTGTGCTAAGTCAGGCGCGGTTCTTCCGACAAGACCATCACACCTCAGATCGTCTTGCCTTCCCGTCCTTACTTGAGCTTTAGATGCCAAATCCTCCGCAACAGCTCTCTACCATTATCAAACCAACGATCAACCCAGCAATCGCATCCCGAACCGCCAATTGCTGCTTCTTACGACCAACACCGTTAGTCTCRCCAACTTTGTTCAACTCACCATCCTCGTCGGGCAGATAAATCACCAACTTGCGCTTTCCACCGCGCAAATTGATCTTGGCGGGAAGATCTTGCCAGGACTGAGCTTTCCCGAACGMATCTTCTTCAACGATTTCTTGAAGCACAGGATGGCCATCTATCTAGGCTTCCGGAAAGTTGCGAAGACGCTGCTCCCACTCACGGGCAAGCAGGTCACGGATCCTCTGTTGTTGATCGCCAGAATATGCATCCAACAGAGCGTCTTGGCGGGAAAAATTCATCACTGCGACGTAATTGCGGGGCACAACGACCATTTGAGGCATGTGACACGGTTACATTCCGATGGCATGGGCGGGAAGTATAGTGTGAGTCACGCCGACCGCTCGCCGATTCCTCTGTGCGGCTACGAGTACCAGTTCCAGAGACTGGTGAAGAGCAAGCAAAAGGTTCAATATGCACAGCTTACAAGTGATCGCCGACTGCGATGTAGCTGGCTACTTTATGGCAACTCTGCGTGTGCCACGAGGTATCTTGTTGTACAATGTCCCAATTCCCATCTCTAAGGCTCATGAGACAGGCGGGAGTGGGAATTTAACAAGCTTGTCTAGTCTCGTCCCTCCAAGTCGGCCAGACCTCTCCAGTTTCTTCAGCCCAAATCATACCGTCTTGATCGTTCTCCCGAGCATTCATTCTCCTCGCACCATTGAGCCATCGCTCGCCACGTTCATCTTCCCAGCACTCCTCTGTCTCGTTGTTCAGGCCGCTACATTGGAAGTTCTCCGAGCTTGGACTCGAGTGGTTTAAGCGGCTGCCGATGAACAGCGAAAAGACAGGGGAACGTCTCGTATCGTAAAGTGTGAGGTCGACTTCTGAGCCCGTACAATCGTGACAGGAGTATTTGAAGCAGCCGTGAACAWAACTCATACGATGAATGACGTGAGGGTGTATGCGGATGGTCGACTGATCTTCAAAATCGCACGTCAAATACACGTTGGTCGACAGAATCACGAGCTTCAGACTCAGCCCATTCTGGAACTCCCTATGCTTTGCCTTCGTCGTTTTCCCACTCTTCGGCGACATCTTCTGTAGCTTCGTACCTTGATCCATTCAGGGAGCAAATGGAAACATCTCTTACGCTCTCGTCTGCCACGGCACCGACGTCCTAGCTATATGACTCGAGAGGAAAGGCAGACTGAGGCTTGTATCGAACGTACTGGTCGAAGAAGACATCAAGAAGACATCAACTTGGCTGGAATTCGAGGAGGGGTCTGGAGATGCACTCCCAGCACTCATTATCTTGTCGATGGCGATTGAAGATGATGCAAATCCTGATGACTCGTGAAGGAAGGGAGGCTGAGGTGTGTATGGAACATGCACTTGCAAACAACTGCGGCGTTGAAAAGATAAATGGATGGCTTGACTATAAGACGATGTCAGTTGGGAAGCGGTGGCTGTTGAGGAGCGAGGCGACAACTTTGAAGCTGGTGATACCAAGCCAAGACAACGGGAGCTAGCCTACCTACTTTCGGACAATTGCGAGTGAATGATTCGATTTCAACGAACACGTCATGAAAACGGCGACGAGCAACAAGGCAGCATGATGAGCTAGAAGTCCAGAAGGATGGTACAGACAGCGATGTGCAAAATCCTCGTGCTGCAACGTAATAGCTTATTTCTACATGCATTGTCAAGGAGTAATGAAACCTCCTTTTATCTATCCGGCTTCGGTGAATCTGTATGCAAACGGTGATACCTCAGAGGATGAGTGATAAAATGTTTGAGAAACTGATAGCATTTCGTGATTGAGATGGGAGTCGCTACGGCTTGATGTACTGATGGTACTTTTCCCTTCCTCAACTGATGTTGCAGTTTCAACTGTGGGTAGCTATCTTCAGTTCTTCTTCAACTCGCGAGACGGCTTGTACCATTCAGCATGCCTGTCCTCGATGCTGTTCTGAGACGGATTGTTGTCATCATCAGCCTCCATATTATCCCTCACAAGGGGATATCCACCCTCTTTTTGAATCTCAGAGTCCATCCAGATGTCGAAATCCATCTCGTGGTGGTCCTCGCTGACGTCTGAAGCACGTCTAGCCGTAGGCTGTTGACCATCTTCGCGGTTTCTGTTTGCACGAGCAATCCGCTCGCAGATCCACTGCTGATAGTTGGATCTTCCCTCTGGAGGCGGAAACTTTCCCCAAGCCTCGTCATCACCGCCTTCGCCAGCCGGATCTTCCTCAGGGTTCAGAATCCATTCATAATCGTTGGCCTGAGATCCGTAGGAAGCAAGCTTGGCCTTRTCCATGGACATTGAAGCCTCATAAAGCCCTTCATTGCGTTCCGTTCCAACAGCATGTCTCGCCAGGCGGTTACGCTTGGCTCTGTCGATGCGCTTGTCGAGCCAAGCCTTCCACTCAGCTTCCGGCGCTGCTCTAGCACCGGCATCTCGCTCAGTTCGGTGGTAGTCAATACATAGCTCTCCGAGAGCCATGTCTAGGCGACTCCACTGCGACTTGCTAGGCGTCGCCATGATCGGACTTTGAGTCAAGTATTTGTCGTGTTCTTGATTGTTGTCTGCTGAATGTGCAAAGCCCGAGTCGTATGTTTGGTGGAACTTGCATAATCACGGCGAGCTTGCGTTGCACTTATATATATATCGTTCATTGCGCATCGTGCTCCTTTATCGAAACGTTTTCACCGTTTGCGGCCAGCAGACAGTCATATCCGCGTCACTACGACTCCACAGCTGAGCCGCCGACAACTTGAAATAGCTTTGTGGTCTTTGTCTGGCGGTCGATCGGCTCATTTTCCTTCAAATGATTTCATGAGACGTGCCGAACACAACAATCAATTACGGATACGCCACGGCGTCAATGATCCGAAGAATCGTCCTCCAGCTCATTATCACGCATCCACCCGCTGAACACACAAAGAGAATCTTGAACCATGGATTGACGTGCTCCTCACCGAGAATGGGATGAATTCTCTCAATGGAGATGCTGCATCGAAGTTCTCAAATGGGACTACTTCACGGACATTGGAACACATAGCAGATATTGACAAGATAAAATAAGAATCGGTTTTGTATGATACGAAAAACAGGTCATTCAGGTTCGTACTTATACTTGAATTTGCATGGTTCACTCGCTCACCTCGTCATCTTCTGATACCTCGCTCAAAGCCCTCGACATTTGGACCTCAAGTAGCTCGCTTGAATCAACAAATGCTCTACATGTCGGGCATGACCTATTGTGATCAAGCTACTCATCGAGACACTCCTCGCAGAAGACGTGGAAGCACTTGGTCTGACAAGGGTTGGTGGACTCACCCAATCTGCGGATGGCGCAGCCATCAGCGTCAGCGAGCTGTGACACAACCATGTCCAAGACCCTACCTTGACGGTCTTCAGTCTTATCGCCGCTGGGAGGAATTGGGCCACGAGGTGAGCTGAACTACGCTTCGTGGCTCCAACCCTCCATGGTACCTCGGTACGTACTCTGGCTGTCATCAGAATCAAGTTCCTGATTTGCAAGAGGGATGTCGCCCCACAGCTGGATCGGCGAGTCCATTCGAATGTCATAGTCCATCTCGTGGCAGTCTCAGGTGCCATCGGAGGCGCGAGTAGCTGTATGTTTTTCATCATCAGCACTTACTACCAGCCCGAGCAATGCGCTGTAATTCCCATTGCTGGAAGTAGCTCATTGTTTGCCCTGGCTCAGTGATCAGTTGGAGAAAAAAATTGTGAGTGTCAAACCATTCGTAGTCATCAGAATGGGTACCATACAGATCGATGTCGTCCCATTCAGCAGCGGGAGGGTGGTCGGGATGCGCTATCAAGTCTTGCTTCTCATCTGTGTAGCACCAGAGTGCTTGGTTACGATTAGACCTTACGGTATGTCTTACTCGGAGGTTGCGCTCTGCTCGATCAGCACGCTGGTCGATCCATCTGTGTCGTTCAGCCTCGGTCTCTCACGAAGGTCAACTGGGCGAGCTGCATTTGTGGCCCGTGAACAGTTGTAACCCGTAAATTTATCCCGAAGGTGCATATCGAGCCGGATCCAGCCCGCGTTGCTTGGAGTAGGCATCGTCTTTTGCTTCCTGTGATCGTCTCCAGATAACGGGCGTAAACAGCGTATGTATGGCTTTGGTTGACGAATCCAAGCGTAGGTATGAACGGGCAGGTGGGTGCTTGCCTTGGTATGCTGCGAATCAAAGAATGGTATGCTGACTGCTATTGATGACACGGCCGACGGGCATGAATATGTGCCTTCAGATCTGTGCCTCAACCTCTTTTTGTGTCGTTAAGCCCATTTGTGGCGCTCAATTCCATCACCTGTAAGATCAATTGACCTTGACTGGGGAACATGTGTCCTTATTGGTCTTCGTATGCGGCCGTTGACAGCCCATACCATCAGCTTCAGTCTTTTCGTTTGACGGTCGGCCGCTGTTCCATCAGGGACACATGTCGCCACGACCAGCGAGCTGAGATTGCGGATAAGTTATTGGGACTGCTCTCGAGCGAGAGGTGAGGTCAATGCCGAACTGCCAGGGCCGTTATTTCCCCGACCATTGATCCCTGCTTCTGATCCCTGGCAAGCATATCAAACACAATCTTCCCTCAAATCGTTGTCTACCTCTCCTCATACCTATCATCGCCAGTAGACCTGCTCCATAAATCAGCATGCCGCTCGGTACTGTGTTATTCGCTGTAGGACATTGTATGAATGCTGACAACTGCCAAAGAAGACTTCTCAGGCAGACTTCCCGTCACCACGACGTTTGCACTGCCGCTTACGGCCTACTACATCTTCCTCCAAGGCCGAGTGGTAGTACAGCGATTTACGTCCAACACTGTCATCGGACAAGATTCCGTCTCGCCAGCCGACAAGAAGCTCGCCCAGCGTCCCGATCGTCTTCTTGCCGCAGTGCGAGCGCAGACCAACTACTACGAGAATGTTCCTCTTGCTTTGATCCTGGCGGGACTGGTGGAAAGAGATGGCGGAGACAAGAAAGTTTTGACTTGGGTGTTGGGCGCTCTGTGTGTGGTCAGACTGCTTCACGCAGAGGCGGGAGTGATGAGCAGCAACTACAAGGGCAAGGGAAGGCCGATTGGGTTCCTTGGGACCATTCTGATCAATGCCGGGCTGGCTGTATGGGCAGCTTCGAGGATGGCTGGATACTGGACACAATCGGATGGATGGTAGGCGAGTATCGTGGATATGAGGAGCTGTAGGTTGGAAGACATCACGGTAGAGCTTGTTATACCAGCATTCGACGACGTATCGTCTAAGATGAAGAGTTGAAAAGTATCACCAGGTGACGATGCGTTTTCAGCAGCAAACAGCTTGGCGCTAACAAGGACACCGGCTAAGCTCCAAAGTCTTGGCTGCAGATGATCGTCGAAGGATCAGAGTAACGTCACTCGAAGTTGCACCGTAGGATCAATCATCGCGTTTCATCTGGATAACATGTGCGAGGAGATTCTCGGTAAGCCAGCTGTTCGTCAGCTCTGGCATCATTTGCAGACACATTCCAAGCACCGGACGCCTTGCCTGCTTAGGCAAAGGTAACGAACACCTGGCTCATAGAGAAACCCCTTGCACATTCGWTGCTTTATAATATGTCGTTCGTGCCTAATCGCAGTTGCCTTTTCCACACCATTGTACCAGACTGAAGCTGTCAAGATGTCCAACGAATACCAGACACCCGGAGTCATCAAGACATATGACATTGGAACAGACCATGTGCATACCCAGCGAGTGCTCGAGATTCAACACAACACAGTCCCGATTCTATGGGCCGGGACGAGCTTTGGTGTAATCAACATCACTTCCGACGGARATGGTCTCCAGACACTCGCTGCAGTCATGCCCAAATCTTTTTATAGCGTCCGAGTCATGTTGGGTCCGAATCCCCATGCACTTCCAAAAGATGCTTGGGCAGATGTGCTTCCCGAGGGAAGGAGGAGTAGCCAGCACGCTTTCATGTTTGATGATAGACTGTTTTGGTGGCGAAGGTGAGCTGAATCAGAGCCCTCATGCTTCTGCCTCTACTGATGTGCTGAAGAATGCACGATAAATCAAACGGTGCCAGCTTGATGGGAGGCCATGATTTCAAGCTTGTAGATGGTGATGACAGAGCTATAGCTGTGTATATCGATGATCGGCGTACGTTTCACGTTGAAAAGATTGGACGAATCGACTACTTTGTAGAGCTTGGTCGATATTTGGAGCTTTTCAGCCTTGCCGCCATCCTTGGTATCCAGCATGGGATAAGGAGACTAGCTTGAGGATGGAGGCGGAGCGGCGGAATTTGGTGCGGCAATGACGGCTGGAGCAGTGCTAATTAAGGCGGAGTCGATCGTGATGTTGGTGAAGACCTAGTGGAAGGCCAGCCTAAGGAGGCCGCCGAAGCGGAGGAGTTTGATGGGGCAATCGTGGCGGAAGTAGTGGTCATTTGGGTGAAGCGGTTCATAATGGTGAATCTGATGATGATAATAAGGCTTGCGGCGGTCATGCGTAATGTGTCATAACATCAGAGAGTAGAGCAGAGCAGGGAAGAAAGAATGCAATGCTCGCATTGCTCTCAAGACTCACTACTGAAAGTGGAAGTTGAGTCACAATAGCAAAATTCTGTACGCGAACACAATTGCTGGCCAGCAAGAAGAAGGACATCGGCTACTGAATGGTATTGCTTGAATGATACTGCATGAATCTGTTGGTAAGAAGAAATGGCGAGTCCAGGGAGAACAGTGCCGAGATAGCGTGCGAAGCCACAGGCCAGGCAATAGACTCCAGTTTAGGATAGATCATATGGCCAAGCTCGGTGCCGTGATGTAGCTCTTCGAAGTGATCTTGCGGCCGCCAGCGTCAAACTTGGGTAGGAGGTCTAGATAGGAAGTCTGAGAGGAGGAGGCACTGTGCGTCGCAGTCGTGAAGTCTGTCTACGATCTCGATCGAGGTAGCGTCGAACTTTTCGGACATCGTAGACAGTTTCAAGGAGGCGGTTTTCGGCGACAGATACCTGGCCAACCCCAGATGGGTCTTGCGGACATAATGATGTTCTTAATACCTTGTCGTTCCCTGCTGCATTGAATAAAGGAAGGCAGGTGGTACGAACGCCTCTTCAAAGCCTCAATCTTCGTGTAAGACAGCTGGAGGTGTGGCGGCCATATCGAGCACACGGCGGGCGATGGGAAGCAGGAGGGAGTAGTCCATGAAACTTAGCCGAGCTCGATGCGCAAGGGAAAGGCTTGACAATGAAGAAACGGCTTCTGCTTGGGAGACGAATCTGACGCATCGTGCCTCTACCGCTTCGGGGAGCGCATGTCGCTCTCGCTATCGGGGTCTTAGTCGGGGCGATGCGCATAGGCCGTTGTGGGACTTATGTTCAAGGTGCTGAGCGTATTGAGAGGGTTTTCATTGAWCGTGATGGGATGGTTCCGGTCGTTCAAGCCAAGAAGTGATGACGTACAAGGACGAGTCGCTGGCTTATCTCGATGAGAAAATCACCAAGTCACCCACGACTTGCTCGAGATTGTCGGGGTGCCCTGTAAGCTTCTTCTTCGTGAGATATCACAGCATCTTTCCCGGGGGATAAAGATCCAGAGGCGGAGCGGAAAGGCCAGGTGTCGTGATCGAACATTCGGTACGTCAAGCCACAGGAGTTGCGGGAATGAGAAAAGACGAGACTTCTTAGGAGAGAATCGCCCACATCATCCAAGGAGAAAGAAACACCAGATATAAGGATGAAAAGCGCAACAATGAGGGTGGTTGGTCGAGCAAACTCACCCGAGAAGCGCTCCGTGGCCCTACATCTGGTGGAAGCCACCTATGTTGCCAAGGCTCGGGATTAAGTTAGATTCGGGCCAAGAACCCAATGAGTTTGGACCAATCAATGTGCTCTGATGTACCTACGCAAGAGTTGAAAGTTCTTGTCTAGCAATAGCTGGATGCGTGTGAGGAGAAATGATCGGTTTCTGTGACATGCTGACGTATAGAATACCTCGCGTTGGATGTCGAACGATCCACTCAACGGGCAGCTGCGGACTCCGAAGTGTCGAGTAGCCGCCAAAGGAGATGGCAAGACGTACTGCTCCAAAGAATACCAGCAAACGGTAGAGGAATAGAGCAAGCCCTGTCCAAGACGCCATCTCATCAAAATGGCAGTTCAGAAAGCCCATAGAGATCTCCACATCTTGCAATACTCGCTGCCAGCACTGAAGACAAGGGACTCGGAAGAAGTCACAGAACGATTCCACCACCATCCGGTCTGACGCACGCATCTCTCGAGGTCGTGCTCATCGCAGATATAGCTGCCAAATTGTTCGCTGATCTTGCCGACGAATCGGCTTGGTTTTCTTCGCAGCAAACTATGATCGTAGCAAAAGATGATGGCATCTGAGACTGAACGAGCGAGGCCAATGATTCGAATGCTAGGAGTAGGCATCGTTGGCGTAGGTGAAGGTTCGCCGGAGAGTGGGAAGGAGAGATGGAATCTTGACCCCCAAATCCAAGCGAGACTCGTACAGGAAGCCGGCAGGTACTGTAAGCTGCAGCTCCTTCCCATGGAAGACGACCACCCCTGACTTGCGGCTGCTTTGAACCCAAGAGGTAGAGAGCTTCGGTCTGCTATGGCATGTTCCATGACATGTCACACATGGTCTTGATGGATTTTCGCCATACATCCGGAAAGGAGGCTCACTTGACCCTCGCGATCGGCGCATCCCAAGTCTCCGGCACCGTCTTTGCCAGAATCACATCAATGACCTTCTCAGTCGCCATATCCCGCATGTCAAGAACAGCGACATCCTTACGCCAGTGATGGAAAGCAACAGTAACCCTCCCCAATGGTAGAGATCTCACCAACTGCACCACCGTCTGCGCCCTTCCACGATACCTCACCTCTCTCTCCGTCATCGGCCTTCCAGAATCCATCCTAATGTCCGGTCCTGTTGGCATGAGATACCACTCATCAATCTTGAGGAATAGATGCAGTGTCTTGAGGTTGGGACAGAGTTCGGACATGCGTCGAAGTTGTTCGCACTCCCGGTCCATGTTCAGGACATCTACATGGTGGGTGTTGAAACGCTGGGTGAAAGGCGCTCGGAGATCGCTGACGCTTACATGGCATTGCACGTGGACCAGGGATTTGAGGAGCAATATGGAATTTCGAGGCGATACCGATGCCGGCAGGAGGATAGCGGCAGAAGCTTTGAGATCGGCGGAATTCAAGACTGCCAAGTTGGAAGCGAGGAATTCATGCCGGCCGATTCTGTACAATCTTGGATGGCATCGAAATGGGCGGAGGAGTATTCGCAGGTGGTCATTGATTCGGTCGGGAATGACTCCTTGGGGAAAGGCAAAGACCTTGTCGATGTGTTGGCGTTCTGATCCCGGATCTATCATGACATGGCTGCAGATGATTGCAAGAAGTTCGTCCGAGAGACCCAATAGGCTTGCAGGCTTGATCTGGAAGTACTCGTTCCCGGAYGGTGCTATCGAGACTCCATCAACACCAAGTTTCGAAAGCGCTCAGATGTTGACCTTACGCTGCTCCGGCCGTGGCTCTGATAACCGAAGATTGCCGAGCGATGCTTGAAGGTCAGCCATGGCGGCTTCGTGGATTTGAAGCTGGAGACGGCTGGCTTCTACAGGCTTGTGAATTGATGGCAAGCAACTCTTTCATCACAGGTCGATGTCAAAGGTTCGATGGTGTGTGTAGATGTCATCGTCGAAGGTGAGGTCTAGATCGTAACAGATGCCCGATGTCGGTCTCTTGGCAACGCTGCTGTCCATGCTGACCGCTGCTACGCGCGGAAAAGGGTCCGATCCTTTGCTTGCCCGAATCATCCGGGTCCATGTCTAGAACAAGTAGACATCACTCGCAATCGCAGGAACCCGCCAGGTCTCCAGTATGACAAAGAGGACAACAAGCGCTTCCATATCCTTCCATACAGACACACTCGCTAGAAGAGTACAAGTATCGGTCCCAAAGACCTTTCCCAACTTCTTCTTCTATCATCAAATCTCTTCATCTCTCCACTGTTACACCTCCTCCCCAACGGAATATCACGACTTGTATATACATTACCATCAGCAAGCAGTATATCATGAAGCTAATTCCCGAAGACTTCATTCCTGGAAGTGGGATTAGCATCCATCAGAGGTGCAGCAGGACGTCCTTGGAGACTTGCTTTTGATCATCAAACAGAGAAAGCATGATCATGGCTGATCCCAGAGATGTCGATCTGGCTCGACGTCAGAGGTAAGTCTCTCCTCCGTCACAGAACAGCATGCCTATGATTGATCGCGTGCAGACTCTACAATGACGCCAGATTCTCCGACGTCACCATCTGCTTCAGCGGCAACAAAGTGCACGCGCACAAGGCAATCTTGCCGAAGCCGTAGATGAAGCGGAGCATGCCGAGGACTGCTTGGGGATCGTCATCGAAGAGATTCATCTCTTTGGCGCCGGCTTCCTACGACGGCCACGAGTTAGATGGTGTCAGATGCAGGGACGGTGTCTCTTCTCTCGCCTTGAAATTGCCAGTCAAGGCGTTGTAGAAGGAACATCAAGATTTTTTTGTCTGAGGAGGAATGTAATCCGTTGATTGGACACGACGACAGACCTCATCGAAGCCTGTAGCTCATGATCCTACACGTACACCAAGTCTTCCAACATAAGATATGTCAGAAAACATTCAACAGCTGAGGTGTTTGGCTTGCGGAATTCCCGGGTCGGAAAAGACAGATGTCAGGGCTTGCGAAGGAGGAGAACTCTGGCATGTCCAGATGAAGTAGCAATGCGATGTAATGTACAGACAAAAAAGTCCGAATAACCTCTTCCGTGTTTCCGTGAGCACCGTAGTGAACGACGCTTCGAATTGAAAAGGCTTGATGTTGCAGTGAAGGAGATGATGCAGGCTGTGCTTAGAAAATGGGAGTAAAAAGCAGGAATTTGGCTATGAGTGTGTTTGTGTAAATGTTCTTGTAAATGCTAGACTTGCATGCCAGAGATGGTGCTCAGATCTCTCCGCCACGACGCAAACATACCTTCGGTTTCACCCAGCTCCGTCTACTCGTCTACTCATCACTCATCAGATCATGTTGAAAGCAACCGAACCTCCCAAGTTTCAATCCTTCTTCCACAACAAATTCTTCCAGGAACTCCCTTCCCTCTGCTCAACCCGCACCGCCGCAACAGGCGAAGCAACAACCGAATGCTGCGTAGGGAAGATAGCCGGCTCCCCCATCGCGGCGCCCACACTCGTCGCAGGGTGATGATGAGCCACGACGTCAGCCGGCAGAATCCTGCTCCGTTCCTGAACATGCTTCCTCGCGAAAGCATCCTCTCTCACACTCTCCGGCGGCCAGAATTTCCAGACTCCGAGCCCAGCCACGGCTCCAAAGACGAGGACCGTAACGAGTGCTCCCGTTCGTCGGACATCCTTTTCCGTCTCCATGCCCATCTCCACCAGGCGTGCTTCGAGATTGGCGAGTTGGGTGGACATTTGTTGGAGCGTCTGCAGCATTGCTATGTCGACGGGCGGAGAGGGAGATGAGGAATGAGATGCGAGCTGCAGGATGGGAGTTGAAGAAGGAGTTGCTGCCGTTCTGGAGGTCAACACCTCGGGCTCCTTTCGTGTGTTGTGGACTGCAGCAGAATGTTCTTGCTCATGTTCATGTTCTTGCGTCTCGGCATCTTTCTTCGTAAACGGCTTGACTTCGCTCTCTCGGATCAACTCCAAGGCGGGCGAATGATTGACCCGATTGAGGCGGGAAAGCTGATTAAAATGCGCCGTTTCATTGCGGTTGGAAAGAGCGGAGAGGTGGAAGAGTGGGGATGCTCGGGCGGCCGAGGTGCTGGAGAAGGCACGGGTGGAGGAGATGCGGGTGACTACGGGGCGGAGGAGAGTCATTGTGGGTTGGCGGTATGGATGTGTATACAGTCAAGGAACGAGTGTTAACGCTCGTGCTCGCTGTCCGATAGAGTGTATGCGGGGTAGATATGGAGATAAGGTTGCGGCTTCCCCGGATGCGGAGTGGAGGGCCGCGACCTAAGGAGTATCTGCCCTTACTCGCACACCAACTGGCTATATGTCCTAATAAGTTATAGAGTGGCTACCTAATGCGGATCTCGGAAAGCAGAAGCACTATTCCATATAAAAAAAAAACAGGAGCTAAACAAACCATGAACAAAAGGCCTGCGACGCCTAGGACTAGTTCTCGGAACAATAGGCCGATAATTGAGTCGGAGATCGGCGGAGTGGGTCGCCGAGAGCCGATGTCGCCGCCTTCCACCCTCGAGGTCGATGACTTTTCCCTCGTCGGGTACTTGGGAATTCGAGCAGAGTCGATGCTTCTCAGAAGCCACTGTTCTATGGCCATAATCTCCGTCAACGAAACCCCTCGGCTTCCCGGAGCATACTCCCGGAACCATCTTCTTCCTCTTTCTTCGCGTCCGTCGTGCAACTTTATCTGGTGAGCGGGATCGACATTACATTTCCAACATTGCTGGCCTCGCCGGATGTCACATCTCCACGTCCACTGAATATTGGCAATCTGCACCCCCTTGACCGTCTTGGTGCTCATTGACACCTCTTCTAGACAATCGAATGTGCTCTGCCAGGCGATTTGCACATTGCGGACGATCGGGGTTGGCACACCGCGACTTACAATCCGATCCCGCTCCTTGCGCCGCTTATGAAGTGTCCATTGGATCTCGAGGGGCGAAAAGAAGCTGAGCAACACCTTCAGGTACTGGAAGGAGCCCTTGTTGTGGAACAGAGGAAGGACTTCCCACCGTATGTCTCGCGATGTCTGGGAGAGGGGAAGGATGGGAAAGGGCTCGATCGCGTGCACTTTCTCCAGCACCACCAGCAAGAAGATTTCCGTCCGAAGCTCCGCTGGCAGCTTACCGAAATCGCCTAGCGACGTCGACATGATGGCTGGAGGCGGTTGATGTTGGCGTGGCGTCTGTTGTTGGAGTGGCGTTTGTTGTTGGAGTTGAGATCAAGCACGATCTTGCAAAAGGTGAGTWGAGGTAGAGTTGGGAAGAAGAAGAAGAGGAATATCGTGGCTCATGAAAAGAGCTCCGAAAAGGTCTGCCGTGTGTGAACACGTTGGCTTAGGAGTACCGCTGGATCTGCTCAAAGGTTGACACACCATCCGCCCATGTCCGGATCCGACGATATTCGGATCCAATAGTCGCATCGAGTTGGAGCTGATGCAATGTTAGTGCTGCACTTGACACCATCTTCTCGGGTGAGGAGATAACAGCCTTGGAACATCTTCCTCGGGGAATCAAACCGCTGAAGCATCTTGGTCAAGTCAGGGAATGACGATCCTGGAACATCTTCGTCAAGGTGGAAGAAGTGTTGCATCGTATTCCTATTACTTACACAATCCAGAAGCCAACAATATTACCAGAATCCTACAACTCCCGACCGCATCAACAACGCTGCAAAAATGAGAAACTCCAGCACCCACAACATCTTCCACGCCAACTTCCATTACACTCTCACGGGAACCGGCACCGGCACCGGCAACCTCGAAGGAAGAGTCGCGTTCCCCAAGTAGTTGCTCAACGGCTCATACTCAATCTGCTTCATCTGCCTCCCACCATCTTCTCTTGGACGAGAACTTCGGCTCCTCTCATCTCTCCTTCCACTCCTTCCTCTGTCGACATCGCTGCCTCTCGATCCTCCTCCTAAATCACTTTTCCTCCCCACATTCGCAACTTCACTCTTCCTCCCGACATCACTCTTMCGCCCGACATTCCCAACATCACTCCTCTTGTCTCTCCCAACATCACTCCTCCTCTCTTTCCCAACGTTACTAGCATTGCTCCACCTGTCCCTCGCAGCATCCCCTTTCTTCTCCCCACCCACCTCGCTCTTAGGTTTAACGTCAATCTTCGGTGCTTCAATCGCCTTCTTCCCACCCGTCCCCGGTGGCGGACCCAAATATCTTCCATCGTGGTCCATATGCCCGCCAGCAACAGCCGTGCTGGTAACAGCTCTCGCACTCGCCTCCACAGCCTTTGTAGACCTCTCAACAGCTCTGGCAGACCTCAGACTTGCCTCTGCAGACCTCATCGCTGCATTCGCTGATCTTTCGGAGAATTCCAGAGATTTCTCCACGGCGCGAGCGGAGCGCATGGATCCTTCTGCGGAACGATGGGAGGCGTCCGCCGAGCGGTGAGACGCTGTGGCGGAAGAGCGAGAGGCGTTTGCGGAACGCCAGGTTGGCAGGACGGCAACTACTGTCGCCGCTGAAGCCAGCGTCGCCCAGAGTGYTTTCTTCTTGTAGAAGGGCTTGTCGGACGGGAGGGGTCCGACGTCGGAGTCTCGAGAGGGAGAACGGCGGCGGGAAGACTGGCGACGTGGAGGTGGACCTCTTCGCTGAGAGCGGTGACGGCGAGAAGAAGGGGAGCGTGAGGAGGACTCGGACGGATAGCGACGAGGCCGTGGGCGAGGCCGGGAACGTGAACGTGAGCGATCGGCTTGTTCGGGCATGATGGGTGACTGACTCTCTCGTGTGTGCTGGGATACGAGAGAGGGAGAGAGAGAGAAGGTATGGGAGGAGAGAACAAGAAGGTGAGGTGGTGAGATATTACCTTACCCTGGGTATGTGTGCGTGCTCGGCCGGCAGTAGTATTGCTGATGAGGTGGCAGGGTGATGAAAAGAGAGGTACGTGGAGCCATCCCATACCATGCGTTCTCTCCCGACCACCACGGGAAAAAAAGTCTCGACATGCATGTACTTGAAGTAGCTTCATCATGCCTGCGAGATTTGAGAAGGATTTGACATCATCCGTGGGATGTCCAGGTACTGAGATCGCAGATTCGGCAGCATCTCATTTTCCTCGGGCACCTCCGTCCCTCGCGTGCTTGCCTACGGGCAATTGTTCACAGCGCTGTCACCTTGTTGGCAGATGTCAACAGGGATGATCGTTGGGGAGAGGTGCTTGAATTGGATCCCGTGCTGATTGCGAGCTGGGATCTGGCTTTCTGGGGAACGGGGAATCCTGGCTTAGAATTTGCCGGACGCCCAAGATTTTGAAAGGAGATCCTGGCATGCGATGCGAAACACCATGTTCATCTTGAATCTGGCAAGGAAAAGATTGCCTCTTCTGGATGCCTCTGCGAAAATGTGGTGGTCGGACTGATGACCGGCTATGATGACGGCTCGTCTTTCCTTGCCTCGAATGTCGCACCATGAGGATTGGGCAAGATCGCGGATTGTCTCTCCATGCTGCTATCAGATCGACCATTTGACCCAGATTCTTTGGGCGAAGACGGCATGTTGAGAATGGGGTTAGCATGGCGGAGGTACGCGGTCCACGTGTCAGTCGGCACATGACATGGCTGTTATATGCCACCTACACGCCAGCCGAATCTCTGTCTGTTAGGACACAGATTCAATCAAAGAAGCTGATGAGCATTTTGCAGATACATCATTTGGTCCGTGGTCCATGATCACCCGACTCAGTAGCACCAGTTTTGTGGAGCCTCGGGACGACTAGCTCTACMGTTCCCCATGAACTTTCCTTAGAGATTCCACTTCATCTTGGAAACTACCGACGACTACTCACGTGCTCTTCGTCTGTCGCTTTTTCTTCAATATGTCGCACCATCTGGCGCTGTCGATCAAGCCAGCGAAGCCCACTGCCCTCGGCCTAGAGCCYTTCACCATGTAGTCGTATATCGATGGACCATATTCCAGGAACGATCTACCAGGGGTATACGCCGCTGCAGCAGCCGTGTGAATACCAGACTGCGGAGAACGATAGATGCAGACTTTCATCAAGCACTTCCCAAACTGGGACATGTTATCTTTTGAGAACGACTGGATGGCTTTCGTGGGACAGTGTGTATCGAAAAAGCATTTGATCTGTAAGACGTCGAATCTGGACGATGGAGTGGGAGCTTTGGACAGTCTCACTGACATCTGGATCCCATGAGAAGGAAATCAAATTGCTCAAATTGCAGGTGAGGCGTGTAGAGCAGAGTTGAAGCAGATGGTAATGGGACACTGAATTGGATTAGCTTGGCAATCCGAGTTTCGATTGACTGATTCCTGGAATCAAGGGTGATCTTCGATTGGAGCATTTACTCCTGGACTCTCGATGTACTTGGTCGGCTCGCCACGACACCGATGCGCATACCGGTGACATGTTGTGGGCTGAGAACATTTCGAGTGGCTTCCAAGACAATCGTGTCTGCATAGACTTACCCGCCGGTTGATCCACTGCTTCTCGTCCATCAAAGTGACGAAATGCAGCGCAGATCGTAGGTTGTGTAGGGGCATCTCCTCAACACACACCTTGGCTTTACAGATCAATGTCTATTGCACTCTTCATGATCGATATCGTTCAGCTTACAAACCGATTACTGTGAGCTCTTTGATTGTCCACAATCTTCTCGACATGGTGTTGCCATACGACCTGCCCGAGTACTCCTTGTACAAGCGAATGCACTCCTCTTTTGCATGGGAGCTGCTTCGAGCCAACATTCTCGCCATGTTAGGGCTGCTATCGGAAGAGGCAACAGGAAAAGGCACMGACCTACTGTTATCGTCGGTGATATCCCCGGAGGAGACTTAGAACTAGCAGGGTTGAAGGAATCTTGGTTCAACCTTCTTCCGACCCCTGTCCGACATTGGTGACACGGGTGCCATCTCGTTTGGTTTTGAAACACGCACAAACAACCACACTCTGCGAAGGCAAATTGCTCCTATTCTTGCAGCATGCGCAAGCAATAGCTTTACGAGATGGTCTACACTCTGGTGTACTATGTGGATGGCGGATGCCGCGGAAATGGCCAACCCTGGGCCTTTGGAGCAGCTGCTGCAGTGAGACAATACAGGTACGGCGGTACCCGGACCTGGACGAAGCGGCTTCCAAGCGGTGGCCATTGCAAGCACGATCCCACAAGCCAGCGAGCAGAAATCACCGCTATCATCCTGGCCCTCAAACTAGCATTGGAAAAGTACGACTCGCTCGAAGGCTTACCCAAACTGAGACTCAAAATCTTCTCGGATTCCAGATATGCGGTCAACTGTWTGACAGACTGGATCTACTTGTGGCCGGGTAGGGACTGGAGAAATTCGGTTGGGAATCCAGTGGCGAATAAGGGGCTCATCCAGAGAGCTTCTAGATTGGATGATCGGGTTCGGGAACTTGGGACTGTGGACTATGTATGGGTTCCTCGAAGTCCGAACAAGATCGCGGATGAAGCTTGTAATAGGGAATTGGATAAGATGTGCGATGAATCCTCGGACAGCGACTACTGAATGATTTCTCGGTGGACGTTGGATTGATCGGTCTCTGGCTTTGGGGTCTTTGCTCTTGCTCTACGAGACATTTGGAAGATTTAGCAGATTCTTACGACTTCCGAACTTGGTCTACGCGGAAGGACGACCTTTCGATGTGCTTCATAGGAGCACTACATGACACTCAACTTGCCAAACATGGCTGCATCACAACCTCAAATGGGTGACAATCGCCAAAGCGAAGCCAGATCAATTGGAACGAGGGTTACTCWACGTATTTTCATCAGCTATCTGACATCCACCACCTTTTCACCTGCAAGAACCCCCATGATGGGCGCAGCCGAGCCTCGAATTGTAGAGAGACTGTATGACAATCGCTTGGAATTTTGCTGGAGCAGAGGTCATCATTCATTGTACTCTGACCCCCTCGACGCTTCTTCACACACAATCGGATGCTGACAGGAGCTCTTTGGCCTCTTCTCGATGCTTCTTGAGGCTGCTGTTGCGCAGTATCTTAAGCTTAGTGTGATATCATTCAAGAGATGGTTTGACGAAACGCTACTTTCGGACAACAGATATACAGGGTGACGATAATGTCTCCCTGAGGTGCTGGAAGAGGAAACGCCATCACCCTTATCGCACTTCTGATGTACACGGAGATACACTGTGCCGTGGCACTTGATTTGAGTCATACTCTGGAAAGCAAGCAGTCATACTGTACCCATATCATTGTACTGGGGTCGTTCTCAGCGACGCGGGAGACTTCGGCTTTCATTTCGTAATATACTGAATCCCTACAAGCCAATGCTAGTGGTTCCGAAAACCGCCCAAACTTGGAGATTGGTCTTCACTTCACTCCTTCCTTCACTTACCTTGAGTCAATACATTATGGTCGAACTGTTGGAAATCTCAGATCAGGTTCCCTTTGGCTTCTCATTCCAGCATTCTCGCTTGAGTAGCCTCTACAAGCTGCTCAAACTCGCTCACAGCAAAGAGTGTTCCAAATGTCAGCGTACAGCGTCACATAATACGTTGACGGTGACTGTCGTGGGAATGAATCACCCCACGCTATCAGGGCTGCTGCCGTTATGGAGAATTTCGCAGGGCAAATATCGTTCTCTGCACGGCGATTAGCGACCAATCCACCTCCAACAAACGAACGTGCAGAGCTTTTTGCAATTATTCTCGGTCTGGAACAAGCCCTCGAATGGGAAAAGAGACTTAACCAACACGACTGGCATTTTGCAATGGATGTTACAATCTACTCGGACTCCCAACACGCGATCAATTGCATGACTTCTTGGATACATGCATGGCAGAAGAGCAATTGGATCACAACGCAGGGCACTCAAGTCTGTAACATGGACCTGATCCAAAAAGCAGGGACTCTTGTCCGTGCGCTATGTGTTCGTGGGCAAGGAGAAGGCGAAGTGAAATACATCTGGTATCCCCGGGCGGAGAACATACAAGCCGATGGGGTTTGCAATATTATCATGAATGTGGACGAGAAGTCCAACCACTTTCTCGACTCTTCGGAAGATGGGTTTGTCACTCGTTCAGTGATTTGACAGAGAACGCTGGTCATAGTACACTATAGCGCTCCCCCGGCCCAAAGTGAACAACACGTTCCATCGCCGTGGAAACTGATATGATCATGCTCGATATGCTTCAAGGACAATTGCATGCACACATCCGTGATTCGAATCTGACCCGCTTTGTTGCTCCAAGTGATCAGGATCAAAGCGGCATTCAATCTCGGAAATTGAACAAAGAACCTGACCTATCTTCGATCGAATGCGGTGAGCTCAGTGAAAGACCAGAGACAATGCTTGGACTCAACAAATTCTCCGGGTACTAGGTGGATGGAGACCGGTAAATGTTGAGACCACAAGGTTCCCGAGACACACCACTCCAACCTAACAACATTCATTTGCAATCTCAGTTGACAGAATGCCGGTGTCGGATTCAGGAAGGAGTCCCGGTCGCAAGGGACCGTTAAATCAACCCCCTAGCTCCGGTCCCAATACCGTTCGAAGGCCCCGGAGTGTTTCAACCACGTCACCTCGTTCACCTCGTTCAACTCTTCCACCTGCAACAATACTAGCAGAGCTTCGGAGAACTATGGAGGAGGAGAGATCTCGAGCGGCATATCTGAGAGGGAATCCTCTTCGAGGAAGCATGTTCGGCACCTTTCTAGCTCTTCAAACGAGACTTAACGATAGGGAGTTTTCCAAAACAGCACCAAGTTTCGCGCGGATCTCCCACGAGAGACAGGCTTTCTTCTTAGGGGAAGGGCTAAGACTAGCCCAGTGGTCTCTGTGGGAAACTAGCCGTGAATACATGCCGGAGGTCCAGAACAGGCTCTGGTGCGAAGGGCCATGGATGGTGAGGTTGGAGAACAAGGATCTCACGGATCAATTTGGTGAAGGTAAGTCTAACAGATATATTTGTGGTAGCTATTGGTCACGGAGTGACATTCCGAGATGCCCCTGCTTGGATATCTCGCATCCTACGGCATGTGCAGCTAATCCTTCGCTCCTTCTTCGTTCTGGCAAAGCTAACTCCTTGATTTTCCCCACGTAGGACTGCCTGAGATGAAATCGAGAGACGTCGACTCGTCAGCCCGTGACGCTATGAGGGATGTCTCACTTCTTCGCAATAGCGTTTGCCATCCCGGCACGGACTTTCCCGATCAGCAGACCAAGAACATCGATGACCTTTTATACCACGCACATCATATGGCTGTGCTCCTTCACGATTCTAAGCACGCAGGAGCACTTCGGGCTCTGAGAGACCGAGTGCAGACAGAAGTGATGCGTTCTTACAAAGAGATACAACTTGCCCACGCCGCACTGAGAGAAAACTATCAGGATGTTGTTGCCAAGAAATGGGATCTTCACCAGGAGAGAACCTTCTGGCATGCCCTCCGTTTCCCTGCAAACACTCTAGATGTGATTATTGAAGTTGCGATTGCGTGGAATAAAGGCGGGCATCCCTTGAGCAAAGTGGATCCTGTTTCTGGATTCGCAGTCGACGAGGAGACCTACCTCCGAGTTCCTGGCCAAGACGAAGATTATTTCGCACGGTTGCATCGAGATGATTGGGACGCACACACGCCAACATTCCAACGTGTCGTCCGAAAGCTCGGAGCATCCCGTGCTGATTCTACAATGTCTGCGTATGCAATGAGGATGCTAATCGATGCCGAGACTCCCGCTGCAGAACCATGGGAAGACGAGCCTGAGGTAGTCGCTGGGAGAGTGAGACAACAAGAACGCAATCTACAACGCAACGTGGATGCGGGAGCTTTCAATTACGCACGCATCCAGTCCGATCGTTCCACTAGAAGTACTTCTAGTGGGAGTACTCGCTACGCCATTGCGCCCTCCGAACCTGACTCGGACGCAGAGGCTCCTACCCCTTGAAAAAAATCACTACGATCTTATTTTTTTGAGATACTGCAGTTGTAGGCTAGAGAGACTATGGTGGCGAATGTCAGGAAGGTCGATATGAACCACACTCTGGTGGTTATCTTCATGAAGATGATTGGAGTTGATCGCTATATACCTATGAAAGTTCGGTGATCCTTCTGTTACGGTGATCGGAGCTCAGACTCGTCGATATTTTGGCCTGCCAATCTGCTAGGGATCGCATCTTCTTCCTTGTGTTCTTCCCTTTCATCATTTACCCTCCGTCCGCATTCACATACTCTTCAGCCTGATCACTCTGGTCATGGTTTAACAGCGGTATCCATCGCGTGGATGCCTCTACCCTAGTAGTCGTTGGCCAAGTGAGTCTGCTTTCGGGACGATACGCTACCTCAGTTGCCCTATTCGCGCAGTCGAAGACCCCGCCATCCATGTCATTCTACAGGCTCTGTGCTGCTTACGCCTGGTACTGTGCCTCCTGTTCAGGGGGATCCCAAAACTCAGGTCCTTGCTCCACGACCTTGGCCATCATTTGCCTACAACTCGGAGACCATTTTCCCGGCCATACCATAGGCTTACATGTATTCTGTAAGGGCTAAGCTATCCACGCCGAATGAAGTGGCATACAGCCGATTGAAGGGGTCATCGTCTTGGCCAGACATGCGGCGATGTTCGTTGGCGTCAATGATCTGTTCTCTTCGTTTTCCATGTGAGTGCCCTTCACTGAAAAGATACCCTTCTACATTCCAAATCTTAGCCAAAGATTCGATCCTCTCGGACACATTCATGTAGTCGAAACGATCTAGGTCGAAGAGGTAACATAACATAGTCTCGTTGTGGATCAACCACTCATACCCCCGACAGCTTCGTTTGAAATGTCCGAAATAACTTCCCCTTCCTGGAACCTGTACTAGAGAGACACAGCCTTTTTCGATGTTGGCAAATGAAATTGGCAGCTCTGCTTGTAGCTTGTTCTGGAGCTTGCGAAGTTTGATCGCATAATCTCGCTCAAAGCATAGCACGCACAGCTTCAAATCATCCATCAAGATAATCTCTTGTCAAAATTGYGGCCCGAGACTGCCATGCGCGGAGTGAATTTCAGGGGTTCGACTAAAGGTGTCAATCCAGTCTGATCGACATGCACATAAAACTAAGAAGCTCTGGATGAGAAGACTCATTAGTTTTCCCGCCATAGGCGTCCGAGTTGACCTGGAATATAATCAGCGAAGTGTGATAATAGCATTGCGTTTGTGATTTAAGTTGAACGGAGAGTCGAAAGGCGTCAGAGACAACGACTTGTCACGTAAACTGCGTCACGAAGCGCTTGTACCATCCTCGAGTCGAAGAAAACTACTCAAGAAGATATCATGCAAGCCATTCTGGCTAACCGCTGTTGTGTTCCAACAACGTCGAGAAGATAAAGCATCCAGCGATACCCCAACCCTAACCCTAATTGAAGTCCACGACTCCAGCGGAGCTCCTCTCGTTGCACACTGTTATTTTTTCCTATCCCTACACCTGCAATGGAATAATCGTGAATAATGGCTCGGCTTTAGTGTCTTGCCGACTCGAGTCAAGTGCGAAGGTAACGAGATCATATCCCACGCGATCTACCTTCATGCCGTCTCGTCTATGGCATCTTGTTCACTTCAATTCAATCCCGCAATAGACAGTACTGGCAGCTGTCCTCTGTGGTGTAGAGTATCGGTAAGGCCAATCAGGTTCAGGGTAAGGGGCAAATGTCATCGAAGTCCTGTGCGGAAACTGAAGGTGTTGATTATGCCTTCGTGCGGCCAGGCCCTGTCTTCGGCTTGTGGAACATCTCATGTGAAAAATTCCACGGTGTTTGAGTATAGCCCATGTTGATGAGGTCTGGAAGATGTATGCCGTTGACAGGACGAATACCGACTTGCTAGTTCCACGACTGCTAATACACAGTGAAGTTCCATGAGCTGTGGGCCGAAGATGCTCAGTAAGGAAAAAAGAAATCTTACCGGCAGAGTACGTCTACTGCGAAGCTTCTGCTAGAACAAAGAAAGTCAAATAAGAAGCACGAGCGGCTAATCCATCGATCTTTTAGCTTCCCTTTGGAATACTTCCAAAGGTCTAGACTGCAGGAAGGATTGAGACCACGAGCACCCATCCTCCCAGCCATGGCGACCAAAAGAAAGGCCGAAAAAGGAAGCAGGCGAAGATGATGGAAGCTTTGCTCGATCACACCAGCCTCATGTGGCAACAGACTTTCTTAAATCCGAGTTGGAAACGCTGCCGGAAGYCGAAATGATTTACCCCAAGGAGGTAGTAGAGGTAGTCATTGCAAGGACAATAGAAGTCATACGAATCGCAGGACCGTTGCCAAGACGGAAAGGGAGGAGGAAAAAGAAGTGGTACTGTTCATTGGAAGTGCTGGTGTCTGTGAAGCTCTCCGATGATTGCTGCATGCTTACATGAATGTGTTGTATCCTAGCATAGAATGTATCCTAGCATAGAATGGACTATCAAAGCCGGGTCTCGACCTGTTTTCTTGTAAGCWCGAGTAGTTCAAGCAGTCAGTTCTCTCCCTTCATTGACACCTGTTCACTCTGACGATCTCACCTTTGTATAAGGTATTCCTCAGAAGCTGCAGGCTGCAAGTCTCAGCTTCTTCATCCTAGAGACGATATCTGCATTTCCTTTGAGCAATTTGGATACCTTTGTGATTGGACTCATTTTAWCAGTAGCAAACTGCATCGATACGATCTCTGCGGTATTCCTGTATGCCGATTTGGTCAAGCGACTGCCAGACATCTTCCGGAATGTGTATACAAGATCAACAACTCCTTTCAGCGATTGCAAGATGGAACTTCCATTGAACTCATGACTCAACTGTTTGTAGCGTTTGCCTGGAGACCAATGAGCTGATTGCTTAGTACTGCAAATAGGGAGAACAACATACCTTCCCCTTTCTGCCAGAAGAAGACAGTCTTCTCATTCTCATCTAGTGAGCTGAACTCCTACACTTCTCATACAAATCATACAATATCTCGCACCACACTGCTGTCGCTGCMCATCATACCTMACAATTCACGAATCTTGCCGCAAAATCCCGCTGTATGACGATTGTGGACTAGCCTCCAACTTCTCCTCTACAAGTTCGCACTTCACCTCGACTACCATCAAGTCTGATGCTCACCCACATCCCTCGACTCATCCCATACTTCTTCAACTCAACTCGACCAGAGCCTTACGAAACCGGCTCACCATTATGTCTCCGGCCATAGGACAGAACCCGATGGATGATGCCGAATCTGACGCGAGAGACCTGCTGCGGCTTGAGAGTGGACGAGCGACATTGAAGAACCTTTCAAGCTTTGTATAATGGATGCCGGTGTCGAGAAAGGAGAAGCTGGCACCCATGAAAGGGCCAAGAACCCACCAAAACAAAGCGCCGAGCAGTCGGCATGAGGATACAGCAGTCTTTCCACCTCGAGCGACTGCTGAATCATCATTTTGCCCGCTCCATCACTACCGTGATCGCTTGGAGTACTTCTTGATTCAGAAGTAATGCTCTGGTGCGATCTCAGCATACGTCGTTGCAGCTCGGACCTTTGTCGCTAGGTCTCGTATACTGCCCACACCGAATTCACGATACACATCAAAAGACGCTTGCTGAGCTTCCATCGACATGAGTTCCCCAGAGAAGTCAGTAGGCTTTTGTCTCATAGCGATTCTCTGGGATCGTCTCTGGTAATGACTGTTGGCGACGTCGTTAACGCACAGAAGGCCAAAAAGATGTTGCTTGCCATCCGGCCAATTTTGCGATCCGGCAGAGGATGCAGCAATTCAGCACATCTCAAGATTGCGAACGGCTCTTGTGCAGTGCCCATATCGCCATTGCCGTCCCCAGCTCACTCGATTGAAATTTTCGCCGGCAGTCAGGCGACTCTCGGATTCTCCTCCATATTCATACTGCGCCAGCCAGGCGACGCGGCACTGCATGCCAGAGACGACGATGACCTTGCTAGTCAAGATGCTGCAGCGGAGCACCATGTCCTGCCGATGGTCGAAAACCCATAGGGCTCTTGCGTATGCTGACCAGCAAACCACGCCAAGTCGTCAACATTAGCGGTTTGCACGTTTCGAGTGACGAATGGAGCATGAGCACCTTTCGACTCGTAATCAGGCAACGTGAGACTCCACCGACTCCTGCAAGCTCTTCCCGCGCAGGAGCCACACTGCCTGAGGCCACCACGCCTACGGAGTACGCCTCAAGTACTCCGGCCGAGACGTCGGCCTCWCGAGATCACATCACGATAATGAGGCTCGATCGTAGCGACCTACACTTTCGAGGATGCTGCCGATACTCCACAACTCGCTGGTCGCCGCTGGAGAGCGCGCAGAACGATCCAGGTATAGAAGTAGTGAGCTGTTGCGAACACGAATTGGATCTAGTCACTGTACTTACGGAAGTGGTGCGGACCCACTCTTCCCGCTCTCGACAATTTGGTATCTTTTTCGAATGTCTACATTCCACGTTCTTCTACGTCCTTAGTAGCTGGACATTGCGCCGCTACATTCAGTCTACACGCGCATCTTCTCAGCATCGAGATGGCATCTCTGCCTGCCACTCCACATTCGACCCTCTTTTCACCAACCGCTACCAGGCCTTCACTAGAAAGCCACAATCCCGTTAAAGATGACTCGATAGCATCTTCATCATCAACAAGTCCAAGTCCAGCCTCACCAGCTTCCCTGGTTGCAGAGCGGTTGTTGAAACCTCGACTGACCAGGGACATTCCGCAATGCCTTTGGTTTCAGAAATCGTCGACGACCGAGAATTCAGCAGATCAGCCCAGGTACCTGCTTCGGAGAGTACAGTCACCTCCTCCGCTACGCAAAGACTCAGGCTGTGAGATCTTGTTGATGGGACACAGAGCTGAAGTTGAGCTACAGCCACCACCTCCTTCTCTACAGCGTGGTCTTGCGCCTCAGCACGAGGCCCAACTGTACACAGATTTGACAGATCTCAACGCACATCACAAAGCGCAAGCAGATCTGTACAAGGAACAGAACGATGCGTTGCGGGCCCGAGTGCGCGAGCTTGAAGCATCCGCTCTTGAGACTGCCGCCAGAAGCAATGGTCTATTGCGAAAGACCACGCATCGCCTCTCCAACAAGCCTCTCAACTCCCCACAGAGATGCCTCACGTCTTTGCTACCATCTGCAAAGCCGAAGGATCCATCGTCATCCCACCAAAGAAATCATCCTCGTGGCCTTATACCTCTCCCGAAGACGAGCCTGCGCGGATGTGTGATCTCACGCCGTCAGGTACGCTCGCCTAGATATATCAAATCGAGCTTCATTATATATCGTCCTACTCTTGGCGTACTCAAGGCACGAGAGAGACCCGTATCTGATCTGCATCTCGATGCGGTGGAGTTGCAAGAAGAGGAGTCTCAACCAGAGAATCCCCGCGACCTGGATTCTGAGCATGGGGACTCCCAAGTAGATCAAACTCAGGCGGAGCAAGCTCATGCAGAGGAGACGCAAGCGGAGCAGATCCAGATCTGGCAGAGCCAAGTCGAAGGCCCCTCGATGTTGCCACCGCCCACGCAAAATGCCTACGGAAAACTTCTCATGCATGAGACTTCGCTTGATAACGACGAATTCTACACCTCGGAGGCGGGATCATCGCGCATATCGCAGGAGGAGCAAGCATCAGTTCTGGCCAGGGCTCTTCGCATCGTGCAAGAGTCAGTCCACGAGACGTTGCGTCTTACCCTGCCTGAGATACAGAATGAGCACTGGAGCGAAGGCCCAAGCATGGTCAAATTCGGACATCAGGATCTTACTGCGCAAGGTCTTGGAGCTGGTCTCCCCGGTATGAAGTCCAATGAAATCGCTCAGGGCATCGCACACCTGTCGCTCTTTGCACAGATCACCCTCCGAAATGATGTCTGTCATCCGGGAAGGAATTTGCCCAATCAAGGTCGATACATCGACGCCACCCTCGAGCGGGCTCAAAGACTGACTGCGAATCTCCACGACAGAAAGCATACTCTCGAACTCCGTGCTTTGCGCGTGCGGACGATGCAAGAGCTAGAAAAGTCAGCAGAAGAGATAAGACGGCTCTCTTTGTTGCAGACACCGCATACCAGATGGCCGATCAAGTATGAGTGGCTTTTCCGCCATGCCCTGGACGACGAAGAGACAGTTGTGCCCTTCTACCTCCAGCTTGCCAAAATCTGGAATCGAGGCGGTCATCCTCTCAGTCAAGGTTTCCCGGCCGTTGGGTATATTGAAGATGGCGATGGTTACAGGCGTATTCCTGGCCAGGATCACCAGTACTTCGAGCGAGTGAACAAGGCCAAGTGGGATGCCGGATCATCGGACTTCAAAGCAACAATCCAGGCGCTCGGTGCATTGCCAGAAAATCTTGAGGTGTCGCMAGCCGCGATGCTGGAGAAAGTCAATGGTCCACACATACCATGGGAAATTGATCCTTCGGCTGGTATGATGAGTGATGCGTGGGAATTGCAGGAGGACAACGCGGTGGACTTCACGGATCAAGCAGTGGCTTACTTGTATGACAACACGACCAATAGCGAGTTTGCGGAGAACGAGGCGCCTGAGAATCTTGCAGACACAGACGATGAGGCATGCGGAGGGGAACGAGATGTTGTGAGTCTGGTGGGTCTGGGGGAACATGTTCCCTTGCAGAGAGAAGCAGCAGCGAGTAACGCAAGTAACTTTGATGCTGAGGAGGATGATGATGAGCAATGGGAAAAGGAGGATTGGGAAACCGTAGTAGACAGTGACGATAGATGAGCCGGTTATCGGCGGCATCATTTGGCGATATTGAAATACATGCACTCTCTTGACCACCGCAGCATCTCAACGACATGAAAGACCAGAGCTGTCGATGTGAGAATTATTCGTCGGGATGAGACACTTCTAGTCGTCTTTATAACGTCTTTGGGCCTTGCTCTCCGCAGAAATGATAACTCTAGAGCTGCTAGAACCTTTATTACTAGCAGAGTGCCCCGTTATTCAACGGAGAGGGCAGCTGAGGGCGCGGTTTTCTTGATCATTCTCTCATATCGACAGCTCTGTGAAAGACTACGATATACCAACTCCAAGTGTTCCTAGCATTCAATGACTTGACGTTACATGTCCCGGAATTCTAGAAGACGTTCGAACTATGAATCCTCAAAGTTTCTCTTCCTTCATCGATACCTGACTATTCTCCCACATTCTCACCATCCTCCCCAACGGTGTCGTTCTCGGCCCCGAAAATCTCACGTCTATGCCCAAGAACCTTCTATTCCTCTCCTCGCGACGCTTTCTACCCTTGTCTCTAACAACATCATGCCCATGCCCACGAAATCTCCTTTGCTATCTCAAGATCTTCGCCATGGCCTTCCTGTTCATCTAATAGTGTTACAGGTGAAAGTCTTATTCCTGACTCATATCGCCTCGGCTATCTATCTACTCGAATCGTGCGACCACTCTCACTTCGCCATCGCCTCGGCTCAATCAACAAAAATTGATCTCATGCTTTGTTGTTTCGGGTGTTTGTGGCCTACTCAGATCGCAGAGTACAAGGGCAACAAGGGTATAGGTGTCGCAAAAGAGAGCGACTCTTCGAAGAGTAGTGTTATCTTCTAGAAGGGGGAGGATGACGCGATGAAGAGAATATCCGCCTCGATATGCATGACATGGGAGTCAAAGTCTGGTACATGTTGCTACACATAGGCATTGGTTTCACAACTTCTTACAAGTGTTTCCTTCTCCACACATATTTGGGAACTAGAAGTAGCCTCTTCTCTCACTCCAAGGATCAATCTTATGGTCCAGAGCTCATCGATCTSTACTCCTTTGGAGATCAAGGTCGATGCGAGCTCAACGATGCTATGTGAATGTCTCTGACTACAATCTCACAGGTACGCGACCTGGTAGTGCCTGTACAAACGAGCTGCAGTCACGGAAACATTCATATGGGCATGACCATACATAAAGCGGTGTTTGCTACGAACCGCAACAAAGACCCTAACTGTACCTGACCCTACGGCCGACTCTCCAATTGTGATCCAATCCATTTTCAAGATATCAGACTGTCCAATGGCGGCCTGGCTCAGAATATGCTTTAGGATCCGGAGCGGGCGAGAACCGCCAGCTGAACATGCCCTGTATCCTCGTGATAGCTTTGTGGCTTCAAGCTCATGTAGGCTCGCTTGGACCGTGGCATGATTGGTGGAGATGTCTTGGCATTTTAGCCAGCCGCCAATGATAGGTCGTCAATCCCTGCATCGTCGACAAGGTATCTCGACACGATATCTGCGAAGGATCTCCTGCCTGTTCTTCCCCTCTTCTACGAGAAGGTAGTAGGTTATCTCGTCGAAGCCCATCTTCCTCCCTTCTCCTGCGACAGAAGACACTCAAAAACATGAAAGATCTCAGTTTCCGGGACATCCTGCCGCTCAAGAAGGCATCGAAGCAAGGCCAGGACGTCGATTCGGGAGATTCGCATGCTTCCTCGTTGGCTACGAAGTCAATACCGCATAATGATGCCGTTCCTGAGCTCCGGAATGTGTTCACATTTGGGACAAGACAATCAAATTATCGAGATGCTGCCAGTAGCGTCACCTCTGGAAATCCATTTGCTGCGATATTGGATGAGAAGAACTCGAGTGGGGGTAGAGATAGCGGTGCAAAGTCAGCTGTCGGAACATTGAGTCCTTCGAAGCAGGACGCAGCTATGACATCCATCAACCACACAGCAGCTACATCTAGCCAGACGGCTCCTCCACATTTCCGAGTTGACCAGGCGAGTGTGTTGAACAGTGGCCTAACTCCAAATCCCAAGCTCTTCATCGATCTGCAGGCACAGAGGGTAGAAGAGAGTGGGCCTGATGTGCACGCCTCTCACGCCCGCGCATCAGGGCCATTCCGAGCAACGCCGATCAAAATTGATTTCGGTAAGATTTCACAAGTCTTCGGTCAACCTACTCAGGATTCGGAACAGGAGTCTCCAGGGGATCCTCTGGCCGATCTAGTCGCCACTACAAATGCGCTCAAACTCGACGACGGGGAGCCGCAGCAAGACAAAAGCCAGCCGCAGGAGCCTGTGATTCAAGGGCAGGATCCAGCAGTCATCCAGATTGACATCGGGAAGAGGGAAAAGTACTTGAACGCCTGCCGCGAAAGCGACACTTCCACGCTMAAACAACTCTTCGCAGAGGAGAGGCAAGAGACGATAGGATATGTCGACGAAGAAGGCAACAATGGAATCCTACTCGCTACCCAGAGCAGCTCAGACATAGAGACAATGCATTACCTCCACGAACAAGGGGTTTCAATCACGCATACCAATCACATTAGCAGGACTCCACTCATGGAAGCTACTCGATGGGGTTCTCTGGAGCAGGTGCGGTATCTTGAGGAACACCTGCAGTCAATTGATTTTGAAGTTGAAGATATCAATAGTCATCGAGCGGTCTACTTTGCAAACAACCCATCAACCCACCTACCAGCATCGGAAGGTGACGAAAGGAAGAGACGACATGGGCAAATCTCCAGCCCACCTACGATTCTGGATCGCGAAGAGATTCAAGTAATCTTGATGAGCAATTCACGATGCATATGGAAGCCACGAACTCATCCAGTGCAACCTCCACTGCGGAAACAGGTCCCAATTCCCCCATTAGCCTCTGTATCGGCCGTGGAGAATCTTGGTGTCGTATTGCCATCTAAAAGCACACCAGCCACGTTCTCTGTACCACAGCCCGCCAGAATGCCGTCCCAATCTTCATTCTATGCAAAGCCTGCCGAATTCCCAACTAAACTGCTTCCATACGATATCCTGTACACCTATCCAACAGGAGAAGTCGAGCACTACGTCTTACAAAAGACTCTGATCCCACCACCGTCCGCCAAGAACAAAGCCTTTGCGGCTCTTAGTCGAGGACCAGCATTTGAGACGGTATACGCGATGAGCGGCGGCTCTCAACCCGATCACGCCCATGTGATTAATAATGTCGTGTGGTCGCATAAAGGCCGAGAACTCATCAATAATCTCGGCGTGGGACCATCGTCGATCATCTATCCAGAGACACATGTCGAACCTCAACTGTTGGCGTTTCTTGTTCAGGAGCACACCATTGAGATGCCAAATGGAGAAAGAAGCTTCCCGCCGAGCTATAACCTTGAGCCTAGGATTACGATCAATAAACCGGACTTTTGTATTGCTTGTAGTGAACTGGTCGATCGATTTGAAAAGGCATGGCCTGAAGCCAGAGTCACCTATCGTTTCATGGATGGGCGATTCCGGTAGCGGCCACTGAAAGCGCCCGGTATTGGGTGTCCGGTCCGATCTTGTCACTCTTGACATGCTTTTCGTGGCTAAAACACCCGAATCGTCGAATCATCCAGCGAAAGCATTTAGAAAGAAAGTCACGGGGAAAGTGCAGATGTCTTCAGAATCCTCCGCGGTCTTGGAAACATCCTTTGCAATCCTTTTTTCAGCGAAGGCTTTGGTGCACAAAGCATTTACGCAGGTCGAACACTCCCATTTTTTCGATCAAGATGCAGTTCATGATCGTATGTACCGTTTCACACAAGCACGCTGTCAGTGGTATGATGTGATCATGATGGAGGCGTCTTTTCGAAGTGCTGGATGGCGTCACGCTCTCGCAACCCGGTGACGCTGAAATGCAGCATTGAATGGCCCGACCAGTATCTGAAGCAGTCAGAAATGACCAGGGGTGAAAATCTACGGCTGATCAACAGCGAGCACAGGTACATCCGCTCGCTGCAATCTCCATCCAATTCTTTACCAACATCGAAACAAACAGATCGATCATCGAACTTTGCCAACGAATACTTCACCAACATCCAGCAACAAATTCAATCTACGGCCACTACAACAAGCCCCAACCCCAGCAATTCAACTCTACTCACCTCTCCCACAAAACCTTTGCCCAAACTTCACCACGATCAACAACACCCAAACCCCAACGAAGCCAACATGTGCAGATCGATATTCGTCAAGTACAACTGCGGCCATCGGATCGAGCACAAATACCCCTGCGATCCAACCATCGACGGCCCTTGCGTCAAAGAATCCCGCGTGATAATAGACCCAGCACGTCGTAACTGCGAGAGCTGCGCAAGACAAATCGCACTGGAGCCGTTACCTCGTAGCTATAACCCAATTACTGGCCTTATTGAAATGTGTCTGAACCCTTGGATGAAACATTGGTAGCGAGTCTCACGAAGAGAAATGAGGGGATGTGAGATATCAGGGGAGAAGGAACTAGCTATACAACGAGAGAAATGTCACATCGTCATTGAATGGTTCGCAATCTCGTTCTGATTCGTGAAGAGTAGATGGCTTTCTTGTAATAAGATCAACATGGTATCTATCTGTTTTTCATTATCTCTCCGTTCAGCTCCAAATACCAAGAGAGTGCAAAGTCCGCGTGACGACAAATGACCCCTAAAGCCTCCCTTCAAAAGTCTCGTAACTATCAAGATGGTAGGCATACTTCGTCAAATGGTACTCACACAACCACTTGACTATGACTTCACACATCCGGCACATCCAGCCCCAACGACCCCAAAACATCCGCCACGCCCAGTTGCTGCAGCACCAAAAAACTGACCGCAGCMGGTAAATTCTCCACAATCGGCTGCAACTCCCCGATCTCACCCAAGAACTTAACAGGATCCTTCAACAGAGGATCCAGCGACGTGCTGAAGAACAAACGTCTCCATCCGAGCGCCTCCACCACAGTCAGGAAGTCCAAGGGTGGGAGCTCTTCTGCAAAGGTGTGCACGGCAGCAAGGTCTGTGAGCTGGGAGAATCCCCTGAAAGTGATTGGGTCGAGGAGAGAGAGGAGGTTGAGGAAAGCGAGTGCAGTTTCTGCTTCGGATGTTTGTTGSGGTGTCAGATTGGCGAGATCGGGAGTTATCTCGGCTAGAACTGTGGTGAGGAGAGTTGGGATGTCTTTGACCTGTGAACTGAATTAGCGAGATCACTCATCGATGGAAATGTACTCACGATATTCAGTACCACGGAGCCGAGATCCTTGATCGAGACAGGGCTGGATGGTAAAGTTGATGGCAAGGATATAATGGATGGGAGAGCCAGCCCTGTTTGAATGGATGGGATGCTCAAGCCGGATATCAAAGGAACCGGAGGAGTTGGCAGTGCAGGCTGAGGGTTACCCGCTTGCGGAAGCAAAGCCGAGAGAAGTGCTCCGAGGATTTGAGGCTCGGCCTCGGCATCTCGTTTCACGGCCGTTGGGATTGCTTCTGACACTCCAGTTGTAGGTCGTACCAGATCAGACAAAGGCGGAGCCGATATAGAGATCAGTCCCGGAGCTGCGGTCGGACTCGCGACGGCGGTGGAAATGACACTGAGAAGACTACTGAGATCTCCAGCGAGGCCTAGGAAGACATCGTTGCCGATTTCCTGGAGGATTCCGATTATTGCTGGCGGTGTTGCTGATGGAGCGCTCAAAGACGGCAGAGCTAGGTCCGTTATGGCGGGTATACTGTCGGATGGCAGTGCAATGCCAGTTGCCGGGACGATACTTGGCACAGGAATCGATTGAGGGATTGTTGGCAAGGCCGAGACGTATCCATTGGACAGTACTCTGAGCGCACTGGAAAGTTGTGGAAGACCAGAGTTGGCCGGTTGTTTCAGTAAGGAGGCGATGGCTGCCTTGTCAGTGAGTGCAACGATAGTGGGGATGGTGAGCTGCAGATTTGGCGAAGATGCAATCGTAGCTTTCGGCACCCCGGTCACTATCGTGGATGGAAGCTGACCTGAGATCCGAGGAACGATAGAAGGGATACCGGCAATCTGGGGCCGAGCCTGGGTAACGACAAGACCAATGGCGAGGGACAGAGTAATGTGAATCATATTGGCCATGATGATGGGCATTGGACCAGGTAGAATGCTGGGAAGTGGCACATAGTTATTGCAATGAAGACCTTGGCTCCTTCATTCTGCCAAGGTAGCTGAACCTGACATAGCAACATAGCATTCAGTTGTGCTGCAGTAGATGACAAGTTTGGAGTTGAGAAGCCCGCAGAGATGGTGCCTGGATCCGGGGTGACCTAAAAGGGCAACTCCTGGCTTCGGTAGAGGTTTGTGCACATTCCTCGGCAAGTACCTAAGACTACTGGTATCGCGGACGCTTGGCTCCGGAAAAATGACCGTCAAAGCAAAGAGCCGGAACCGTCAAAGGCGCAACGTCGAACATGCTTCTTTCCCGATCGGTGAAGGTCATTCGGAATGAGTCTGCAGACGTCCGAATTCTCGTAGCTACCAGAATCCTCGCGTCTTCGAGAAGCCTCTTCTTTGAAAGCGACGGGCAATCCGAGAGACCTGTAACATTCTTAATATCTGATGGGCAGCAATGTCGCTGTCTACCGTGGTCCGCATGTCGCTGTCACTGATTACTAGTTAAAGTTGCCTTGAACTTGTTAAAATGCCAAGAAGAGACTTCCTGGGTTTGGTTACATGCTTTTCAACATACGATTGCACCGCCTGAGTTAGTCTTGTTCGAGCATTACGATCGCTGGTCTTGGGCGGGGATCATTGGCATCTCAAAGCTTCAGCCTCAAGAAGGTGGTCATGTATGTGGCGTATGATTCCAGGGAATATGACTTGTTACCGCTGTTCGACGTGCAGTACCTAGTTCGATGCAAGAAAAAACGGGTGCCGAACATTCGATGGGTCAAGATCGGTCTCGACCTGCACGCTGAAGATGAGCTGACATACAACGGTCGGAGGAACACTGGCTGGAACGTCCCCTGCTTTATGTCAAAATCCAATCTTGTTCTTCTTCCAGGACATATCGTAGTGTTCGGAAACGCTCTTCATGGGTGGCGTCTTTACCCTATGTACCAGTCCGTAGAGTGGTATTGAAGCTTTCTTTCCAACCAATTCCATTTTATGACCAACCGTTTGTCCACCAAAAGCGAGAGATCTTTCATGCGTAATAGGATTGGATGGTACACGGGTAACTAAAGTCCGGAGTCCTGGAGGTACAGGACAGTATGAACGCGATAGTCGGCCTGCTCGACGTTCGGAACGATCGATGATGCCAATTCTCGCTTGAATTACTGGCCTGAGTCTGTGTTGGGAGGCTGTCGGCCGTGTGTGTTGTCATGCCCGTGACATCGCTACGATTTCCTTGCATCGACAGCAGTTTGACCTCCTCAACGCTGCATCCRCRTGCCTCCACCCAACCGTGAGGTTATGGGAGAAATCGAGCTGAGCGCGTGAGAGGCCTTGACTTGAACTTGTARAACTTCACTGCATCGGTGCCGACAATATCTGTGTCTTTCGTCTCGTTGGTAGTCTAGTAGGGAGCTAGTCACGTGAAGGTCGGGCTGGATGAATGGTGATGTCTCGCTCTTCTTCTCACTTCCGAATCGCTTCAGAAGCAGTGGCTCGATGGGCTTCGCGCCTTGTGTCTTGAGGCACCGATGGCGTATCTCGCTGCGGTCCCCTTCGCAAGTGACCTCCGATAGATGATGCCGCCAAACGACATGGCTGGTGAAGAAGTCGATAGGAAGCGAGAGGGCGGAGAGCATCGTAGTTGGTGTCATAGAAGTTTTGAGATTTGGCCGACAGCGAGGATTCCACACTGTCTTGGCCGGGATGCGGCACTCGCTGCTCACCAGCCTGGAAGTCTGGGTCTCCTCCGTGTTCCTCAGGACTATCATCTTCGCTGAGGGCCAGATTGCTAACGCATCTCGGTGGTGATTTTGATGCTCGCTGGCGGCCTACCAGATTGGCTGAAGTCTTGGTTGAAGTCTTGGTCTCCGCCTCCCTCTTGAACAGCATCTTCTTGGATTGTCTCCCTTACTTGATAGACACGTCTGCTGCTCGAGCCGACTGCAGCGCACTCCCCTTCGTTGTATCACACGAGATCGAGCATTCTGAAATATGTCAGGTAGCTCGAGTGGACAAGGTGTGGGCGAAGTATCCGACAAACAACCGGCTGCTCCCGTGACCAACTTCAGCGGCGACGACTTGTTTGGCATCACTTGGAAGCATCTTGACCTCAACACTCACCATCAACTCACCACATCTGGCCATTGATGCGCGCCTCGCCTGCTGGAACCCCTCCTTCTCCTTGAGAATGGCGGTCTTTAGCAGCATCGAGATTCGTTCTCGCGGAACAACTCTGCCTTCCACTCCCTCAACCAAGCAGCGTTGGCGTCGCCGAAAGTATCTACGGTCCATCAAAGCCGAACGCGATGCATCGCCCGCCAGCAGTTTTGATCGCGTGGCGATGTGGGATGTCCGTCTAGGAAAGTCGACGACGCGAGGGAAAGTGACCAAATCCGAGCCATCGCTGCCTCCATCAGAGAAAATCAAGCGTCAGATACGTCGGGCTCCACGATACTGCACGGCCCCACCACCACCAACCAGCAAAGACTTCGCCGACTACCAGACAAAGAGATTTTTCAGTGCTCATCCAGATTGGAAGTTGGGAATGCCGATTGGAAGTCCATACCCGCCCATGGAAGAGCCCTGGCAGCAAGACTACACGCGTACTACTTCATACCTGCTCAATCCGCAATTCGAATCCGGACGAGTGAGGCCATACGGCGAGAATGCAGGCGAAGCGTCGTCGCTGGGCTTCTTCGCGAAGCTTCCGGTCGAGCTGGTCCAGTGTATCGTCGATTATCTCAAAGACGAGATTCATGTGGCCCTCCCAACCATCAATATTCAGACGCCACAAGAAATCAGACAGCAGCTCACGTCATTCTCCAACGGATGGAGCATTTTTGGCCGGTCTTCCGGCCTCACCGCTGCCAGTAAGGCGCTTCGAAGCGAGGTCGTCACCTATCTCTTCGACAGCCATCCTGCACGACATTACCTGAAGCTGACCTCAACGTATGACGACGAGCCACCAGAGTCAGTGGCACCGTCGACTCTGGATGTCCCACAAGACACCAAATCGCTGTTCGTGTACATTCACGTCATTTACCAGGCCAGGGGATTCACAAATTCCGAGGCCATGGTTAGAAACTTCTGGGACACCACCGGTATCGTCAAACTCCTGACGCGGGCGCTGAACCACCATGCGCCCAATCTCAAGCATCTCGTCGTCCGCTTCCACTTAAACGTCCCTAGTAAAAGGGAATTCGACGTGTCGTGCGAGGGGGATCGCCGGGTTCCGCTGTCGTCTATCCCAAAGAATATCGAAGACCTCGGTATGACGTTTCGTAGATGGGGTAAAGAAACTGCATACGTTTATACCAACACGGTGAGTAAAATTGCTCGTTTGGATGCCACCAATGTCTAATCGTCTTTCAGGGGCCACGCAGTAAGGGTAAGGGGAACCGAATGAAGCTCTATCCTTATCCATACCACCTTGAGCTAGGCGGACAGTACGCGAGCAGACAAATGTATCATGACCAGATAGCCCAGTTTTTCCGGCACAAAAAGTGCTCGCAGGAGTTGATGGATCTGTGGAAGTTTGGGAATCTCAGCCCGTTCAAGCCGCAGCGATGGCGGTGAGTGTGAGAAAGAGCCATAGAAATTCATAGAAGTATAAATCTGGCGGCCCGAACAGCTCTCTTTGTCATCTTCATTCGACTTCGCTAGTGTGGAGGGATCCATATGTCCTTCACTTGATAGTGCCGCCAAGAGAGAGCGGTGACCAAACGAGAGCCAGATCGCTTTTCAAGTTCATCCCTATGACTTGAAAGTCCGAAAAATGTCCCTACTGACGTTGAGCGAGGACGAAGAATACAATACCGAGAGCTACAAATGTGATGGAAATGGCAAAGACCAGTCACTTGCAGGTCTCTCTCTCTTGATTTCAGTGCGACTCTGCTACTGCGGAGGGTTCTGACGGCCAGAAATATACAGCAGATGCCGAGAGCGAGAAGTCGAAACGAAAATATAATTACCGACAAAGTTTTTCATGGCTTGTTGATGCCCACTACCCGCTTCGATCCTCTTAGTCATTCATGTGAAAATCACGGGTATACCCGTCGTTCCCGATGCATCCCGTCCTCCACCCAATCCTCCTTAAGGTGGAAAGCTCTTTGCTATCACCGAGAGTAACATTCCATCAGCCGACACCATCCTCCCAGCAGTGGAAACATCACAAACTTCTCGCCACGCATCTCGTGATGGCTCGCGCGCTCCACCGGCCAAGCCACAGGATGCGGCTTCTCGACAGAGCTGGCAGTCAAACCAAGTGCTACTGCTTCTGGTGAGGACTCGCGAGCGAGGAGTCCTTAACCGCACGGCCGTGCTCAATGCTCAGCCCTACATTCGGTCCACTTTCAATYCCAGCGGATGCCACATAGCGCCAGTCGGAGAAAATCAGGCGGTGCATCCATGAAGTCCTGTGAGTATCTAGCCCTGGAAATACGTATCTCCAACCCCCACGGCCCAAAGAGCCTCTGAGACACAGGCCAAAGGTAATCTATCCTCCTGTACCAATCAACTGGGAGCCTATGATGCCAAGCAGACCACAGCGTTCTTTGTAGCTTTCATCAAGGCCAAGTGTCCATGCCGAAGTCTAGCGTAAGAGCGTCAAGCGTGCTCTTCCAAAGTCACAGCGATGGAGCAGCAAGGTTATCTACTTTGATGGATCGATCCAAAGTCTCCTTCCTCGCCCAGCCCCTACTTGCTCGGAGATCGATATGATATACCAGCATTTCATGGGACGACAGAGGGAGTTGTAGTTGGCAAAGGAGGAACACCATAAAAGCAGACAGACCACCATCTTTGAGGATGAGCGAGAGAAGTTCGCGGCATTCAAGTAGTGCATGGAGGAGATATTCGGAGAGAAATGGCCCGAATACACGACCATCAAGACACAAACTCATGAGCRCATCCCAACCTCTTTCGATCTTCTTGACAAACTGCCTGTTCGGCTTGTCCACGATATCTTCGATCTGCTCAAGGACGATCTGCACGTCGTCCTGCCAACTGTCAATATCCAGTCCAGGGAACAAATCACTGCACTGCCAACCAGCAATTTGGAATGCCACAGTTTCCTCGGGATGGCACCCGTCGTTGATAATGTTACTTAGGTCCGTTAAGCGGTGACTCGGTCACCCAGAGTGAGATGCGAGACCGCGTCGGCGATTACTCCATGCTGAAAAAGGAGTCCCAGGCGCTGGAGTAGCTACGGTGTTGTGAAAACTTGAACGCTCCGGGCTTTGGGAAACTTGCGAGTTGGCGTTTATGAGCGAACGAATATGGTGTGGACGGAAGCAACAATGGAGGCTCGGACAAAGGATGCATGAAAAGGCAAATGCGAGACGAACAAAGGCGGTCTGCATCTGTCGAGGAACGAGCAGCGAAACCATCTTTCCAGGAGACAGGAGATGATGTGGTTACATAGTAATGCCACGACGAACATCACGAGTTCTGTTCTAATCTTCAACAAAGCCTCATCATCCAAGCCTCCTCTATCGTCTTGAACACGGTTCAGAGGTCATTCATGYGCACTGGATGTCTTAGCACTCTCCCCAGGAGCCAACATTAAAAGCTTCTCGACCGGCTGTCTGATCAGATATTGWCCAGATCTAGGTGAATCGAGCTTGTTGGACTCTCCCTGCCGGACACACCTACATCAGCGACGCAGATATAGTCGCAGCAAAGCCTCGAGTCATAGTCATGCCTTTCTACGTGTATCACGGGGAGCAGCATCGAAGTTGTAGAACTAGGTAGTGCGAAGGAAATGAATCTACACAAGTTTAACGTACGGGTACTGCCCGATCCTTCCCCTTGCCCGTGCCCGGGAGCGGAACTCCCGATTCCAAGCCAACAACAATCTCGAGACTGACGCCAACAAATCACCCACATCAACATCTTCCGCACAGCCGCCCACCGAATACCTTCTACCAGCCTCGACTATTAACACTCCGAGGTATTATCCCCTGCCTCCACAGAAGCTCTATTTCTAACCATCCAGGAAAGACACCGACACGCTTGATAGAAATTACGAAATCAAGAACCTCGACAATCTCTCCACAATGGCTGAAGTCAATCAGTCGTCGTTGAGCAAGCCTGCCATGATCTCCCGCTCCACACAGACAATGCCAACAGCAAAGCGCGCTCCAGTCGACATGTTCTCCAAGCTCACACCCGAGCTGCGCTGCCGCATCTACAGCAACCTCGAGATGAAGCGCCCCGCGCACATCCACATGATCGCCTTCCAGTTTGCCGACACGCAGCGCTGGAAGTACCTCTTCGAGGGCTTCGTACGAGGCAGAAACATACCCGCAGGCTATCCATTGCCCGACCTGCGCGGTGAGGAGGTCCACCTCAACAACGGCCACTTCGCACTGCAGTGCTATCGCGCACTCTGTCTGATCAATAAGACCTGCTTCGCCGAGGTACGCCCGCTGTTCTTGGGCGTTCTGCGGTGGAGCATTGAGATTCAGCGCCACCGTGTCTTCTGGCGCAACAAGGACTATGGCTGTTGTTTCTTCGAATCCGATCTCGTATTAGACGAGTTCCCAATCTGTCGCCGGCTGATGCCTTCGTGCATCATGGACCAAATGCGCAACGTGCAAATTACCATCAAGCCGCACGAGTACGCCTATGCGCTGGACCACGAGAAGAGTGATTGGATAGAAGCTCTCACCTACGCCATTGAGGACTCTGGCCACCGCATCCTTGTCAAGGACGATAAGGTCTGCGTCCTTTCGTCATGGCAAGCAATGACCAACGAGCCCGACAAGTTGAGAGGCGATGAGGCGTTGATGAGAGATTGTGTGGTCTCTTACATGAAGTCGAGGACAGAGGTGGCTGCAATGATCATGAACGACGAAGTGGAGTATGAGGCTGCAGTTTGGAATCACGAGTCTTCGGACAAGATCGTTTCTGCAGTCAGTCCCATCCTTGATGACGATGATGAGAAGGCTCTTCGGACTGAGTTGGTGCGTTCATCTTACAATCCTTGAGGGGTTTATGCTAATGTCTTGCAGGACCAAAAGAAGGGAGGCTGGAAGAATCAGCAGACACGTAAAGGCGACTTTGCTGATTACGACTACGTCTTTGACAGCGACTGAGCGAGATCTGATCAGACATGAAGACCTAGCCTCACGGAGCGCATGGAGCGCATTTGCTTTTTAAATACAAATGCGATGATTAGAATCGGACATGCAGGCCTTGCAGTTTGGTAGTTTGGAGCGATGAAGCTCAAAGCGCGGCACACAGAACTACTTCCATGATAGATCTGCTTCACAATGGACCTCCTCTCAGGCGCGCCTGCTCTCCATACCAGGTCAGTTGTCCACGAGATTGTAGGGAGATGAGACCACCCGCAAAAACATCGCCAGATTACTGTGATCATACGAAAGCTCCGCCAATTCATGCGCGGCTCAGGTTCGATGGAGATCCATATCGAAGCACCTACCTTGCTTAGGATTGTACGGCGTGGGATCTACTCGACAACGATTCTAAAGCAAGGCCATACACTGAGCCACAGGTACCGGGGGGACGGGGCTAAATACGACGGTCGAGCGTGGTCACAGGTCATCAACAAAAGAAACCTGGTATGCTCCCGAGTTCCCAGGCGATGTAGTGGACGATGAATCCGGCCGAAAAGGTATGTCTTTGGATGCAAAGCTGATGACACAGTGATAGAGCTCGCTATGTTTGGCTTGATGTCACGATGAGGTTGAAAATGAAGATAATCAGAAAATCTGGCGTAACAAGAAGGCAGATTGTGTATTCGTCTCCATTGCAGAGCATCTTCCGCGAAGATGTACAAAAGAGCCAGTAGAATGCTATGCAGCATCTCCCGCTGCCGCTCAAAGATACGTTGCAAAGCGCTCTAGCACCARGATATATGCCGTTAATAGATCACCACTCAAGCCGCGGCCTTGATGACCAGAGACAGACATCGCAAGTGTATTCGCGCCCCAATCTCTCGACAATGCAGTTCCATCCATCACCTCGCGCAAACCAGGATCGCCTGCGAAATTGCTCCTCCTCTTCGTCTTGATGAGAACGTGGAGGTGAGGACCCCCAAGGTCAGCGATGGTTGGCCAGTAGCCGGCATGGCGAGGAGCCACCAGGTTGATCGTTTGGAACTGGACCAGAAACTTGAAGGGCACGGCGTAGTTCTTGATGACGTGTATCGGTGGATTTCTCAAATCTGCCCGGATGGTGATGTTGTTGCAAGAGATGAAGTCCTGCAAAGCCTCTTCGGCAAGCTGTGAGTTGACTTGGCGGAGGGCGCGGTAAGTAGCCAGTGCTTCGTCCAATTGGAGTTGGTTGAGATGGAAAGTTTGCATATCGCGCACAACACCGTTCTTTGGTGGCATGTTGCCTTGGACTAGGGTGCCAGCGAGAAGGGGCAAGCCGCCGGGAACGTGGAAGAGATGTTGGTAGATCATTGCGCGGATCTCGCGCGGGAGGTTGAAAAGCGTGGGCGTAATGTGGGAGTTGGAAGCTGCCATGATGGTTCTTGTTGGGGGTTGTTAGAAAGAGAGAGCTCTTCAGTCGTGATGGCTTTGTCCTGCAGAAAGTGGGCCAAGACCGATCACTTCAAGAGTGAATATGAGATATTTACTTGGGCCTGTCCGACCGACTCTCCTCTCACTGCTGGAACTGTGGAGTCCGATTCACCCCTCTAAATGGAATCGAGCGCCGTGAGTGACTCTATCGCCCCGCTTGTCAGTAGGAAGCGTCGTATAGGGAGCAATCTTCAAGGGTCTGGTAAGAGTGACTACAGATCCACGTAAAGCGTTGCGCGGGTGTCGATGGTGGGGTTGAAGCTGACGCAAGACGCCGATTGATGTTGATACCGCGTAGGAATGGAGCGATACAGCTACTTCATCGTGGATGAAATGATCCAGATGATCGCGGAATATGTGTCCGAAAGTGGGAAAGGAGAGCAAGGTGGCATGGCAGGTGTGCCTCGCTTCGTATAGCATGACTTCAACGCAATCCTCACCAAGCTCAATATCCAGTCAAAGTCCGGCCGGCAGTGCATCGTGTTGTGCCACCCGAAGGCTAGTGTGGTCTGAGCTGTTCTACTTTTCTCGAAGGGGCACATCATCTTCGCTGGTTCGTCGGTTCCTCGAAGCAGGCCACGCAATCAGAATACATGCGCGCAGGCCGGTAAGATCGCTGGCTGGATCATGTTGTCCTCCATGCAGATCACGCATTCCTCCCTTGACTGCCTCCTAATCAACTCCCTCTCCAGTTGACTGTACTAGAAAGGGTGTGCATCTCCGCCTGCAGTTGATTATATTCGGATGGAATTTCATCCGCAATTAGGAGACGCTGAATGCGCTTCTCGGCAGGCTCGTCATGATCCTCCATTCCTGAGCCTACAGTATGTTGGTTATGAGGTCTGTCAAAGATGGAAGGACTTACTGGAAGTTCGAGACTGTGCTATTCAGGTGGTTCATGCTGCTGGGGAAGAAGCTCTTGAAAGCCTTTCTGGAGTGGGACTCCATGCGTTGAGATATATAATGGTTCAATCGGTATGCTCGGGATATACAAGGAATTGTGGGCGAGTACAGTTGTCGTAGTAGGCGTGGTAGAATACGGAATTGTGGACAGAACAGAGAGGTTATATGCCGATGACATGATTGCTTCGGATGAAGGCTATGCGTGCCACGACAATGGGTGCCCTTTCATTTGATATTTGCTGCTTGCTACGATGATGGAAACAAGCAAACGCTTGCTGGAGTCCGTATGCATGTCGTTTTCTGAAAACTTACAGGGTTGAACGGTTGGCGTTGGGATTGGTTTGTTGGAGAAGCTGGACAGAACAATCAGACAAGTGAAACCGTTTGTATCCGGCAAAGATTTGCTCTGAAGTAGTGTGAGCAGCGTAGTAGAATCCGCGTGAATGAGTTGAGACTGGGACAAGGGAAGAAAAATAGAGCGTCTTTCATTCATGCGAACTAGCTCTGCACAGAATGGGTATTCCATCTTGGAGAACAAGCTGTAGTAGAACATTTCCCCGCGGTGGACACGTTCCATTGCGTAGACACATTCCCCTCGGCAGTCCGCATTGAACGCTTCTTGGAGTGTATAGTGTAAGGTTGCCTGACATGACGAGCGTCAGCAGAGCGGAAGAGCCAGGCCATTGAAAGGTAACTAAGCTCCATCGGCATAGTTCTTGAGCAACTTGATCGCCAGGAAAACCCTCTGCTGATTCCAACGCATACCCTTTGCGGCCGTCCAGAACTCCGCCAGCTGCATCACCCGCGCATCACCGCAGAGCGCCTCACCACCGTCAACTACTCTCTCTGGTCCATTCCCCAGCTTCATCGTCTTGATGAGCAGCTCAAAGTCCGGCCCACCACCCTGCTCCTCCAACTCCCCACTACAACGCCGTATCGTGAAGCGCACACTCGGAATGATCAGGATTGTCTCACGAGGAAGACACATGGAATCCGGTACCTCCCGGTAATGGCGCCAACATTTCCGGCGGATCTCCATCTGTACTTTGTTGATTGTGAAGAACTGCTGTAGGATTTCCTCGGCAAACTCCTTGTTGATGAGTAGGAGGGTCCTCAGAACCTTCAGCTTTTGAAATGCRGCGTGTCCCATTCGTACATCCGCCGTGAACTTGTAAGGAACGGCCGGGTCGGTGGAGGACTCGTGCGCCAACAAGCGCAGGTCTTTGTCCATCTTGAGCAGGTTTGCGGTGATGATGGCGCGTACTTCGCGCGGGAGAGTCATGAGGTTGGCCGTGTCGGGAGATTTCTGCCGAAGCTTGAGGATGACGACAAGCGATTTTGGAGATGACGGGTGCAGCTTCGATTTCCAGAAGAGTTCGATGATGTGCTTGATGAGCATTGCGCCCAACCCGTAAGATAACGTCTTGAGAAAAGGCGCCAGGAAGCCAAGCTTGGCAAATTCGAATGGAAAGAGCATTGTTGCAATGAGAATTGCGGGAGAATGGCGAATGGGATATCGAGAGCAATGGGTTTCTTTGGGCGTGTTGTTGAAGTCGAGGAGTTGAGGCCTGAAGCCCGCGGCGCCAAGGGAGTTTATGAGGTCTGCCTTCGCCGCCTTCGCTGCTAAAACTCGGCCGGGAAATCTTCACTAGATGCTGGTGCCACTTGTTTATGTGTATAGAGGAGGCTGTTGAGTTGATGAGGGCGAGCGAGAGGACTTATAACCCACGGCGAAATGACAGTAGGTCCGCCGCCCGAAGCGAACGATCACCTGCTTCCATCACGGGATGTGTCACTACGATGCATGGTTGTCTCAGCCACGGATCACGTACATTCATTGTTGAACCTAAAGAAGTTGACAGGCGAAGAGAGACAGAGGTTTGCGAACATCGCGAACAAGAGAATGTCTGCCAAAAAGAGGGCGCCGTCCTAGACGACTGCAAACCTCCCCTCTTCCCCTTCTTGCTCGAATTGCTATGAGGAAGCGATCGAGCTGAAAGTAAGRCAGCGTAGTTCAAGGGATGAAACCTTGACCACATTGATCAACGATAGTCTTTATACTACGATGCGGCTGGGTGACCACATCGCAGTGTTTAGAGCTACCGGTGTTTAGGAAGAAGAAGAAGAGGGCGAACAGCGCAGGAAGAAACGCTTTTGATGGAGCTGCACGGGAGGCTAGCGTGGAACGGGAACACGTTGGGCTGACGATACCGCTTGGCAGCGATAGCGGAGGAGAATGGTGCAGGTGGGAGGGAGGGGAGTCACGCAAAAGGTAGAAGATGACACACAGCGAACGACACCGGCAGGTCATTCGCGAAAGCAGGGAGAGAATAGGCCCAAGACAATATAGACAGGCAACGCACTTAGAGGAACACATACATGAGATGAAGGAATAGGAACTGTCTGCTCTCAACCGCCGCAGCGCATCAAGTATACCAACCACGTCAACGAGCAAGCTTCAGCCGGGGCTGCGAGCCATCATCAAATGGGTCAAAGGCAGAGCATCATCATCAAAGACGATGCATTGATCTTCGGCCTGTCTGCTACCACGTGTGGTGGAGTGACTCACACGCGACGATATAGCGACCGTTGTTGATCGAAGAAGAAGAGGAGGGAAGGGCAAGAAGAATTTGGAGTCTGTACTCATCGGGTCTCGATTGGCGATTGGCCACAAGGCTGCAGGGAGTTGTACGCGAGATTGGTGGGATATGGCGGGAGGAGGGCGCTAGGTGGGTAAGTTGAGGCGAGGGCAGGAGTGCTTGCTGAGAAGTAAAGCTGGTACCCGTCAGACTATGCTATGACGATACTGTCTTACAATCGAAGTGGAGCGACATGCGACTGTAAGAATGATGTTCGAAGCTGGCCTGCTTATTGACAAGAAGCAGCTGGTTATGTCCTTCCGGTCCTGTCCAAATGACGTCTAGAGAAGAACGAAGGTTGGCAACGGGCTGTGAATCTATCATTCTGCAAGTAGACCTGAGTTCAGATACTGTAGAAGTCCATGATAGCCACGAAGCCGTGTATGGCGAACATATTTTATCGCGACAAGAGTTCCACCGAACTGTCTACACCGAGAGCATGCAGATGCATCCTACCTGGTATCACCAGTGCCTCTGTCGACGATACATCGTACATCCGGAAACAATCAAGGCACCAGCAGCAGCGATGGTTCAGTGCCTGCCGGCGATCGATAGGATGCTCTGCTTTAGCGTTGCCCGGAGGTGAAGTTCAAGCAACTTTGCGAGCTCTTCGCCGCTTCATCATCAACAGTCTCAGACCACCACCGCCGCTGACGTTTCCTCCGTCGACAACGACAACCCCCCTTCCATCGCGACGATAAAAGCCGTCCACGGCAACAACATCAAGTAGCAAGGTCGACAAGAGCAGCGGACACTCTCAGGAGATACTCCAACAGAAGATACCCACTTCCACACTGCAGAAAAGACCTTGAATGTTGAACCACCGCCGCTTGAACGAGGGATCAGCCGCCAAATCTTCCGTGCTGTTCGACATCGTCTGCGCAACTTCTTCTGCACCTCCGCCACCGAACAACACCCCGGGCCAGCGACTTTCTCCGTGACAGCTTCAGCTCGCTTACATTATCAATGAGCGCTCATTCACCAATAACCACTCTCTCTGCCCCCGTACCATGACCGTCTCACTCGGAACATCTTCTGTGGGCGACGATGCTCAATCAACAGTCTTTTCCTCAACTCCAACAACGAATCATGGTGGCGGCGCCGATCAACCAACGCACTCCCCCTTGGCCACCTCCTTGACAGAAAGTGGCAATCAGCGATGACCACGAGTTCAGCCTGCTTGAGCGACAAGAGCAGGAGAAAGCTGTTACCCGGGTACAATAAGATCGGGCCCACCTGCAGCATCGAAGTCTTCTGCAGTTCACTGCGTCATGGTCTGGTCTCATGATCCCTGCAGCTCCGGCTCGGCGGCCGTCAAAAGACGAAGTCTAATGAGCGAGATGTTCAATCCCGTCCAAGAAGGAGACGACGTTCGGTTCCGAGAGTTGAGAACGAGGTGACCAAGATGGTTACAATGCCAGCAAGCGTCGTTCTCGTCCATCGACGAGCCTGTAATCGCCACATTACAACATGGCACGGCGATAAGTCATACATGCACTTTTCCATCGCTTGGCCTGGGCTTCCTTCACTGCTCCAGAATATCCAGGCTGCGACACTGTGGCACCCTGGCAGCATTTCGGCAGGGTTTACTAGCAGACTTCACCGACTTGAAAGTCCAATAGTCATATGCTACGAGAGTATCTTCACAGAGTGAAAGCACCAGCTCGGGTCGGAAGCGCAAAAGTTGGAAATATTTGGAGCCGAGGCCAACTGAATACGTCAGCACATCATCAAATGCTGCAACCTTGCAAGACTTGATAGCGAGAAAAGTCTGCGGCAAGGTTGCTTGAATCTCCTCGAAGGAGGCTAGAACGCGGTCTTCATCAACCATCGCCACATCTTTGTTGAAGCGCAGAGATGAGTTCGGTACTCCGCAGATGAGCGATCAGAATGGACTCAGGTGATGGAGAAACCGCGCAGGACAAGATCCTTGCAACTAGACTGCTTGAAGAGCACTCGACGAGGACCAGAATGAACGCATGAACAACTCTCGCTGCACTCGCGAAAGGATGATGCTATGTATCGGTCCGTTGCAATTCAAGGAGGACCACACGGACAACTCGCGCGGCATTTGGTGGTGGAGACGACGGCGTGCCTATCGTCCGGCCCGATAAGTGGACCAGTACACGAAGAGAACCAGAATAAACTCATGAACAACTCTCACCGCACTTGGTGGTGAAGACGGCGACCAGCCCATCGTGCCGCAAAAGTGCCAGTGAGCGGTACTGCGGTTGTGAGTATCTCGCGCCGGAAAGTCGCATCAGGTCGAAGGGTGTCTGGAGGGCGCGCAAATGTTCTCCTTATGCATCGCTGCGAGAGTGTCGCTCTCTTGGGTAGCACTCTTCCCGCAATCCGGCCATGGTTCGATTGATCCACCACTCCAGTGAGAACGTCAACAGGCTTCGAACGGCACCGGCCAAAAGTCACATTGCGCCAACATCACTTCCTGATACTGTTCTTCCGGTGCTCAGCGCGCAAATGAACAATACCAGCTGTCTCTACAGCAGGATGCTTCCAACATGACCTTCAACAGCCCGATGAAGCACCGATTGTCCCCGCAGCTGATGCTCGCGGGTCCAAACAGAAACCCGCAACAGAGCTACTGGCCTGACCACATTCAGCAGCATGCCAAGGAGCCTCCAATATACGCACGCACATTGTAACACGGCTCGATGTAAGTCCAGTAATCTCAGAATCACTTGGGTCAGCCGAACCGTCATCAGCCTCCGCCGCAGTACGATCAAATCTTCCAGCGGATCGTGACAGAACGTCCGGCGCGGATAGCCATCCGTCCGAGCACTCCTCTCTTGCGCTTCGAAGAACACCCTCGGCGTGTTGATTGACCACGACATTAAGATGCTACAGTCCGAGGAAGCGCAGGATCACACGGTTGCGCGGGCTCCGATTGTACTACAATGGCTGGTCAGGCGTCGCCTGAAGGCCATGCGATACCGCGCCCGCCAATCACCACACACTCGCACCGAACAAACAAGGTGATGAAAAAAGAAGAGTAACCGCCCGGCACAGTCGTAAAGGAAAAGAGGAAGCGTATCGATGTGGGTGGTGGCTGCATGATAGCGTCAAACAAACTCCACAGGGCAGTCTCCGACGCACAGCAAGAGACGACGATCACCGGGACGACGGCCCCTGATACATGAATGGTCTCATCCCACTTTCTGAACGGCCGAGCGTTCCTGGACTTTCATGGCCTCCCGACAGTAAGTCAGAATGTTGTCCCTTACAATCCTGACGACCCTCTGGAGCTTTTCAGCTTTCAGCGTTGCCGTTCGGAGGTCTTTGAGGTCGCGGGCCATTCAATGGAGGAAATTCATCAGCACTTGTTCGCTATGATTGCGGACGGATTCGGTCGTTGACAATGTTCAACTCCTATTTGAAACACCTTTGAAGCACCTTCAATATCAAGAATCCCGGAAGACTAGGTCTGCTGCCAAATACCCCCAATCGGTATCGCAACGATCAATATCATTGCCGCCACCAATCAGGCTACTAGGCACTCTCTCGTGCTTGGGCCGCTTGCAAAGCATTCTCCCTCAATTCAGCACATGGAGCCTCTTGCACGGTCTGAAGGAAATACGCGCGACGGCTCCTCCAGTGCACGCGACAATCGCACGCTCAACCTGAAATTCTTCTTCTTACTCTGATGTCTCCTCCAGACAGGGTAGGCGCACAATCGCCTCGTATGGATTGCTCCCGAACAACTCGACGCCGGTATGGAGTTGCCGTTGAGAGGCGGGAAGAAGAGTATCGGTTTGCGGTATGAGAGGAGTGAGTACCAGCTGGCTTAGGGCGCGAAGGGATGGGAAGGACTTCAAATTCGAGCGGCTCGATGCAGCCTTTCTGGAAACGATCGCAGTGGGCGCAGAAGAATTCATTGCGGTGAAAGCACCGTCCTTCATGCGGAAGGACATACAAGGTGGCGGATAGGACCCGAGTGACTACAGGCTGGAAAAGTCAGTCTTAAATCTTTGCAATCCCTCTGACAGAYGAGTAAATCCATTTGCAAAGATCGGAAGTACTGTATTGTGGAGCATTGACATCCACCGATGGTCACTCGCGCGATTTTGGGTGATTGTTCACAGCGCGCGCAATCTGTCTTCCTGATTTGCCTACATTTGCTTTTTGCGACCACATGTTTGCGTCCATGGGTTTGCCAAACCAATATCAGAGCTTGCTGACAGTCGATTCTCTGTAGGAGATCATCCATGKGTATCATCGCATTGTTTCTGATTTGAGTGCCACTGCGTGGTGAGCAAACAATCTTTGTACGCTTACAGGCCGCTGCTCTGATATTTGAGGGCGATCAACTCCATGCCCAACCTCAAGGGAATCAAACGTATCACTATAGTGTTCCAACATATAACCGAAACCGAATGCCACTAGAATATACACGCCGTGTTGGGCTCTTCCAACGTTCCTACAATTGCTCTGACTACGAAGATCCCAGGAAGTTACAGCAGGTCTGCATTATATGGAAACACGCGCCAAATTCACCCAGGGCCGCCAGTCTTGGTGAGTGAACTTTGAATCAGGCAGCCACACACATCGGGTGTTGGAGTGACTCTAATGTTCATGGCTGCCTAGAGTGTCTGGGCTATGTTCACTTTTCCGACCTGATGTCCACCAGTCACTCCTGTTCTACAGACCGCGCAGCTATCTATAAACTACAGACTTCCCATATCTTTCTTTTCTTTACGACATCACCATCTGCTCGCATTCTCTCCTTTCCCTTCGCAAAGGCAAGCTCAATTCGACTATACATTCCAAAACAAAGACTAACAACAATCATAGATCTGAGACCCACTTGTTTCCCGGAGTATAGAGGGAAAAGCTTGCCTTCAATACACTTCCAACATGACGAACAGCTGCTCCACGAGTGGCGTCAAAATGAACCTCTCCGCCAAGCCATCAAACACCATCTTCAGCCTTCCCGCCGAGACACGACAGCAGATCTTTGAACTGGCTGTTTCCGCCCCAGAGGGCATTCATCTTCAACTCGTGGACGTTCACAATTGACAAGGTCGCGMGAGATATTCCATCCGCTTCCGCCCTCTGGGAATAACGAATGGAGATTGCCACCCGGTCCTCAACCACGACGGACCCATGAACGACGAAAACCTCGCCCTCGCCACATGGATCTCCTTGCGCTGCAGTCACTCCCAACTCAATGGGGAGACTCTCGCCACACTCTTCCAGGCGAATTCAATCACCATCAGCGCAAAAGACTACACGCGCCGCCGTTTCGCCCGCGATGTTACGCGCGACTTTCCTTTGGCCTACGCGCCCCTTTTCCGCGAGCTCAGCATTCTCGTCCCGCCTTGGATGAATCTTTGGGGCGACACGGACGAATCGATGAGCCTTTGGAGTGGGACCGGAACCCAGCGGTCGAGACTGCAAATCGACATGAAGATCCACGCACCAACGAACACTCCCGAGATCAAGAGCATTCCAAGTGCTTCCGCCAACGATGCTACTCAGGCGTTGACTGATGAACTGGCGAAGACGAAGACCACTGCTGTTTGGGGAGCGGATCTCATGATGGAGATTGTGATCTGTATGCGCGAGCTGGGCGCGCAACGCGATGGTTCTTAGTGTGAGTTATGCAATCTCTTTTGATCAAAAGCCAGAACTAACCACAGAATCTAGGATCATCATGCCAGCTTTGGGAAAAGACGGAAATGTTGCTATATCAGAAAAATCTATTCATCGGCCACCCGAACGGCCTCGTAGTCTAAAGAGATCAAAAAGTCATATCACTTTGAATTGGCGTCACGTTGGTGTCACTGTCTTTCCAGCGTGGGATCTGCTTCTAGCATCGGTGGTGATTGTGACTTGGAGAACAATCGGGCCGCTGGTGTCGTACGTGCCATTCGTTTCCGACCCCTACAACGAATGATTCCTATGAGCGTCATTTCAACATTCTCATGCCCTCCCGGCTGCCGTTCCGTAGCTCTTCCGTCGTTTCAACTCGATTACAGGGAGCTGGTGACAGTCTCTTGGATAGCGGCATTCATTTCGTCCGTCCTGGTCGGTATTCACACGCGGGTGGAAGATACGGCGTGGGAATGATCAAACGATTCACTCGTTAAAGGGGTAGCGGTGCGGGCCGTCCCTTACTCCGGGATCTTGACCCCGCCTACATTACAAGCCATCGCCATCCAGACAAGATTTAAATGTTGACACCAACCACTTCTCCACTAAAACCTGCAAATATGCATCCCGAATCGAATTCTTCGGACTCATCGCCACCTCCCCATAGTGGTGTGCACCTAAAAACATCACAATTGAACATGTCGTGCGCGACATCCAACGGCACTCGACTGCCAAGTGGCTCGCCTCTTCCTTCGCCATCCTCGAGAGCGCGCATCACGCTCCCCCTTCCAACCGAGCTTCGTCTACGCGTCTACGACTATCTTCTGTCGGCGACCCACGTTCACGGCGTTCCAAACCCAATTCCGCACGCCCCGGAGGGCGCTGACGGCTACCACCAGATAGGAATCTTTTGTCGCAAGCCCGCGCACACCTTTCGTTTCTCTCCTGCCATCTTACGCCTCAACAAGACCACGCGGGCCGAGACGGAGCCGGTGCTCTACCGCGACAACGCCTTCGTCATGGTGCAACACAACTGTGGCGCTCTCGAAACTTTGATCCATCAGATGGGAACGCCAATCGTGGCAGATGAGGGGAGAATCACCCCAAAGTTACAGAATTGCTGCGTTCTCCAAGTCGAGATCCGAGACATTGTTGTTCCCGAGTGTAAGACCATTCCGAAAGTTCCAAAGTTCATCATGTTGCTGGACGACCTCCTAAAGCTTTGTCGAGCTTTGCGACTCCTTCATTCCAGCGCATATGCCACGGCGCTGGCAAGAATACCAGGACATCAGAGCGGGTCGCATACGTCCAACGTGGCTCCATGGCCAGGATCTGCGCGTCTCACCATCACCCAGGTTCGAGCTTTCAACGCAAAGCCTCTGTCCTCACAACAAGCCCAGAGGCTATATCTTAACCCATTCCTCGTATGCAATGCGGGCCAGCTTGACATATCACTCGTCAACTTTGATCACTCTTCCAACCATGCCGAAAGCCTCCAGCGCGCTATTGCACCAAAACACGGTCTTTGGGTCAACGCGTGGTCCTGGAAGGTACTGCAAAACACCCACGAGGCCATCGAGGAGATCAAGGTCGCACTCGGCAACAAGCAGTTCGGCATGGCGGAATCTCTTGCATTCGCGCAGACAATGTCCTGGTGGCGAATCTCGGCCCAACTTGACCCTGCGCAAGCTTTGGGAAATCCTCACATAGTGGAGCCACTCTGCCGGTATATGATCCTGCTCATGGACTTGAACACATTTCTAGCGGTTCTTCAACTACGCAAAGGCGGATGGGAAGCCGCGGATCTTTGCCTTGAAAACTTGGAGTGCTTCGGCGAGATGATCTACGACAAGCTCGGGAGTACTTGTCGATATCTAGCTAATATCGACTATCCTGATCCTCTTGTGGACGTGATTGGAGAGTTTCGTCGGCACCCTGGTTATCTGTGGGTCAGGGCAGTCCTCGATCTTTTGAACATCGAGGACGTCAGGTCCGCAAGTGGAATGGACAAGTTGACCAAGGCGGCCGGGAACTTGCGGCTGCTCAATTACACTGATGGGGCTGATTCAAAGTGGGTGGATGATGCTGCTGCTGTCCAAAAGTTACATCTCGATGCCAAGGTGAGTCTGCCCTCGCTCTCAAAACTACCGACGAACACAAACTGACCACTCATAGGACTCATCCCTCCTCGACCTGCCAAAGTACTCGCAGCGTGGCATATTCAACATGCTCAAATTGACAGAGGACTCCATGGTGGAACTGTCACTCACACCAGGCATCTTGGACTATAAGGTGCCGGAGGGGATGATTGGATGGACTGATACGATCCGTCAACGTGCTATTGATAATCAGAAGAAGAACAAGATAGGCCCCTCCATTTGATGCAAGAAGCTTATAACGGATGATCAGTTTCGAGAAGCTTGGGATCCAAGGAAGAACGGCCTCTCCGAGTCTCGGAGGGATGGATTCAGCAAGCGAGTGGGGTGGTTGATACGGTTGGGCCAACRTGTTAGAGCCCGGCGAGAGGACTGAAGACGACTCATGATTCCTTCACAGGGCGGGTCCCGCGGCTAATAGTCCGAAAGTGAATTTGGTCTTGCTTGCCAAGCGTAGACTTTAGTTTCAATCGAGCTTGACAGAACGCAACACCAAAAAGAAGTGCTCTTCGTGTTCCAATCTACAGCTGATCATGCGACACACAAATGTTGCCCAGTATTCAGTATAGAGCGCTGTAGCTTGACGAAGACAAGCCCGACTTTTGTAGAACGTGTTTCCAGAGCTGGGCCACAGACTACATAGTCGTGAAGGCCCTGCCACTAACTCGTATCTTAAAAGTAACATGGAAACTCCTGCCCGATCCTCGCGCTATCATGTCTCTCGCATCTCATGCTCGATGTCTTCCTGGATCGATCGGGCGCAGGAGTATAAGACCGCTCGATGCCACTACCTTGAAATCCTCTGATCGGATCCACCAGATGCCGCCGTTCGCTCAGCTTCTCCTCCCGTGTCTTTTGCTCGTCCAAGGTGTCCTGACGAAGAGCATCGGGCCAACTGCTCAGGCCATCCGATACTGTGTAGTCGGGCATTCAAGACGTCAGCACTAAGTCGAGCTTGAATTGTATCTCTACGTCCGGATTCTGTCGCAAGCTCTTCTGGCGATGGCTTCGAACGTGCTCCCAGACGGTGAGATATTATTATGCAAGAGAACAAATGCATGCCATGCAGGGACATCGGTCTGACGGGCTTGGCATAAATTCTGAAGGTAATTGGCATGTTTCAGGACTCGCTGGAGAACCAGATGAGGAAGACAATAGATAACATTCTATACATTACAAAACTTGCTAGGCGAAGGAATATGCATCAGAATACGGCCTCACCCACCCAAAATCTTCAAGATCGTGGTGAGCTTCCCACACTWTCAATTACAACGACCCATCAGATGAGTCAGAAGACGAAGAAGCATCATCCGCCCCCTCAAGAACATCATCCATGTCCTCGTCATTTAGGTTCTGCTCCAAAGTCTCAAGCAAGCGCKGCGTCTGCTGTCCCAGATTGTAACATGACAAGAGCTACATTCAAAGCCGCTTGCACGGCGTCGATCTGCGGCTGAGTCCACGCCTGCCAGTTGTTTGCCAGATACTGATCGGCCCCACGCGTCCATTGTGCTATAGAAGTATGGTTGATGAGATACCCCCTCTCAGTTTCAAAGTCCTCGGGTGTTCGGATCGAGCGTTGCAGGTAGACAGCAAAGCCAGCGAGGATTTTGGTAACATGTTCGTTCTGATCGCTGTAGGAGGGTGGCGTGAAGATTGCCGAACCTCCCAAAGGCTCGGTAATACCATCGGGGTAAGTTTCGAAACCAAAGACTATCTCTTCTTGGAAGCCCCGCTCGTTCGCTTCTCCAAACAGCTCATGCGGGTGTGCGGCGAATCGTGCGGGAATCTCTTCAGGATCTTGGTCAGCATCGATTCTGGCCTGTCGGATCCTACGCTTGAGCGCTACGACTTGACAATGGTGCGAAAGAAGATGATCCAACGAGACCATGACTTCTTCGGGGAATTGCGAGAACCAGCCGAAGATGGCGAGCTTGCGTGGCATGTAATCGGTTAATTGGCAGGCATTGGCGCAATGTTCACGGAACCGAATCGCAACCGCGGGATCTGCTGCGTCCCATGCCCACATCTTCTGCAAATAATCGCGCTCGAAATTTGCGCCGCTCAAGTGAAAGTCGATAAGGAGGCTTTCCATCATGTGGATGGCTTCCCATCGTAGGTTTTGGTAGTAGTCCTCTTCGTTGTTTAACCACTGTTCGTCCATCTCCTGCTCGCTCTGACGGGGAAAGTAGATGGCTTGAAGAACTTGCCGGGGAACACCGACGAAAAGCATCATGTCGTGAAAGTTGCGAAGGGTTTGCTCGCCATCATATTCGCTCTGCTGAGCAGCGAGAGTCCGAGTCCGATGTAAGAGGACACGAATGGCGTTACTGTTCACGACGGTTACTCCAGGACGACCCGGTTCCGCTGGCATGTCTGGCTCAAGCATACTGGTCGCACGATCATCGACCAACTGTAAAGCTGCACCATCTTCCCCGATGATGTAGCGAGGACGAGGAGGAGCAGTATTGGGTGCCTGCGACTGGACAGCGCGAAACGGTGCTTCATGTATATACTCGCCAGTGCTCCCCATAGAGATGTCAGAATCAGTATCACTGTGGTCGGGAACATTGAGTTGATCCAAGCCACCTAGATCGCCGCCTGATTCGCGTCCCTGGATCGCTTCATGCATGGCAATGATCTCTGCTGGGCTAAGTTCTATTTCCTGGAACTGTTCCGAAAATTCTCTGGCCAGCCGAGCGCGGAATTCCAGTGGAGTCTCGGTTGGGTCGAGACCAAAGCGCCATGGGGCGGAGTCCTCCCACCTACCTGCGGGTAAGAGACCTTCTGCAATGAGTTGAAGCTGTTCCTCTCGCGTGCTAGCCTCGGGTCCGTGATCCCAGCTGTTGTCGCTAGCGTCCGATCCGTTGTCTGAGAAGTGGTTCATTTTGTTGTATAATTTTGCTCGTCCGGCGAGACTCTGGTTTGGATATTGATCAAGGTGGTAAAGAAAGCTGTATAAGGAATGGAAATGTGCAGGAAAGGGAACCGTCCGGCAGAATGTGTGTACGGGCAATGTAAATCGACCGAGGGAAGGACTACACATGAGGCCATGCTTATACTGATCTTCCTAACAAAGTCAGTAGGCATAAAGCAAGTCCTGCTTTGTTGTGGTAAGATTGGCTCAATCGTCAGGCTTTTGGACTTTGAACTTCTGCTCCTCCGCTCGCATTGTCCTCTTTGTCGTTGAATTCGCCACATTTAAGAGATTGGGCTTGGTCTTGCAACGCTGTTCGACCGCTTCGCTCGCATGTGATGTCTATTTTGGTCAATACCAGGGGAAAGCATGATCGAGAGCCAGAACGACAACATCTATGTCAAGTCTTGAATGGTGTCGTGTCCACTGCTCGCACGCATCGTAAGGCACTCTTTTTCCTCTTAACCGTGCCCACAATCTCCTCGATCACATCCACGGTATCCCAACCTTCCATTCCATACTGTCCATTGTTCCCGGAATCTTAGCATCGACATACTCTTCACGCCGCCAAACGATGATCGCGAGCACCCAAATTCAGGCGGATTGAAGACATTTCGTCCAAGAAGCGGAACGGTCAATGCGGCGTCCATTCTCATTGCTCATGATGACAACAATTGGTCTCCTCTGCCGACGTCTTTGTCTGACTGTGCGCGTCGAACATTGTGTATGTGGAAATCTGAGCTTCGGCACCTCGCTTTCGCTTACGGAAGGGGAAAGTCGTGGAGAACGGCTGAAGCATCAGAGAAGATCGGTATGAAGAAGGTGAGATTCATGCTGGTGACCGTGTACTACTACTGGTCGAGCTTGATGAATGCGACTGCAGATCCTTGAAGAGCTCGAGAGATGTGTTGTGACGCACGGACGTAGGAACAATGCAAATTCGCCACTCCATTTCGGAGTAGATTCGACCACAAATTCTCCATGCATCTAGTACTTTCTACTGGAGCTCCATATAGCCTTTAAACAGCATCCCACGGCCAAGACCGTCATACAGCCGATATCAAAGCGGTCTCCGCTCCACTGATGAGGATACGTTTTACTCGCAGCATAAGCTCAGGGGCTAGGGTTAGGGTAGAGCTTTAGGGTTAGGAGTGGTCGGCTACATAGCCCGCTTCAGCCCAATTTGTAGAGAAAGTCAGACGAATAGCTGAAAAGACTCATTCATGTATTAGTACTGCAATTTTGAAACCCTTTGCATACTTCTCAACGTATGCTAGGATGTCCAACGATCAACCCATTTGCCGGTCTCCAAGGGAGTTGTGCTTTCTTCACTAACAATGTGTTCACTGTGTTCACTAATAACTGATTCTTTGCTTGTTGCTCAAGTTCCTCTGTCAACCTTCTTGTGCAATCTTCGACGTTCACGACTACAGGATCGAACTAAACGGCATCGACATCATCGAAGATTTCTTCCCTCTTGAAAGCATCTTCTTTGCAAGTACGTGTACTAATGCACCGTCTTAAGGCCCATTTGTCAGCTGTTACGGCACTGAATGCGTAGGAGCCCTACGGTGAAGTGCTGCAAAGAGCTCAAGTCTGTTAAACGCAGAGTCAGGGAGTACAATACTACCGCTAATGCAAGCCACGCTGTCCATGACGGGGACATTGATTTTAAACGCTGTGAAGGCACTTTGTACAACGGAAAGTATGATAGAAAGATTACAAAGCCGCGTTGATTGATCAAGGGGGAAACTGTTTTTAGAGCTCTTGATTTTGTAGCTTACTAGTAGCCAGACGAACTCAAACACTATCCCAAAGCTCTTACGCATGGACCTCTTGGAAAGAAACGAAATTGATCCAACATCTTACCTGAGTACTCATCCTTGATGAGGATACCACAACAACATGTCTGACGGGTTCTATCACCATGGATTCGTCACATGGCCAGTGATGTCTCGCAACCCCTCGCGTACCCTTAAAGGAAGGGTGCTGTCACAAGTAGCACCAGGCATTGTCCCAGACGTCATGCACGTCGTAACTTTGCCTTCCTCCGAGATTGTGATATCGCCAGGAAACACATCCACAAAGTACCAACTCGGCGCCAGGGAAGGTTGGATCGGTCCCATGCCAAACGCGGGGACGTCTTGATTCCAGAAGCGCTGCGTGAACATGGAGGAGATGAATGACCAAGGCACTCTAGTGACTCTAATATATTTGTCAGTTGGCCAGCGTAGTAGAATCTCCTCGAGTGGAGGTTGATATCCTCTGATAATTCTGGGATCGGGGAACTCTTTCAAAACATTCCCTCCGTCATTCGAACCGGGAAGGAATTCAGCGAGGCCCTGAATGTCAACAATGCCACCGAAAAGGAGTGTCTCCAAATTGAATCCCGCTTCGTTGGAGCAGAGACCCTCAAAGAAGACGTCCTCTTGAGTGGAACGTCGACCATGAGCTCCTCCACTGACAACATGAGCGATCTCGTGGACCAGGGTACGGGCGCAATGAGCTTGGTAAGCCCGAGCGGCATTGCTGTCCCCGTTGTACCTTCTGTGACTGAAAGCCGTCGAGTTCCTGAGGTAGATGTCGGCCTCGCCGCGTGACCCGGTTGAGAATCTGAAGTGCGTGGAATCATCGCCTGTGGCATTGGGTGGCTCCACGATGATCTCGGAAAGCACTGGGTCGAGATCTTTGAGAATCTCTCGGGATCGAACACGCATACTCTCGCTTATGAAAGGCTCTGTTGATCCTGGGTTAGCTATCCTTCTTGCGCAGCGAATCAACCGCTTTGCGTCGAAGTTATGCGTGACGAGGTCGTGCGGATTGATCTCTTGACCTGGTGTTCCGTCATCGTTCATGATGTGTAAACTGCCATCTACCATGGTGGTGATGAAGTATGCTGCGCGGTCGTCTAATAGCATGCGCGAGGCTAGTCTCAGGGCCATATTCAGCTCCCTGTATTCAGCATCGCTGTGACGAAGGAACTTGTATCGATTGAAAAGTGGATGGATATAATTCGGCAAATCTGCGGCAGGCACCACGCCATTGACGTCGTCTACAAGTAATGCGAAAGCAGAGTCTTTGAGTTTGTACAGACTGGGCTGATATATCTTTGTTCTGCCCATGACTGTGGTGTGTTTGAAACTTCAACCGGTGAAGTGTAAGGGAGGCAGGGATATGAATTGTGATGGAAAAAAGAGTGGAATCGTGACGCCCGGCGTCTGGGTAGAAATGACCAGAAGGAAGTAGATTGATTGACGTTCATCACTCGCGGGGAACGTCAAGAACCTTATACGGATCCAAGATCTAACCAATTAGTCTCGTTGTATGTTGCCATAAAGAAGGGAAATGAGCTGATATTGCAGTATGTCACTGACTTTGTTGCACCTATTGTGATCCGCTCAGCGTGAAAGAAGACAGTGGCGGGCCTTTGTTTGTTCAAAGATRAGCCGTTGAAAAGGAGAGAAAATCGTGGACTGAGTGTGTGGTTTCTCTCGATACAAGATGGATGGGCGTGGATTGAGCGTTCGCAGTCCCATTGCCGGGTGGTGGATGATGGAATGGCACAGTCTTTTGTGCCGATGTTCCTGTCAATCCCAGAACTGCGTTCTTCCCGGATGTGTTCCTTTATTCTTCCTCGAAATCTTGACGCTTCTCCTCACCGCTCGCCTTCCGATGCTCGAGTCGAGCCATGATGTTCTTTTGGAAGTCTTCCCTCACCTGTTCCGACATGTTCGATTCCAGAGCACTCGTGACAACTTTCTCCTTCTCCCCCTCCTCGAACACACGCAAGGCCCCGTCTCCGTCGACGAACTCGTCCCCAGCCTGCACGACTTTTGTAAACCAGCTTACTCTCGTCGTGGGTTGAATATGTCCCACCATTCGTGGTATATCATGAGTCCAAAAAGTTTCCATAAACATGGAAGCAGCAAAGGATAGGGGAAGACGAGTCTTCAGCGTCCAGTCGTCACCTTCCCACCGCTGTGAGATCGTTTCATTGGAAAAGTCTCGATAGTTGTCAACCAATTCCTTGGACGGGTAGGCGTGTGAGATCAGGGCAACTTCCTGACAAATATGCCCAGTATACTCCTCAAGCTCGACGGGAAGAACATATCCTCCAAACAATACAATTTCCAAGTCGAAACCAGCTTCGTCGCAACAGCTGTTCTTGWAGAAGACTTCTTCCGTCCGTCTCCCATTGACCGCATGGCTCAAGACATATCCCATCTCGTGAAGTATCGCACGGGCAACATTGTAACGACAAGCTAGCGCAGGGGAGAAAGCTTTGGGTATTGTGGAAGCCCCCGAACGAAAGGTTTCGACAACCTTACAATGGCAGTTCCCCACGAGGGAACTTTTCTAGACCAACACCTGATAGAGGAGTGTTGGCATCATATCCGGAGTGGCCGTTGGAGCCTCCCRTATCGTTTCTGATCTCGAACCTTTTCAAAACGTAAACCGGATCAAGCAGGATCTGTCGAGATCTCTGGGACGCTGCCGCATGGTATCATCGACCGTTTCTGTCCGAGGATAGCGGAGCAGACGTACCGATGGTGTTCTGGGTAATGCGGTTGAACGATCAATCTCAGGAAGCTGCTGTTGCTCTCCTGGAGACTCATCCTCAGCATGCATGGCCAAGATGCAAGCCCCCGTCCGTGGTAGTAACAATCCACTCAACGGCACGGTCGTCTTCCAGTACCGTCAGGCAAGTCTCAGCGGTAATTCCAAGGCACGGTATGCGGCTTGATTGACTTTGTGAAACTTTTCACGGGAGGAGAGAGGATGTATGGCGTTTTGGAGATCGGGTTCAGGTGGCTTTACATCAGGGTCCTCCTTATATCGTCGGAACTATGAGCAGCAGTATCCTTGACATAGGGGATCATAATCATGTATCTCCATCTTTGATATTTGCAGTATCTGAGTCGCATGGTCGTCGAAATCTCCAGAGAATCGTGCAGTATGGGCGCGCATCAAGTTCAGTACAAAGGGTCCCAAAACGTCGAGAAACCTTGGCAGTGTGATGAATCGGCTCCAGCCTGGAAGACGGCATGGCCTCGAGAACAAAGGATTGCTTTGTCTCTCAATCAATAGCAACACGGCATTCCGATCTACGAGGTACAATGTTAGAGAGGTAGCGCTATAGACGATATTCTGCGATGCAGGAATGGGAAGTTGGGGTATCGAACATTGTCGATTCGGTTTCCGACACACCCGATACAGTATCTTCGTTGGAATGCTGATAGCCGTGTATGGTCAAGCAGCTTACTTTATCTAATCTAGCATTAGTTATCGTAATGCTGCTCGCCACTTGTGAAAAGCATTCAAAATGCGATTCAGCCATCATCGTCCGCCCATTTACTTCGACTAGGAGTTTGTTAGCTATCACGGCATCTCCCAGTCAATCCAATTATCTATACATACCGCATTACCATCGATCGCTCCGTCACCGTTCGGCTCAGCGATGTCTTCCTRCACACTCTGACTCTTATCACCAACCACATCGTCGCTGACGGCGTTTTCGGTCTCCTCCGCACCGTTCACCTTGAGTTCTCCCTCCAGCAGATGCATGTCACTGCTTTGCGTGTGCGATGGTGACACAATCAGCAGGGTGCGACAGATTGGACAGAGCCTATCCCGCAACCAGGAGCGAGCCATGGCCTCCGCCTGAAAAATGTGACCGCAGACCGTCTCGCAAGGTCTCGTGATGGGAGAACGAGTGATGGCGCAGTCCTCAGCCAGTCTCTCCTTGCGAAGAGCGTAAGTGGTGTGAGTCGCACTCGCTGCAGGATCGCTGTTGATTGCGAAGGTCGGCAATCGTGACAAGACTTGCTCAATACGACGATTCAGCTCCGCACGCTCTCTCTCCGGCATCGTACGCATCCATTCATCTAATAGAGCACTCGGACTTGTCATGGAGATGCGAGGGTTCGGCGGGATGTTGGAGGTAGTCTGCGCAGTACGAGGGAAGGATGGGCGGTTTGCGCCAGATTGAACCGTGCGAGGGAGAGGAGGTCTGATTGAAGCGCCTTGTTGATTCTGGATCGCGAGGAGCGCACGGAAGGCGCCACTGTTTGTGATGGCCTCAAGACCGAACGAATATCTGGGAGGCGGTGTCCCTGGTGGAGAGACGGCGGCCTGGGTGGCCTGGGTGGCGACGTCTCCTGCAGTAGCTTGGTCTGTAACTGCGGGAGAAGACGATGTTGCTTCATCTTCTTGCACTTCTTGCGCGCGGTTCTCTTCCTCGTTGGTATCCATATCCATGCTACGCTGCTTGTTGTCCCTCGTTGAGAAGCAGTTGTTCAGAGCCGTAGTATGGCTTCGTGCTTGACAGTCCGATGAATGTGGTCCGGGGAGGGAAGAAAAGGCGAGACAGAYTGTGATATGTTGAAGGGAGGATGCAAAGGGAAAGTCGACGGTTCGGGCGATCTGTATGGTTTGCCCGGTCCTCAAAACTCCACTTCTTAGAGTTTAGAGTTTGCCAAGGCTCAGTAAAGATATGTACGGGATCTTAGTCATGCGCAATGCGGAGGAGTCGGGGCTGCGTATTATACGAAGGCTCTCTTACGTCAAGCTGCTACTTTAAGCCTCTCCTCTTCTACTGTTCGCACGGCATTCAGCGCAAACTCGAGATATAAGTCAAAATGGCCCTTTGCTCTCCATGCGGCATCCACTGCTATGCTGTTATGACATTCAGGGGCCTCTGGCTTGGCTGATTTATGTACGTCCACCAGGCTCGCTTGATCAAAACGATTTTCATGCCTTACCTTTTACTTTTACATTATTATCCTGAGGTACCCGCTTCCTCAACATCCCGAGCAACAACAACATCCTGAGCAACAACAACAACAACAACAACCTCACAGCCGTCGACTTGAGGGACTCCGAGGAGGATTGAGAAAGAGTAGTAGCAGGAAGAGGAAGGAAAATTTCAAGGAAAGCAGAGTAAGCGTACATTTACTTTTCCCTTCTACTCGTCCAAGACAGACATACCTACCCATAATGTCGGGAATATTGAAGTCAGAACAGCGCTGGTTATGACCCAGTGGACTCTAAGTGATCGCACATCGAAAACACCATCAGCTCTAGCAAAACTCTCGCAGCGACGAAGCAGTACGATCTTCGGAACCCAGAACCCGAAGGCTCGAGTTGGCGGTGGGAGGTGCGGATGCAACGCCTCTACCGCCTCTCCGGCGTCATCAACGTCGACTTCAACTCTCAGTGCAATGGAACATCGAAGCCATCCTACCATAGGTCGGAAGACCTTGTGCACATTACTACGAGTGTAGGAAGATACCGGAAGGGGAGTCTCCGGGGTGTGATGAAGAATCGCCGATTGGAGTTTTCTAGCTGAACTCGGTGGATTCCAGGTTGTTGGATGGGATGCAGGGTCGATTGGATTGATTGAGGTGCAGATGCCCCAAAATGAAGCTGTTTTCTCTCCATCTCATCAAAATACAGTGTGCTACTTAACGCTTCTGTGAAAGAAAAAGCGTGAATAGGAACACGCTCTACTCCTGGACGACGATTGTGCCTTTTCTTCGACGGAAAGTCAAAAATCGTACGCTTTCCTGCGAGGAAGGTGGCATCAAGCGGAATGTACTCTTTGAAAGACAGCATAAGCTCCTGGCTTAGAGAACATGATGTGCATCCCGCCACATACGCCGGCTACCTGCTTTGCTGCTGCAAACGATCTGGGATGTCTAATGTTTAAGAATGGATCAGGATTCTCATCACCTTCTGCATGCGCTTGTCACCGCAGACAACCATCTTTGCCGGAATGAAGTGGACGAGATGTCCTTGAATCAAGGGTTGGACTATGGTTGCGGCTTTGAGGCGGAGAGAGCTTGAAGAATGGAAAGCATTGTTGTAAAGAGATATTGGAGGAAGAATAGAGTTGCAGCTGTGATTTCGAAGGAGATTCGCTGGTGAGTGGGGCGATGATTTGACGATGTGTGGAAATGTAGGCGAATTGGCTGCCATTGTGAGGAGACAGAGCAGCGGTTTCTGAACCGCCCTTGTCATGTAATGCTGCCATGAGGCAGCATGACGTGTCTGTTTCTGTCGTGAGTTGGCCTGGTAAAAGAATCGCTGTACCCTGCAAAGCTTCCCATATTGCATGAAAAGCGTCCAACAAACCCCGTTGCACTACTTTGATCCCCATTTGTTTCGGATTTCCCATCTGTGGCTGTACAACCAGGATCCATCCATTCAGTTCACTTTGCCGCAGTGATTTCCTTCTCCTCAACATCTCCGATCTTGAAGACAATCTTGCTGACCTTTCTCGCCYCAAAGTCCTTGTAAGCCTGTGGTGCATCTTCCAAACTCATCGTCTTTCCACACAAAAAGGCCACCTTATTCTGCTCTTGCACCAGCACCTCCAGCGCCTCTTCAAAGATGGAGCGAACGGGACATCGACCAAAAGCCATGGTGACATTCTTCCCGTACATCAACAATCCGTTGATCGGCCAGGTTTCCGTGCTACCCATCAAGTCAGTAATCACACTCCTCGTTCGATCTTCAGATCACACTCACTGCACGCCAATACTGCTGATACTTCCCCACGGCCTCAACATATCAAAGCTCAACTGCCAAGCATCCGCATGTCCAACACCTTCAATCACCACATCCGCTCCTCTCCCATCCGTAGCAGCCTTGATCTTCCCAATAGGATCATCATCCAACTTGATCGGAATCGCACCCAACYCCTTCGCCTGCTCCAATCTCTCGTCCACACTATCAATAGCATAGACCGTATCCACCATCGTCAATGCAGATGTGATGGCACAGATTCCCACCGGTCCACAGCCTACACAAACCACCGTAAACTCTTTCTTGTCCCTCGCGGAGAGATTCTTGAGGAAGCGGGCGGCGGCGAAGTAACCCGTGGGGAAAATGTCGGCCATTAAAACGAGCATCTCTTCGGGAATACCCTTGGGAACAGCAACGAATGTGGAGTCCGCGAGTGGACAACGAACATATTCCGCCTGCCCGCCATCAACAGTATTGGCCGGAGCAGAATTGCCAAAGAGTTCGCCTTTGGAGCATCGAGAAGCTTGTCCTCGAACACAATAGTCTATCCCAATCATGGTCAACACAACCTTCAGCCATTCGCAAGCATGGACGTCCACTTACAACAMTCCCCACAAGCGGTATAGAACGGCACAACAACCTTATCCCCAATATTAAACTTGCTCACAGCATCCCCCTTCTCCACAATCTCCCCGACGAATTCATGCCCACAGATGAAATCCGTAGGACATTTCAAATGTCCGCGGTAGAAATGGAGATCGGAGCCGCAGAGAGCTGTGGATGTGACTCGGAGGATTGCGTCGGTGGGGTGTTTGAGGGTTGGCACGGGTCGATCTTCGACGGCTACTTTGTAGGGTTCTTTGAAGACTACGGCTCGCATGGTTTTGGGTGGCATTTTGGGCGGTGGGATGGGGGGTTTGGGGACCTTGATGGAGGACTGGGATGGTTTGGTGGTTTGATTTTGAGGATGATGGTTTAATATTGGTCTGCTTAATCGATGTCATGAGGGGTTGTGCGGGGCTGAGTGGAGGTGGGAGCGATATCGCGGTTGGAAGACTACCGAGGATATATTTTTCATTGTGGTAGTGGTCATATCAGATCTTAATGCGGAAGGATTGAATCAATGCTGTCGAAGATCGATGAATCAAGGTAAACGGTCTGAAGATCACTATGGTGAACACTGAAGACAGTGCTGCTCGGTGTAATGGCGGCACTGATCGGGGGGTGTGTCCCGGATCAAAGATTACCCCGACGATCTCGCAGTCTCGGGAATATGGTCGGGAATAACTGGCTGGCAAAGTCTCCACCACGGGCAGGGTTCCTGACCTTACCTCTTACCCTACCACGCCTTCAACAGGTGAATTGGGCCGTCAATAGCAATACAAGCAAGGAGGCAACCCAACTTATCTTCGCCGCTATTGCTGGAGTCATTTGACCCAAAATTCAGTGCAAAAAGGCAAACGATTGATGAGATGACAATGAGAACAGGGTGTAAAGGACACGGTGAATGAGAGACCAACCGGGAAAAAAATATGCGCTATTCACTGATGTGCAGGTATATGCCCAGTCAACAACTGATTCTGTCCTGTATGGGGGGTGTGTCAGAGTGCAAATATTAGAGCGAGACTGCACAAGTTGGAGCATGGTATAGTATGCAGCACCAAGATGCAAAGCTTCTTGTTGCTCCGTATCTCGGTAATTCCATGGACCCCATAATCTTCTCATCACAGCCCTCGATTGCCGGAGCCGCCGCTACCCGATTCTCATGTTCCCCCCAAACGACATCCCATCCTCAACAGACGTAATGTCCTCCATCGACCCGTTCTGGCTCCTCATCTGCACTGCCCAAGCGCGCGCCACGCCGAGGATCCGGTCAAAAGAGGCTTTGCTTCCACCCGAAACATTCAAGTTCGTAAATCTCGTCTTGCCAGCTCTGTTCCGTGCTTGTATAAACACAATCATATCCACTGCGACATCACAGATGAAAGCTTCCCTGAACACCTTGGGTATGTCCTCCCACCTGCGCGCCTGCTCGTCTCTTCGCTTGAAGACGTCGATACACAGGACTGGCTGACCGTTTTGAAAGCGCCGGTGGACAATCCACGACAACCTGTAGAATTGTGTCCTGTCTTTAAAGAGGGTATACCGAGCGCCAGACGAGTGTATGTGACTGGAATTCTCCAGGTAGGGAAAGGAGTCAATAGGCACGAACATGCCGTTTGGGAGGATTTTGCGGCTCGACGACTCGGTTACTGTGGATGCGGGGTGTTGTTTTCTGAAGACCTTCCGCTGGAGCGATGGGGAGCCGAGCACGGTTTGGTGGAAGGTCTTGCAGGTACGTTGGAGGATGAGGAGATTCTTCGGGGAGATTACGGGGTCGAGGAGGATGGCCTCGAGTAACTCCGGGGTGGTGAAGACCTGCGCGGCGGTGGTTGAGGGAGTTTGGGCGAGCTTCTTGATGGCAGACAACTTGCGGGTGGTCATTTTGGTCATGATGCCGTCGACGATATTGATGGGAGTCTGGGTGTTTGTTTCGATCGATGTGGTTTTCTGCGCGCGGAGATCAAGTCGGGCTGGAGTACTGACTACGGCGTCAGTTCAATGCATGCGAGATGAATCGAGACATCATACCTTAGCGTTCAGATGTAGTTGGAGGATGAGGGGGATCGGAAGATGTTGTTGTTGTTGTTTGGATGGGGAGGTGTACCTCAAGTGGACGGATGTACACGTCAAGGCCAAAACGCGTTACTTTCGGACGCTAGTAGGATTTGAGAATGTCACATGCTCGGGAACATTGGGGATTGTCTTCGACATGGGGGCCGCGTTTCGAGCGGCTGGTAATATTTATACTGATAGCATTTGAACAAGATATACGGCGTTTCCCAGGAACTGTTACATTGTACTTTTAGTATTGTTCTCAAACCTGGGACTGCAGGCCATAATACGCGATAGATGGCGGGAGAGCGCAAGGTCTTCGTAGACGTCGTCCGTTTGACGCGTATGGCTCGACGGAAGAAATAACCGCTTCTACGTAGGGGAACGGTTGGTCACGATAGTGTCTACCTTGCCATGTCTTCGCCGTCACCTGGCGACGGAGTGATGAGAAAAAAGGGGGTGTGCAACGACGGAGGCGACATTGAGGAGACAGATGAAAGGATTTGTGGTCAGGAGGGAGATAGTGAGGAGCAAGTGTACCAAGCGTGAGATCTTAGGCACAAATAAACGTAAATTTGCACGGACATGTGGTACAATGAGAAAGTTTCATCTGCCAAGCTTTTAGGCCACCGTGCGGGCTTTTTATACGCGTTTGCGGCTCGACGCCTTTTCGTGACAACAACAACACAAACTCACACGCTCTTGCTCACAAACATGAGCAACCAAGACAACGAGAACGCTGTTGGACCGCCAGCAGTACACGACGACGAGGAGAGGGAGGAGGAGATGGAGGACGAGGAGATGGAGGAGGACGAGGAGGCGGAGGACGAGGAGGCGGAGGACGAGGAGGCGGAGGAGGGCGAAGGCGGCGATGGCGATGGTGCGGAAGGCGACGACCATTCTGAATCCTCCAGTAAGTTCTTCCATCTTCAATAAACCTCCCTAACGACTAACATACTGTAGGCTCAGGCATGGAGGATCATGACGAGCCTGTCGAGGAGCGTATCCAGCGTCTCTACACTGTGGATGAAATTCCATCCGAATACAATCAACTGCAGGTGGAGATGATCAAGAGGCAGTTAAGGGAGAAATGCGGTATCTGCATGGAGGAAAAGATGATCCAGCCAGCCATATTCCCGGCCTGCGCGCATGTGTTTTGTGGGATTTGCGCTATTAACGCAGTACGAGAATGGGGACGATGTCCTAACTGTGGAGACCATTCGGGTGCTTTTGTGCGGCAGTTGGTGCTGCTCGATCTACCAGAGGAGTAGTATATGAACTGCTCTGAGTGATGTAATGAGAAAAGTTCGGCGGTTTGCAACATACGATTGTCCTTCATCATTGTCCTATCGCTTTCCGCGCAGCCTAACATGATTCCTTTCTGCGTATAGCCGCCCAGTAACGCTGGACTACACGTCTCTTGTACGGAATGCCACCACGAAGGCAGCAAGAGAAGCGCCAATAGCACCGTAGACTTGATGCTGGTGATATCGAACCGCGATCTTCGAGGCGCTGCATGGCTCTCATCGCCAGAAGTGCTGGCCTCACCTAAAGAACGATTTTGTTCGCTCTGCTTTCCATCCCCCCGCGAGCGTCTTCTTGTGCTATGATCAATACAATTGCGTGTCTTCGTGTGCATCGATGAATACAATTGCGCTCGGGCGCGCAAGAGCAGTCATTTTCAGAAGTGCGAGAAGAATCTCCTACCGCGCTTGAGCGCCCTAAAAGCTGGCCATTGGACCTCTTCTAGAATCTCTCAGCTCCTTACTAGCCACAATAGTAAGGTATAGTGCCCTGATGGGTCTGCCTGCAAGTACCATAGCGAGCGGCGAAGTATACGTGGTCACCCGATGCTGGTATCCCTATCTGCCCTGGGCTAGATCATGACGCGTTTCCGTGCTTCAAGCCGCGTCTCTTCGCCTTCACAGCTTTCGTTTCTTGAGACATCAACACTATCCACTCCATCTCCGCCTCGACTTCCGCGCGCCAACTATCACTACGCAACACCTCAGAGAGTCCACTCACACCTTGTGCACCCTCGCAACGAACACTCGCCGCATGCCCCTTTCAAGCCACGAGCCCATCGCCAAGCATGGCCTCCTCCGCGTGCAGCGCTCTCCAGACCCCTGAGCTCCTCGAGCTCATTCTCCTCGACTCAGCCATGAGAACCACCACATTGTCGGCTTTTGAGCGCGTCAACAAAACCTTCAAGATGCCAATCGACACTTCCCCCTCGCTCCAGCGCAAGCTCTTCATGCGCCAACTGCCATGTCCTGCCGAACTCGACCCAACCGACTTCTGGTACAACACCTTCACGGCCAACAACATCATGCTTGTCGAACCAGAAGAAGGAGAACACCGGTCGGTGCGACCTCGAGTCTTTCGCCTTGACAATGACTCCATCTGGCAATTCGAGTTAAATTGGGTCCGGCACTCCGAAACAGATAAGCAGTGGACGGAGGTAAACCCCAGAGCACACTATCAGGCTCTGAGGATCGCTGCCAGTCCGTATCTCAACGTTTCATGGTGCGAGCCGCTCAAGCTTCTATCCGCGTTCTTGAAGATGCATCTTACGGACATCGAGTGCGGCTTCGTCGTCGACATCATGGTTTTCCGCGGCTTCACCGCAAGTAAGTGGAGCAGGATGTGGGCTCCGGCTGTAACGACGGTTGCAGGACTACACGACGCTTACAATCGGTGGGGCCGCGGGGAACTGGAGGAGTGGTATGCCGGGGAGGCGGACGACGAGTGGGACTGGGAGTAGTTCTTCGTTGACGTGGACATGGGAGGAGCGTGCCGGGGATGACAGTTGGGCCGTTGAATAGCGCTGCAAGGATGCGATCGGGAGATGGTGCTGTCGGTGATGTGTGGTTGAGGGAAAAGTGGCAGCTCGTTGTCGGGCGACTTCAGCAGCTTTTACTTTGATTTGTTGAGTGGCGTACTGGAAATACGGACTCCAATGTCTGATTCCCGATGCTCAATCGACATCCTTTCAACAGTCAACATCGCTCCCACTGCACTTTTAACCCACTACTTTGACGCGAGACCATTGTTGGATACTGCTGGGCTGGCATGTTACTTCTACCTAATACCGGACTACGATGTATACTGCAACACCACTCCATGACCATGCTTCGTAAAGACAACGAGAAAGTGAAACTTTGGATAACTCAAGAAGACTTCTCATCGGGACGGCTGCCGTCATTATATAAAGCATGCAATACATCATCTCGCACCAAAAGACCCCTATCAAATCTCCCTAGCCCACTGATTCCGACCCGGCAATCTCAAAAGGTCATCATGAAAAAACGACCCATCAAGTCCCGGAACCCCAGTCAAAACCTGACCCTCCTGAACCGCTCCCGCAGCCCAAAGATCCTGAAATTGCAAGACACTCTTCAGCGTCGTCCCAGCGGGGAAAAACGCATGTGTCTGTCGCATGGGTTCCCCAGGCCCCACTCCTTGCTGAAAATGCACGACATTCGCAATGGGAAGATCAGTGAGATACATATCCAAGATAAGTTCCGGCAGATCCAGCAGATCCGGTGTCGTACCCCCGGGAAAGCGGTAATTGAGTTCACTTCTATATAAGTTGAGAGCCATAAAGGACGTTTCTCCAAAAGGGCTGGGATGAGGATCATGTCGTTCGATATAGTACATTAAAAATGTACGACCGGGCTGCGATGGGATTCGGAATGGCTCTGTGGGATCTCGTTGGAGGAATGGCCAATTGGGAACTGCGGCCGCGGCTTTGAATCTTCCGGGTAGGATGTCCTTTGGAAGGAGACGTTGGGCAAGCCATAATTTTCGGAGCAGTTGTTGTGAACCGTCGATGGTTTCCATGACTCTGTGGCTTGTGCCGTGTAGGCGGAGGAGTTCTTTGGCGCTGAAGCCGTCGTCTAGTAGCGCTGCTTCGAGTAACTCTGTTGTTTGGAGAAACCTTCTCCTTGGCGAGTGCGAGTACATGGCGGGTGAGAATGTGCGTTTTCTCTTGCTGGCTGTATATTGTAAATCTGGTTGAGGACGGGGAACTTGATCGTGAGCTTGAGATGGTAGACATCTTTTCCTCCTGCATCCGCATCCGCATCTGTATCTGCATCTGCATCCGGAATCGGACAAAGAATCATTTTCGCGTCTGTCAAAGGACTCCAGAATTTGGCCTTGATCAAAGAAATCGTAGAATGTACATTCTTTGAAYAATGAATCAGCACGCAGCTGTCCGAGGTCCAAAGGTAGCGAGTACCGACATGTCTTTCGACTTTTCCTGCCTGCTTCACTGCTTCGTTTGGGTAGGAAATGCATAGAAGGTGACATCCAGCATATCTCGATCAACTTTATCGATCAACGTGGTCGATTTACGGCGTACCATGAACCAGAATGAAGCAATCGCCTTGCCCTGCGGCTCTTTCAAGAGGCGGGAGGAAACCATGGTGAATGATTCATTCTCGATAGCGTGCAGTTCAATCGTCACGCCCATTATTGCTATCATGTCCTCCAGCTCTTCCTGTTCTGGAGTCTTTCCGGCAGGGATTCAACTGCGGTCTGTTTCCCGAACCAGCGTGATTCATCATCTCGAGCCCGCCACAAGGTCTCGTGAGCGATGTAGCGTGTTCCAAGAAGGAGGATGTCGCTTTTTCTTGATTACTTCAACGATGGCTGCCCCGATCGCAGCGTCGGTAATCCTTGGATGTGGAGCTCCAAGCACGGATTCGGCATATTGAAGCCTCGTGATTGGCGCCAATGATGTGTTGTTTCTCCTGCAACACTTTCTCGACTGATACGTTGTTTTCGTGGAAGGCCCGCATGCTTCTCTGTACGAGAAGAACCATTCAAGCTGGTTGGCGACGCACCCCACAGCCAAGAGAGGGCCTTTCCAGCAACATGAAGGCATGTGTATATTCATGTTGGAGAGTATAGGTTGGAATAGCCCGCTTGCTAGTCCTGGTCAGCATGATACGGACCCTGCAGCCCACGAAGGCCAAATGTGTACGCGACTATCATACCGCACTTGACTCCACTCCCATTTCCAAGCCTTGACATGACGGATGCCCGCGCCCCGGTATCTTCTCCCACAGTATCTCTCTCGTCATTGTCTTTATCCCCAGGTTCCTTGCCACTCGCACACTCCAGGACTGCCTCCCAATTGCTCATTGGGCCCACGAGACACACTTCCTGGGCTTCCACCTCTACCGTATGTCTCGCCACAAATTCATACGTTGTCTTTGGATGAAGCTCATCGTCGTCGATTTCGAACAGTTCTTCRACGACACTTAAGCAGCTTCGTCGACTAAATGCTTCTCGGCATTGTTCGATTTCGGGCACACGCTTCCCTCAAACTGTTCAATAGAACCCAAGTCCTCGGCACAAGTCTCATCATCAAACCTTCTCTTCACCCACCAGACAATGTATCGTTGTACGGCAGTGTTGGTTTGGCAGTCCCTTGGACCTCGCTACTTGGCGGCGAGCAACATCGCACCAGCTAGCAGAGGTACGATGCTGATATGCGCGACAAACCAGCGATCCTWTCCGATGGCAGAGTAGACGCCGAGACAGGTGGATTGACCATGCGTGCTATTCCAGGGCGCTTCGGGGTCGATGGTGTGCGTTCCTCCAGCACCTTCTTGTCGGCGTTATCGCCTTCGGTCGGGCGGTCAGGCTCTTTCTGATTCTTTTGTATGGCGATGTCTTATTTCAAGGCTGTGGGAGGCCTCGTTCCCACCTTTGCCGGAGGAAGAGGAGGGGGAGGAGGAGGAGGAGGTTGGTTCGTCGAGCGCTTGGTACTTTGCGTGTCCATGCCCATGGCGATGTCGTGGGGCTTTCGCGTTTACGGGGAAGAGATACGGTGCTGTCGGTGCTGTTTGGAGGTTACCTGGAGTGGGAGGGTGCAGCATGAAGCCAAGTCTGGTGTCCCATGTGGAATCAAACGGGATAGTACTGGGTATCCAACAGCAGTTCCTGGTCATCTCCTCGTCCAAGCTGCTTGTACTGAGCGAGAGACATACTGTAAGACTTGCAGAGATAGCCGTATCATCTTCCTCTTCCTGGTTCGGGTGATGTTCTGTAAATGGCAAGCTCGTTCAACCCAGCGATGTTGAAGGCGGGAGATCTGTTGAAACGCTCGTCTTCTCGGTGAGCAACGGTCATCGAATGGTGAAGAGAGGAAAGGACTAGTAATTAAGGCTTCAGTGAAACAAATGCGATCGTTTGCAGTAGAAGAAGCTCATGAGGTGAAGGAGAATGCATGAAACGGACCAGAAGTCTCGCGCGAACAGACCTACGGTGAGATGCCCTCTGAATAGCAAGAGAGGTGCCATGAAGGCCTTGGGTTGTAGGTACCATGAGACACCCTTCAACAACACAGCCCTCATCTTCTTCAACTCATAGCCTTCACCCCTACGAACTAAGGGAGGCACACTAATGGGTCCTCCGCAGATAAGCTACCCGCCGCGCAGCAGGTCCCCGTCACTACCGCCCCACAATAGCGGCCTCTCCCGATCAAACCTCTACCTTACTCACCCCGTGCTGCCGCCGCGCGAGCTGTAGCACGACCGTACACCCCAGCACGCTACAATTCCTTGATCGCACCTAGCGTGCCTCYCCTATAAAAGCCCTCCAACTTTCGCCTCACACCAACTTTCCTTTCCTCATAATGAAAAGGTAAGTGATAATTTTTGGAACCGGCCATTTGGCCACACACACATACATTTTTTCATCGTCACGCTTGCTTTTAGCAGTGTGTTGGAGAAGAGATTCGCTGGCTTGCTTGGTGTTGTTTGTTGTTGTGCGTGGAGTTGTGGAAGACATGTTGAAGGTAGGCGCCGCTGGTGTGTAGGTGGATTGGCGTGCTCCTCGATGCTGCTTTGTTGCTTTTTGCGACGAGAAGATGGAACGGCGTTGATGGAGCTTGCGGTCTGTATTGTGACAAATCCAAGCAGCATGGTCTAGAGCTCATACGGTGCCTGTATTCAACGGCCGATACAGTATTCAAACTTGGACCGTGACGGCTGTCAGAGCGTCGCTCAGAGAGAGACGCGATCTGAGCTTCTGCTGGGAAGATGATCACGATAGTACGAGTACTCCATTCTTCATTCCTCGATGAGACTGCCCTCTCTCGGACCTTTTTCCCATTTGCTCATAAGAAGAGCTCCTCATGAACGGCCGTCAAGTTCTCATCAGGAATTCCACACCGCTCCTGGTGCGCCGGTGCTCTTTGATGACGGTCCTCCCTTTGTAGAAGCACATCAGCCAAGCCTGAAAGCACAAGGCTCAGCATGCACTTCATTTCGCGTCTACTGTTCTCCAGGTCTTGTCAAAGGCTCTTCAGCTCCGAAATACGCCATGGCTCTACTGACCAACAGCATCACAGAAACGCAGCAGTGTCACGACTACTGCTACTCTGCCCGCAGCGCTTCTCCAATCCTCACAGCACGCTCTCCACCAAAGACCTGAGGAGTCCCGCGATATCTCTCAACCTTACCAGGCAGCAAACGTCTCAGCAAAGCACGAAGATGATCTAGGGAATCAAGATTGGCTGGATACACAGCTCGGGCAGCGCCAGGCTGTGCAGCTTGTGCGTGAGCCGTAAGAGTGAGCGTACGGAGTACACAAGCACCGGAAGCAGCTTCAGAGAATGATTACTACAGAACCTCTCATGTTCAAGAGGTTGCGAGAAGCTAGAAGAGTGCTGGTGGAAGTATCCCCAGTTTCCCATCTGTCGCACCTTACACTTCCTCAATTTACCCAGACATTTATTTCATTTTCACATTGTGAGTTCGAGGTCAAGGATTGACGCCGTGGCCAACAGATCGAAATGGCCCCTCGTACGACCCAATCTCCGTCAATTCAATACCTGCGAGAATACTCCTGCCAACCGCACCACAGCCACTTTCCTCCCGGAATCATATCCACTCCCATCCAACCCGTCTGTGAATGCCGCTTTAATCAGCTGGGTACAAGGAGACGATCATCTCCTGGACCTCCACGGAGTCCTCCGCGAGGCTCGCGGTATAGCCACAAAAGCCGAAGGACGGGCCAGCTGACGCGATATCTATCGCTGCTAAGGCCACGGCTTTTCCTTCTCCAGCACTTTCCAGCCATTTGATTCTGAATCGGACAGGAATCGGACAGGTTTCGTGGACAACTTGTGGTGGATCCTATCGCGGCGATTTCGGCTTTGCAAGGGGCGTTCTTGGGCCGCTGTGATGGGAAAGGCTGTGATGACTGTGCTTCCTGGGAGACGTTGTGGGAAGAAGAAAACGGGAGAATATGTTTTTGATTGGAGGGAGGATTTTGAAACTGGAGGAGAGATTCTCTGGCAGGACAATAGAGCGTTGTGCTGGAAATGTGATAGTTGGGCATCTCCTTGCTGAACCTGGGATGGACCAACCTAGAGTAAGTACATGTTCAGATCCATGAGCGAGTCAGCCTTATCGAGAACAGTCTTTGATCGTTACGGGTCCGTGTATTCGACTGTAGCTCGCATTTCACCAAGTCTGTTGGTGCACGTCTCATGAGCTGATCTGGCAAAGAAGCTAGGGTTAAGGTTGGGGTAGTGCCACATCGTCCTTTGCCGCACTCTTTGATGCTATCAAAGGTTCCAGGTAGTACATACCTCCTCTTCTAGCAGAGATCAGAAATCTTAAGACTACCTTTCATAATGGAATACCACGGACCTCACTGACCGTCTCTCTCGGCTTAAACAGCAACTTTGTGAACATAAACATTTCAATTCTTTCCATTCACAACTACTTCCAACGCCCCTCCCTTGACCAACCTCCCCAAACCCCACAACCCCTCTTCCAACCACTCAAAGTCCAAGTCCCTCCAACAACCGATTGTTCCGAACATCATTATCCGAACAATGTCCAAACCTCCCACCAATCACATCCGTACAACGTCCATTCGCCTCATCACCCACACAATCACCCGGAGGTTTCGAGCAGAACAACCCAAGCAAAGGGTTAAGATCATTGACCTGACAGCAAGAATACTCGCCCACACAGCCGTGTTCGGGATCGATGGGGGCTTCGGCTACACAGGGGATATTAGTGAACCGCACTACATGTTTGGGAAGGAGGAGGAGTTGACATACTGATAACGCAGTTGACGACCGCGGGGGTAAGGTCATAACATGCCAAATCAGCGAGCAAAGTGACTGGAGCTGCGCTTCCGGAGAATGTGGCTTGGCAGCAGTGCAGTTGTCCTCCGTCTCTGCATTGCGGGGCTTGATAATCTGGGACGTGGGATAGAGGGAGGGCTTGGGTGAGGTCTTGTACGAGACCTGGTGCTGCTAGAGCTTTGGAGGCGAAGAGCGCGAAGACGCTGGCTGCGAGGGTTGGCTGCATGGTTGTTTTGGTGGAGGGTGTGAGATTTTGGAGAAGAGTGAGGTGTTCCTGTGATCGACGTATATGCAAGCAAGCGATAGTGACAGTGGGAAGTAGCGATAATGACAGTAGCGGTTAGGCGGTTGGAAGTTTGATGCAGAGTTGGGAGGTTCTCTGGGTGTAGCTTAGTAGTTGTGTTCAAAGCATATTTCGCAAATGACAGGAGGCCGTTACGCTAAACCGAATCTTACTGTGACGTCGAAGGACAGAAGGTTGAATATGAAACGTTCTTGGATTCGTTTTCTTCGTTGCATATTTCAGAGGTCAAAGTCGTCGATCGTCATTGAAGAAGTCTTCGATTGAAGGGTTCTTGCGCGGCGGATCATGAGACGGGGGTGGGGATTAGTGCGACTCGTGGGGTTCGAGGCTACGCAATAGGCTTTTTGAAACCGTTTGAAAGCTTCTGGAGGATATGGGACTTTCGACCCTTCTTCTGCGATACGGCTTTTCAACCAGTATTGTGAAGGTGGAGATTTCAGCAAGGCAAACATTCTTTCTTGTCGAGATGATGGGGGGCAAAAAACCAGAGGCAACCACACGATATCCACATGCACGAAATTGATGGTGTGTCGTTGACTCAAGCATACCGGTGCGAAAAAGCCAGTGTGAAGCAGAGTTCAGACCAAGGGATTCAGCCCGAAACCTAGCTGTGTCAGGACGCCACAACGGCTGTGACTCCGGGAGCAATGACTCTCTCTTGGACGGCGTTCATGCCCGACGGGCCGTGGGGTTGTAAGCAACAGTCACGTTATGTAGAAGCTGTGGGAGGAGTTGACCAGTGCAAGAATGTTGGTGTAGTGTTTCCAACACTGGTCTTCGTGCTGTGATGGCACCTTCGAATGGGAAAGCAGTTCCACTTGTTCGTCGTATTCGTAGATATGCTGTCGCTATAAAGGTCCTGGGTATAGAAGAACGCCGCCCCTGTTTGAATATGCAGTCAACATGTCATCATCGCCCCGTCAAAACGCCCATTAATTCCCCCCATTCATTCGCTAACATCACCATCCCTTCTTAGCGCAATCTCATCAGCCTGCAAAGGCGCATCCAAAGGCGAAACGCCCCGATCAGCCATCTCCAACGCCGTCTCACTATCATACGGCCCAGAAATTCTGCCCGCACGATCATGTCTCCTCACAGACCGCCATTTCCCCAAAGGTTCTCCATGAGGACCTCTCCACTCCCGCAGAGTATCACTGTCTACCGTATCGGCCGTCGTGCCGGATGTCTTTGACCAGATTTGATTGACGATGCTCGGGACATGCACGCTCTCGGAGGCGCGGGCGAAGAGTCTGTTGAAGAGGCCGGGCATCATTGGCATGCAGCAGCAGACGATTGAGAGGTAGACTTCTGTCATTCGCCAGAGGGCGATGGGGAAGTAGTCCCAGGAGGGATTTTGGATTTTGCTGACGTTTTTGACGAGGAAGTAGAGTTGGGTTATGCTGACTCCTGTCACTGCGAATCCAATCTTTTTGGGGTTGTGAGCAGGATGGTAGGTGTTGAGGAGGTGATGTTACGTACCATGAATGTTGCAAGCAAGCCTAGTTTTCTGGCTAGATTGAGCTGCAATTGAAGAATGTTACGGACTGGCAGTAAGAGWACCACGACGTCCATGATGATGTTGACAGTCGAGACGGTGTAGAGTTGGGGATTTCTGTTGATGCAGTTCAGGGTGGAAGCCCTGGTTAGGACCTCCCAGATATGACTCGGTGGATTGCCTGGTACTGTTAGAAAAGCTTGACGGGGTTGGGTGATGGACTCACAGATGAAGATGGTTGAGAACTCGAAGCCGATCAAAGCTACGGTGAGGATTGTAAGAGTGATCCAACATGCCCATCGAAAGATGACATCACCATCCTTCCAAATTCGGAGGTAAAGCAGGCAAAAAGAGGCCTTGGTTCCAAAGACTACGGGTGCGTAGAATGTATTTCCGATGTAATACCACTGGGATTTCGTCAGAGGTGAGTCTTACTCGCAGGATATGGACGTACTTGCCATCAAAACACCCTGAATTCTTGGGATGGTCAATCGATAGATGTCTTGACCCAATCCCTCCATGACTGCTTTGTAGACAGCCGTGGTAACGCCAATCAGTGGCAGACAACAGAGGAAGAGAACATAGTCATCAGCACCATATCCGGCTCCTAAGAGTCATCCAAGTCAGTCACATCGGGCTTGGACCATGCCAATATCGTAGAGACTTACCACCAGACCACTGTGATCGCAAAAGTCAGCACTGATCGCAAGCTCCTCATACATACAGACTTACTGTCCCTCTGGCCAAAGCTCTTAGAATCGCGGCAGCAATCGCACATGTAAGCAGAATAGCCCCAACCACAACAATAGTCGGACTCCTGTCCCGTACAGGGTAATGGCAGATATCGGCCTGCGAGGCCTGTGATGCGAATGCTTCGGCAATGTTACATCCACTTGCAAGGATGCAATTTCCCACAGCATCTCTCAACTCGAGATTGTGGCAGACGCATTCCGTGAGGTCCGGACAGTCGAATTGAGGGAAGATGTCAGTGAAGCATTTTGCCTGTGAGTGTCAACATTTGTGTACCCCAGTCCGGCGTCAAACATCGGACTCACAACACATGGAGAAACAACCCCGGCCTGCCGTGGAAGAAGGATGCTTGCATTTCCAGAAGGCGGCGAGGTCAACTCATCGCCAAGAACACGACCGATCGATAGCAAGGCGACAGGTAACAGCAACAACCACAATCTCGCCTGCATTGTTTGCGATTGTCCAAGGAATCCAGTGAGACTTGTCAGGAAGATTGTTGGAACTTCTAATAATGTGCCCTGGTGGTGAAATGCCGCGGGTGATTTTGACTCTGCCGTTGTTCTTCACACACGCCTTTCGGTCGTGAAACATCAGGGCATATGTCATGCACCAAGCCGATCCAGCCAGGTCGGGTCATCACTACAATCTGGATGGTATGATCGGCAATGCACAGCATAGCGCGATGCTTACCGTTTTGGGCCTGCTAGTGGTGATCTTTTCAGCTTCCTGTGGCTAAATGCTCAATCGACAAATTCGAGCCATTGATCGTAGAGCAAGTCGAATCCAATAAGCTAGAGTATCGTGTACAATGAGATCAGCGTGGTTGATGATATTTCTTGGGATCCGCCAAGGATGTGCTGGGCGCAATCAAATATAAGGATAGCGCAGCATACTTTGTTGTGAATCGCTTTCCAGAAGAATGGCCGGATCTAGCCTCTAGCCGGCGCATGGGCGAGCTTCGGGTGGTCTCGATGGTGTTTATAGGAAGAAGATGGTTCAATCCTTCTTGGAATGCACGACTCTGTGGTAATCATCATTGAGCCTAGCGCGATCGGGGGAATATCGCTTCAACGGCCGCTAATGCTGATCGTCGCTGCCCACGAGTCGAGACGTGGCGGACCTCTGATGACAGGGTGACTGTTAAGACACATCTTATTGCATTCTTCGATATAAGGTGCGATCGAACATTGATACCTTTGAGCCTCTGCAATTCTTGCGCAGTGTGGAAACAATCGAAGTCCTCGTCTCCAGATCTACTGTGTTGTGGTTTTGCAGTGACTCCAAGCCATCCACAGGATCCTAGCATCAGAGGTTGCTCGTGGAAGGAGTCGAGCTGAGGTCATGCCATTCTTGAGAGCTTTCCGGAGTCCAACTCCGGCCAGCAGAAGGATGATCCAGGGAATGTATATGCAGGGAGCCGGTCAACGTGGGAGACATCACGGCTCGGACATGATGAAGTTCAGTGGCCTCTGATGCAATTTGAAGTCATAGCCACCGTTCGCTGGTGGACAGGAGTTCTCGCGTCGCTAAGGCCGTGGGACTGGGAGTTTCTGACGACCGACCAATTTAAACTTGACGATGGTCGTTTGGCAGACTCAAGCGCGCTTGATGGAGTCCTTCGCTCAGAGCGGTCTTGGTGGCTGAGCATCTTCATTCAGTGGTCTGAAGACTGTGAGGGATCCGAATGGAATGGACCGCAGTGTGACTCGATATGTTGTCGCAAATGCCTCGGAAGGACGCCATTGTCCCGYGAAGATATTGAAAGGAGTGTTCAGAGGAGCGATGAGTGGCGATTGGAAGGATGATAGGCAGGAGACGGGAGCTTCTGCAAATGGCTTGTCGAAAAGGTCTTGCTAGAACGGCGCTGCAACTGTCTCTCATTCTTTTATCACGTAGCGAATGCTAGAGGAACGACAAGCCTGCTCATGCTGCCTGTCCATGCTGCAAAGTCTGCACTTGCAGGTCCACTTGGTATGAGGTGGCAAGTCAGCCGAGTGCTCTGAGGTTGTCAACGCACATGAAAGCAGCAACTTCACATTCTTCCATCAACGATGTATCGAAAACATCCACCTGCATCCCAAAATCCTCCACACACGACCATGACAGCAGCGCAGATGAAGAAGAAGCAGCGGCAAATGAACGATCAGYTCTCGAAATGTCCAGCCGCCGCATGTCGGTCACGAACTCGTGAACGACGCCAGCGACCGTTTTCACACTCAACAAGGCGGCAACGTCACACGGGCAGTCAACTTCAGTTGAGCCAGCGGCACCTTGCCCTCCTCAACCAACAACAGCATCGATTCCGGGCAACCTTTGACTACATCCGCAGGGATCTGCCGACAGCATTCTCTCAGACAGCATCAAGAATCGCGCCCAAAAGACACCAGCAATCGATACCTTTGGCGGAATCGAAGACGTCGAGCCATCACCAGCAGGCTGCAGGAAGTAGTTCGCCGGTGCTTTTCTTCAGCAATCAGCTCAAGCAGTATCCTTCAACAACATCTCTGGCGTCAGCGACACTTCATTATCGGCAGCAGCAGGCCCATAATTACCCTCCACCGTTGGTTTCAAGCAACGGCATGATTCAGGATCACGCCGCATTGGTAGCATCACTTTCTGCCGGCCAAGCTTGGCATCAGCAGCAGGCCCGAGCATCTCCGTCGGCGCCTTTGCCGACATATCACAAGTTCAATGACTACCTATCAGTAGCCTCACCAACTGTCTGTCGGCATTCGCTTCCGCTCCATCGTTGCGGAGTCGGCTGAAGGACTGTTCTCCATCACCAGTTCTAGCTGCACCACAGCAGCAGGCTGAAATGGAATGACATCGACACCATTCCCCGAGAAGAAGAGGCTTTCGCCGACGACCGCATCTCGGTCTCGGAAGAAGCAGAGACATTCGGCACAGTTCCCTGAGGAGCAAGTGGCGTTTGCCGACGACGACTGCATCTCATTGTCGAAAGAGTCAGAGACTTACATCCTCGAAGATGCGGAGGGCATCGAGGGGGAGTGGCTACAAGGCCCACCAGTGGGTGGCCTGTGGGCAGCGGCTGGCATTTCAATGGACCAGCCTCAGAAGCTTTGTGATGCGAACGAGTACCGAGACGTGTCTTCAAACGCACGACTCTCTCTCTGTCCGGAGAAGACAACGACGTTGCACTTCCGGACAACTGCAGCAGCTCATTTTGCAGAAAACAGCAACTGGACATCTTCACCGCAGTACGTCACAAGCGAAGACCTCTCGTCACCGGGTCACATGCCGAGGAACGGCTACCGGTACACGAGTATATCCTCGAGTGTCTTTCGATAATGATGACAGCCAACGGCCAATTATCCACAGACTCCTTCGGCGCCGCCTCGTCAGTAATCGAAGAGACGGGCTTCGGGCCGCCACAATGTACGCCCGATCCTTGCGAATCAAAGTGCAACCGTGGCGGTGCGATCAACCAATAGARCCCAGGATGGCTGCATCCCGAGGGACGATAGAGCCAGAGCCCWGGTACTAGGTGGAAGACCTTGCGAACTGTTCAACAGAGTGGTTGAGACGTTTTCCCCCGTAAAAGCTGTTCACCCACCCGAATACGCAGGAGTCGTCTGTCACGCGAAGATATCAAGCCCATTCGGGGCCCGGGACACGAAGATATCAAGCCCATGTGGCCCGGCACACGAAGATATCAAGCCCATCGGGGCGCCCGGTAGACTTGCTACTCTGAGTGTGAGCTTGAGAGTCAGAGGAAGTCGCCTTGGGGAATTCGGTTGTGGCAATTGGATCGTGTGAACTTACACCTCTGCCCTCTGCCCATGGGTGATGTCAACATCGAGTACCAGGGTCAAGACAACCAAGAAGGCCTTTCGCTCGCTGTTGCAGCCAAGATCGAGTACGCCAAGATTGAGGAGATGATCAAGAAGGCCGTGGGAGACCCACGATTGGAGCAGAAATCTCAAGAGTCGTCCTGTCGCTCCTGCAGATCTTCAACAAAGTCTTCTAAATGACCGAGTTTGACCAACTTTCCGGCCCTTGGTGGTCGTTGCCGACCTCCCTGGGCCAGTCCGAAGGCCCCACTGAGCCATTCAATCGGTAGTAGCGAAAGACACGTACGAGCTGCACATCTACGGCGTTTGGGAATGTCTGCAGCATCGCCGAGAAGTATACCTTTGTTCTGGAAGTAATCTCTGTGGTTTGACGAGTGGTACAACCACCAACCACACGTCAAGCACTTCAACTTCCGCGATTACGAACAGCTCATCCTTCCCACGATGACTTTCGATAGCGTCACAGCCTTCTCCCACACCACAAGGTACCTCGCCTACAGGTCCAACGGAGCCATCAGCGAGACCAAGCCAGCGGATTTTCACCCTGACAACGCCGACGATGTCTTCACAGACCCGACGGCGCTGGGCGGGCCTGACGAGTGGTACAAGGGTGCGCCCATCGGCGTGGGGCTTAATGCTCCACGCCGGAGGGCGTACCTGGACTGCCACTTGTCAAGCTCGCCGGGTCTCTTCGACAAACTCTGCTCACAATCGACTTGCCGGCCACAGCGGCTTCCAGGATCGGTCTGGTCAACTCCCAGCAACACGTCCGACCCGAATGATGCATCACTGCTGGAAAAGCCATCACCTGTTTTTCGAGATGCTACGATTGTACGCTCCGTGGGCCTCCTTGCTCATTGTCGTATACGCCTCCACCCAGAGAGGAAGCCAATATTCCAAGAGCCGGCGAATCCGACTGCCAATAGTCAAAGTAACAACACTTGAGCATTCTTTCTGCATGTCCAGACGCCATCTCTCGCTGCTGGAACGGGCTGTTACATCGCAAACATGGTAGTGGTTTCACCGACGCAGTCAGAAGACAGACTTTCTYTCCAATCTCAAGCAGCTCGCTCAAGAGCTTGCAACGCGCCTCTCGTGCAGCCGCCGAGGACATGATCCGACTCTGCCTTTCCTGGCGCTTGGATGGTCATGATACCCGGCATGAAGTGCGACGCCAACTCAGCCAAGAAAAAACGTGAACTTCTCCGGGCGCAGAGAGATGTGTATCTCACCAGCCTCAAAAGCCAACCGTCTCCGCCGCAGTCCACACCCAGCGCCACCGACATGATAAGGTGGTCCAGCAGTCTCCTCCTGCCAGCAGCCAGCAACAGCGAGCAGATCTCCAACACATGAGGTATACTGCACAAGCCGAAGGCTTCTCGTTCCACCTCGACCATGACAAGCTTGCAGACGGACATTGAGAGGAACGGATAGCTTTAGCTATGCTCAAATCAATAGCGAAGGCGGAGAGCAGCTCGACAGTCCGAAAAGTCGAGGTAGGATCAAGTCATTGCTCTGGATGATACTGAGGACGCAGGTGCCTGGAACGAAGAGCTGGAAGCTTCGGACCAACGAAAGAGATGGGCCGAGCTTGCTGCCACTCTTGTCCATCATCGAAAAGATCTGCAGCCATGTGCTGAAAGGCTCTTCCGCGCAGGCTCCAGCAGCTGGGACATCTGCTCAGGTGTCGTGGGTAGCATGCCGTTTGAGGGATTCGTTGCTGGCCTTGCATGGACCGGATTTGAGGAAGTGAGACAAATGCTGGATAGGAATCGTAAGAGCACGGAATCGGGGCTGGCAGGGCTCGAAGGAGCAGAGAAAGGGAAGAGGGCATGGATACGCATACACTCAGGATGCGAGGCAAAGAGGGAGGAGTGTCGGGGAAGAACAGTTGCAGGTGGTAGTGCGGTACAAAAGAATGACTTTTAGCACGTTTTATTGATCTCTTGCGTTCTCCACGGCGAGATATCGACCATACGAGTACTACTGTGAGATTTATGATAGTATTGCTTCACCTTTCCCACTTGTCCTGAACCTCTTGGTGCCGTACACAGAAAGGAGCTCCAGCATGAATGAAGACAGTCCAGCCCCGGATTCGATCTCAGCTGCAAAAGTCATGCAGTTTACGGTCTTCGAATGGCTTTCTAGTGTACTCTCATGGTTTCCCGAACGGCTGTTCGTGTAGCAAAACGCACATCGATCTCTAACTCAAGTTCCCGGCGCATACCTTCGTTCGGTGCTAGTTCAACTTGTTTCCGTAGACGCTGACTGCAATCCCGATTGTTGCAAAGTCTCGAGGAGATTCAATCGGCCTTGACGGTAGAACCTTGAAGAAATATGTTTTGCATCGATTCACTTAAGGTTGAAGGACTCTAGCATACGCAAAGTCTGTGTGGCTGAGAACTGCATGAAGGATGACAAGAGGGGTTTAGGAATCCACGGTCGACTTGAACTCGCGAATGGAAGGATCATGAGCTCAGATTTCCTCGACAGTGCAAGCATCCGTATCAAGATGTCTTACCTTGTGACAATCGTTTCCGAGAACGGCACCACTTTCGATGGAAGCATGCACGTTTGGCCCCTAAGTCAGCATTGATACCCGTACTATCGAGCGGAGATATCGACATGACTGATCGCTGTACGCGACGACATTCCGTTGTTAAGGGTGGAAAGCAACCGCGATGAAGAAGGTCGGTTGAAGTGATACTGCTTTAGACAGATCTCAACTGGAGGAGATTTTACGACGGATTGCCATTGGAAGCGCGAAGATATACGCAGTTGCGAAATCATTGCGGGGAAGAAAGCTTTGGAACGTCTATCAGCACCAAGTCGGCCGATCTCAGGATTACTCGCCGAGACTGAACTCTTCGGGGCTACTCTTGTATCATTTCAGAGTCTCGCTTTCTGTATGGTAGTCTGTTATGCGGCTCTTGTGATCTGTTCTATCAGCAGAGCCACGGATGTCAGTAATGGAGAAAGCTGCTGAGGTTTCCGATCTCGGTCATTTTTTCATGAGTTTCATACAGTGGAAGTTGACATCCTCAGTCATACCCATAGTACCTTCATGCATCGCTCTCTGCAGACTCGAGGAGTCTAGTACCGCTAGAACTGCCGCTACTAGCAGAGTTGCCCGTTGATCAGTTGAGAGGAGGAGTAGAGGCGCTGTTTTTGTTAATGACTTCTCGTATTGGCAGCTCTGCATTTTAGAGCATCGCTTCCTGTATTGGCAGCTCTACAATCTGGAGCATCGCTTCCCGACAGTCATCCATCTTGGAGCTTCTAGTATCCCCTCCACCAGTAGAGTCACCCGTTCATTGATGGAGAGAGCTGCTGAGGACTTCAATCTTCGTCATAACTTTTCACATCGACTGCTCTGATCAGTACCGTTATAAGCATCAAGTGTGAAAGAGGGAAGGTAGTCAAAAGTACTTTGATTCCATCTTTGTGTCTGTATCTGGCTTTACCTTCCAAGCCTACCTCCGAAAGCGCCGAAGAAGAGCATCTTTGACATACTGAAACGTATAGCGACCAGTCCGGTCTTTCCACTTCTCCACCAACGGCTGCGACTCGATATTCTCGATTTCCACCTCCATAAGCTCCTCCAACCACATCAAGATCTCCCCCACAGTCCCGTTGATTGGCAACGTGTCCCTGATAATGCACACGTGCCCGCGATCGGATTTCCTTCGTGTCGTCACTTGCAGTTCATCCAGAAAGATTGTCTGCTTGATAATCTCAAAGCGCCATTTCCGATCCTTGACGGTGATTGACCAAGTCCCCTCCATCTTGAATTTGCTCAGCAAGGTCTTTTCCAAACTGCTGCCGCCGTCCTGACGCCATCCTCTAGCATTCCAGGAATCAATCTTCTTCATCTCAAGATTGAGGATGATCTCGTCATATTTCGGATCCCACGTCGCCTCTCCATAGATCGAGAAGATCTTGAAGACGTGGTTCTCCCCAATAAGCGGCCGTGATGCATTCCATTGGCGCTTGTTGAGACGTAGGTCCCAGTCCCAGTTGGTGATGCCGGAGAAAGGATTTTGAGTGATGAGGCGAAGAGGGAAGGCACTGGTGATGTACCATTCGCAATTTCTTGGGCCGAGGAGCCCGTATGGTTCTTTTCCATTCAGGTGGAGATTCAATCCCAGCGGGAGGCGAGGAGGAGGTGCCCACTCGGTCCAAGGACGGACCTCAGCTGGGAGATGCTGTCGGAGAAGCAGGCGAGGGAAGCCTGGGGCGGTGTTGATGGTGAGGTCGAAATGCTTGCAAATGCGCATTGCGCGAGTGAGGTCGCGAGGGCCCAGATTCTTGAGGATCTGCTCGAGCAGCTCCTGAGTCCCAAGGACCCTCTTTGCTGCATGGTCGCCTTGTGCTGCTGGTGGATCTGAGGTCGCCATGGTGGTGGTGGTGGGATGTAGATTGGAAGTGGTGATGTTGTCGGTGGAAGGTGGGAAAGGAAGCTTGGCGTTGGTCAGCTAGCTCACTGGACCCCTTTTGAGTGATCTCGAAAGGTCTCTCCACGATCTCTGGTATCCCACACTTTGACCTCTGCAGTGCAGAGTCTACACTATCGTACCAGCCCTGGAGAGTTATCTTGCCCATGGTCTACCTCCTCATATTGCTCGAGACGGAATCAGAGACATGCTCGGCCCCATTATCCTCTTGCAGCTAAGTCTCCGCTTGCTGCGAGGCGCGTAAACTACCTTCCAACGCGTGGTGCAAAGAGAGCCGCCTTCGAGCAAGGAGCGGTGCAATTCAGACACAATGAACGCACCGGGAGGTCGCTGCACCAGAGATCAAGAAAGGAACCGAGGATGACCTGCATGTTGGAATCCGAGGTGGCTCCGCTGCTGGAGTCGGTCCACGACGACCAGGGCCACTTCCATGCGGATATCACGATGAAGAAGCTTAGTGAAGTTTGGTGACCCTATATGGCAAGCGATGAACGAGCATACATCTTAGCTTACATTTAATGCGCAAGAGACGCGAACCGAACGAGAAGTCAACCGCAGATGCCTGCCACAGTCGCCTCTCCATGGCCGCTGTTCGGGATGGATTAGGTGGAACCTTTCCCTAAACCTCACGAGAGAATCGCCACATTCTCCATCTGATCGCATCCTGCCCGGACATGATGCCAACCCATTCGTCGACGCGGTACTCCTCCACACGGCTGTTGGTCTGTTCACCACCCTCGGAGCGCTCAACTTCAAGCCGCCCGTCTCCACCCGATATGTTGTATTCCTTTCCCGCCGTCCCAGGCCGATTGAGTTACCGACAGTGGACCAATATTGGGTCCCTGTGAGCCTGAGCTTGAGCCCGAAGTGGAAACAAAGCTCGGCTGGCGCTTAAGCGAGCGAGGTGTACAAGCATGGAGGGTGTCATCCCTACGGTCCCGGCTCACGAGGTTTGCTCAGTGAGACGAGGCACCTTATTCTACGTCCATACCACCTTGACGCCTTGCAATCTGCAGTATCGAAAACACAAGCGCTCAGTCTCTCAATGAGAAGCGTAGCGAGGGCGCTGCCTTTTTCGGCAGGCTCGACAGCTCCACTCCTTGCAAGTCTTCCTGGAATTTGCTGACGGCGGATACTTCATTGGCAGTACGAGACGATTTCAAGAACTACAAACCATGTGGATGGAGTCGGAGGTCACGATGAATCGATCGGTCTGGAGGCCGCAAGTCTTTACGCCAGCCGTCCAAGATGTCTTGGACGAGAAGAAGAATGACCCACCTGCTTACTCCTACCACCGAATCCCAACATATGAGCCTTTCATGTAAGTTTCCAAGTCAACGAATTGGCAGCCAAGTCGAATATAGAGTCGAATACCCGTCAGCTCATTGGGAGACTTGCGTCGTTCCTCGCTTTTGTCTGGCTCGCGAGCTGCAGTCCACAGCGACTCGAGGACAACGGTACAGATGGTTTGTTCTATTGCCGGCTACGCCTTCACAATCAATGAAGGTACGGCTCAGTTTCGCATGGAGGCATGATCGGTCTGATTGATGCTGCTCAGAGGACGTCTGAGCTTTTGAGTTGAATGTCGTTTACAAGATCGTGCGAGTTTTGATGGCGCAAAGCCTGGATGGCTGAAGGCCTGGATGAGGGACAATGTTTTGATAGTGGAGGGTGTTCTTCAGAGCTCATGAACTGTACCCGCTTTGATGTACCCAGCAGATCGCAGGGATATCTTGTATTCGCCATCGTAGACTGAGGTACGCCTTTTTGAAATGAAGAAACGATTTGATCGGGGTTGAGGCAGAACAAGGAAAAAGATTTGGCACCGTCGAATGATCTTAGCACAAACACTCAGCAAACAGGTTGTAAACAGGGCAGCTTAGAATGTCTGTACTAGGGTCTGAGGCGTAAAAGTCGAGCCAGCTCTCATCACATCGGACTGCTCTTTTGAGCTCGTCTATTTTCTTAAGTTGCGTACCCCAGGAAGCTAGAGACGCCTTTGTAAGATCTGCAAGGCACAAAGAAGGTTGATTGCAAGTGGTCGACTGTGATAGTTTTCTCCCTTGCTCAGATATCCTTTCCGCTCAACTTTTGACCCACCATCCCTCAAATCATCGGCTTGTATCGTACCATCATAGAGCCGGCCGAGTTTCCCATATACCTACTGGACTTCAGTATATCGACCAACAAACATCCCGGATCCTAGTTCCAGCCCGGCACACGATACATCTTCAAAGTTTCTCTCCAATCCCCGTGGTCATAGTACGTCAGTTCCGTACAACCTTTGCTCTCTCTCAAACAGTACGCCTCCAGAACCGCCAGCATCTCCCTCAAAGTCCCAGCAACTGGAACCTGATGTGCCGCCAGCTTCCCATGCATCTCGCGCGAAGGCAACCACTCCGACAATACGAAACATTGCTTATCCCCCTCGGTGTAATCATTTGTGTACTTCCGGTCAGTATTCTTCCCCTCGACGTAATCCGACCGTCCCTTCCAGCCAAGCTTATCCGCCTCGATACCGGTCTTGGAATACAATCTGAAGGTCCATTCAGAGTGCTTACTGGTAGTAGGTTCGCGGAAAACAACGTTGGCGTGGAATCTGCCGCAACCTGGAGAAGGGAACATGAGCATGTCAAGACGGGAGTCGTCTGGAAGATATGTGGCAATGACAGGTCCCTCGCGGGGTCTAGCCATTGACTTGTGGGCATGCTTATCCTTGAGCAACAACTCGATGAAGAGAGCTGGTCCGTATGCGTCAATCCATACATTGTACCATAAATGGTACCTCTCTCTCCTCCGCAGGGACGTCTGGGTCAGGAGGAAGTCGACTTGCGCGCCGGGTATGATGACATTGCGCGCGGAGCCGTCCTTGGCCGTCAACATGTCTTTGAGCCAAGGCGCCCACTCATCTTCTCCGGTGAGAGAGGGTACCTGGAGCTTGTTGACGGCTAGCTGCATGGCAGAGCTGGACTTGTTGTCGGTGGTGGCAGCTTTCCATTGCTTACAGACGCGTTGAAGCTGGTAAAGCTGCGCGGTGCTGAAGTGGGAGAAGATCTGGTCCTGCAGCTCTTGGATCGCGAACGTCTCCTTTGCTTTGATTCCGTCACCTGTGTTGAATAGGGCATCGCGTCTCTTCTCAAAAAGCCAGYGCGCGTATCTGCGGTATCGTTAGCTGAACATGTTCAGGAGCCTCTTGCTGGTGGAAGACATACCCGCTTTGGTCCTCCGGCCACTCCTTCCGCTTGTACTCACTGATGATGAATCTGAAGACCATCATGCCGGATACAGCAATGCCCACGATGAGGACGCAGACGATGTGGAGGCAGATAGCCAAGACGCTGGCGAAGAGCGACATCGTGTCCCTGAGGACTTTCCCCGACATGGAAGGAAGCATTGGTGGGTTCGAGTGTTGTGAGCTTCGCTGAGGTCGACGTTGCACTGGTGTCAGAGGACGGAAGATCTGCTTTCGAGATCGATGTTTTGATGTTCTTCGGTACGGGGTGCGGGACGTTCCGACGTTCATCACATGAAAGGTCCGTGCTTCCAAAACTCGAGGTTTTGAAAGTAGTACATCTTCAACACCCGAGATCGTCTTCTACAACACGTCACGACACAACATCTTCCCGCCACCCCTTTGACTCGACAACAACGAGTTCAGCCACGCCAGCTACGCAACCACCCTTCAAATCTCGCACTACTGGATCCTCATCGATCCATTTCGAAGCATCAGTCCACGATACAGCCGAGTCGCGTCGCTCGTTCGCAATGGTCGGAAGATATACGCGTATGAGTCTCGACGGTGGCGAGAATCCGATTGAGGGAGAGATCAGGCACCTCGTCGACAAGCTCGACAGCATCATCGAGGAAGTGGATGAGGCTGAGGACGCTGCGAGCAAGGCTGCCGCGCGATACGCCGAGAAGGTCAACAGCGCTAGTAGAGACGCGAGTACCATCTACCAGAAGATCGATGTAAGTGTGATCATGAGAGTCGCGTTGATTCATGACTAACCATCGCGCAGGAACTCAGAGACCAACAAGTGCAGGGCATGAGTTACTTGGACCGCGCCGGATGGATCGCCAGCAAGCCCGCACCAGTAGCCCCACAGGAGGTGCAGGCTGAGCTTTTGGAGTGTAGAGACGATTCACCAAGGTCCAACGAAGAGGCTCTGATCGCCAAGGGGCTTTTTCAAGCTGGCAACACGGTGATTGGGGCCCGCCGAAATCGCCCGTCTAGTCATCACGGCACTAGAAACGCGAATGATCTCCGTGAATACAACCAAGCGCACCYGAGGTACATTGGACACCCCAATGTCACCAAACCTAACAGACCCTCCGACCGCCTCGAAAGTGGTCGTGCGCAGATCGAAAGGATGCAACGCCAGAGCGACGCGCCGATACCTCCCGAGATCGCACTTCCTATTCGGAAGTCAGCGGAGGGCAGCCGTGCCGACAAGAAGGGCACAGATCACAAAGATCCCAATGTCAAAAAGGGCGAGAAGCATGAGAATATCTCGCGTGACGAGGCTTCGGCGGCTTCGAATGGCGTGAGAGAGCAGATGGCTCGTAAGCGCGAGAAGAGAAGGCAGAAAGCTTCCAGGCGCGCTCTGAGAAATGCGACATTCGTCGACTTGACTCCGGCGCATCAGGCTGGAGGCAAGGCCACGGCGCAGAAGTCAAACCCAGGTGCAATTGCCAACGATGAGAGTGACCGTCCCGTGAACGATGAGACTGACGGTCCCGTGGGCGGCTTCACGTTCAATAACCTGCCGATTCGAAACGCTAGGGATGCAGTCTAGCGTATGATGAAATGGGGTGGAACTGTGCATCGCAATACACGACTGCGACTCGGGGGGACAGGAGGAACGACTGATGGTGAATCCAAAGCGTAGCGGCAGGGCGAGGGAATGACAGGATAGTCAGTGGCGATGGAGCACCAACGTTGTGCTTTCTTGGGTGATAGGGGACGAATCCTTGAGTCTCTGCTCATAGCAGTCTCACACTCCTACTTAGCGACCGTGAATATAACATACTGTTCTCTCTGATATAGGGCACCGTTTCATTTGATACTGATGTACTTGGAAAGAACAACCTAAGGAAGGCCAGTAGCAGTAGAGCTGTCGATATGAGAGATCTTCAACAGAACAGCGCCCTTATTTGCCCTCTCTATTGCATAACAAACCACTCTGCTAGTAGTAATAGTTCTAGCAGCCCTAGAGTTGTATATTGTGCAGAGAGCAAGGTCTCAAGACGTCATAAAGACGACTAAGGGTTGTTTGCCTCGACGAAGAATCCTCGTGTTGACATCTTTGAGCAGCAGGTTTGCCCAAGGCAGATACGGGAGTTGTTTGTCTATACACAGCAGCACATCAGTCAATTGTCCTCCGTAGTCCTTCAATACTTATAACAGTGTTTCCCACTAGGGTCCTTGGTTAGGACTTACTTTCCATCTAATGTCCATACTACATTACCACTCTCTCGATGCGTATAAATTGTACCCCGTCACTATTTCGCGGTCGTTGTCTGCATCCATGCAGGGCAAATGGAGCTAATAATCCCGGCTCCACATCCCGGATCCTCTCTCGAGTTTCTACCTCAGCGCGGTTTATTTGCTTCGACAACAGCAACTTCCCCCGCGCGATCCTCACCCATCTACTCTGTCAACATTCATTGGGTATCTAATCCTCAAGACAATTGAAAGTATACTCGTACCACTGTACAGTATGGCAGCCTCCAGACTGCCAGAGGTCTGCGACCCAATGCTCGCAGACGAATCCGAAAATGATCCAGTGGACGGGACGTGGGAAGATGTACAGAACGACGGCGACTCCACCACAGCCATGCTGCCCGAGACTCTCGACGAGGGCATGAAAGCAAACGACTTCGGACAAGAGTCCAGCATCGACGCCCAGCGAAGAGCTTCCCGCCGCGCAGCCGCGGAAAAAGTGGAGCTTCAGATCGCCAACGACATCGATCACCACAGATCCAATCTTGAACTTATCGCGCGAGAGGTTGACGAAGCTGAGGAAGCCGCGAAAGAGGCCATAACAAGATATGCCAGGATTTTCAAGAATGCCTGCTATGAACAGACCTTGGCCTATGAACAAATCAAAGCAAGTACCTGAACCTCCGTCCATAAGATCCGTCACTAACTGTCGCTTAGGAACTGCAAGTCCGTCGAGAGAAGAACCTTGGAAAGAGCACTTCGTTCATCCGTGACGTTCACCCGACAGAGATTGAGAACTCCCTCCKCGAGCGCGAAAACGGCGAAAGCGGCGCTTCGAGACCAAAGGAAGACGTAGCCATTGCCAGAAAACTCGTCCAATTCGGGAAGGAAATCAAAGATAACGCACGTCTTCAACGCGAGAAGAGGAACACATCGGTCACATCGCGCCACGGGGTCAACAGCCGACCTACCACCAGAGCTATACGTCGTATTCGACGGATGGTCTCGCGCGTAGCTACTCATAACGATACTATCGAGAAGCTTGCGGATACCATTGATCCCACCACACTCACGAGATCTGTCCCTCGCCCAACGTCCGGGCAGGCGCAGGCGGCAACCAGGAAGCGTGAAGCTTCGATGTCTACAGATACCATGGTCCTCCCGGTGAGACAGATCAACATGGCAAAGTATAAGCCATTCAAGTCACAGTCCCGTAAAGTCGACAGCAAAGGTCGTTTCTACAACGACGTCAACTTTCAGAAGGAGGAGAAGGCGGACGAGGCATCCCGCAACAAGCCCACAGTCGAAGCGAAGAATGCGGGAGTGCAGGGCTCCTCGGATGGTGGGTCGAATAGCGCGAAGCATGTTCGATTTGAGGAGCCAAACGACGGTCAAGATCTCGAGCAAGTTGCAATAGATGAGAGCCCGGCGGCAGAGTTCTCATTCAACGACCTCGTATTTCGGATGAAGTGAACGCAGCCAGTTGGATTACCGCTTACAATGGAAGAGCTTTGGACGTTGACGGCGTCTATGCGAGGTTTGAAAGGATTGACTGCATGAGTCTCGAAAATACTGCGGTAGACTTCAGGACTGGTGTAGAAGCATGACGAACGAGGCGCTTTGATTTGGCAATGGCTCGCTATTTGAGCATCATGCCGCGGAGGGTACATACGCTTGCAAGTTTATCATGATTAGAATACGCTTTTCCACTTACTGCTGCTCCCTCCTTAGTTGTTCATATCCCACCTGGTACACGTTCATCTATTGGGAGCAACTCTCTGATATAGGATCGATCTATCTAGAGCCTGCTGTAGTCTGCTACATGCTCCATGCAAAGCGAGTTGTGATTCTTTCTGCAGCCCTTGACATGGTCACACCACAACAATGACTGTATATATGGCGAATCCTTCCAACCGACGCGGCGACGAATGGTGCATCTCCGCTAGCCTCTCTGGATCTTGTCAATTCTCGGATGCAGGCAAGAAACGATCCCGAGATGGTTCCGGGCCCACATTGGAAACCAGATCTAGCCCGAGTGCTGACTTCACACGTCCTGCTGACTTCACACGTCCTGCTGACTTCACACGTCCTGCTGACTTCACACGTCCTGCTGACTTCACACGTCCTGCTGATACACTTGATGATCAAAGTCTCCGGAACCTCTGCATCGGGAACTCGCCGCAAGACTTCTATTATACAATCAACACAAGGAAATACCCATCTACATTACGCACAATGGAGCATTCCGCGGACGAGACCTTGATGCGCACGCTCGCCGAGCAGACATCATACACGCTCGTCGAGGAAGAAGATGGCGGCTTTAGCAGCGACCCCGAAATCATCCGACCGGCTTCCCAGGCGCAGAGAAAACTGCCCTCGTTCTACAAATACCTGGATGGCACGCACGAACAGCAGCAGCAGGGTCAAGAGGAAGTATTGCGCGCAGAGCAGATGATTCTTGTTAGTATGCCTTCCGACCCGATGCTGATATCGATTATTGACCTTGAGCAGGATGTCTCCGTTACAATGCAGGGCAGCAGCAGTAATGTCCTTGATGACAATGGTCTGACTTTGGCTGCTTGGGCGGTACGCTCTGCTCGACGAGGTATGGCTATTGAGAGAGACCGCATGTATCAACTCCGAGTGGACTTAGCTGATGAAGTGCCTGCTCTACGCGACGTGCCGGACGGCGAGTTGATGACGACGGAGGAGGAGGATCTCGCATCGAGTTACGAGCAGAGCAGCGATGTACGTCTTCTTGGACGCCTCATTCAAGTACAATGGACTAACAATGGAGCAGGACGTCTCAACAAAGATGGACGATAGCAAAGCCACTGCCATTCATCACAATCGTTCACGTTTGTCCAGTTTTCTTGAGGCAAATTCTGAAGATATGCCTGCGGTTCCGTTGAGTGAACGACCAAACATGAAAGGCAAACCGGATGCTTTGTTCGTACTCCAAGGACCTCCCTCCCGCGGGGAAAACAAACGACGCAGAAAGGTCAAGAAACAGCCCAGGACTGCCAGTTTGACAAACCCCGAAGTCATCTTCACGCATAAAACCAACGGACTCTGTAAGTTTCTCTTCCACGCTGCAAAAAAGCTGACCATGGATGAAGACGCCCCACCACCAAGCGAAAAGAAATCGGGCAAAAGCAAGATGCCAACCAATCCTGTTGCTGATGAGACGGAGGCGACAAGTCAGGCGGCCGCTGGAGAGGAAGAGGGAGAAGAAGTCACTCCTGCGAAGAAAAGTGTTCTGACAGCTGAGGAGGCGAAAGAGGCCGAAGAAGAACGCAAATTCGAGGCATCGCTGCCGAAAAAGCCGCTTCCGAAGCATACTGGCAAGTTTGTCCGTTTGAACGCCGCGGACGAGGAGGCTTGGGCAAAGGATATTGCGAAGCGGAGGGAGGAGCATCGGATGATGAAGGTGAATAGGGCACGACATAAGGTGAGCTGGGGAGTGGGATCGTAGTTCACTGAGTTGTGATGGTGGGGCGATATGCAAGGATACTGCTGGAGATTAGTACATGGAGGACAGGAAGCTGATCTCCTCGTCCGGATACTTGCAAGCCAGAGGCTTCATTAGAGCCTGCACCGTAATGCCCCTTTCAAATCCGCCTCTCCGTCAAGATATTTGATTGTACCAATCCAGCATTACAGTTGCTGCCGACCAGGTCCTACCTTCCACCGGCCCTGCCCATTATACTCCATTGATATCCATCACTCACATCGTACACTATCAACGTCCCTCACGCACCGCATTCCATCTCGTTCAGCTGGCGGTATCCCAGTCCCTGAATCTGGCGATACCCCTGTTGGCAGCATCTCAGAACGATGCCTTCTCGCCATCGTAACAATGATCCAATCGATATATGTACGCACAATCCAATTGTTCTCGACAAGTCGACTGGTGTGACCATCTATACAATCACATTATTCTCGGCACTCATGCCTCACAGACGGGCTTCACTTGTAACAATCCAACTCTTGTTACGCGACCTCCGTGATCTGGATTTCTGCGCTAGCGGCAGCGTCAAAATAAAATATTCAACTTCTTCCTCCAAACCTCCGACTTCCTACAACAACCTGCTTCGCCTTCTGCAACACGTTATCTTCTGCTGCAACACCATCATCTGCTGCTGCAACACCATCCACGACAGCAACACCAACTTCTTGCAGAAGTCTCCTTCGACAAAGCCACCAAGCATTACTCCACAGCTCTCTTCCCCACCCAGCAACAACATGGCTCAAGACGAGCTCACCGGCCATGACATGACACAAGAGGGCGCGCAGCGATTCGACGGCGACAAGAACATTTTCGCGCTCTCTGACCAGCAAGAGGCCCTTGAATACCACGCCTTCGACATCCACGCGCAGCTCCAGCGATTGAAACGGCAAGAGTACGAACTGGAGAAATTCCTCTCATTCGAACAGGGCAATGTTGAAAATGCCATCATGTATCAACAACTCGACTCCGCCAACGACTTCCAATACCAACTCGTCGATCGCGCGCTCCTCAAGTACGCCGAGACGAGGAACCTTTACGGGCTGGACAAGTGTCGCCTCGTCGCCAGGAGGAAGCATCTGAATGCCTTGAAGGATGATCGTGGCACCGTCGTCAGGTTCGCCAGCGTGTTCCTCATGCAGCGACTTCCTTTGCAGTCCTTCAATCCTCGTCGAACGGACTGCAAAGTCGGCGTGAGCAGTGGAGAGGAGGGAACAGATCCGCCTTACCAGGTCACTTTCCACAACGACTCTTCGACGGCTCTGGAACTCTACAGGCGCGCGTTTGAGATCAAACTGGCAGGCGTTGTACAYCTCGAGCCCGACACGCGGCCAATGTGCAAGACCCAACCGCCCGCCACCGAGGACGATGTGCAAAAGTACAACACTCGCGTGGCTGTGGAAGCAGAAAGATCCAAGAACAGCGCAGAGAATCTGAGTTCACTGTTTTTCCGAGGTGCCATGAAACAAAACCAGAAAAGCCTGGGTCAGAAGCGACAAGACGACCTTCGCAAAGCTCAATCATCAACGGGCAAGATCGCCAAAGCCTCGACGAAACCWCGCAAGGTCGGCAAAGATTCCCAGCAAGATCGCAACGCTCTCTTGAAAAGTCTGGTAACCGAAGCAGGCTTTCCAAGACGCCCCTCAATGATGAGCGTGATTGATGAGCTGGTCGCCCAAAATGCCCGCGATGCTGAGCGTCAGGCAGAGCGAGCGGAGCAAGACGCTCGAACTACCAAGGCCACCGAGCTTCTGAGCGGCATGGTGCTTGGATCGAATGGAGAAAAGGATGAGAAGCTGGAAGAACAGTGGGACAGCGTGAAATTGTCTCAAGACTCGCAACCACTGTAGGAGAGTTTGGAGAGATGACAAGTCTATTCCCTTGATAAGGCCCGGTGTTCGTGGTTCCAGAATTCGCGCTGTTTGGTCGTCTTCACCATCCGTCTTGTGGTACTACTATCAGCAGCATACAAATCAACGAACCGTCATCAATACCGTCCGTACTTTCCCCCTTTCATCTCTATTGTAATCACCTTCCTGAACGCCCATGTATGACATGAGCTTTGTGGCCTCTGCCTATCCATCCTGGACCATCTGATCTCTGGACTGGTACTAGAGATGCGCTGGCAGCGCGCGTAGCCGAGTGAAGTCTGCACAAGATATCGCCCCCTACTTTGAGCTCAACAGGGTCATCGAAGTCCCACTTTTCACGAGGCCAAAACCTGTATAGGACATCATGCTCGTCAATGACACCTTTTCCTCCATCAACACATCAATACACTCGTCTACTGCCACCACTTTGACTTGTTCTTTCAAATCACCAGCAGACTGCCACACGAGAAAAACAACAAAGGTATCAACGAATTCCAAGTTTCCTCTTCTGACATGGATACCCCTTTTGAACAACTCGATCTCGAGAGACAGCGTATCCTCGCTTACGACAAGGACGTGACAGACCAACTCAAGCGGATCAAGGAACAAGAACGTCAATTGGAGGATTTTCTCGACATTCGTATGGAAGAAGCACAGTGCGCAATTCTCAGATATGCAAGGTTAAGAGCGACCGTCGTAGCAGACCGCGCGCGGTTGACCGCACGGAAGGAGGTAAGTTCATCCTTACTCCATAATCAAGTGCAAATAGCTGACTGATTGGGAGGAACTCAAAGCCCTCCAAGATGAAGATAGCGTCGTAAAGAACGCCGGACCATCCTATCTCCTCAACCAAGTTCCTCTCCGCACCGTCAACCCCTCCACAGACCTGAAGTGGCAGACCGGCGTAAGCGATAACACAGATCGGGAGCTACATTTTGGTGTCATGAACCCGAGTGATTCTCGGTTCGCTCTATCCTTCGTCCGGCTCGCGGAAGAAATCAAGCGGCAATATGCCATCATCCTTACGGAAAAAGACACCCGGCCAATATCGCATGATCAACCACCAGCCACCGATCTCGAGATCGCGGAATTCGATGCCTTGAACAAGGCCGAGGGAAAGCCGATTGAGTGCTCAAATGCACCACACTTCCGTAGGTCGTCAAACACATGCAAGCGCAAGAAGGTCAGCGCCTCATCTCGCAGCTCCAGCGGATCTCTCGCAAAAATCTCCAAGCGGAACAGGGAAGAGAAGAAGAAGTTGCAAAAAGCACTGAGAAATGTCGCGGCTCGCTGGGCCCTACATTTAGAGCAATCCATCGAGAAGCCTCACAACCAAGTCATGACGGATGACGAGATTGAAGAAGGACCCGATGGAGGTCTCGCGGAGTCTTTGAGTTTTCTTCCAAAGGGGGAGTCAACCGACGACCAAACTTTTAGCGGTCTGGCCTTTCGACCAAAGTGATTCCGGGTAAGGAGAGATGCGGAATCCAACATACCATGTTGTCATTGGTACGGAGTTGCGGAAATCCCCGGAAGAAGGGATTGAAACCTCGTGCTACGACCAGGTGGTTGCCAAGTGTCTCGATGGATGGGACGAAGGCTCAGCCGATCACGTTAATTCGACGGTCTCAGAACTCAAAGCGAGAAGCATAGTTGCACCATGGCCGTTTGCTTCCACGTACATCGCTCGTTGAAGAGTTCTCCATACATCAAATTCTACGTTACGATCTCTTTGCCAATGCCGCGAGGCCGATTTGGAGGTCTCTAATGTCCGCCTTTCCTTCCATGGCTTTCCTGTCCATTGTCTAATATATTTCTTTGGTCTCAGTGTTATTCCATTTCCATTTCATGACTTACATCGCAAGCTCTCTTTTGGTCATCGCCTGTGGGCAGCGCTTTGCTGATTGCGTCTCAGATCAACTAAGTGATTCCATGGAGTCTTCTGCTAGGTAAGGCCAACAACTCGCTGCTCGGACACATGATCTCTGCCGTCAAGTTTCCTAGATGGAACCTACGTTATCTTGCTCCTGGTTGCTTGGATACTGCTACCAACGTCCAGAAGCCGCTCGTCTCCATCTACTCTAGTTTTCTCATGATTCTCTCGGGAGATGTTGTTTGTCAAGCTATTTGCTATTCGTATATRTGCCCTGCACTGGCACAGCTATCTTTGAGCGCAGCTTGCTCTACATGTTTGCAAGCAGTATAAGCATTCTATCCTCGATACATATATTTCGTGCCTGTCACGTCCTTGCCATTCAGAACCACTTCATCCTGTTCTGCGAGAAGATCCATCTTCTACGACTCATCCCGCCCAAATCTGGCAACCGGCAATCTTCTTCCGAAATAGAGATCGACCAGAATCCCTCCTAATTCGTAATGGCAAGTGAATAACTCCGCGTCACACACCCCCACCCCACCTCCCCGGCCGCACTTTTCCCACCTATTTAACCCGCATGGATCTTCCACCACAAACCTCCCTCCTAACATCCACTCTCAGTCTTACCCATTACTTTCCAAATTCGCAACGCCCGACCACTCGCCTTCCATTTCTCGAAAGCGCAAAGCTCCCGACGAAATCAGAGTCAACCCTCAAGCCAAGATGAGTGCCTTCAACAACGCCAGAAACGCCCTCGCGCGCCTCGAAACGCAGCGCGTTGCTGTCTCGGCAGCAGTACACAAAATCAACGTGCAGCTGCGCAAGATGGCCTTGAACCTGACCAAAGCGGAAGTTGCACGCCTTGTTGAAGACAAGTCTGACGGCCCGGCTCAATATGTGAGGGTGTTCAAGCAGCATGCGGAAGCGGAGAAGCGCGCGAAAGTCGACTTGAAGAACCTGGATAAGCGCGAGGAGGTGCGGTCTCCGGATTTGCTTAAGTGATACTTGCTCGAGTTGCTGACGTTGCGGTAGGAGATCAAGACGAACTTGGAAAAGGACGCATTTGACGATGAGCATCTCGAAGACTTGATGCTATTCACCGAGGTCGCGGAAGATCCTCCGGTTGGGATCATTGAAGATCCTGCAGACAGACCCGTTCGGACTTGGACCGATCCTAAGACAAGCGGGAAGAAGACACGCGAGGTATATGCGCCCAGTCGTTGTTTAGAGATGAAGCTTACTGACACTGATTTCGAGCAGCCAAAAGTCCCTGCAAAATCGAACTTCGCCCAGGAGAGTGCGGCTGAGGACGATGGCATCAAAGACCTTATCATCGATCGGGTTGTCGCTCGAGCTACTGGCGGTGAGCAGGACGTGAACCTTGTGATGAGCGGTGCTTTACCGAGCGGTGACGCTGCCCTCCCGATCGTGGTGGACGATGACAGCGAAGATACGATCGTCGTTGCTGTCCCCAAAAAGGTCAAGAAGAGCGCAGAGACTGTATGATCCCCCCAACGCTTCAATATCGTCGGCTTGTTGCTAATGTTGTCGTAGGGGAATTGCGAGGTGCAGGCGGATGATGGCGACAAGGACAAGGCTCTGGCTGCGTGGGGCGCCAGCTTCCAGCAGGAAGATGGAGAGTAGCTTGCGATAATTTGATGAGCAAGATGGACATGTGCCGGAAAGTGACATGCGCACTATGCGCTTCCGCAAGGTTTCTCATCATCCAGACTCCGAGGGAATGAGGATCGCCATCGCCATCGCTCCACAGAGCTCGCAGCAATGTCGGTCAAACTCAAGACCGCCGCGGACGCACGCGCGATGCGCACAGTCTTTCCGCCGGAGTTCAAGCAAAAAGTGATGAGACATGCTCGTTTTGTGAACATTGCAGCCGTTTTGAAGCTGTAGATAGCATCAGGGTATGTAGTGAAAGTCGCAGAGCTGTCGATATGAGAAATTAGCAACAAGAGCAGCCCTCCAAACTGCTCCCTCGCTTGATTGACGGGCTGCTCTGCTAGTGGTTAGAATTCTAGCAGGTCTGGAGTCGTCGAGCCTGTAGAGAGCGATGCCTTAGGTCATAGCGGGAATGAATGAGGATTTATTGTCCCGCTGAATAATCCTTATATCAATAGCCCTGGTCAGAGTCGGACTAGTCAGGCGTCTGCTAATCTTCATGGAACCTTGAAATGCACCATTCGAGTTCCCTGCTCGGCTCCCGTTCCACCTCCTTTTCCCAGGTGAGGAACCATACTGCCCTCCGCGCACGGTAGACGCGCACTGGAATTCTGACGACAGGACTTTGTCCCAGGGATCATTAAACCTCTGTCTCAAGGGTCACGAGGTCCAGCTCTGCCGTAAAAGATGCGATCTTTGGAAACCTGTGCCCGAGCAAAATCAATGACTTCATCCAAAATGTGTGCCAGCTGCTCGCCGCATCCACCCAGAATGCCGTCAGGATACGCTGTCACTCCACACTATGCTACCGGCTGGCTCTTCCGAGTTTACCCATTCTTCAACTGCTTTTCCTCCCTCTGGCAACATCCTGCATTCTTCATCATGCAACTCCCCTGAAAACAGTAGCAGAGCTTCGCTCGCCGCTCCAGCAAGGTGATGACCGGTGGCCACCTACTCCAGACTTTGATCTCTCAAGCTCATCGATCTTGCAATGAGTGGATCTCGCCAAGGGGGGAGAGCATTTCCTTTTCGTGTAACTTACGACCCACCTTCTTCTTCTTCTTCCTCCAGCCGCCAGATCCATCCGTTCGATGCTCAGGACGTGTGACTCCGTTACGCAATGAAAGTGGTGCTCTGGAACGTACCGTCACTGCACAAGATTACATCGTTGAGGAGGCTTGCAGCGCTTACCCTAAGGCGATAGTTGACAGTGTAGAGCTGGCTGCACCGTAGTAAAGGGAGTCTGGTCGAAAGCCTCGCGCGAATGAAACGAGAAGTGGGTTTCCTGCTGTCGTTGTCCGGCAAGCATGATCCACTCGGCAGCTTGAACAACCCAGCAGCATAAATGATAGTGCAAACTGTCCGCACTCTCCAACTTAGTCTCAGACAATGCTTCAATACGCCGAGAGGAGGCCAAGTCAGGGCAATGATCATTCGGCTGGGGTTGACAAGGCAGATCTGATCGTGGCAAGCGATGCGCCGAAGGATGATGCCACTTGGTGATGGGATCAATTTAGGCCATATTGATCTTCTGACTCGTTTCATTGACCAAATGCGGCCTCCGTCCCTGGCACTGTCTTGCGAATTGTCGTATGCTGTCACTTGATAAGCCTGTGTTCGAAGCTTCGCTACAAACTTCATGGCAGATGTCGCGTTGCAAGAGATTGCTGCTGGACGAGTCCTCCAAGAGATCCAGACTTCCATCGTGCAGACGATAGTCCTCAGGGCCGCTCGCACTTTGTATTGTTCAATCCAGTAACGATGTGTGTCGTGGAATAGGCGGGGAGCACAAGTCATGGTGCAGCCCGGTCTGGAAAGAGTTGCCTGGCAGCCCTTCTGGACTGCAGTCTAGAGCATGTTGATGTCGGAAATGAGTCAGTTACGCCGAAAACTCCGAGACGCTCCAAAGAATGATCCAAGGCAGTGGAGAGCGTATTATGCAAGTATGTGCTGATGAGCGAGACAGCCATGATGGCCCGTATCCTGTCACAGCAGCGCATTTGGGATGTCAATTTGAGCAGAYCGAGCTTTCATCAATTGCCGATCGAATGGMACCAGAAAATCGACGCTGCTGCGGGTTCCATTTGGCAGAGGAGGTGCGGAAGCTGCTCGAGATGGTGTGTCCAAGCCTCCGCTTTATATGATAACGCTCGGCTGGCTGACAAAAGGAGTGCAGTCTCCGGATTGAACGTATGATGTGACACGTGGGACACTGCAATGAGAAGCAGTGCGTGTCCGAAATATGCAAGTTGCACTTTGAGCCGCAGATACTGATGAGCATGGTGTAGCGCCGAACGAGTGCTCCAAGCTGGAAGAGGCGCGATTCCAGATGAAAGGGCCGAGACGGGGAGGATTAAGCCATCGACCTTCTTGAGTAGAAGTTACGAAGGAATCAGATTGTCCAGGTGATCAAACAGAGAGGTCGAAGCTGTCGACGGTGGTCGGGATCCAGGAGAGAAGTTGCTTGCCGGTATCTCTATCCAGGGAGCAGTTCCAGCATGAATACACTCRGGTGATTCCAATGTCTCGGGGTAAAACTTCCAGGCCTGAACTTCACCATTGCCAGATCGAAGGAGATCTTGGAGGATCGCGATATCTGCATTCAGGTAGAAAGACAGATAGGCGGGCCGCTGAAAGGCTGCAACTTGACCACGGGGTCGAGAGACTCATCGGAGCAAATACCAGTCTTTCCTTTAGATGGTCGATAAGGCGCTGGTATCTGTCGTCAGACTGCCCGCGTACCATCATTACTGGGCGTAGAATCGTGGGTGTGTCCGTCTAGCCATCATTACAGTCGGAGTAAAGGTGGATCGCAAGGCTGATCGCAGAACTCTCCATAGGTATGGTTCTTTGTTGAAATGTGACTTTGCTTGCCGCATTTCAGACAATGCTCGAGAAGGGGTGAAAAGGAAGCCGCTGGCAGCGGCAGAGCAAAATCAGTATCTCGAGACTGCTGCTGAAGTACGGACTGCGGTCGAGCGTGCGTGGCTTGCGCCCTTGATCTCGTCTTTGGCATAGATATCGGCGGCACGAGGCGAAAGAAGTGCTGCCGTGTGGGAGAACGAGACTGTTCGGAGGAGCCACAAGCTCATCGTGTGTTTGATGTGAGGCTATGAGGTTGCTCGTCCATTGGAGATGGACTTCGGCTCGATTGTAACTGCTTGGCGCGCAGGAAGTCGATGGGATTGTTGAAAAAGGGTTCGCAGGAACTGCGATCTCATGGCAGAGGAAGAACGCGCTTTTGACGTGAGAACCACGGCCAGAGGTTGATGAGTGGACTGAGATTGGTGAAGGCGAGCGAGGCGCCGAATGTGTGAGACTGTTCGAAAGAACGTCGATCTCATGGTGGGAGTGATGAAGTGCTAATGTGCAAATCATGGACAAAATTTGTTTGTTGGTTGGTGGTATTGATGTTGTTCGATCGAGGCGAATGAAAGTGCCAGTCGGGGGTGAGACTATTCGGAAGAAGGCCGAACTCGTCACAGGAGAAATGGCTTGCTGAAGTGCAGGCCATTTTGGGATTTGGTAGCTTGTGTGGCTGTTGAAGAATCAAGGCGAAGGAGGTGCCAAGGGGAGTGAGACTGTTCGGAAGAACGGCGATCTCGTCACTGGAGAGATGGCTTGCTGATTTGCGAACCATTCCGAGAGTTGATGGTTTGTATGGCTTTTGATGAATCCAGCTGAAGGAAACGTCGAGAGCGAGACTGTTCAAGAGAACGGCAATCTCGTCACAGGTGAGAATGGCTTGCTGATGTGCAGACCAGTTCCAGGGTTGGGATTGATATTGATAAATCGTGGCGAGAGAATTGCCAAAAGAAGTGAGACTGTTCAGAGGAACGGCGATCTCGTCACGGGAAGGAAACGCTTTGCTGAGCTGCAGGCGTCCCCAAGAGTTGTTGTAGAAGATGATGGTATCCGGCGATGAAGCCGGTATTGGTAGAGGTTGAGACTGTTCTGGAGAACGACGATCTCGTCACGGTTGGTAAAGACATGCTGATGCGCATCTTTTCGCCTGGTTTTGAATGCTGGGGTATGGCTCTGTTAAGATTGAGTCGCTTGATGGAAGTTCTGGTGCTGCAAGGCGGTATGCGGCACAAAGCGGCGATGGTATCGAGCAGAAGGGTCATTCTGTGGGTTCTTCTCAATCTCATCGTCCATCTTACTGATATCCCCGAGTGCTGAGAAGAAATGACTTYGAGATCTTGTTGGATGTTGGATAGCAGGCACAATGCGCAAGTTGCGGCTTCCAGGTCCGAAGAATTTCGTTGTTGCTTGGACGTCCCAGTCGTTGATCCAGGATGTTGATCTTCCCCAGAAGACACTCTTTGCAATGAGTATTCATGCCTCTCTGCCTCGCTACCTGCTGCTGCTTCACAACAGGCATTGCCCAGAGGCAACCACGGGGAGGTGCAGAGTAGGACTTTGCCTCCGACGGACTAGCCGCCTTTCCCACAGACACCTCACGTCGCCATCGTCAGATCTGTGACCTGATCCTCCGGTTTCTAGTGACCTCTGTCCTTGGTCGCCACGCGTCTCTGTCTGGGTCTGTGACCTGACCACTCCAGTTCCTTGCGCTCACCATTCAAACGCCTTTGTCCCAGCCGAGACCATGGCGAAGCATGATGCCCTTCTTGCCCTCCTGCGCAAGAGAAGAGCCAGCATACGCCCAGTCGTCGGCTTGAACATTCCCAGGCGTCGTACACCGCCTCACCCAGCCGAAGTAGCAGCCAATGCCGTAGGCCTTCAACTTCTCTAGGAGTGCCATGATGACCCGAAGGACATCCTCCCGGAGAGGGTCGACTCCACCTGTATCAATCAGGTGGATCAACATGTTGAGAGCGTCCAAGCAGTCGGTGTGGATGGTGATCACGGTTCCCAGGCCGCGACCAGCTTCCTGCCGCTCTACAAGGTACTCCAGCGCGTGTCGGATGCCTTGCAACTCGGTGGTAGGGACATCGCCCTCCCTACCGAGAGCAATGCATCGACCGAACCAGCCACGACTTTGGGGCCGCTTCAGCGGCTTCACGGAGTGATCTTCGATCGCCCAGGCACACCCACCATACGCACCGTTCTTCACCGATCCATCAGTGTACACGTTGATCTCGTGGGAGTCCACCCCAGAGATAGTCATCGTTGTCGCTGTGTTCATCATCGGTGCTGCGCGTGGTGGTTGTGTTGAAGAAGAGAAAGTGCAATAGCAGCGTGAAGCTTGCAAATCGCTGTGAGCGCTTGGCTAGCTGCGGACCTGGCTGCGTTCTATCAATTCACAGCATCAACATCATCAAAAGCTGCCATCATCCATCAGCAATACTGTCGGAGAGCGGGAGCAATCGTCAAGGGGCAACCAAACAAGCCATCACCAGAAGAAAAGGAGTTCCGCAATGGGTAGGCACTGGCTGGACAACAATACCACTAGAACATGCACACCCAATGCGCCCACGCTGGCCGGATCGAGTGTCCACGACGGGAGATGCGTGGAATGACTTGCCGCAGTTCTTTTACATGGCTTTGACATATTCGTTTTCAAGCCTGGAAGAGCAATGGAGAGAGCTGGTCGAAGCACAACACCGGATAATTTCCGCTTCTGCACCGGATCTTGCAAAGCGACAGGAATCCCTTCCTTCGATCATTCCCCGGTCAAATCGTTGATCCACTCCCGGGGAACTTCTATCGATCTTTCTTCTTGGTCCAACGCCTCAAGAAGATCTAATATGGCTGTAGTGATGTCCGTGGAGGCCTGCGGAGCTCCGGAGTTTCACTGCGCTGTCGAACGAAGCCGAGTCACCATCGCTTATCCTCAGTCAACGCCACCGGTTCTTCCAGCCCGTCACCCTCAGACATCCTTTGGCGATTATGTTCCCACCGGTATCTGTCTACAGATCATTGTTACCAAGCCTCCGATGTAAGCCTACGACAGAGCATCGCCAAGATTCGCCTCCTGGAACCAACGAACACTGAGACAAGTACGCGATTCGTTATCCCAAGATCAGCCCTTGACTACATTCCCAACTGCTTCTTCAGCTCGCAACGCGCAGGTATCGCGAGTGGGTTCCAGATGGTGTTCTCTCTTGTCCACATCTTGCCATGTTCTTGCATACTAGCATCCAGATGCTATGCGCACCGCTTGTTTGCACTCTTTGTCCACAGGGAGACGAGGAGAAGCTCTTGGGTGTTTGCCGGTTTGTCCGTTGCATGAGATTGATCCAGAATGTTTGCAGGCAGGGCAATAAAAGATCCTCCTGTCCCGTTCTCAAATGCCTTCTCTGCACACGACTATACAGCAAGTCAGCAAGGCTCCCAAGTTAGAGCAATATACCTTGATACCCACGTCCCAAGACCAACTATGGAAGCCAACCTATTCGGTGACAGAGGCCTTGGGGGCAACCTGCCTCCGAACACAGCGCCATCTGGGGGAGGAGACAATGACGGAAGTGGAGCAACTCGTGGTAAGTGCTTAATCATGATACCTAGACTCCTAGCGGGAGGAGCCAGGCGCACAAGCGGGACGGGATCTTCAATTTCGCCCTTGATGTATCTGAGCTGACTTTTCGGTTCTAGCACCACAACACCACTTGACAATCGAAGCACTCGACAACCCCCGATCACTCATTGTCCATCCTCGCCCTCACATCCCTACCGCTACTGCACCAACAGTGTCTGACGTCTGGATCCCACCTACGCCCGATCTCTACCTCAACACTGCCCTCGAAGTCCCGCGCAGTCCTCCGCGCCCGACTCGACCTCACGGGTCCAACACAAGACGCATAAGACCCGCGCACTTCAACACCGCTTTCACTATCGTAAGTTGCTTCTGACTTGAACTATAACGCTTGTACTGACAGGATTGATAGATCAGAATGGAAGCACACAACCAGGTCCAGGCCGGCGCTCATGCCGGCGAGAACGCCAGCGCTGATCGCCGCGCTGCCCGACTCAACGCCTGGCGCTTGGGAGAGCCCACCCTTGTCGCTGCCTTCCAAGCAGCGCTCCAGCAGTACAAGCTGGATGACCTTCCCGCCTCCCAGCACTTCGAGGCCCACATGCAAGACGCAGCCTTCGCCGCCAAGACAGCCGTCCGTACCCACGGCATAATGCTGTGGTTCCCCAAACTCCCGAAGGAGGTTGACACCACGCTGACGGCACTCGTCAGCTTCTACCACGGTGAGGCCCGGCAGATGGTCGACCTCTACCGTAAGGAAGGCCAGGGCGGATCCTGGAACAGCGCTGCGGATCTTCACCCTGAGATCATTCACGCCGCCACAAGAACGTCGGTCCACTTCGTTGACGCCTCCTCTATGGAGGTTACCCGCTTCGCACCCTTTGGCAGCTCAGAAAAAGATCCAACGCCGATCAAGTGCCCTGGCTTTATCACGGAGCACTTCGTGGACGAGAGTCATCTCTGTGCAGATCTCGTGCGCGTCGTTGCTACCTGCAGGGTCGCGCGCGTCTACCTCAACAGCAAGGTGGCGCTGCGCAGCGCGAAGGATTATCGCTGGGAAGATGCTCGCCAGGCGCTAATCAAGCTTTGCGCGCAGACAAGTGTCTTACTCCGAAACGCTCTTCACTGGGTCAACAAGCCTGGCGTGGAGGAGGCGACTATGGTCCTCTTTGGCAACGTTGTCAAGGAGATCAAGGAGATCGGCATCGACGCGCAGACCGATGTGCTCTTGGTCAAGATCGCGAGGGGTCGACTCCTAGCGAAAATGTACGAGCACACGGCGGGCCTCTTAGCGGAAGCCATTGAAGAGGAGACGGATGAGGTCGGTGCTTTGAGCGATGAGTGTGAGGAAATGGCGGGAGAGTTGCTATAGTTGGAGGATGGCCCTGGTGGAACTGGCCCACTGTTCGGTGCGTGGAGGGACATACAGATGAGCTAGCGGCACCCTCGCTGCTGTCGCTGCTTTCTGTTGTGAATGAAGCAAAATGAGTAGACCATAGCCTTTCTGCGTATACATTGCTGTCTGCCTTGATCGCGAAGGTTGTTATATGATCGGAGGAAATTCTGTTGGCGCATCTGCTGTTCAAAGTGTTTCAACGCCACGTTCTGAACATGTTACTCCCATCATCGTGACTATCGGGTGCATTATTCGCTTCCGTATTTGCACGTTTGCCTTCATTGTCATCTGGTTTTCAATTCAGCCCAAGTTCGCAACACTTGATCCATTCGTGTCGCCTTGGTACTGATAGCAGAACGCATTATATCCCCCACGATTGCAAGCCACCCTAACAACAGGTCGTAGCACAAGACATGACCGTCTCTCGCCATCACCGCATGGATTTCATATTCCTTAGCAGATAGCTTCGTCCCGCGCAGCGTCAAGCACGCCTGACAACATCCAGCACCGTGCAACGACACTCCACACCCTTCTCAATCTGCTCAAACCATTCCAAGTTCAGTCTCAGCACAATCTCATACCAAGCATCATGTACCGCGCAAAAGTCCAAGCCACGCGAGATCTTGACCAACGACGCTGGATCGAACTTGCTCTTATTGATCCATCCCGTTTCCAGCTGTGTGCTATGCCAGTGAGGAGCAGTCACAACGAACACCATTCCCATCCATTCTTTCCTGAAGAGAAAGTCAGCCGCTTCTTCCGCCTTCTTTGCCTCGATCAAGAGTTCTTGGTCCACTTGAGTATTCTGCCTGAGGGAGCGGAGGTAGGTCTCGAAGGGCTGGTCGAAGTCTACATGAGTGTATCGCTGACGATGCGCGTGGACTCGTTTATAGAATGCGGCGACTTGAAGGAACTCGTGGCGGGTGGGGAGATAGGTAAGCGTCGGGATATTGTAAAGCGCTGCCATTGTGTTCTGGATGGAGGATCAGTATCGAGGGGAGCGATGAGGATGACAGGGACGTACCTGATCTCATCTATGATGATCGATTGGATGAATGTGGATGAAGGCGCGCTGCAAACTGAGTTCTTGGATGTTTCGTGACGATCATGTTTGTTGTTGGTTGTGGATAGAGAAGTCAGCTTTCATTCACCTCGCACGATGTCTAATCGGGCTTAGCCCCAATCTCGAGCTTAACAAGCGCAAAGCGACGCGACGAACGCGTCGCGATGCTGCGGAGAACGTCGCGAAATCAATTAGCTCGGACCATCGACCTACTTCTCTTTGTACCTCCCCCTGTCCATTGTCATCGCGTTGTACAAAGCCTCCCTTTCTTCATCACAATAACCTCCATTGTTGATTACGAACAAGGTCATTCAGCTTTCCTCTACCCCAAAAAGGCGTGTCGAGCAGACTCCTACAATTGGAATCCCAATTCTTGTATATATATGCGTGACCAAGTCCTCGACTGCTGTTCATCCCAACAACGGCTAGTCCCACTGATCCGCAAACTGGTTTTGCTTCAAATCACACTAGCACCCTTCAATCACGACAACCAACTTTCTTGGGAACTCGACTTCTTACACAACCACCAACCTCCAATCAACACAACTTCCAGTCTTGCAACGATCCATACAATCCTTGCGACACTCTACGTCAACCCCTACAGCACAACAAAATCACCGCGAACATGATGTTCGGATCCGTTCTGGCACACATTCCAGCTGGTCGATGGGCCGCCTCAGCAGTCGCAGAGACAGCACCTACTACTCCACCGCCTGCGACCGCGCAATCTTCAGAGCTCCCTCAAGAACCAAACCAAGGCGCGCCAACCGATGGCAGCTTGGGAGCACCATGGCGAGAAGTGAGCAAGCCGAAGACAAAATCTTCACGACACAAAAAACAAGTCGCGCGCACCACGGTCCTTGCCAGCAGCTTTGCGCCTACCCGTTCATTGTTCCTCGAGATGGCAGAGAAGCTGCAAGCGATTGGCGAACATCGTCTGCGTATGTCGGGCTGGTACGACCAACAAGAGGACGAGGAGTTGGAGTACTTCTATGTCTGGGACAACCGCAGCACTGTCGCCGATGACGGAATTGAGGACGACGACGAGGAGGAATTGGAAGATTTCTCTGCCTGGGACGACCGCAGCACCGTGGCGGATGACGGAATTGACGATGACGAGGAGGAGGGTGGATGCTACTTGGGAGTGGATGGTATGGATGAGATGGAAGGCGAAGAGCGCAAAATATCGAACGCCAGAGCCGATGAAGACTCCGAAAGTGAGGCTGGAAGCGACACCGAAAGCGATGCTGAGAGCGAATGCGTTGAAGAACCTTCCGAAGACGCCTTCACCTGGCGCCCCCTTGACTGGGGCATGGAGTACGAAACCACTCGCGGCATCCTGAGCGTGGCCGCATTTGCGGACCATTACGCCAATCTTGTCCTGCAGACCACTTCTGAAGGTCTCTTGCTCTCCTATGGCCATGGTGTCCAGTCGGGGACTGCAAGCGGCATATGGAACCACTGCAAGAGGATGTACTGCAGTTGGATCCGATCACTACATGCCGGCTGTGACTACCGTCTGGAATACAACCCTCTGATGACGGCGGTGTTTGAAATGGTCGTGGGTTGGAATATCCGCATGGCTTTGGGTCCCAAGCTGAAGAAGCGAGGGTATGAGTTTGAGGCTGCGCTGGACATCGCATTCCTTCAGGAGGTTGCCGCTGCGGAGAAGCAGACGGAGCTCCTCAAGCAAATGCTGCTGCTCGGTACGGAAGATGAGACTGATGTTCATTTCGAATAGCTCATCGAAACCACGGCCTCGCTGCTACTCTTGCTGGTGTCTTCCATACCCAGGTCARCTCCACAAGTCAACCACCAAGCGAAGGAAATATGCTATCGAAGGAAGCACACGTGCAGTGCAGCCTGGCATCGGAGTTTCACTTAGGTTTCAATAATGAGAACATCAATGTTYCATGGCCAATCGTTTCCTGTCCTTTTTTATCCTGCTTCCACAATACCATCGAGCAAGTGACAGCTATTCGATTCCATTTTGCCAGAGTCTCAGCGTCAATCAGCCTACATCCACGTATACAGCAATTCCACTGACTCTTTGAACTTACCCCCATATATCAATCGATGACTTGTGAACATGTGTCTTACGTATCAAACAAGCAAGAAGCGAACCCCCAATATCATTCCTAGGTAACTCATATTATGACTTTGTTCTAGCAAGATATCACCCTATTGTTCTTACTTCCCATGGCGGCGGCGGCTTGATGCAGACTTTAGAGTGCTCTGGTCGGGCGGCGGATGTGTTCTCTAGAAGATTGTTGGAATAGCATCTGATGCTTGTGTTTGATTCCACGAATGTCTCGATTGTATGGTCAGCGCCACTTCGCCTTGATCAGCCACGTGAACTCATTGCTTCTTTCTCATCAAGTAGGTGGTCCAATCGTTCAAAGCTCGTCCTCTCCTCGTTCTTGCTTGCTGCACTTGCCTGTAGAAGCGATTCAGCGCTACGGGATATCCTGCCTGCATTCCGACGTTGGTGACGACGTCCATGGGCACTTTGCACYATGAGTCTGTGTCTCTGGCCATGTCTGGGGTGCAGTAGTATTATGAGTGACCTGTAGGCCACCGATCGTCAGACCTACCTCATCTTTGTCCAGGCAAGGTCAACGATCTTACCAAGCGCCGCGCCGTCTCTTTACATTGTGAGGTCGTCATACGCCATTTATAGCTGCCTGGCAGGGATCTGGTCATCGGAGTCGTTGGTGATGTCGCTCGGAGCTCCTCGTTCGTGGTCAGTCTTTCAATGCCTTCTTTCTCCCTGCCCAGTCCCCCGACGCCACATGGCCGTCACATCTATTCTCTGCCAGACCTCCATCGCGAGTCAGCTTGGTCTAGAGTGTGTAGTGTTGCGTTTTGGGATAGCTTTTGAATTACCTGCATACCATTCATCTGTCGTGATGAAGCAAAGGTCGTTCACTCTGCCTGCGTCAAAGGGAGGTCCGTCTAACGCAGATCGAATCAAGGCATTGCCGCCGCTCCTCTTCTTCCTCTCTACCTGGCTGCATACCTCACTGCATCTCTGACAATCTACGTAACGACGAATTGTGTCCTCGTTGCTAGATCGATGCCGTTGCTGTGCTGCGGGATGTGTTTGGACCCCTTTGCCAAGCTTTCGACTCACAACTATTGTTGATATCCGCGTGCTGCTCGCACCCTCTCTTCCCCCTTCACAAAACGCTAAACTCTACACCGCAATCACGTCTTCTACTAGCCTAACCAGCGCCACGAATTCTTGCACCGCAGATTTATCGTCGAGTCCCGCGTAGTCAAATTCACGCAATGGCGGGAAAGATTCGTCCTACTCATCAGCGCATGAAGGCCGCGGCGAGTGAGGCCAAGATTAACACTGAGGCACTTTGGGTCGAACCTGGCGGGTTTGAGTGTTGGGGCGACGCGTCTGTTCTGGATCCTTGGCGGAGAAAATGGGCCGGTATTGGCCTTGTTGTTCGACACCAAGATGATACATGGCATGGATCGTCATACGCCATTGGCAGTGGACTTGAAGTGTGGGAGGCCGAGACCGAAGCTGTTCTCGTGGCGATGAATCTGGCTCTTGAGCGCAAGGAGATTCATGGGGGCACGTCCGAGGACTTCGCTTGGGTCAAATTCTACACTGATAGCTCCGAAGTGGTCAGGAATATTGAGTCTTATCGGCTGAACCACGGCGCACACTCTCGTCTCGGCGAGCGGTTTTACAGGAGGCTCGTGGCTCTTGAGGCCGCTGGTCTGCGGTTCGAGTGTGTCAGATGCAGAAGTCATCAGGACAGGGGACTGCCTAATGACCACGCAGATGCTTTGGCGAAAGAAGGTTCCGATGCAATGAGGCTCCACTGGCAATGGAGTGATTTACCGGAAAGGGAGCGCTGCGGATGCGGTTCGCAAGACCGGGATTATTGCAACTGGTCCACTGAGCGACAGCTCTTTAGTGTCAATCACGAAAGTGGGGAGGTGTTCGCGGAGTGATTCCCCGCTTGCACATCGACCTTCTTCTCTTGATCAGGAGGGCTGCCGGGTACGCATGGCCATGAGTTTGAGTGTACCATGGAGCGCGGACGGCAGTCGGAGACCAAGCTTCACACGTCCACGTCGTGGTCTCTGGGTGCTTGTCATGGGAACGACAAGTAGCAGAGTTGAAGCACCCGTCTGGAATGAAGGCAAAGAAGTGAGTACCCATCATCCTCCTCCCTTGTACTGAGCATCCTCGCTGACCTCTTCCACAATACTTTAGCAACACATCAATGGCAGCCACCGGCGAGGGACAGATGCATTGAGTGGGCGTTCTCGGCCAGTATATATACCCTCTTGGCTGCGAGTACACGAAGTCGCAGCAGTCTCCTGTGCGGCAGGCTGAGTTTTTACGACCTTCTCTTCTACCGTATCACCTCTCTGACCTCTTCTAGGAAACTCCAAGACTATATCATTGGCCCTCATACGTGAGAGACTGTGGCGTCAAGCAGGCGCTCATGGGTAGTATCCACGCTGAGATAAGCTGCGAAAACACCTTGAAGGAACGCTTGCGAGTCTTGATCCGCCCTGAAGTCAATCCGCTGTCGTCTTCTCCTCTTTCATTTTGAGCGGCCGAACTCTCATAGCGTACTTCAGTCTGGCATTCATAGCCTTGACTCGCGAGAACTGACTCTATTGACGGGGCGTTCTAGATAGATGCCATCATGGCTTATGGTAACATAGATGGTATACACAAGATCAAGGCTCGTGCAGTACGCCTGGGTTGATACAAATTTTGAGTCCCACCAGGTTTCTCGCCCATTCACAGCCTCCGCCAACCCTTTCACACGTATATCAGACCTCCATTGATGGTCTAGAAGCTCGAGAGCTGATCCCGCTTGCAATCAAGCTTGTGACCGTCAAAAACGGCGATAGTAGCTCACGTTGAGACATAACCTGATGTGATGGAATAACAAGGCCATGTTAGTGCTACACTTTCCACGTCCACCGATGATCTTCTCAGTAGCAGCAATGGACCGAGCATATCGAGAGCACCATAGTCTAACAAAGATCGATGTTTCCCTGGGAGTCTTGGCCCATGATCTCCTTTCTACCACTGGTTCGGGCATGTTTCAAGCCAGTATTGTTTATAGGATAGACAGGTGAGCTTAGAGTGTGCTTGATACTGGATCTTTGATTGCTGGTTCCAATTACAGCCGATGAACAATGATGGATCAAACAATCATCTCATTCATAAATCTGGCCAGTATGCCGTCACACCTCTTAGGACATACAGTTCCGCTAGTATATCATCATCACACCATCACCTTAGTCTTTCCTTGCTACGGCCCTGCTCAGATCAACAGGGTGTGGTCTTGGAGCTCTCTATGCTAAATTCGTCGACAATATCAGCATTCTTATGCCACAGCCTCCATCGACTGACGGCCGCTCTTTTGAGAAAGACAGGTCAGACAGCTCCAGCATAGTCAACGCTGCAGGAAGTGTAGGATGCGAAGGGCATACCCATGCTGTCCTGAAGCCGTTTCCCACATCGACAGCTATGTGAATCTATGTCGATACCAATCGTTTGAGTATCACATCCTTCTCCGATCGGTCGACAAGATTCACATGTCAGTTTTGTGTCTGTGACTTGTCTCGACGTTCTTTGGCTGCGCTAAGCCGCTTCCGCGCGCATCACTCGAATCTCTGCATCCTCCTCAACGTCAATCTTACAACATTTACGCCTACAACAACATCACCAGCGACCACCCGACCTATTCTCGACTGCATTTAGCCTCTACTGGCTGCATTCCAACCTAGCGCTCAACACGATTCCAACCGTACACGCTTTCACTTCGGCCTCAAAGTTGAAGTAGTACTTCGCTGCTCCAACAATCGCCTCTAATCTCACCTGCGCGCCTGGTAAGCAACTTCCGTAGATCGAGCATCATCCAACACTTTTACTGAATCTGTTACTTCCTAGTACCGTATAGCCGCAGCGTAGCGCACCATCCAGTAAAAACATTCAARGTTCTTCAGCATCGACACCATAACATCACCATCAACAAGCACATCAAGATGGAGAGGTCACTCGAGTATATCCGTAATATATACCTCCAGCTCTCAATTACGACCAGAAGCACTCCAATCAACACTTCTCACCTTCTCGAGATCCCACAGGAGTTGCGCGACCAGATATTCTCATATCTTCTGCCAGACCKGGTCGAGATTGATATCATGGATAAGTCAAGCCCTACCTCAAGCAACCCAACCGTCCAAGAGGCCTTGATGAGGCCCTGCGCTAGTCGGACCACCTGTAACGTKCTGCGCAAGGTATGCAAGAAGACTCGAGCCGACATAGAACTGCTTTTAGACGAGCAAGTTGGAAAGCTCACACTGGTCCACGACATGTCCCGTCACATTCCTCACCAGTTAAATTTCTCACGTATGGATCAGAAAGTTCTCCAGCAAATCAACCACATCGAAGTACGCCAGTGCTATGGAACTAAGCACAGTCGTCAAATGGTGAGCTGGAAAAATTCGGTCTACCGCGCGCACCAGACCTCGTCTGACTTTGGAATTTGATCGTCGCCCGCTGAATCCCAGCGAGTTTGACCTCGCCGCCGTCAAGTGGCATGAGTACACCGGGGAGAAACACGCGCGCCTCAACCTTCAGGATCAAGACCTCTTCAAGGAACAGATCGAAAGCTTCGTCGCCCGTCGGCTGCAGTATATGCCACACCTCCATCGATCCGATCCCGACTTATTCACCAAGGTTCTGGACGTACGCCACGTGTTGGGATTCTCTATCTCATTAATCTTCAACAAGAATCCAACCATGTGCATCTCCAGCAAAGTGCGGTATGCTGGGAAGATGAGCGTTCTCCGGAAGCTAGACAGCATTCTTCACAGCGAGGTCATGGAGGATTGGGTGCCCATCGGCGTGACCAAAAGCTTCTTGGTCGACAATTTGCTGGTTTACAACAACTGGAACCGTTGGGTTCGTTCTTTGAACGACGCAATGGGATCTACGGTCGTTGGATCGATGCCATAGTGGAGGCTGAAATGGTGCAGATAAAGGGAATGCGCGGATGGAAGTGTTGTAGGAGGAGTACAATGGGGCATGGAACGAGCAACATGTTCACCTCCTGCTTGACATAACGCTATGCATGGAGGGGGTCTCACAAGCCCAAGATCAGTGGGCCTGTTGCAAGCGAGCCTTGAGAAAGACTTTGAGACGACTTGTAATGTCATCTCTTGATGGATGCTTCCGACATTGATGGGCACTCGAGGCATAGCTTATTATGCTTCTCATCTCTTGATTCGACAGGCGCGGGATTGAAGACCTCTCATTATAGCCCGTTGATATGGCTTACAGCAAGGTGCGAGGACATGCCTGACGCATTTCCAATCAGAGAAACTCAGTCTTTACACGCGTAACACTGCATGCTTCTTGTACCTCTGTCGTCATGTCTTCCAAAGTGGCCTGAGGTGTCTGTTTTGCCCGCCAAACCCGCCTAGCGCCAAGAGATATTCCTCGCGCGTAGCTGGCTTAGTTTCTTGACCGTCAACAATCAACCCTCGACAATTTATTATCTCCTGCAACATCAACACCTCCATCGACACCCCACTCTCGAGTTGAAGAGATCCATTCCACTCACACACCATGGCCTTCAACGTGGCCCTTCTCCAAGACATCCGTCTGCTGGTTTCCTGCTCCAACGGGACGGGCGAGGATGTCTTCACCATCAACTGCACGAGTCCTCAAGAAGTCCGCGACATTTGGCACTCCATCGAGGAGGGCCAAACCGCCTACTTCGCAAAGGTACGGATCTCCAAAGCTGCACTACATCCAAGCGAATCATGCTAACATCTCCAAAGCTGCGCGCCACTCACCGCGGCCTCTACAAGATCCGCCTCGACCTCGCAAACGACTTCTCTGTAACTTCCGACCCAATCTCGACTCTGTCGCGCGAGCTCCCCAACCCGATCCCGGCCTCCATGATCAGCCACGTGGAGCGCTTCGAGATCTGCGAACCTATCCTGCACACCCACCAGCCGCCCGCCTCTTCAGAGCGCTACGACTGCCTCCGCCGCTTCACCTTTCAATTCCAGCGCAAACTCGACGGACAATGGGGTGTCCTCCCTGTGATCTGGCAAGTCCTCAAGACCAAGAATCCTCCTCTGCAAGAACACATCGCGAGATACACGGAAGCCACCATCACCCGGAGCATGCGCGAGGCTATTCAGGACGTCCTTCTCCTCGCCCACAAGGCGGATCCCAAAGCCCCGCTTCACCCAAAGCTACTGTGGGACTTGCAGCAGGCCATTGCGAGAGGCACAATGGACGAGCCTGGTGAGTTGCCGCCTGATCTACCAGTGAGCAGGTTCGGGGAGTATGGAAAGCGATTGGCGGGAGTCTTGGTCGGAGAGCAGCAAGGCGTTATGCCGGAGGCTCCCCCGATGGTTCAGACGGCAAAGTTTGGGGAGTACGCGCAGCAATCGAGACAGAAGGCTGCGAGGATGTATCGGTCGGCGTGTAGGGATGGGGTCGACAGTGTGTGGGAGGAGTTGTTGTGAGTGATTCAAGTGAGGGGAACACGAGGGGGAGGAACGGGTGGTTGTCTCTTACTGATGAACCCACATGCTTGACTGTCTTGCTTTGCAGCGGAGCATGGCGTTGTTTGGATCAAGGGTGTGCTTTTAGCAGAGAGCGTTTATACCATTGCTTTCTTGTATATGACTGATGATTCTGTATAGCAGGCGTCCTTGAAGATTCCCTCGCTGCGTGTTGGGCTAAGAAGCTTCTTCCATGGTTCATATTGCTCAGTCTGCTGAATCCACGATCATCCCAGTCTCTCTTCTCATACCTCAGCAATAACCCAGAATTCTTCTCTGACAATATCGTTTGTCTTGGTGCGCTTTTCACCGTTTCTACCGACCTACATTGTCGACACGCTGGCTTTTCTACATGCAATGCCTGGCAAATCCACCGCGTACGGCCCGATGTCGACACAACTTACAATGATGGCAGTGAAGGTTCTGTCGGTGGGCGACCGAGATACGCAGCTCGCCGAGGTGACGAAGTTCCATCCTGCCATGACCGAGACACAGTCCCTGACATTTTATCTTAGGGTAGGGTTCACTCCGAAAGACATCTACTACAACCAGAGGAGCGTACGCAGCCAGCCACTTTCGATCTACATCTATAGACCAAATGACCTATATGGGATCCTTCCCATCTTGCATCAAGACGAATTCCATCAGCTTTCCATCCCGTTCTTCCGAGGGACGATGAGTGGCCTGTTGGCAGTACAAATGTAGAGGGGCTAGGAAATGCCGAGATATGTTCGTCGTCAGAGCCAAGCGATCGCCGCAATTCCTCTTGGCGACGGCTGGAGTCATTTCCTTTCGATTTGGAAGTCTGCAATGCGGCTCTTTCGGCGACGTCAATACTCGCAGCCAACTCGGTGACCATCACACTTGGATCAGACTCTACTTCAGCTTTCTTCCAATAATGCGACCTACCAGCTGAGCCTCCGAGGTTCTCCTATAGTCGGAGCCCGAAAGATCACCACTGAATGAGATAGCTGCTCAACGCCTGCAGCAGTTTCCCGTCGATCGCAAATATTTTGGGCAAAGACTGGCTGTACAAGCGATTTAAAAGTAGCCTTATACGCTTATAAGATACAGGTCATCCAGTGGAATGTTGCATAGACCAGTCTGGATGCAGCTTCAAGGAAGATTGGCTCGATCTACGAGATTTTATCTCCAACTGAGACATCTGTTCCTAGGACTCTATATGCGGTGGCAGATTTCCAGCTTGGCCCTCACTGGACATGCAGCGAAGCTGACAGCATCAGCAGTCGGGAAAACTTTCTTCAAATCGCCGCAAGGTCGCTAGAAATGCGACTACTGGACAAATGTATTGACCGTTCTCCTGGGTGCATACAACCAGGACAACAAGGCCTGGCCTTGTCGTGACTACATCATTTATCAGTCTACCATTGTTGTATCCGGTTCCACTCGCTCGGGTGAACCATCCACAAGTCAAAACAAGCATCTCACGACCGGACTGGCGGCAATTCCCGACGATTCGGTCTTTGTACCATTTCATTGTCTGCGCAAATCTCTACTGGATGCAGAAGTTGGCCCAAAGTCTCAGGCAGGATCGAGACTTTTATCGAACAAAGGGAGAGATATGATCGAAGGAGCCTGGCCAACCGATAGCACCGAGGAACAGCCCAAAGAATGGACCAAACGCAGAGTACACCACAGAATGCCATCCTTTGAGATGGCATGAGACTAAACATCAAAAGCACTGCGTTACTACTCCAGCGCTTCTCGATCGAACAAGTCGACATCTTGCAACGATGAGGGTCTTGCAGTCTCTTTCACTTTTCGCGGCTACGGCTACGGCTCTATCATCCGCAGAATGGCGCTCACAATCCATCTACCAAATCGTCACAGATCGGTTTGCAAACGATCAGGGAACAACAACACAATCATGCAACCTTGGCAATTACTGCGGAGGAACGTATCGTGGGATCATCAACAAGCTCCCTTAMATCCAAGGAATGGGCTTCACAGCCATCTGGATCTCTCCCATTGTCAAGAACATTGATGGTCCAACAGCTTATGGCTCTCCCTACCACGGCTACTGGGCATCAGACCTCTACGCTCTCAACACCGCATTCGGAACAGCATCTGATTTGAAAGCCCTTTCAAACGCTCTACACACTCGGGGAATGTACCTCATGGTCGACGTAGCACCCAACCACTTTGCCTTCAACGGCGCTCCCGCCAAAGTCGACTACACCAAACTCATCCCCTTCAACGACATCTCCTACTATCACCCCTACTGCGCAACAGACTACAACAACAGAACAAGTATTCAACAATGTTGGGCAGGAGACACAGTTGTCTCCCTCCCAGACCTCCGCACCGAGAATGCAGCCGTCCAACTCGGCATGAACAAATGGGTCGGCGAGCTGGTATCAAACTACTCCATCGACGGCCTCCGTCTCGACAGCGCCATGGCCATCAACCCCGAATTCTGGCCTGGATTCATCTCTGCATCGAATGTATACGCTATCGGTGAAGTGCTGGATGGTAACCCCACGACATTCAGCGCTTGGCAGAAAGTCATGCCCGGTATGTTGAACTATCCCGCTTACTACTGGATCATCCGGGCATTTTCAGCCAAAACGGCCACGATGACGGAGTTGGCGAATAACATCGGGTGGTTGAATACCGTGGCGCCAGATACGACGTTGTTGGGGAATTTCCTCGAGAATCATGATCAGCCTCGTTTTGCATCTTATACGAAAGATGTGGGATTGACGAGTAATGCGGTGGCGTTTACGACTTTTCATGATGGAATTCCGGTGGTGTATTATGGACAGGAACAAGGATTTTCTGGTGCTCAGGATCCTTTCAATCGAGAACCTTTGTGGCCGAGTTTGTATTCCAAGACGGCCATGTACGAGTTCATTGCAAAGTTGAATGCTGCGAGAGCGGTGGCCATCTCCAAGGATGCGAGCTATGCGGGTACAAAGTCGAAGGTTGTGTACAGTGATGAAAAGGTTGTTGTATTGAGTAGAGGATCCACTGCTTCTCCTCTTCTATCCCTCATCAACAACTACGGTAGTGGAGGCTATGCATCCATCATAGTCGATGGCCTCCCGGGAAGTGTCTCCTGGACAGATCTCTTGACTTGCAACGTCTTCACCTCCACTTCGGCAGGAAAAGTAGCTCTCAGCGTCGTCAACGGTGCCCCACGAGCCCTCTACAGAACCGATAAGCTAACCGGCAGCGATCCCTGTGCATCCGCATCAACGCCCACGAAAAGCACAACCACCACAATCACACCAACAACCGCAACCAAGATCTCTACAACCTCCACCGCAGCCCCAACCCCAACAGCAATAACCTGCCCAGCCTCCAACGGAACAACCTACAACCACGACTCCGGCCGCTCCTTCGTCATCGAATGCGGAATCGACCACGCCGGCGGCGACCTCTCAATGCTCTACGTCAAAAACCTCACCCAATGCATCCAAAAATGCGCCACAACCCCTCTCTGCACAAATGCCGCCTTATCAGGAACAGCCTGCTACCTGAAATCCTCCCTGGGAAAAGCAATCTACAACGGCGTCCAAGGCGCCCGTCTCATCCCTTGCACTCCCGCCACAAGTCTTTCCGTGACATTCAATGTCAACGTCACGACGGCTTGGATGGAGAGTATTGAACTTTTGGGATCGGATTCTTTGATTGGATTTTGGAATGTTTCGAATGCTGTGGCGCTGGGAAGTCAGGCGTATAGAGCTGGGAATACGATTTGGAATGTTACGGTTGATGAGGTGCCTGCGGGGACGTATTTGGAGTATAAGTTTTTGAGGGTTAATGGTACGACGGGTGGGTTTGTGTATGAGGGGGGAGCGAATAGGAAGTTTACGGTTCCGAGTGGGGGGTGTGCGAAGGGGGTTGTTGTTAATGGGACTTGGCAGGGGTAGATTTTGGTGAGAGGGATGAGGAGAAGGTTGTATATAGTGACGGGTGAGCTGTATGATTGTATTCCCACAGAATGTTGTCTGCGAGTGAAGTGTGCTTAGAAGAATGTTGACCGGAAAGTCACGAGTTGAAAGCCTGGCTCATAGACGTGTGTCGACCATCCGTTGACCTAACCCATTGGACGCCAGCGATCCCACGTCACAATTGAACAGATCTCAAATGCTTGATCATCTGCTACGTACATGCATCCCCAAATCGCACAGTATATAGCGCCCATAAGGTTGGGGAAAGCCAAGCAGACACTACCCCAACCCTAACCCTAGCTCGATACCTGGATACTGGCTCCGAACCCTTGAATTGATACAGCATGCTACTCGATGCGAGTTGTCGACCTCCAAGAATGGAATCCTATCGATACACATCATTAGTAACCCACGTGCATCGCCTAGAATCGACGAGAAGAAAGGGCCGAATTGGAATGTTGAGAAGGATGCATCCAGTTATGGAGCCAGAGAGCTTAATGGGTTTGCGGCGTATAGCTCAGCTCATGCATTCCTCTCGGTCGATATCTCAGCTCAACGATATTCCAATTGCATCTCTCTATGTCCACTTGCAAAGGGGAAAATGCAATAGAATCAAGGTAGAGGCCGGTCACGATTAGCTCACGGACAGCACTTCCTCGCAAACTCTAAGAAAAGCACAAGTCTTCTCGTCCCGCAGTGACACAAGCCGAATCCTACCCAATCGTTGACTACGATGTATGTGGCTGGCGTTACCATTCAATCAATACCATACCTATCAATGAACACCATCCTTCAAAGCAGCGTTATCGTTCCCTCTCGAAATAGATCCAAGACGGACCTTCTATGCATGGAAGGCCAGAGAATCGATTCTCGTGCGTGACAACAACAGATGCCATGCGTCGTTGAATGTAGACGTGCATAGTAAAGATCCGTAATGGCGTTTGACCTACAGCAGATCTCGCTCAACGTAGATTTTCGGTGCAGGTTACATTCATCGATGACGCCGAGAATAGATGTTGTATTGCCGCTGATGGAGTACGGATGTTGTTCCGGCGGTAGATATGTATGCATGCATGCATACAGCGTGTCAGGATGTTTCGATAGCATGTCGCTCTTCACAGAAGATGTTTCCGTGCATAGTGATCCCAGGATCCAATCATTCTGTAAGCACCGAACAATGGAATCAATGATAAGATTGAAGACGCGGAACCCCGACAAAATCTAGGAATAGAGAAGAGATTCTCGTCGATATTCTGTGGTAACACAGGATGCATGATTGACAAGAAGTGACAGGTACAATGGAGATATCCCTGCGTTCCAGACAGAAACAAGCGCATCCGGGTGTTCCATAGACCCTGGTAGTTCGGCTGGGCGAATGTCGGTTAGGTTAGGGTTGTGACTGCATTCCGCTCCTCAAACGATTAGGGCAGCAACATTATCCACCGACCCTCTACCCCAGATCTTTCAAAGTCAGCTTATCATGACCCACGACATGTCTCACTTCAAATAACATCGACCAGCAATACCTTTAAATTTTATACCCTTCTTCACCATGTGTTCGGCAATTTTCTCATACCGCCCTCCGAACCCTGCATCCTGCCACGCCCTCCAAGCTTTCCCTCGACCAATCATATACGTCTTATATATATTGCCAAGCCACAGCCCCGCACACACCACGTGTGAGCATTGATACCCGTCCGGAGCTGCCGCTGCATCGGGTCCTTCTTTCGGTTGATCAAACGCTCGCACCTTGCCTCGTTTATATTATTATTTCGCCGTCTCCAGAAAAAGAGCAAGATTGTGAAAAGGTTGAAAGGGTCTCTCGCTGCCCCGGATTTTCCTGATGAAATCTTGCGGATCACATCACACCAGATCAACAAAGGACCCGGACTATTTCCTAACTACAATCATTTTGAGACCCGTGATTTCGCCGGGAGATCCTCCGCAGTCTCTGGAACCTTGAGGCGGAGAGGGGATACAAGCTGAAGACCTCTCGCTGCTGGTTGATTGCTGCTTATTTGGCTGTTGATTGCTTTGGCTTGAAAGATGGGAGAAACCATCAACAGGATGAAAGATCGAGTGACTCCTTCACCACCGGAATCCTCGCATTTCGACGAGAAGATGGGCGAGACGGCGGTACATGAAGATGTGGTGGCGGCGAAGGGCGAGGGAAATGGGTGAGTCGGTCGTTTGGTGAATGCAGGTGTTGAAGAGACAAGCCATTCCTGACTTTGAATGATCAGATCCTCCCACAATGGCCTTCCTGCCCCATTCACAGTCGACGTGCAAGCAGAAACTCGACTTCGCAGGAAGATTGACTGGTACATTGTCCCGACCGTTGCGATACTGTACCTATTCTGCTTCATCGATCGGGCGAATATTGGTTTGTCCCATCAATGTCACGAATACTCACACCTCTTCTGACACCATTCCCAGGAAATGCACGACTCGCCGGGCTGGAAAAGGACCTGAAAATGAACCCCAAGTCTTACGACTACAACATCGTCCTCACCACCTTCTACATCTCCTACATTCTCTTTGAGATCCCCGCCAACATTGCCTGCAAAGCCATCGGTCCCGGCTGGTTCCTCCCCGCCACATCGCTCGCCTTTGGTGTCCTGACTGTAGCATGCGCTTTCGTCAACGACAGGGCCCAAATCTGCGCCGTTCGCTTCCTCCTGGGAATCTTCGAAGCTGGAATGCTCCCCGGAATCGCATACTACATGTCCCGCTGGTACCGCCGCTCCGAACTGGCATTCCGTMTGGCGATGTATGTAGTCATGGCACCTCTCGCTGGAGCTTTCGGAGGACTCTTCGCCTCGGCAATCCTCACCCTCAACCAATTCGGCTCGGTATCAGACTGGCGCATGATTTTCGCCATTGAAGGAATCATCACCGTCGGAGTCTCCCTCATCTCCTTCTTCACCCTCACCGACCGTCCCGAAACCGCCATCTGGCTCACCGCAGAGGAGAAAGCTCTCTCAATTGCTCGAATTCAATCCGAAAGGACAGCGGGAACCGCAGTGCTCGATAAGCTCGACAAGAAGAAGCTCAAAGCTGGAATCCTCAACCCCATCACCCTCTCCGTCAGTCTCATCTTCCTCTTGGATAACATCACCGTCCAAGGTCTCGCCTTCTTCCTCCCCACCATCGTGCGAGGAATCTACCCGAATGTCTCCCGCGTGCAACAACAACTCCGTACCGTACCCCCATATGCCGTCGGAGCCGTCACCACTCTCCTCTCAGGGTACGGATCCAGTAAGATGGACCGCCGAGTCATCTGGTACATTGGCAGTGCTCCTCTCATGATGATCGGCTACATCATGTTCCTCGCCACCGACACCACCGAGGGCCTGACTCGCTACGGCGCAACTTTTCTCATCACCGTCGGAGCATTCAATTTCGGCGCTCTAGCCAACGCGCAAGTTTCCGCCAACGTCGTCTCCGACACTGCTCGTTCCTCTGCGATTGGAACGAATGTCATGTTTGGCAATATTGGAGGGCTTATCAGTACCTGGAGTTTCTTGGCCGATGATGCGCCGAATTATCCTACGGGTAATGGATTGAATCTCGCTACTGCGACTTGTATTTTGCTGCTGAGTGCTGGATTGTGGGTGTGGATGAGAAAGGATAATCAGAAGAGGGATGAGGGGAGGAGTAAAGTCAAACATGAGGATTTGGTGGGTATGAGTGAGATGGAGGTCGAGGATTTGGATTGGAGGCATCCGGATTTTAGGTGGAAGCCTTGAGGTGTTGATGTGTTTATTGCTGGTTGCTGCTGGTTGGGTTTTGGGAGATGTGGGAGGAAGAGAAGGGTTTGGGAGAGAAGAAGAGGGAAATGCTCGCTGCTGCTGCTGTTGACATGCGCATGTGTACTGATGATGATAATGGAACGCGGAATGCAATTCCTATTCTGCTGGTCTTTCATCATAGCATGATTACAAAACGACGAAAGAGAGAAAGAGAGAGAGGTATGTTCACTAATATCTTCTTCCGCTACAAGCCCACCACTTTTCTTCCTCCCCTCACAGCTTTTTCATATCGTGGTCGACAGCGCTAAAAGCATGTCGATGACATACCATCACCGAGCTCCGGCATCTGAACCTTGGATCGGGAGTCACACGCACATGCACCCGGACTTGACTCCTCTTCAGACACCGTCATTCCGCATACAAGAGATGGGATGGCATGCAAGCGTCAAAGCGGATTTCCACGGAACAGATCGCCACCAGCGGCTGGGCGGCAGACGTTGAACTCAATCTCACGACCGAGTGCACTTTCTACCGAAACGTGGTTCCTATTATTCCTGGGGATCTGTTTCACTGTCGTCATCTTTTCAACTCTCTCACACATTGAAAAAGTTCCTTACTGTCTTTCGAGTCAACGCTGATATCATCTCCGGAAGCTACGGCATGCAAGGATTAAAGGTAAGACGCTTTCCCTCAACCTCCCCGTCTTCATTCCCTTCCCGTCTAGCCTCCTCCACGGTGAGTTTCCCACTCCTCGCCCTCGTGGCTGGCGCAACAGCTCAAAACATGATTCTCACTTCCCCCGTTCCCTCAATACCAGGCGGATCTCTTCCAGCAGGTCTCGCAGGCCCCGATACCGCAGGATTCGGCTCCAATCCAATCGGCCTGCCTTCCCACGGTGGTGAGGCTGTCTGCGTTTCTGGAGTCATCCCCGTCGAAGCCAGCGCCATGAACTTGAAATTCAACTTCGGAATCCCTGCGAATTAGACGCAGGTTACAGAGAATTTCCTGGAATACATCCATCACTCAGGGATCGACGTTTATGAAGAAGAATATGGGTGGCATGCAAGCTGTGAATGAAACCTATCAAAATTGGTGCTACGCTTTGCACGCAGGGGAATGAGACCAAACCTGCAGACGTGCAAACTTTAACACATGGTGTTGGATTTGATCATTCTTATTGGGTGAGACTCGTTCAAGACAGTCTAGTATGCCGTTTGAAACTAACAATGATATGCAACATTCTTTACGACCGTCTCGCCACCGGAGTCTCCTCCAAACCCGACGGCATCAACGTCGCTTAAACCCCTCTTGAATGAGAAGTCCTCCACAGCCTCGTCGAAAAGCTCAAGTCCGGCGCTCTAAGCAACAACTCCTTCCAAACCATCATCGGAGCAAGCCATTCCTACGGCTCAATTCTCACCCAAGCCTTGACATCTGAATACCCCTCAGAACTACGTACCACTCCCCCAAACCCCCCCCAAACCCTCCTATCCTCACTAACTTTCAGAGAAAAAAAAACAGACGCCGCAATCCTAACCGGCTTCTCAACAAACTCCACCGCCCTCCCCGTCTTCCTAACAAGCCTAAACACTCGCCCTCGCAAACTAAAACCAACCCCTCCGCTTCCCCACCCTCCCAAACACCTACCTAGTCTTCTCGTCCTCAATCTCCACCCGAATCAGCTTCATCCGCGCTCCAAATTTTCGACCCTCTAGAGAATCCTCCACGCCGCAGAATCCAGCAAAAGCCCCGTGTAACTTTCGGCCAGCTCTTCTCCCAACAAGCCATCGGAGGTGTCGCGGAAGCCTTCAAGCAGCCTGTGGCTGTGGTGAATGAATGGGGCGGAGGATTTTACCTTTTTGTTTTTGGGAATTTGTACGTTTCCTGTTAATCTCTCCGAGCGGGTTTTTGGAGATGTTGGATCCGGATGGGCGAGGTTCGGGAGGGGTTTTTGGGGAGTGGGGGCGGGACATGGGTTGAATTTGCATTTTTTTTCTGCTGGGGGAGCGTTTTGTTGGATTCAGGAGTTTGGGAGGGGGTTTGTTGGAGTTGGGAGGGCTTGAGGAGGGGATTGGAGTTGTGATGGGTGTTGTGATGCTTGTGGTTGGCTTTGGTATTGTATTTCTTGATGTTTAAGTACACAGGCCTTCTCACTATAGTTTCTGGCCTGCGATTACTCTTTATGACGCCATTAATATCTACTTTCAGACACTCCACGACGAAGCCAAGCAACGTACTACACTCCAGATACACTCAATCCTTCACTCCACAGTGACGACGTGCTCTACTCACCTCCATTAGATGGACGGACGACTGATTGAATGAAAGTGATCACTAACTCCTTCCTCTGATACTCGTCGGATCACCAGCAATGTAGATGGACTGTAAGTCATCACCATCTGGAAATACTCTACTACATTAAACATACATCATGTCGCGGATTGCCGGGGTGGTTTCCGGCATGGTTTCTTTTGAGCTTTCAGGATCTGCTTGGCAGTCCAACCTCGATCAACGTTTTGAGGAAAGACACAGGGTCCATGCACACAACATGGACATCAGTGTGCTTGTTGGTTCGGTTAAGTTGGTTATTGGTAGCTAACCGGTTAGTTACTAATTGGTATGGTTAGCATCTTTTGGCCTGTTAGTTGTAGTTGGTATGGAGTAGGTTAGTTACCGGTAACTAACAGGGAACTGTTCCGATTAGCTCCATTACCCTCGGAGGTCCGTAACCTTAATGTTCCGGCAAGGGCTAGAGTAAGTGATTAGCTGTATATAGCATTATTATTATCAATTCAATGCCGTTCGGTGGCTGGCTAGTTATAAGTTAAGGCGTAACTAATGTAGTTACTCTTAATCCGGACAWTGCACTATACAACTATACTTCCCTACCTATACGTATTACTATCTAAGGAGCGCGGTATATACGCTACCTTACTGTTACTAGCGTAAAGGACCTAAGAAAGCGAAAGAGCGCGATATAGCAATACGGTAAGCAGTTGGTAAAAGAGGCGGACGGCGTGAGTGCCTAGTACTACTATTACTACGAGCGTAAGGGCCGGAAGCAAACTCTACCAATTCTTAATGGCAATTAAGGGCCGCTCTACCACCTCTTAAGGGAGCATAGTATCGATAAGGAGGGTAAGAAGGTGTTAAAACCGGAGCGTAAGGCTAGTGTTGCTACTATAATGCTGTCGCTAGTTACCGTTAAGAGCCTCGAGAGGTTTAAGAGCCTACTTGTTCGCTAGGTTATGTATTACTACATCTCTTTCCGTATGCTCGAAAACACGTACTTTCGCGCCCTCGTCTCTTTTATAAACAGTAGCCTCGGTGGCCTCTTACTACGCGCTACTTCGATAATTCGATAGTAGGTATTAGATAAGTATAAGGCGCGAAAGGTCGTGTTGCAGGTAGAGATGCTAGATGCGCTAAGCGACATCTATGTGTCGTTTGATAGCTAGACGAGTCCGAATAGCTACTTAATCCTTAGCATTAATGCACACTTTATCGATGCGAAAGGGAAGCGTAGGACAGAGCGACTAGCCTTTAGAAGGATCCGCGGCGAACATACTAGCGATAATATCGGTACGAAGCTGCTTTAAGTAGTTAGAGAGTGGAACATTAGAGGGCGGATTAGATACTTTATCGCGGACAACGCTAGTAACAACGATCCGGCTATTAATTTCGTCCTTAGTACGCTCTATCTAAAGATAAGCGCTAAGCACCGCAAGGCGCGTAGGCTAAGGTGTCTTAGCCACATTATAAACCTTATTACGAAGGCGATGTTGCTCGGTAGGGGTAGTAGCAAAGCGATAAAGGATTTAGAGCGCAATATCGAAAAGGGCGCTTTTGAGAAAGTTAAGGAGTTCTAGCGTAACCGTGGAGCCGTTAGACGCCTACACAACATTATTAAATGGATTAGAGGGTCGACAAACCGGTTAGAGGCGTTTAAGAAGGTGCATTACAGTAGTATAGAGGCGGTGATGTTTAATAATCTAAAGGTAAGTCTAAGAAAGTGGGTCTATACCGTTCCGGAGGTAACTCCGCTACTAACTCCGGTAAATCCGGAGCAATTCGTCCTTGCTTTCTTACTAACTTTCACTAACCTTACTAATTACTACTACCCTTATAGCTTATCTAAGACAACTCTACGCGGTAGAACTCCTTCTACTACATGCTCGGAAGGGCATAGGACGTTAGAGAGCGAATTACCGAGTTCTATAGGCTCTATAGGACAGATAGAACCATCCGTAATAATGCACTAACACTAAACGATTAGGAACAGATTAACCGGCTTTACGACGCTCTACACGTGTTCGAGCTTACGATAATAAGCACTTAAGGCAACGAGAAGTACCTACACGACTAGTACCCTACCCTCTAATTTACGCTCGATTACACTAGCAAGTACTCCGTAGAGTTCCGAGAAGAAGCGCTACATAATAACAGCTTTAGCTACCTATTAGGCTACTATAAGCATGCATAGCAAAAAGCTAAGAAGTACTAGAAGCTAGCGGATAATACACTAATCCTGTATATAGCCGTTGCCCTTAATCCAACTCTTAAACACGGCTAGTTTAAGGACCTCTAGGGTATAGGAAATGAGGAATAGTAGGGCTATATCGAACAGGTGCGGAGGTTGGTTAAGGACATATAGATAAACGACTACCGGCCGGCTCTAGTGTTACTAACTGCTATTACCGTAACGCCGGTAGATAGTAAGGACCTCCGTGACCATTTGTTCAGTTTTAAGCGTCGTAAAACAACAGCAACTACACGGCTTAATACACTCGATAGCTACCTATCTATCGACTACGTACACGATACTAAAGAGGCTCCACTAAACGTTCTAAATTAGTGGTTTAAGAGACGACTCTTAGAGCCAGAACTAGCCAAGTTTGCCTTTAACACGCTAGCAATACCACTTATGTTAGATGAGCTAGAACGCTCGTTTTCAGACGGCCGTGACATAATTACCTACCGCCGGAACCGCCTTTAAGAGCAGATAATTAAAGCATGCAGTTGTTTAAAGAGCTAGTATAGTTTACTATAGCAGGATGCTTTTAATAAGGACGACGATAAGGTAATTAAGCAGTGGGATATTGCTAAGAAAGCTGCTATTGCACAGAAGGAGGTTATAGAGCTCTCAGAGCAAGAGGAGTCGCTTTTTGTACACTAATTGCCTATTTAGGAAGCTGGTAACTATTGGTTAAGTTGGTATTCACTTCAGAAGCAGTTGGTTGGTATGGTTAGAGCCCTTCACTAACCGGTAACCAAACCAACAAGCTCACTAATGGACATATCATCATGTCAAGTTACATTTTGCCAAGAACCATCGTGCTGGAGATCGTATAGTTCCATGGAAGCTTTACACAGGGCTGTCGCCAAGACTGTGACCTCACTCCCTCTTGTTCCTTCTTAGGTATGCTTCCCAACCTCTGTTTAGGGAAGTCAAGGGTCCTGCATTTATGTGGCTTGATTGATTGGCTGGAACAGCGGCAGTTTCATGCACAGCATGAATAACTCACACCGGAAGCCACGCCGACGATCCGTGACATGGCACATAGTGACACACCCGATTCTTTTTTTCCATGCGAGTTCAAAATGTAGTCATCTGTTCCGATTTACATTCCAATGCAGGATCTTCTCACGTCAGCTGGTATGTGCCTGCAAGCCTCTTATATTTCCATCATATAGATGAGTTGAGATTCGCACTTCTCAGCCTTATCATCTACCACCGCAAGCCATCGAATCGGATTGAAACCACCAACCAGCAGTCCGAATCCCAACAAATTCAATCAACATGGCCATCATCTTCAACCTCCTCCTCCTCTCTACATCTGTCATGGCAGCAATCCGACCATCCTACCCCGCCCCAACTCCAACGTGTACAACTTCCATCACCAAATCCCCAAGCGAATGCTGTCCGCCAATCCCTGGACACACGACGACTTCCTATACGAACTGCGGGACGTGTGCATTGTATTTCACGACGCCGGGTTTACCTTGCTTTGCTCCTTGTCCGACACCGACGCCGGTTGATGATGCTGTTACGAAGACTGTTACTCGTTGTGGTCGGTAATGATGGGAGGAATGCAGAAGGAGAGGATGAGAGATGGAGGGTTAGATTGTTGGCATTTGGGGTGGGAATGGAATTTGGAGGAAAGACTTGGGGTTACTGGACAATGGCAACTGCATGACTTGCGACTATCAGCTCTCAATCTCATGGCTAGCACGGTGAGGATATATCTTGCCGCTACGGGCACATGCCTCACACCGGTCACCAAGAGCCCCCTCGAAACTCGACGGTCTTGATCTGGAGGTCTGGTCTCCCTGGGATGCGATATGTCGTTTCAACTTGTCTTTGTAGCCTCATCACTCGGAAATGATTGGATTCTCTTTCAGCTGCAAGCATGTCTTAATTTCTTTGTCCAAACTGGTCTTGGCATGTGACTCTCCACATTCAGGTCTCAATGAATGGCCATCACATGCCAATCGAACCCGTTCCATAGCTACTGCAGACGTAGACATCAACAGCAAGAACACATCACATAACATCTGCAACTGACCGATCATCATGAGGGTATTCTCACTCCTCTTCGCAGCGATATCATTTGGTAGCACCTACGCCGACAAAAGCATCACCATCCCCAAGACCGTCCCCGCCGGAGCAGGCAAAGAGGTCGATCCATCCTTTCCAGCTTTCGCCTTTGAAGTATCCTCCTTCTACAACCATTCCTTCGATGCGAATAACAATCCCAACCAATTCGTGGCGAACCTCATCCAAGGAATCCTCGATCGAACAGGTGGAACACCAATCCYCCGCGTGGGAGGAACCTCTGGAGATCTCGGATCTTACGATGCAGCATTGAAGATCCCAGCTAGTCGACCTGCGACAGAAGGCGGTCCGGCTCTTGATCCTCCATATCAACGATTAGGTCCATCATGGTTCAATGCCTTCAAGAACTTCCCCGGCGCCAAATTCGTCTTCATGGTTCCTCTCCGTCAAGACAACATCAAAAACACAATCGAATATGCCCGCAAAGGTCTAGAAATCATCGGACCTCGTCTCGAAGCTTTAGAAATCGGCAACGAACCCGACTTCTACCCCAAATTCAGCATCAAAATGTACGTCGACCGCTTCATCAAATTCGAAACCGCTCTCGTCAAAGCCTTCCCTTCTCTAGATCGGAAAATCTTCCAAGGAATTGAAAAAGGCTGGGACCCTCCCGTCTCCCTCCCAGTCTCCGAAGCCTTTGCCAAAGGAATGAACGCCCAAAACCGCATCAAAGCAGTAGCATATCACTACTACCAACACTCCACGGGCCAAATTCTCCCAGGACAACTCCAATCCCACATATCAAACCACACTCGCACAGTAACACAAATGTCCCTCCTACGTCCCAACATCGCCTGGTTGAAATCCCATCATCCAGATTTAAAATTCCTGATGGATGAAGTGGGTGCTTCCATGGACACGACGGGAAATTTCAATAACCTCGCCACAGCGCTCTGGCATGTCGATTATTTCCTCTACTGCATGTCTATTGGAGTGGATAGAATCCACATGCAACAAATCGTCGCTCCGGGGTTTAATCTCTGGGAACCTGTAGCTTCACACTGGGGGACCTCCTCTCGTGCGAGCGAATTATTACTCGCAGCCTTTTATTGGGGATTTCATTAGTAAGACGCCGCCTAGAGTTTTGAATATTCCGATTCCGGGACAGGATGTTTTGTCGGCTTATGCGGGGTATGTAGGGGGGAAATTGAATAAGATTGTGTTTGTGAATATGAATCTTTGGTTTGGGGAAGGTAGGAGACCGACTGGGAAATTCCATCTTGCGGGTTTGCCGAGGGATGTTAGGAGTGTGAAGATTCATTATTTGACTGCTGGGGAGGGAGCGCAGGCGAATCGTACGCTTACTTATAAGGGGTTGAGGTGGACTTATGGGAGTGGGGGATTGGGGTTCAAGGTTTTGAATGATTCGTTAAAGGTTGATGTTAAGGATGGGAAGTTGGCTGTTCCTGTTGATGCGACTAGTGCTGCTTTGGTGGAGCTGTTTCGTTGAGGGCGGGGGGGTTGCTGTGGTGGAGATACCATAGGAAGAAGTTTTATGCATTCGGTTTATATATCCATCTCTGTTCTCTACCTATATCTCTCTCTTTCTCTCTCTCACTAGCGGAATGGCGACTCGCACATCTAGCATATTCTGTGGTAGTATATTCATCTTCAATATGATAGAGACATGCCTTGTAATGAGTGGTATTAACGTAAACTCTCTGGCGAACGGTCCATGAGACTAAATTCGAAGTATCTGCTTCGAGTAGATGGGGGAAATGCTACTTTGCCGGAAACTCTGCCTCGCTGGCATAGAAACACTATACGAAGACATTCCATTTGGCTTCCGTCTTTCGCGAGATTCGACTGACTGGCATCGTCCGTCGTAGCGTGGTCGCTCGTCTTACACCAGAGATCCATCTCATAACAAGTGGAATGAAGGTCGGGAATTGCGGTGGTAGATTCTACAAGATCCTGCTTGAATTTTTCGCTTTCGCCAGAATGGTCTTCCTTGTTCTCCGAATTGACTAGACACGACGCAAACAATCCACGTAATAATGTGCAGGTGTATATAGAGCACGAGCTTTTCCTTCTTGGGAATCAACACATTCACTCCATCTTTTCCCACCCGAATAAACAAATTCACTCCATCTTTTCAACCCAATACACAAATCCACAATGCCAAATCCCCACTATAAAACTCTATTACCTACTGCCTACAAAGTGAATACAAACGCCATAACATCCAAAACCCTCGCTCCTCCAGACCTGAACTCAACCTTCTCACTCACCCACAACCATCACAACCTCTCTCACCAACACAGTCATCCACAAAGCCCTGCTCCTCCGCTCTCGCTCTCTCAAATCGAACCGCACAACAGAGACATATCAACCATGGATCCACTAGCGCTCGCTCGTGCTGCCGCTGCTAATGTCACGGCGAGACTTGCTTCCGCGCATAAGTTTGAGGCGAATCTGCCTATCAATGATTATGGTCGTGAAGTGCGCGCTTTGGTTATGAAAGGCACTACGCTAGTACGTTTCACAAATTATGAAGAACCAAGTAACTGTTGCTAATATGTGACATTCTAGGCTGAGATCGCCTCCAGCACCAACACAAGCATCACGCAAAAGGGAAGATTCTATCCCACAGGGGAAGAAGCCTCTTGGAGTGAGAAGCTACGTCTTCTCGTTGAAGGACAGACATTCGGGGATGTGGAGATGGCGATGAGGAAGTTGGGAGCGTTGTTACCCGGGGGAGGAATGGCGTTTTCGGAAATTGAAGGGGAGGAAGAGAAGAAGATTCTCTTTGAGCCGAAGAGCTGGAATGTTTTCCGGCTTGTGTTGCCTGGGTATCGCTGTCGGAAATGTCGGGTGGAATTTTGGACTGTGGAGGATGCGAGGGGGCATTTTGAGAGGGATAATGCTGCTGGGTTGTAGAGTGGTGGTATAGAGAAAGGAGTTGTGTGTGAGAGCTTCTTATTCATCGTGGTGCAAATCGAATTTTGACGTCCATCATCTGCGACATTACACCAACCGCCGCTCTGCTACCGTCGAAAGAATCACCGATACTTCCACATCAACCCTTTTTACTTGCTGTAAGCGCTTGCCATCTTCCCTTTTCCACCAACCAGCCACTGCCAGGCAAAGACATGGCTGGCTACAAAAACGCGGCATTCGTTGCGACTGCGTAGCGCTGCAAGAAGGCAATGGCGGATGTGCCTCAATTCCCGCAAGAAGGTCACGGCCGGTCTTCATTGACGGTCCGTCACAATTACCGAATCGAACCGCCACCACACTACCATTATGGCGTTCGTCACCTACACGGAGGATCTTGACTGGCTTAACCTCAGCACCAACAAAGAGAAGAAGAACTATGATGACGAGAATCACCGAGCGCAACTACGACCTTCAAGCTTTCCGAACGCTGACGGCCTATAAATTCACGCCGAGTTCCTCTGCTAACAACGAGGACCTAGTAACGATCCTAGAGATGCAGGAGGTGATCCACCAGAAGACCATTGGTGCCAACTCTGCCAGGAGGGTAGTGAGGCAGCCTTGGGCACCTTTATGGAACATTTTCTCAACTACACCCTCGGCAACGTCGACGATCCGCTCTCGGAGGAGGGAGTAAGTACTACGAGGAAGACAACCGCGGCGATCCCGACAACGGCGACTTTGGCGAACAAGACGGTGACCCCAGCTGAGGCCAAGGCCAAGGGCAAGGGCAAGAAGGCACTCATTGTCAAGGGTGCAAAAAGATATATTGTTGCACTGTATGAAGAAGTGGCTAAGTACAGTTCTGACTTTACGTTACCTAGCTATACCACCTTCCTCCGTAACACTCACTGAGGCCGAAGCGGAACCCCAGGATCACGCGAAATGGCGCTCGAAGCTCCGCACTCTCTAGTCCGACATTAAGAACTATATGCCAAAGTCTACTAAGCGTGTGAGCTTATTAAGGAACTGTTCGATACCTAGGCCGCTAGCTGCACATTAATCCGGAGAGAGATGGCTACACAGTGCACTATTACGGAACTTATGTGTCGGGATTGAAGCTGTTCAACGCSGTCCTCGGAATCAAGGAGGAACCTCAAGACAGTTAGGATGGGAGTCTACGACCAAGGGCAAGGACGATGATGCGGCTGAGCGGGTTCTGAGCGGTAGTCAGGATCCTATGGGCGGTGCTGACCACGACAACCCAGAGAAGGTGGCGGAGACGACGGGAGCAAAAAAGACCACCAAGACTGCGATGGAGAGCGGCGTCGACGAGCTCTCTGGTAGTGCTCACTGCTCAAGATTTTTTCAACGGTGCTGACCACGACGACCCAGAGGAGGTGGAGGAGACGACGGAAGGTCCAGGGAGGCCATCAAGCTGGCGATTGAAAGCGGCGCGTCAAACGCAGACTCATCATCATCACCATCATCATCATCATCACCATCACCATCATCACCACCATCACCATCACCATCATCACCACCATCATCAACATCATCTCCATCGTCGCTGATCTTGCACCAGCGGCCCAGGGGACTTTCCAGGCCCACTGGCCGTTTCCGACCGCATTTGACGTTGATCGGGCGAGATGTCCACTGGCATTCCAACCCTACCACTGGAATTGTCCCACATGATCTTCGCAAACGAACTGCGCCCTGAGTGTGTCAATATCKAGGAGGCTCTCCAGCCTCGTGGCGAGAAGTATTACCGGTACCAAACTGGTGAGAAAGCCCTACAGTCGGTCAACCATGCACTCGGGAGGCTAGTGCGAACCAACTTCAGCGACGAAGGGCAAGTTCATGTGATGGTCCGATGCGATAGTCACTAGTTCCCCTCCAACTGCCCAAAGGATCCGATTCAATACGAGCGGGAAAAGACCGAGCAGACGGGAAGAAGCGTATGCGAGATCATGGTCAAAGAACGGAGCAAAGACGCACACACGCATCATGAATACCAGCATGCGGTTCTGAGTCTGAAAATGTTCGGAAAGTGGTTTGAATCACGAGCGGCGTAGCAATACGGTCCGTCAAGTTCCCGCCTCGACTTCTCGGTGAAGTGCCAGGTGGTGCACGAGCTACTAACGCAGGCGGGAGAAAGTCCTAGTAGCTCTGGAAATAATGGTCCAGAGTGGAAATACAACTGTTTTCTCGACAGTAGAGAAGGGGAACAGCTCATCAAAGACTTGTATGCAACACAGGGTGGCGACTCCTCGGGCCTCATCGCGCAGTTGTCCCAGTCGATGGATGATGACGCGAGGCAAGACGTCGTGATAACGTTGTCAGGACAAGAGTAATATTAAGGAAGAGGGTGTAGGAGGTACTCAATGTGATTGACCGTCGCTGTGATGAAACAACGCCGCAAAATGGAGAGCTTATACGAAGTCCTTCATCGTGGGATGTCGTCCTGTGGTGTTGACTCACTTGCATCACGATCAGGAGGAACATCGATGTTGTTGTAAATACAAAAAATGTAGTTTCCAATCTAGACAACCTGCGATTTCTATACGAAGACCAAGGCACCTAAAAATAAACCCCACCGGATCCAAGCCGATCCCCGGGCCAAGAATTGCCGCCCTCGGCATCCCCGCCAAGGAACGCTCCGAATCGTCCGAATCGTTAGTATTTCTCCTGCCAATGCACATGCCAACGCTGGGCGCCTCGTCATCTTTCTAGACGCATCTCTTTGTTCAACAAAGTCCTTTGATCAGTTTGACAATTCTTACCCCTCTCGTTCCAACATCCATCCAACTCCCACGACAATTCACATTCATTTGGAAAATCGTACCTAATTCTTTTTTAATATGCGTTACTCCACCCTCTTTACACTTGCCAGTGGCGCTGCTGCTCAGTTCCGCGGCTTCAACTATGTACGGAAAAAGAAACTCGCTGGTAAAGGAGATGGAGGTGCTGACGTCGGGTGGGAATAGGGAAACCTCGACTTGGACGGCTCGCCACGAACACAACAGGACTTTGAAAACCAGTTCAAAGCCGCCAAAGCTCTTCCTGGCACGGATGGGAAATTCACCGCCGCTCGTCTCTTCACCATGATCCAGGCCGGCACATCGGGAGACCTCATTTCCGCTATTCAAGCCGCTGTGGATACCGACACCACTCTTTTGTTGGGATTGTGGGGAAGTGCTGGACAACAGGCCTTTGATCTGGAGTTGGTTCGTCTTCCATCACAAGGAGAAGGATGATGAATTGTATGCAGAGCTAATGATGTGTCAAGGCCGCTCTGCAATTCGCCATCGACAACTTTGGTGAGGAGCTTGGCTCTCGTGTTGCTGGTATTTCCATTGGCTCCGAAGATCTTTACCGAAACTCGCCGACTGGCATCAAAAACAAGAGCGGCGCTGGTGCGGATCCCGAGCAGCTGGTCAGCTACATTAGACAGGTCAGGGAGTTGATTGAAGGAACTGCCCTTTCCGAGGCGAGCTTGGGCCACGTTGATACTGTGAGTATATGCTTGGACAAGCATGAGACGGCTTGTGACATGGCAGTCCCGTCTACCATGCTCGTGTATAGGAGACATTGCTAATCGACGTGTCTTTTCATAGTGGACTGCATGGGTCAATGGCTCCAACAGTKCCGTCGTCGAAGCCGTCGATTGGGTCGGTACAGACGCATACCCTTACTTCCAAACCGAGGAGGCCAACAGTGTTGATGTACGTATAATCCCATCGTATTCTCAACCACACCAACTAACACTTCCAGGCCGGTGCGGACCTCTTCTTTTCCGCCTACGATGCTGTCGTGGGTGCCTCTCAAGGAAAGCCCGTGTGGGTGACCGAGACCGGTTGGCCCGTAAAAGGACCCAAGAGCAACGAGGCGGAGACTGGAACATCCGAAGCCAAGCAGTACTGGGATGCCGTCTCTTGCCGTCTCCAATCCATGGATGTTAACTTCTGGTGGTWCACTCTCGATGTAAGTCATCTCAGCCCTGCTCTCTTGAAATTACATACTGACTTTTCTCCCCCAAAGGACGACCAAGCCACATCAGACGACGTATCCTTCTCCCTCGTCAGCCCCTCCGATCTCTTCGGCGAACCACTCTTCGATCTCTCCTGCGACGCCCAATCTTCCTCCTCCTCCTCCTCTTCTTCCAAAATAGCTTCCTCAACAGCAGCCTCTTCCAAACAATCAACCGGCACATCCTCGCCCACAACTCTAACAATGGCCGTACCAATCTACAGCACCCCCTCAGGTTCTCGCCCAGCAACTCTCACTCCGATTTCCACTTCCATGCTCACAACTGTCATTTCCGAAGACGTTACTGTTTCCACTGCTGCTGCTGGCCCGCTCGCTACTGGATATTCTCCTGGAACAACGGCCGGTGGAAATGATACTGTTATTCAGGGTCTGCCCTCTGCTCCTACTAGTTCTATGCCTGTTACTTTTGATGGTGGTGCGGTGCGTGCGGGAAGTGTGGGTGGTTTCGCTGCTTTTGTTGCTGGTTTTGCTGCTTGGGTTTTGTAGATTTTGGGAGATGTGCTATGGTGATTGGAATCATTGGTAGGGTTCGTTGAGAATGCTTGTTATGTACAAAATGTGGCTTTCAGATTTAGAATGTTGTATATGTATACAGAGCAAAGCGAACCTACATGATTTCGAAACCCGAAAGCACCATCAATTAGTCTGTATCGATTTTTCGATCAGAGGGTTGGATAGTGATCTCTCTTCGCAAGCTCACAGTAAGCGCCCGAGAATGGAGATGAACTCATCACTTCGGAATCTTACAGGGCATTGGTATCCCTAGTGTTCGTTACCGTTTGAAAACGATCGCCCACCTACGGGCAGACCATACCAGGCAATGCTGTTTGATCAGAAAGTCTTGGCATAGGACTGCACATCGTGGAGGACAGAGCCTTTGTCTACATCAGTAGCACTTCAGAACGATAGCCACAGCAACTTGATCCATATCATTGCACCGTAGATTGGCATTCCGTCACGAAGAAAGGAAATGCTCCTGAGCGTGTCCAACCCCCAGCGTTGTAGATTTCAACTGTGGTCACCCTATTCTATACCGTTGAGTTCCATCAGCAGGCTTACCGTTGTTCACCTACAAGGTCATTCTCCTTAAAAAGAGAAATGCCTCACGGAAGGTCATTATCTGCATACGAACCTATCGTTCCATGGTAACGACAAGTCTTCGAATGCACGAACATATATCCAACGTAAACTTCAACCCATCTTCTCACACTAAGAACATAACAGCCTTTGAAAATCATCAATCCATCAATCCATTCCAGAGACCCTACCCCAGTCCTCAAAATCATGTCCGTGTTCCCCGCTCGGAGCACTTCCTCTCTTCAATGCCCAATGGTACTCCTACCCCCTTCTAGTTCATATCCTACTCAGCTAACTGCTAGCACATCGAAGGGTACGAGCGTGCTTTTCAGCCAGGTTGGGGAATTGCTACATACAGCCCACATCCTCCTAGTCGGGGCTCGAGAACAAGATTTGCTAGACATTGTCCTCCTGTTCGGGAACCGAATACGAGAGCTGTGGGACCACATTGTCCTAGATGGCAGCCAAAAGGAAGAACTACTAGACCCTACCCGCCCTGGTTAGGAACCGAGAACGAAGTGACATGGTGCGAACGAGGTTAAAAAAGTCATAATCCCGTCTACTAACGATCGACTTCTACGCCACTTTCCATGGACCTCACGAGAATACAATTACATGATATTGAACAGCGTAATTTATTGAAGCTTTCTCGAACGTCGCCTATAGTTTGAGATATGGTTCTCTACTCGGCTCCCCTTCGTAAAGGCACTTTTTAAAGACAGAGATTGGAACTGCCTACTATAGCCACATAGTAGGATCGAATATAATCTTCTCCAAGGGAGGGGAGTAAGTACTTTGTCCGAAATGAAATAAAAAAAGTCCTACTTCTCCCCGTCCCGATGCCTATACTTTGTAGTAAAACTTTTATATGCTAGAGGATGGTAAATGTCACCCGTGGTTCTATATACATCTCTCTTTTCCCTCTCCTCCGGAACTACGTTTTAAAAAGGTAGAGTGTGCTACTGCCTACCTTAGAGAAGTAGTACACTCCTATACTAGGCCTACGATCGGTAGGCGTATGCCTAAATTTTGCGAAATGTTAGGCCGTAAAGCTTTCACTTGAAGTAAAAGACCTTATACATAACAAGAGATGGTACATATCGCCTATACTTCCACGGATATCTCTCCTTTATCTCTCCTCTTAAACCGCATCTTTAAAAGGCATAGGGTACTACTACCGACCTTAGCTAAGCAGTACATTCCTATACCTAGGCCTACGATAGATAGGCGTCTACCTAAATCTTACAGAACCTCTACTATAAGGCTTCTACTTAAAGTTAATACCGCCGTATATTTGAAGATGCTACATTCCGCCCCATCTCTAGCTAGAATCTCTCCTCTTACTCTCCTTTATAACGGGAAGTTTTAAAGGTGTAGTTGACTGCTCTTTAGCATAGCAAAGCAGTGTAAAGCCTCACTAAGACTAGAGTGAGGAGATACAGTCGTTTTGAAACAACGATTAACAGGCGCCTTACTCAAGTTCTCGCCAAATTTTCCCTAAAGGCAGCTTTACCTAAGATCAAAGACGTCTCACAATGAGACATCCTCATCGTCGCCTACGAGTTCATATAGCGGTTGAGCTCCACAACTGCTAACGGTTCGAGTAAAGAGGTCATCTATTCCGACGGTAAGCGCTGCTTGATTGTCGGGTTGGTAATCCACGCACTGTTCTGATCTGTGTATTGAACTGTAATGTTCAACTCCTAATATTCAACTCCTGTAGCCCGCTTTGCTCTGTTTCGTTGCGGCGGATCAACGAACCTATTGCCCGTAGAGACCGCTTTAGTTGTCGCACCTTGTCCACTGAGATGCCGAGTCCGTGAGCGGTGATCTCAATGAAGATCTGGACTGCTCTCGCTTTGCTGAGCGCCATTKGCAAGAGCTTCTTAATGCAGCTCATACGGCTTGTCTTTGAATCGGAACACGCCTAGATCGTTGTCCTTCGCCACGAACATGTCCTTGAATCGGAACACGCCTGGATTGTTGTCCTTTACCACGAACACGTCCATGAATCGGAACACGCCTGGATTGTTGTCTTTCGCCAAGAACACGTCCTTGAATCGGAACACGCCTGGATCGTTGTCCTTCGCCACGAACATGTCGTCGAACCGGAACACGCCTAGATCGTTGTCCTTCGCCACGMACACGTCTGAACCGAAACACGCCTGGATTGTTGTCCTTCGCCACGAGCATGTCCATCTCTTCTCTCTCTCTCCTTTACGACAGGGAACTTTGAAGGCAGAGTTTAGTACTCCTTAGCATAGACAAGCAGTGTAGAACCTCGGAGATACTAAATCGGGGAGACTTGGCTATATTTCAAGACCGAAACTGATAGGCGACCAGCCTCAACTGTCGGAAATCCTCCCGTTGCGAAAATTCCACGTCAGAGAAGTGGTATCTCTTGACGAGAGATTGTGATTGCCGCTACGATTCCATACCTTATTCTCTTCTCACTCTCCTGAACGAAAGGGGTTTCTAAAGGCAGAGTTTCCTACTCTTTAGCAGAGATTAGCAGTATACAACCTCATGTACACTAAAACGGGGAGACTTGGCTGTCATTCGTGAGAGGCGTTTAGCCCAAACTCCCGAGAAACCCCGTTGCGATCGTCTTACCTGCCATAGATGGTGTCTCTTGGCGATAGATGGTGATTGCCGCTACGATTTCATACCTCATTCTCTCTCGCTCTCCTCCGAGGCGGCGACTTTGGTATGCAGAGATCGTTACTGCTGGGCACAGACGGGGAGTATAGAGCCTTGTGAAGACCAAAACCAAGAGGCGACTAGTCTAAAATCTCGACAAATCTCCCCTTGCGATCGTCCTACCTACTATAGATGGTGTTTCTTGGCGAGAGATAGTGATTGCCGCCTACGATTTCATGATCGTTCTACTCTCACTCTCCTCCGAGACGGCGACTTTGATATGCAGAGATCGTTACTGCTGAGCACAGACAGGGAGTATACATCATTGAGAACGACTAGAAAACACAGCAAAAGTCCCATTTTATAATCTAAAACCACAAAAAACCCACGAGAAAACCGCCCGAAACCGCCCAACTCCATCCCAAACCCGCCCACCCCTCACACACCATCCTCACTATCCCTAACCCGCTTCAACAACTCATTCATCCTCGTCTCAGACGTAAACCCCTCAAACAAACCCTCTTGTTTCAAATACCCCCGAAGTTGCGGAACAGTAAACTTGGTGACATTTCCCGCCGTCCACGCCTCACGCATTTCCTCACGACTCGGGATCGGTTTCGCAGGTTTCTTGGCCTTTTTCCCACCAGCAGCGGCAGAAGAAGTTGGGAGAAGACCCGCGGAATCGACGTCGGAGTCTCGAGCAGCTTGCTTATTCTGCCGCTTTTTCTTCGCCGCGGGAGTCTTCGGGGAGTTGTTGTTTTCCAGCTCAGCGGCTTCGAGATCCCGCTTCTTCTTGTCGTAGCGGGATGGATTGGTGGTTCCGAAGCGGAGGTGTGCTTCAGCTTGAGCGGCTACTTTGGGAGGAAGCTGGCCTGATAGGATGGTTGTTTTGGGCTGTTTGTGGGTGGCGAGCAGGTCTGTTACGTCGGTTTCTTCGGCTTGTTTGCTGGGAGAAGAAGCTGCTGGGCCGAAAGCTGCTTCGAGCAAGTTGGTGGGAGGTTTGGAGGTGGGGGAAGGTGAGGGGAGAGTGGATGGAAGTTTCGCCGTTCCCTTCTTCTTGCTCGACGATGTTGGGTGCGACATTTTCGCTTCTTCTTCCAGAGGATGATGATGCGAGGTTGATGGCGCGTCCTCCGTCTCGTCCACAGCAGTCAAAGTCGTCACCGCGTCAGGGAAATCCGCCGCGGTCGCAAAAGTAGCCAGGAGATTCGGTCGGCGGAATTGCAGGGGAAGGATGTCAAGGTCGATGGCTTTCTGACAATAAAACTCAAACTCGTCCTTGCCAAGCCGACCCTTTTCTTCCCGCCCATGATCCGGGAATTCAGCGGCGATCAGCTTAGCAAGCAACTCCGTCTTCACCACACCCTCATCCGTCGTGGGCATCTGGAAGCCAGTGACCTTGATACTGACTTCACAGTTGTTTGTCGTTGTAGCGACAGCTTCCAGAACAGCAGCATCATTCAGATCAATCCACTTCAAGACCGCCAGACCAACTCGTCCCCATGCGTCAGCATGCTGAATCTCTTCATCAACGGTACCAAGCAGACGGAATTTCTCCACGACCTGCTCAATACTCGCCTCACTGATCTTCTCCCCCAAGACTTCCAGTCCATACTGTCGCAAATTCTCCTCGACCATTTTCCTCACCGCAGAATCGAATTCTTTGCGCGGAGAATAGCCATGAATCTCAGCAGAGAGCTTTCCATCCACATGGCTAGTGAAGCTGACGCGCAGAGTCGTGCTGGTGATGGGAAGATGGCGCAGGAAAGCAGCCGCGTCTTCCGAGAGAAATTTCTCGACTAGGCTTCCGTCCTTTCCATGCCGGACTCCTTCGGGTGCAAACTTGGATGTTGGTGGAGGAGGGACGTAGGCAGGTCGAGGAAAAATTTCGTTGTAGTGCAGCCATGCGGGTGCGCGGAGATCTCGAGGCTGGGAGGTGCTGGAGGGTTGGCTCATGTTTGCGGTCGCGGGATCTTCAGGGGTGATGAAGTGCTTGGTGTATGGTTACTGTTGGTTTGTCGATGGATATACGAGCGCGTCTGTGGGCGCACGTGGAACAGGAAGGGTTCGACGGAGAAGATGCAGGTCGATTGTTGTGTTGTTGGAAGATCCCAGAGTTCGGCGAGTGGGCGGACAGGTAAGATTTTGGCTGACCAAGTCAGTGTTACCCGAGAGCGTTGCCATGACATGACAGCCAGGCAGATCGACCACAAGGGAGAATACAACTCGACTCTTCAATATGAACAACTCGTCTCAAGCACGAGTTCCAGGTGGGAGGTTGGTATACTTGCTCACAGCTCGACGATCACAGCTCAGGGGTCACTGCAACTGGAGTGCCATTTGTCACACTCGACAGAGGTAGAACCTTCCATCGACTGGTGTACCCAGCTCCACGACTCCTAAACAGGCATGCTGTGCTCTCTGGATCTCCACATTTCCAGCAATGCATTCTTATCAAGTCTGCGTGCTCACAGCGGTACGAGCCACATCTGTCTCTCTCAAGGGCCTCAAGGCTTTGAACTCAAATCGACCATTCTGTGTTAATCAACAACAACAAGAAACCACAACAAAAGTTCAAAAACCTCTCCTGGACAGCGAAGAGCCATCCCATATCCTCAACCGCGCATATCGTCCATGCACACCAGCAAAGTCTACACACCACACAAAAACTCTGCACTCCAACCAAGACGAACGCTACCCCAAAGACCCAGTAAGATTACTGGCCCAGACATATCCAAATCCGTCCTCCAATCCAACCTAAAAGAGTCCGCGTCGAAAAGACATACCCAGTGCATAGAGAGAAGTTTTGTAAGGCGCAGAAGTAGACTAAGCCTCCAACCATCGTTCAACCACATCATCTGCAATGGAAAGAACGATCTCACAGAAACTCTCCATTCCAAATCTTACCTCAATTACTTCAAGCAAACAATCAGAAGTGGTTAGCAAGACCAGGTGTATGCATCATCCTCATCCATCCCGGTTTCTATCTGGAAACCTTGCTTTCGGTAGACTTGACGATCGTAAACCTACTAGTACCCTTACTACTAACAAGGTAGTCCGTTATTCAATAGAGAGAGTAATAGAGACCTCTGCTCCTATGAAAACTTCTCATGTCGACAGCTCTGCTAACAACGATACGAGCCAACAAGCTCACTACATCAACCCTAACCCTAAGCTCAACAGCGATGATCGCTTGGCGACGAGCGCTTATCGACGACCAGCGCGCTGATAGAAGTCTGACGGTCATCCACAAACATCAACATGACAGACGATCGATGATATAGAGAATAGAGGATCCACTCACTTCTTGTGCATTCATCACTGCTCCTTACCGATTCTATGACCAGTCTTGGCGGAACTCACAACTTCCCCCGTCCCAGTACTACTCATCCACATCCGTACTCTCCCCTCCATCCTCCCAATGAACGTGCTTAACGATCTTCTTCTTCTTCATCGGGAAATCCGGATTCTTCAATTTCAAGATAAAGCCCGATCGCGTCTCCACTTGCTGCTCCATCGCGTCTTCAATTTCTCCATCCTCCTCCTCTCCACTTTCCTCCTCATCATCCGCCTCCTCCCAGCTCTCCTCCCCCCCCTCCTCATCTGTGGCATACTTCTGATCCAGAATCGCAGCAGCAACAACAACGAGTGAAGCTTTGGGGGTATGCCACGTCCGATGCTCCCCCCCATGGTCCAAGAAAGCACGAAGGGACTTTTTGGTGACGGAGGTCCAGTCATTCGTAGTACGAGCTTCTTTCAAGTCGCTGATCGAAGGAAGGTCAGGGTCTGCGCGCTTTCGCGCGTAATCGGAGTTGGAGCAGGGAGGAGGTTGTGGGGAGTCTTCCATGAGAGAGTCGCGTCTGAGCGACTCGTCCGACGTGACGGATAGCGTGGCATCGATGGGCAGATGCACATCACCGTCTCCATCTTCCTCATCGTCGTCGAAGATATCCTCCAACCCCACCATAGGAGGCATCTCATCGTAATACCTCTGTTCCGCAGCAGTCATCTTCCCATCTTTAGTAAAACTCTCCTTGAATCCCCGACAGCACTCCAAAGAAAACTTGCTCAAATCCCTCCACTTCAACCCTCGGATTCCAATCGTCACAAGTCCCACCTCAGCTCTCCGAATCTCCACAGCAACGTTGTCCACGCTGCCGAAATCAAACAGAGCCATAACAACATGCACCAATCGACTAGGTATAATCGCCGAATTCCCATCTTTCGTCCTAAGATGTCCGATCCGCATGGCAATTTTGATCAAAACGGAACTCTCAACGGCAGCACCCAAGATATCCTGCTGGAGAGTTTGCATGTTTGCTTGAACGCGCGTTTGTAGCGCCTCATCGATGATGGGATGAGAGGCGACAAAGCCGGAGATGGTGCAGCTGATTCTGTTGTTTTTATATATTAAAGCCAGAATCATTGAGGGGGTGAACATGTCTAGTTTCGAGAGAGCGGTGAATGCCGCGTTTCCGCGGTGGATGGTCGGGGTGGTGGAGCTCGATGTCGCGACTACTTGTTGCTCGTCTAGAGCGTTGATGGATGGCGTGGTGGCTGCTGCTGTTGCTGGAGTCGAGCTTGCTCCAGGGAGAGACGACGGGGCGACGGGCGGGCAGGAGGGAAGCATCTTGTCTAGGGATGATGTTGCCGTGGGTGTTGTTGGGAAGGGCTCGAGGAAAGTCAAGCCCGACTAGGTTGGGATGGTGACCCTGCTTCGCGCTAGACGGAGAGGCACGAACTGCGGAGTGACGTCCTGGAATACATGTAGCAAAGGACAGATCCTTCTTCTCTGAGCTATACATTCTCTGCAATGAATAAACGCTTCGATGGACAACATCATCTGGCGCTTCAACAGCAATAAAAATTCAACTGGAAGACATCTGGAACCCTCGCTACCTCGCCGCCTTGCACCATGCAAAGCTTCTCCCGAATCCATGGACGGGCAAAGTAGGACCACGGGGGGTAGAAGGTAATATACTGCGTGGCTGGAAGATGTGAGGCCAGTCCGGCCAACCCGAGAAGCTTTTGAGGACAGTCCTGAGGTTGAGGACACCATGTTTCCTGCATGTATGCCCACAGTCCGGCACTTCGCTTCCCATTTATCTTCCCAGACACTTGAAAAAGTCCCACGAATCAGTTCTCTCCCAACCCCAATAACACAACCACAACCACAACCATGAACGGCTCAAACAACGCCGCCGCGCAACCATCAAGCCAAAACTCCACGCAATCACCTGCTTCAACAGCCCTCTCCATGATCTATCTATACCACCTCCATCCACCGTCTCCACGATCCATCTACACCCTCAAATCAACAACGCCGGAACACCCGAAGGAATCTTCGGAAAGCCACACCGTGCCTTTCCTCGTTGCAAACGCAACATACCTGCACCTGACAGCCCTTGTCGACCCCGAGAAATGCCAGCACCCTGAAGACAGGGAACTCCGCCATCGGCTCCTTCAGACAGTTTCACTCTTTGAACACGTTATGGAATATCCGATTGTGGCTGGGGAGACTTAAAAAGAGAAGAGAGAGCTGAGGAAGAGCTTTTGGGAGATGGGGAGGTTTGTGTTGCGTGAGGAGTGAATGGGACTGGAAGAATGGGAGAATGGAAGAATGGTGGAATCATCGAAGGAATATTACTGCTCTGTTGTATCCAGATCTGTGACTACGACAGGCTGTAGATGGCCAAGAAAATAAAAATTGGCCTGCATTACGAAGGGTCAATCGATGATGTGGATTCATGGAATGTCGTGAAGTTGGTGCACTGCATACATAGTTATTCGGCTCCTCACGGCACATCCCAAGCTACAATATCGAGTAGTTTAACCTGGATGAGTCGTACTGTACGGTACCATGGGACAAGTCTTCCCTTGAGGACACTTTTAAATTCTAAGTTCAGAGTTTATATTTGAGGACGCCCTATCGCCCATATATAATCTACTCTCCATCCCGCGCAATTCCCCATCTCACTTCTTCTCCTCACACCATCACAACTTCTCTCCACCACCCAAAATTCAACAAAATCCAAAATAGGATCCCAACAACAGCCATGGAGACCCCCAACACCCCTCCCCAATCCTCAATGAGATCCATCTACCTTCAAATCCAACGCGCCACAACCCCCGAAACAACCCTCGGGATCACCGAGCAAGCAACTCTAACGACTGTCCGATCCGCATATAAACGTCTCGCTCTTCTGCTGCATCCAGATAAATGTACTGTGGAGAAGAGGAATCATCATTCCGCTCTGTTTCGCAAAGTTAAGGACGCCCATGATATGCTTATGCAACATATTGGAGAGGGTTTGCGGGTGGAGGAGAGAGGGGGAGGAGAAGGTGAAAGAGAAGAAGAAGAAGAAGAAGAAGAAGAAGAAGAAGAAGAACCGGAGCAAGAACAATTCTTCTGCGCCTCAATGAAGTATGATTTGGCGGACAGTCAGTGGGATGTTGAAGAGGTTAGGATTGGGTGGAAAGGAGTGAGAGTTGGAGTTAGTGTTGTTTGAGGCTGAGTTGTTGATGTCATGAGCGATAACAGTGGCCTGAAGTACTCTCTGGATTGATGAACTGGCTACGTTGCTGGTAATAATCGTTCCAGGATGCATGGAATGGTGGACTCTGCAGAGAGAGCGAAGCCTTGGGACACGATGGGCATGACTGAGGGTGTCGTATCCCACTGATTGACACTGGCTTGGTGAAAATTGGATGGAGCGGTCTTGGGGTCGGGTTGTTCGTGTTTCTTTTATATAAGCATGAGGATGCTTTCATGCCCGGTCGATGTAGATGATTGGGGTGGCTTCGTATATGTTACTGTCATTGTTCTTGTATGAAAACGGTCAAGATTCAGTGACTCCCCTCTCGCTTTCTCACTGCACCGGTCCGTGGGTGTCTGATCTGCCAAGAACTTCCGAGAAATTCCGACAACATGCCTCTTGCCAATAGCTGCCATGGTGAAGTCGTGGGATGGAAGAGTAATGATTGTGAACGCCATGTCCGACTCTGGCTAGTTCTCTTGCATCAGCACTGCGGTCATCATATCGGGATGCTGCGAAGCTGGCTTTGTGTATGTTACTGTCGTGATCTCTATGGACAGAATCAAGATTCAGTGTCTTCTCTCTCGCTTTCTTAGTGAACCGGTTCCAGGGCGTCTGATCTGCCATCAACTTCCGATCACATGTTTCTTGCCAATAGGTGCCATGCCGTATGGCTGTCTTCACGTCATGCCTCGTGTTGGAGTCGTAGGATGGAAGAGATTCAATCGTGAGCGGTATTTTGACTTCGGTCAGTTCTCTTGCGTCGGMCGGTTCTCTTGCGTCGGCGCTGCTGTTATCATCATGTCGGAATGCTGTGGGCCTTGCTTTCCCGTATTGCAGCTTTTGTTGTTCTCGACGAAGAGAAGTTAAATTGTCGAGCCTGCAGAGAACGAGGCCTCAGGATACTATGTACTTGAGGATACCTTGTCCTGGTGAATAATCCTCATATCGACAGCTCGGGCACTTGGTATGAAGTTGACTAAGCATCTCTCGAGAGTTGCTTGGCGAGTCCAGCCGGGGTGCACCCTCTTCCTGTCTTCATCAAACACATTTCCAAACATCTGCACAGTCCACCAACCACCATCACCAACAACCACCCCTCCACCAACTCACAATGGCAGCCTCCAAGGTCTTCGCCACCACCGCGCTCCTCGAGAAAATCTTTCTCCATCTCCCTGCCCGCGACATTTTGTTTCTCCAGGGCACCAGCAAGAATTTCTACAACAAAGTCAACGAATCAACCGCGCTGCAGCGACGTATGAGCTGCCTGATCGAGCGGGCTCCGGTGCACCCAGCTCAGAACAATGACATGCAGGAACGTAGCGAAAAAAACCGCTTGGCCGAGAGAATTCTGAATCATATCAAAAACCGGGTGAACGCCCTGCTATTCGATGAGCGAACCAACATCTTCTTCGACCTGAACGCGAAAGGTAATTCCCACGGATACCACATCACCGTCTCCACTACCCTCGCTCGGGTTAAGAACGAACAGCACTCCTTTCAGCAAATGTTCCTCACTCAGCCACCGGTCAAGTCAGTCACTTTGGAGATGAAACTCACTTCTTTCTTCGATCATTCCTACAAACATACCATCACCAGCGAGGTTGGGGTGCGTGTCTCGGACTTGGTCAAAGTCATGCGGGAATGGGCCATGATCGATGATCAGGAGGCCAAGGTGACCTTTGGTTTCGATTAGGAAATGAAGGTTGCATTCGGATGGGCAAATCGCGGCCGTGAAGGAGTGGGATGAGGAGATGGTATGAAGGTGCAGGAAAAGGCATGAAAGACGGTAGATCGCCTGCTTTGGTCACGATTCTGTCCGTTGCCGCTTCTCGGACTTTGCTGATCTCGGTTGCGTCTCACTCTGGGCTATTGCTGCAAACACACAGCAAATAGACCACAAACATATCAACTGCGAGCATATAATATCAGGCATTCGCTCACATCTCGCAGTGGGAATCATAACTCAATTATCCGTGCATCATGGATATCCCTTTCTCACCTCATTTTCTTTCCTCTTCGGACCCCAAGCAAGATGTTAGTCTATATACACCATCCACCAATTGTGCAACTCTCGTTCAGATAATCGGACAGATGATCACCTCCATGTAGGTCATCGAGATTACACGATTGAATCCTACGTCATGGTACATTCTAGGCTTATGGGGAAGTGAATATGAGCCCRTCCCGTGATCCTGAGGCTGGAGCCGAGCAATCTACAACATCCTCGACTTTTTCTACACTACACAACAACTTCTCCCATCTGTTCAACACTTTCACCACCCTGTTCAGCAAGTTCTTCCTTCAAGGCTTTGCTCAGTCGCACGCCTGGAATCACTCTCGGATTCTTCTCTGCCTTGCACGAGAGCGACCATCATTCACGAGTCTTTGGTTTTGATATCTCGATCGATATTCAACAACAGTACTCGCGCGCGGAAATCAGCAAAATCTTTATAGCGCACTCGGATCGGCTACTACCACACAAGCCTTCAAGTCWCCAACTCCGTATCCAGGCCAAAAGAATCAAGTCCTCCAACAGGCTCCCGCGCATTCATCACCACCATGGGCAAGATCATTGCATCTTCCGAGGTGGATGAGCGGAACACTTACATCCGCAACCTCGAGCTCGCACTGAGTGAGACGCAGTCTAGACTTGCCAAGTACGAGAAGATCCCGGCAGCACCAGCGCGCCGAACGAACAAGGCGGGCTATATTCCATCTTTCATGAAGTCTACCGCTGCTTCATCTCAGCGTGTTTCTGTACAGGATACGACATCAGGTTCAATCTCGCGAAGCAAGACTTCAAGGCCGGCAAGCACATCATCTTCGGCATCTCTCCCACCTCTATATGCAACATCAACAGCATCGAAGACCGACAACCGCACCGCCCCTAGGTCAAAACGTGTCTCGGGGATGGAGCACTTCCTTCGTTTCACAATAGCCGAATTCAAAAAGACTTGTGACGCGGTTCCCTCATCTCGACGACCGATTCCAGATGAGGAAACACGCCTATGTCGAGAAACCATGGCAGCAGCCGGTCGATGATGATGTTTACCAGACAGTCTACATTCCCTATACCCACCACGAATCAGCACCAGCCACCAAAAGCTCAATAGAAGCAAACCTCCAAAAAACCTCCACGCGACTCAAACGACTACTTCGACTTTAACAACGACGCAGCTTACTGCTACCTCCCCGCCAAAAAAAATCCAATCTCTCCTCGACCAATCCCACAAACTCCTCCAAGACATCCTCTGGCACGGCCTCCACGATCTAATGCCTGCCTTCGTAAAAGAGTACTGGCCCGGGCGGTCCGGATTTCGTACGTTTCGGCTACAAAGACCTCCGCAATGCATTTCGCTCGGGACTCAAGCGAACGGAACCTTCRTCCGTAGACATATTCCCTCTGGTACCGCATCTTCGACGCGATCGAAGTCCGCAATGCCTGGGCCCATCCAAAATGGTTGAGCACCCCGATGATGGATTACTTGCTTTCCAAAGTCCAAGCTTTAGCGATTGCGTTTCATGATGTTCCCCGCATGGAGAATGTCGTGAACATGCGCGTGCAGGTCCGGGAGTTGGCTGGTGAGGCGTTGTTGGAAATTGAGAGGTGGGGGGGGATTTCCGGCACCGCGTTTGTGGGAGGCGAGTCATCGGCAGACGTTTATGGAGGCTTTGCAGAGGGCGCTACGGAAGGAGCTTGTGGAGGAACGGAGGAGTGGTGCGGTGGAATGTCGATGAGAGAGTGCTAGGGAGGAAGATGTGGTTTTGGGACCCGCTGGCATTTTGTTTGCCGCGAGGGAGTGGCGGGATATGGGGATGATGGATTGAGAGGGAGTTTTATGTTCGCAAATTTGGAGGGATTGGAGTATGTTATGGTGAATGATATGCAGAAAGATCAGATGTCCAGATCGGAATAATCGGTTGTACAATCAAGGAAACTCTTCGTCACTGATTACGCTCCCTCAACAGTTTCACCAACTCCATCAGTTCGAAACCCCTTTGCTAAAGAACAGAATGTAGCAGATACATTGTGCACTACGATATAGCAAGTAAGCTCAAGGGCCGTGTCATCCGCACATAACATCAACCTCAAAGAAAATTCGCATCCAATCCCTCTTTGTCTCCTCAAAGCCACAACGCCATTCCATCTCGCCGAAAAGATACCACAATAACCAACTTCACCCCCAAGTTTCAACCTCTTATCATAACCTCCACTCCCATAAATCCCACCAACCACACATCCTCATCCGCACAACAATGCTCGCCCTTAACCTCAACCTCCCAACTTTCCTCCTCCTCCTCCTAACAACTCTAACAACAGCCCTCACCCCCTCCGAAATCCAAAAAGCCTGCAACGCAAAAAACCCCTACGTAGGCGGCGCAATCAACAATTTCTGCCACGTGAAAAACATCATCGTTCCTTCTGCCTACGCCAACAAGGGCCGAGGAGGGGATGTTCCGAATGCGATTGTTACTATTGATGGTACGTGATCCCCCTTCCCAAAAACTAACAAGCGGTGATGGAAGAGGTTTTGGCTGATGACAGGGATTTTTTAGGTACGTGTAACCCACCACAATGGGCCCCGACGAGATATTGTTTGGTGCAATTTCGGGAGATTTGTATGAATGGGGATGAATTTGGGGCTGGGAGGAAGAGATTTGGACGGGGGGGATGTCAGGTTTGGAATATTTATTCGAGGAGTAATGGACGGCATTGAAGAAAGGTTCTACTGGGAGGGGGAATTGGAAGGATGGGTGTTTGAAGGATGTTGTAGGATCGGTTGGGGTTTCGAGAGGCTTTTGTGGCTCCTGGGGGTGCCTGTTCTGTGGCTATCGAAGCACTTCGGTGTCGGTACGATGTACATAGTAAGATGTGAATCAAGTGATAATCACGGTTTCCTCGCTGTACACACTTCAGAGCGATAAAGTTCAGGTTGTCTGACTGCTGTGGGATATTCTTTCCCGATCACTCTTGTTCCGCTCGATTCCAATGCCACTGTCATCTCTCCAACGTGCCGAGAAMGCGGTCTCTTGAACAGTTCCGTCATCTTCGAACCGTGGAGGAAGGTAGGAGATGCTTCTTGAGAAGCCATTCGAGGGGCGTCTAGTCTGTTCCATGGATCGCAGGTATTGGAGAGGGACAATGGACTACTCTTGATCTTCCCTACCTGATGAAGCTGGCAGCCCTGGGTGGTGTCACCGCCGTTCTGAAAGATGGAGGTGCTTCGATTTCTTTTTGGGATTATTGAAGAGTCACGGTAATTGCTTCACCAGCAAAGAATGGTTCGACCTCGCCAGTGACCCTTGACCATCTTCTCAGAATTGTAAGTTGCTGCTCGTTTCTTCGACCTCAACTTAGAGCTCTTGGAATGATCTTGATCAATCCAGAAAAGGCACACTCGGGTAATCTTTTCTTTTGCTGAAAGAGCTTGCTGTTCGCAAGATCGATGAGCCTGGACCTAGCATGTTAGCTACTAGCAAGACAGCCGTAATTAACGGCGAGAGCAGGGGATAGTGTTACTCCTGTGAAAGATGTCTCTTTCAAGCGGCTTTAGTTCATCTGTGTTTGGTGTGCCTTTCCATCTACCTTACCTTGACTCCTTCTCAGACCCTGTTGTATCCCTTCCGTGTATATTGTTCCTGTCCTTGCTGGCGTGCCTACCCTGCCAGGGGGTACCTATCCTTTGTATATGTCGTATGCGGAGGTCTTCCTTCGTTCCGATCGCTCCAGGAAGAAGGGACGTAGGCGGCAATCCAAGGTTCTGAGAAGGAGTTAGCTGTACATGGCCCTTGCTCTCCTATATGTGCACCGCAGAATGCAGACTGCGTAAAAGCGTGTTGATTCACGTGGAAAGGATATGAGCTGGTGAGTACGTCGGGCGGCCCGAGGAGATTCGAGGAAGATCCGATGATGTTGTGAATAGACCCACGGGTGACGCAGCTGCTCAAATCAACTTCTTTCCTCCACCGCAATTTCCTCGCTCCGCCGCGACTTCCCCGCTCCACCGCAACGTCCTCGCTCCACCGTCAAATCTCAATCATCATCCAACCAACAAACCTCCAACGCATCTCATTCCATCCAAATGGACCACAATGACGGCAACGAAGAGGAATCCCCCCCAACCACCAGCATAGCAGACAAGGAGAGCGGCAACAACACCACCGTCGACGCCGCAGTTTCTGGGCCGTGGACCACGCAGAAGCAAGAGGTCACCGTCAAGGAAGAGGCCCTGAGCGATTCTGACGATGGTTTGTCCGACGACGGCGAGGTTTTGAGCAGCAGTGAGTATTCCCGCTTCATCCGCACGTCTGGACATAACGACAGTGTACCAGTAGTCCTCTATGCAAGCGGTAAATACTGACAGGAGAGACAGGCCCGATCAATCGCCCTTCAACGCCCCAAGAAGGCGACTTCCCYCCAGAAACCGACGCGACCATCGCCCACAACCTTGCCGAACTTCGCGCCATTTCCCTTCCCAGCTCCGACTTTTTCAGCGGGCACCAAAGGCACTACAAGTACCGCAAAGAGCGCCTCGAACAGTTCTTCGGCAAGTACACAACCTGGGAGACATATCCCGGTTTCACGGAAGACATGAAGCAGGAGTGGCGAGGGTTGCTTGTCGAATTGGTTACGAAGCATCATGAGCGATTAATGCCTTTGTTGTTGGGCCCTCATACAGATGATAAGTCGGGAACGCGACATGCAAAGAGGCTTCCGGGCTCGGTGCATACGAGGGTGTTGAGGAAGAGACAAGGCTGGTTTGTCGAGGCGGGAAAGCCTTTGCCGGAGTGGATGTTCAAAGACCGACGGCGTAATTGATGATTGGGGCGTGTTTGTCACGTTATATTGGTTGGATGGAGACTGATGTATGATACCACATACAGGTCCTCAGCATACAGGGAAGCTTGGCGGTCGGGGTGCTGGAGGACGGTTGGATTCGCTGGCACAACAAGTACATTGTCTATATGCATGCATGAAGCGGATATCTTCAGACACTGACATCCGTAAATGTCCATGTTCCAAGGATCCTTCACCACCTTGTGCTGATGAAGCATAACGGTCATCGAGCCTGCTCTGGTGCATAGCCTAATCCCCAACAACCCTGCCTGATCAAGACATTCGTCGTGACATGACCGTCATGCTCCCTCCAACCCTGCACGTGATACAACCAGTATCGTCTTGATCAACTGATGAATCGCAGCACATCTCAACACCGCCTCAACAACAATGACCAAACCAAACTAACAATCTCCCCATCCAAAGATGTCTCAACAATCCGCCTTCCAACAAAGAATCCCCTCAAACATAATCGACCTCACAAAGACTCCGGATGCGTCCCCCGAGTCTAAGACAAGCGACTTCGAAATCCAATACGGCGGTTCCTTAACATTCCAACAAATTCAAGACTGGAACAAAGAAGTTTTCGCTCAGCAGGGTGAGATCCCCAGAATCCGGAAACGGTCTCTGGATAGCGGGAATTCGCATCGTGTTAGTAAGAGATGTAGGCCAGAGGAGGGAAGTCTACGGGTGAGAAGGTCTGTGGATGGGGTGCTGCTTGGTGTGGATTGTTATGGGAGGCGGATATGGCGGGATGCTGTATGTCAGAGTCGAGAAGTGTTTACAACGGCTGGAATTGATGAGTTTGGATTTTTTGAACGGGAGGATTCTGCGGTTCATTGGAATGGAGATGCTATGGATCTATGGATTACCCATAGCACTTCTGAGCGTTACAGAGTGGGTTTGAGGAGGAAAGCCGTTGAGAATGGACCACCTGCCACGGATCATGGGTTCTTTCCCCTACGACTTATGACTTCGAGGCCATACAGATGGGATATTCATGACTGCTTGGATGTCGGTGGAAGGGGACGGAAGTCAATACAAGGACTCGTACACGACGTGGCAGCGGCTGAGAAAGATTGGAGAGATCCATCTTGTGTCGACCATGGTCTATGTCCTCTCCACTTCACAAGTCCGAAGGTATTGAGACGGAACTGAGTGATTCTTGGAAGATTGGTAAGAAGAGGTCTGATTCTGGGTGGTGAAATTTACAAGGAAAATAGAGAGAGACATGCGATTGGTTCATCACAGACCATCAAGAGTATGCTATCGTCCGTGGGAAAGAGTCAGGGATAGCAGAGCCACCAGTTGATGGGGCTCCAGTAGCCCTAGCCTCGACCGCTGAGAAGGCACCACAGCATCGCTGGGCTGTGAGAACATAATAACGATCGACACCTCGCCAACCATCCCACAGGCCTTCCAGGCACCAWTCGTGAATCCTCCTTCCTCATCGAAGTCCCGTACTTCTGCATACAACGACAACGTCAGCATGGAGTATCTCAAACCTTTCCCATCATCGGAACCACACCCTTCCTCCCCTCAACCACCTCCTCCCTCAGAAACGCAACATCCCACAACCTGTACTGCCTACAGCATGCGGCATGCAGCATGCATCATGCATCATGCAGGATAAACCATCCCGAATCGGAGAATAACCCTGCTGAAAAGCCCCAAAGCTCAAGGGAAAGCATTAGATTGTTGATCTGGGCTTTGTTCGATCTGGGAGGATGAGGAGAGGGTTGGAAGGAGAGGATTAGGAGGGGAGGAGTGAAGGGGAAGGGGAAAAAAATCAAAGGAATTAATGAGAGGATTATGAGGACGAGAGGTGGGTGGTTTGAACGAGTTGAGAAGAGGGTTGAGGATGGGAGGGTAGAGAGGAAGTGAATTTCTTCCATGCTTGTGGTTTCTGGCGGGTGGAAGAAATGTCATTTTCATGGCGGACGGGAGAGACTTGGAGTGTAGAGATCTGAGAGAATGGCAGGCGGACCATGGAGGATTCGAGGGAACTTGGTGTTGAGATGAGCTTGTTATTGTAGCCGTGATGGAAACATCAACACATCTCCTGCGAGGGAGCAAATGCTATCCTTGCTCATCAGCCAAATCCCATTCAATGACTTCCCAGGAAACCAAACTCCTCAGAATGTAAACTCCAAACCCCAGAAATCGCCTGGACAAAGCTTCTGCCTTGCTTGCACATACCGCCTCCTCTGAATATCAAAAACCAAAACCCCCTCTAGAGTCCTCCACCCTCTACCTCCCACGGAAAAGTCCCTCCAACCTCTTCAAAAACCCATTCCCCTTCCCCTTCTCCTCTCCACCCTCCTTCTCCGCGCGCTTAACCCTCTTCCTCTCAACTTTCCTCTCAATCTCCAAGCGCCTCTCAAAAGCAGCTTGAAGTTCCTCCTACCAACCGATCAGCAAGAGAACCCCAAAATCCCCATCCACAAAGCAGAGAGTGAAAAGAGAGAGGAAAAACAAACCTCCAAAATCTCCTCCTTCTCCTCAAAAATCCCCTTCAAACGCGCGATCTCTCCTCCCATGACTTTTTGTCGGGCTAACATGATGTTATATTCGCGGAGGTGGGATTGGTTGTATTCGGCTTGTCCTAGTGCCTGTGGAGTTTTGTTAGAGTTGTTTTATTTGARGGGGGGGAGGGGGGAAGGCGGACTAGGGTTTGGGATTCGAGATTTGAGAGATGGGTGCGCATTTGGAGGAGTTGGTCGGATAGGACTTCTAGGTCGCGGCGTTGTTGGAAGGGGGTGTGGTTGTAGGGGGCCGTTCTTCTTTGATGTGGATGGGAGAACTGGCGGTGGATGTTTACTTGGTTGCTTGCTTTGCGCGCGCGCGTTGGCGAAGATGGAAAGACAGGATTGTTGGGGGAGATGGTGGAGGTTGTGGAGGTTGTGGATACGGTTTTGTAGAGGGAGGAGTTCTCGAAGTTTACGGAATTCCCAATCGGGCTAGATTTGAAGTTTGATATTCACTTGTGATCCACGTCCCCGTTTCCAGAAGATTTGGAGTTCGTGAAAGTCTTGAGGATGCGCTGTATATCATTTCGGAATAGAGGAGATGGCGATCAATAAGATGAGGCGCAATAATGAGGGGTTGAGTACATCATGATACACAGGTGGTCCATCGGGAGAGGTCATGTTTGAAGACTCCGTTTGATTGAGAGATCCCTGTGATTGCTCGTCTGGCCATGTTTGTGTGGATGTCCAGACAACACAATTCAGGTAGTTCCCAGTCGAAACGGCCCGGCTCAAGCGTCTTGACAGTTCCCTTTTGAACACACCTCTCGAACGGCGCTTCCATCCTTTGTGCTTGATCACGGCGTCCACTCAACACCAACATGATCCCCGAAAGATCCCAGAGTCCTACTGATATCGAGAACTCCGAAACGGTCATGCTCTCTCGTTGAAAAGCATGGTATTCAAGGTCCTGGGTTTGCCTCCAAGAGGGTCCGCAGGTCTGCCTCCAAGACAGATGGAACAATCCATCGTCGCTCCCGGTTCGGGGCACTGTATTCATAGTCCTGATGAAGCGAGGCATCATCATCGATGACAGGTGCTGTAAAGGGGGCAAAGCAGTAGAATCCAACATTCGAGAATCTCGTACTGCTCACCCATCCATACTTTTCCCATTCTCCTCCCACATCCTCCATCCCTGGCGATCCCGCGGCTATCAGCGTCAATCCAATCCATGTCCTTGCAAGCAGCAAATTCAAGGAATGAAAAGCCATGAAAACTACTGTCCTCGTTCACCAGAGCGATTCTTCCACCTCCTCAACCTCCACACCTCTATCTCTTCCTCACTTAGCTCTTCGACGCGTCCATAGATTTCCTCGGACTTCAGAGACGAGCATGCAGAGTGTTCCYCTGCACCGCTGCCTCCGGCTTTTATCGTGCAGTTGGTGGAATTGGATGATCGGTGAGGTTGAATGCCATCATCGATACTGTGGTTGAAGAAGAGCCATATTTCTTTGGATGCGGTGTTGTGGTGTCGTTGTGGCGTTGCTGCTCTGATCGGCAGCGAGTTTCGTGCACCTCGAGATGCATGAAGTCTGCGGTGTGCTGTGGAGGATGTCGGTGGAGATCCTGGAGGAATGGTTCTTGCGTTGCTGGAGGGTGGATGTTGATGAATGGGAGGCGGGATTGCTGAATACGACGGATCAGCTACGGGGGTGGTTGAACAGTCGGGCCTATATTGCTCAGCAAGCGGGGGGTGGAGGAGTCAGGTCCGGCGCCTGTGCAAGCGGCGAACACACAGACACGAAAAGTGACGTGACAAGAGATCTGGCAAGAAGGGCCTGAGAAACACATGTACAGTACACCGAATACACTTCTCCAACAACAACAACAAACCCACAAGCGATCAAACACATCACGAACGAAGTCAAACAGACACAGAAGTACCCAAAAACAGCCTCAATTCAAGATACAGATCCTTCCTTCTCTCGCCCTTTTCCCTTCTTCCTCCGGACCTTTCGCGAGCCTTTCATGGGTCTTGCCGACGCGGCAGAAAGCCCGCAGATGCTGGATTACGACACTGCACCGTTTGGCGTTCTCGTGGTACCCACGGGCACTTGTGGCAGGCCCCGCCATGGTGTGTTGGTGTGGTGGTGGAGGGTGGTGGTGAGGTTGAGGCTTGTTGATGTTGATGTTGATGTTGGAGTGTGATGATGAGGTGGAGGGTTGTTGATGTTGGACAACGATGATGATATTGCTGCTTGTGTTGATGATGGACAACGACGATGATGCTGTGGCTTGACTTGATGTTGGACATGGATGGCCTGCTTGAAGGACGACTCGACATCATGAAGCTGGAATGAAGTCAGTGATGGTCAACAACGGGATAAGTCAAAAAGAACTGACCTTCTGTATGTGTTGCCAAGACCTCGCACCACTTGAGAGTGCACCCTCCAGGCCAAGGCATAAAGCCCCGACCTGGTGGGCGCACTCCCAAGTGCTTTTGACCCGCGGGTCGACAGCAAATAACATGCCGTCATGCCGGTGGGTCTGGCTGTCGTAAAGTATATCGTATGATCATGAAGGGTCGTTAAGTCTTGATATTGGTCGCGTAAGACGTCCATTCTGCCGGTTGTGGTATCAGCGCTCGCTGTTCGCAGCAGAGACTGTCTCCTCATCATCGCTCTTGCCGCCGGGGAATCATCGCTCTTGCCACCGAGGAACAGCGGGTTGGGGATCTCGCCGGTGCCTTGAAGTGTCATGTCCGGGATGCCGAGGCCAGGAACATAACTTTTGTAATAGACTTGAAGGCGCCGGCGACGGAGGTAACTTTTGTGGCAGACTTGAAAAGTCTGACCACTAACTTTTGTGATAGACTTGAATCGGTGCTGTCGAACCCAGAGCAAGTCGCCAGTCCTGTGAGGTGGTGATATTAGCRGTGGTGATGGAAGGGAGGAGGGATGATGGATGATGATGGAGGGGAGACTTACACTCTTCATCCGCGGACAAGCGGCAGAACGACAACGACCGACCACGAGCGCCGGAAGGGCGACGGCGAACACATCTTTCCATGCAGCGACAGGCGCGTCCCAAAGAGGGAGTGCGGCGGTGATGCTTTCATCCATGTTGATGGACGAAGGAAGGAAGGAAGTGTGTGGTGACATGTTGTTGATCATGTTGGTGTTGTTGATGAAAGGAAGAAGGAAAAAGGTTGGAGGGGGCCGGCGATGACTGGGTATTTATACTGCACGCCCAGCTGTGCGGATCAAACAAATCACGCTAGAGCTTGATTGGTGCACCGCCAGGCTGCCATTGAGATCAAGCTGCACGGCGGGGTGGGCGTGGGGGTGGAGGGGGTGAGGCAGTGAGGCCGGCTTGGATATGGATCTCGATATCGTCCAGCAGCGCCAGATGCTCAGCGATCGATGTTGATAGCAGTAGGAAGGAACATGTCGCTCTATAGATGCATGCAACTCTCGATGATACCCCGTCTGTTGAAGGGCTTGCCTGATCGTATCGCCAAACCCCCATCACTTCACGTTGTCAAAGCCAGYGGAGCGATCGACGCGTGGCTCAACTTTCGAAAAAACAACAACATCTCAAGCCGCCACAATGAGATCCCYATCCACAAGACTGTATAACGCCATAGAGATCTTGATAAATGCATTCAAGAAGACGACAGCATCAACTCCAGCGGCGGAAGTCTGCCCTGCCTCCGAGAAGCTGCGCGAACCGGTGTACATCTGCGGCGTCGACGCCTCCGGAGAAGAGCGATACTACCCCGTAGTACTCATCGAAGACAATGCCATCAAGAGAAGGCTCTCGATCGATGAGATGAGCCTGGAGGGTTGAGAGCAGCGGCGCTGGCGGAAGACAAAGTGAGCAGCCCTTAACAAAGCCGTTGTTGCGCTATCCTTGACGAATCCTTGAGCACGGCGCGGGAGAGGAAGATGGGGATGATCCAGTGTGACGGGACTGACAGGAACTGCAGGACAAGAGAATCACCCAGGATATCGTCCACCTCCGCGCAAATGGAAGACCATTTTATTCGCCAGACGCGTTGAGCATCCTGCGGGCCTTGCCGTGCTTCAGAATTGTGCCGACGATACTGAGGTATTGGCTCGCAAGGCTAGTAGTGAGAGCCTCTTGACAATGGGGAGAGCCAATTCTCTGACGATCGACGCTCTAGGTATCGTGGAAAGCCCTGGACAAGAAGATCAGCCGGAGCATTTGCTTGTGAAAGGAAGGTTTGCAAGCAGCAAACGAACGATGATATTCTATAAGAACGATGAATTCTGCCAGAGGAAAGTCCAGTATCCAATTTGTTGCAGACTGTATATATTTTGAGTCCCCAAGATCGTATATTCCTATGCAAGACAACGTTACATGCTTGACGCCATCCAAAAAAGCCACGACGGGCAGATATGGCGAAGAAGACTGCCTCTTGTCGGCTTGCCCCTAACTCCGCGATGTATCTCGATTTCCCCAGGCACCATAAGCAGGATCCGCAGGTCAAACGAGTGAATAGACGACCTGAGACGTCATGTACCTTCGGCTCCAGCCGATAGTGACTTTGCCGCACCAAGTGACTTGAAGTTCACCTCAGGCAATAATCCGGCTAGTGTGATTCCAGCGCGGCCKCAAGTCTATAAATCTCCACTTCCGACTGCTCGACTTCCTCTGAACATCATCGACAACCAGTTCGATTTGGCAACCTTGACTTGACTCCGCGCATCCGCAACACAAGTCTCCAACACTTCCAGGTTCCAACACCTCAACCTTTCGACCACTCGAGGTTCCAACCTTCCAACACTTCAAGCTTCTAACCTCCAACCACCTCGAGGTTGAGACCATCTCACCAACGACCTCCACCACCACAACAAACCTTCCACCAACAGCAGTAACCATGGTCGGACAAGTATCCTGCTACATCTGCCACGGCATCGGGCACACCTCTCCTAAGTGCACAGTGCGCGGAGACGGCCGAACCGACAAGCACCACGGGTGCTACATCTGCGGAGCTCAAGGTAAGCCGCGCGACTCTTCCATTCCCCCGCGCATAACACTAACCTCCCACGCAGATCACCAGAAGGACTTCCACGGGTACTTCGATAGCGATGGTCCTCGCTGCCCAAGCTGCAACAAGTTTGGGCACAACGCCAAGTACTGTGAGAAGAAGAAGAAATGGCAGAACGCGAAGAAGAAWCGCGGAAAGCGCCACGGTCCGTCGAGGCTCAACCAAGTTGAGAATGCCGACGAGGGAGAGCAGAAGGATGCGGAAGAGCGCGACCCCAACCTTCCGCGCGGCGATGTTGTTGACCAAGAGGCCAACGAAGTGGACCACAACATCGCGGAGCATGACAACGCGGTTCATGGTATCGGCATCGCCACCGGCACCCTCTACCTCAACGAGCCTGAGGTTGACGCCGCGCGCACTATTAGCGCCAAGGAATTGGAGGACGCACTCGATCCTCTGCCGAACGCTGGCAATTGGCACGAGAACGTGCGGGAGTTCCTCCGCCAGTCAAGTCCTCCCGACCAGCAGCACGCAGAGATCACCGCTGCCATCCCCACCAAGGTCCGCTCGTACAGCGAGTTGAAGGCCGCGCATCTCGCACAAGCCGTGAGCAGCGATGCATCGCGCCAAGCCAACGAAACGGCGCACAGATTCCTGACGAACATCGTCAACAAGGAGCTCAACAAGACTACCCCCTCCACGCCGTGGGAGAACGGTGCCGCCTGGGCTGCCGCCGGCCGCCAGTACTTCTCCAACGTCACGGCAAACCCTCTCCCGCATCTCCTCGATGATCCGGACTTCTTACAAGAACGTTCGGTGGACATGGTCAACGAGCTTCTCGGAGAAGAGCCGGTGAATAAGAAGCTGGTGAGGCCATACGCGCCCTTCAAGTTCCCGAGCATTTTCGACTCGAAGGCTCCGATCATCCCGCTGTCAGGAATGGGCGCCGCGATTCGAAAGAACGGAACGCCAGCGACGCTGGCGGGGCTTGCGGAGTAAGTCGGTTCTTTCGATATTTTCTGGGCTGCCGTGGTGCTAACTTCTTCGTAGTGTTCCTCCCAATAAGAGGATCTGAGCGCAATGAGAAGATCGGAGCGCGGGTCTCTGGATGGCTTGGAGAGACTGGAGACCTGGATGAGTTGGAGGCATGAGAGGTCCGTCGGACGGAGCGAGTAGAGGTAATCCTGTGGGATGCTACAAGCTCACACGATAACGATGAAAGGCGTTCTGGGATTTGATTTTGACTGAGACAGAGAGTGACACAACAAGTGTCAAAGAACGGCCTTCACACCAGCAACGCGATACATGCTCGTAGCGCGGGATGAACTGCAATGAATCAAATAAAAAGCTATACTTCATCCATTCCTTCTGCCCTTGACGCTCCTCTGCTGTGGAGTATTCCATGTATTGTTCTCTTGCTTCTTACGTCTGCCCCGACGTACTCTTATCATAAGCAGAGTAGGTTCGGTCTTGTAAGAAATAGACACAAGCATTGCATAAGGCATACATTTTCTCTCCCTCCATCTATCGCCTTTAACCATGCCCACTGCTCCGTCCATCATCTTCAACAATGCCCACTCCTCCTCGCCTTTTACAACTACTCGCGAACACTCCCTCGTATTGTCCCTCTTCCGATGTATCGTTCCAGCACCATGTACAGCGATCTACATATATATGTCTTCTGCTTCTACCCGTCAAAAATGCGTGCAGGAAAATATGTCCCACGCGCAGCGCGACGCTAAGACGCGTCTCCCGATCCCTTTCAAAGCTCGCCTCAACTTCGCCAGCTCCAAAAACCACTAGAACGCCATGTCGCCTTCATCACACAATCCTCTTGGCCATTCTGCTCCAAAGCACGTCTAAATACGTCGCCGGTACCAAAACCCGGGTCTTGAACCGCGTCCGTGCTGCCAAAATCTCAAGTATACTCCTGCGCGGCCCTTCTCCAAGCAACCTTGATGGTCAAATCTGTTTCCCAACACAACGAACTCCTATCGGGCGCGTATCCTCGCTATCTGCTCTGCCATAATAATTTCCGGCAACATGTAACAATCCAATCGAGCGTCGAGTCCGAGGGATGGAAAGATAGAACACATACCTCTAGACAGACAAAGAAAGACAGGAGCAAGTCGGAGGAGGACGTCGCTGGGCATAAGGCAGTAGACCGGCCAGTAATCAAGTTCCGAGTCTAATCGCACGGTCATGGCCAGCGTCTGCCGCCCCGCGAACCGTTCTACCAAATCTGAGACGCGTTGCGCGCTGGACACAATGTCTGAGAAATGGCCGCTGCCTGCGAAGGATAGAGCTGCAGGTTTATTTAACGACATCTTTCAGCGAGAGATCGTGGCTGGAAAAGGGAAATGAAGCCGTCAGAAATGTGGCTGCCGGTATCAGCAAGCCCACCGAGGGCCCTACGATTCGATTATCAACTTGCCCTATCGACTCGTCGAGCAGTAGGGAAGCACAACGTCTCCGGATGCATAGCCCGGCCGCCGCAAACAGATCCCCGATTCCTTGCTTAATGCTGCCAAGGACTGCTCATTGATTCCTGCTGGTAAACAACCATTCTCCCACGGCATCATGTGCTCGAAACGCCATCAGAGAGGACGGAGGGTGGTCTTAACGAGCGTCGACAATCGCACCACACCTCAATCTTGCAGTCCCCCCACGGTCTCTTATCTGCTCGCCGAGCGACACCAAACAAAGTCCCTGATACTCCGGGAGCTGACTGACATTCTGGCAGCCAGGCGAGTAAGCAGTGCATGATGGTGAGGGTGAGAAGCTAATGAGTGCCATTCGTCCTTCAGGACGGAGTTAGGGTTTGGTAACAGGACTCCATGTGGATTACCGTACGTTCCAGAGTTGTGGAGGAAGATTAAGCGGAAAGCTGATGGCAGTGTCCAGAAGATGGAAGATTGCTTTGACGCTACAGTAACTGGGGAAGGAGAGGAATGGAGAAAGACGTGTTATCTTGTTGAGTTTCAGGAGAATGGAATCGGCAAGAAAGAGAAATCATACAAGCACGTGAACAGTGTCAGGGATGAGACCAAGGGCATTTCTCAAAACAACTCCCACTCCGCTGAGACTACGCAGCATCTCTAGCAGCTTCCTACTGCTGTTCCTCCGCACCGGTCACCTTGGAAGTGTGCCTCCCTCCCCACTGGTCCTTGGTCATCTTCGCATGGACAACGATAGCCTGGTCGCGACGTCTGCGTGAGCGACGAGATGTACAAACGTTCACGCTCTTACTTTCGAAGTTTGGCTTCGGTCAGGACTCAGAAAGGGGGCCGGAAAGGCGAAGGTACGAGTTCCATGTCTCGCAGGGAAATTGTATATGCATGGTCAATGGATCCAATGTACAGCCTATACATCTCTTGCGATTGGTGGTTCTCGTGCTGAGACCGTGTCTGTGAGTTGAGCATGACCAGGCTGTCGAGATGATGCAGCAATGATTAGATCCTGATGATCTCTTTGTAGGCTACGCGTACGAGACCATGATTTGCGGCAAAGACACGACAATGGCGCTGGTACGAGGAGAAGCGGTGGCTCCATCCTGCATGGCAAGATGTGGTAGAATGATCTGTAGCTATCTTCCTGCTTACGGCAAAGATCTCCTTCCCTGGGCTGCCTGAGATATTCCTTCATTCTCGTTGAGCGCGCGGACCAGGTGTATCTGCGACTCCTTTGTAAGCTGAGCTCATGTGTCTTGAAATGCACCATACACCTCGATGGTTCCAGAAGGTCAATCATCGCTCATCGAAGTCTGTTTGATGCCGTATCGGCCAGCATGTTTAGGGACAAAGCGTAAAAGATGGTCCAGAACTGGATTGTTTCCTGGAGGCTATGCAAACACTCGGGAGATGCGCAGCAAAGAGGCAGCAAACAGGTCATCTTGGAGTATATATCGGCTGGTTCCTATGACTGGGAGTTGCTGTCAAGCGACTTTCCATCTTTCATCCACCAGAGTTGGAATCATTCTTGAGGCTCTTCTTCCTGCGCTGTATATGACTTTCTTGCCCTCTATACGCTCTTTTACCTTCCACATATACCCGACGTCCATCAATGAGCGCATTCACAGATACTTTGAGTGTCTTGTAAAATTAGACAGTACGTCATCCTCTCATTCTGAAGACATCTGAGTAATCTGGCAGCTCCCGCGTCACATCCGCGCTGACACAGCCAAGCCAGCACGCGCCGAAACATCTTGCGCGATTGAAGAAATTAACAATCAAAACATTCGCACCGCTTTCGCTGATTTTTAATCTTCAACAAGCTCAACAGCTCATTCCTCGAACAACAACTCCTTCTTTGATACTCTCGACCCCGTCGACAACGTACGCAACCCCTGAATACTTCCTCGATCGATTACTGACAAATGCGACAGATACTCAACCCTTCCCAACAACATGTCGAACTCACAAGACAAGAAGATGTTGGGAATGGACGCCAACAACGGCGACAACGGCACAGCACAAGGCAAGAGGCATGCAAACCCCGCCTCCACCTCCGCGCGCGGCACATCGTCCGCGCAACCCACCTTTTTCGCCGGTCTCGGTGTTGTGCCCCCCTCGCAAGTTCCGCGCGTCATCCACCGCCGCACCACCACCGCACCCTCACCATCCCTAGAGGCAGGTGAATGGGGACCAAGAGAACCCCAAGGCAACGAGTCAAGAACAGCGACTCGAGGTGGCAGAGCTCCGACAGCAGGACATCGGCGTTCCTTCACCATGCCAGAGATCGTGGTGACGGAGCCTTCGAATGCTGCACCGGCGAGCGCCATTCTCCCACCTGCGCGTGCTGGACTCCTTCGACCTCCGGGTACGACTCTCGCGCTACCGACTTGGACGCCGCCGCAAGGTCCACCGGCTCCGCGGCCAAATAGGAACTTGTTGATGGGATTGGCGAATCGGGCGAAGGAGCGGCAGGGGAGGAAGATTGAGGACAAGGGAAAGGAACACCTTGGAAAGAAGTGATCTTCTTTGGTGCCAGAGTTCATTGACCCGGTTTCCTTCGACGATCTTCCTGGTAGCGATTCCCGCCATCGTCAGCATCAACTTCTGTTGACCGCAACGAAGTTTCTCATTGCCAAGCTGCCAGATTCGATCCATGGTTCTGAGAAGGCTTCGAGAACCATGATGCTGGATGCGACGATCGTACGCGACGGCGTGCCGGAGGATGTGATCATGAAGATGGACAAATGTCGCCTGTTGATGGTTGTGGGGTGGGGTTTTGGAAGCAGCTGGCGCGAAGGATGCATAACAGCAATGCAAGATACTGACACAGCATGCCGATAGTGCATCTCTTGGTCAACGAGAGTGATTTGGAGGAAGATAGGCTGTTGGATATGATGAAGTCGTTCAGGAATCAAAATTGTCTCAAGATCATCCAGTTATTTTCCAAAAAGCCTGTTCATGTCCTCAACCGCTGATTCCAATGTAGAAGTACCCCAGGTCGCTTGCCCTGAGCCTGCCTCTTCTCCTCCTAGTCCATGGTCTCATTGCCGCCCTTTATTTCCTTCTGCGTCTATTGAAGCGGCGCTCAGCTGCAGTTCGTTGTTAGCGGAGAAATGTCTGCAAGGCCACGGGCTGTTTGCATACGTCCCGGTGTTATATTGCTGTCTAAAAGCCTGCGGCCCTGACAAATCGGAGAGCTGCAAGTAGGAGGGATGATTGCTTGTAACAGTTACTGTACAACAATATCGCAGTGCTAAAGGGGAGAAGTATGTGTATCATCTCGGATGGATTAGCGTGAGGCTCTCAGCTACTTGAGGTCTCTCTCATCGGCAAGGATGTCGGAATAAAGGAAAACCAAAGAGAACTTGTACATCACAGTATGATTCATGTCATCGTTATTCTCACAGCAGGAAGGTAGATAGAAATAGCCCAGAGCAAGGCAGATGTCGTGGATTGCTTGCAGCTTCGAAACCACGACAGCGAGCGATGGTCACTGGAAGGACTGTTCTCTTTTTCGACCAACTATAAGCCCCTGGATGATCTAGCATAGCGCTGGTCGTCAGTATCTGTTGGGGTTCTGGAGGAAATGCGAAAGTAAGACGTGATAAGTTGCGCGCGTACGAGAATCATGTGAAAGGAAATGCAAGAGTACATCCACAATCATACAGAGCATCTACTTTTCCTTCCCTTTCTTGACATCGCAGCTCAAGCAATCTTCCAATCCCCCATCTTCCAGTCGGTCATCCTCCTCTGACGGCTGCATGTTCAAACTCCTAAGTGTTGCTTCGGCAAGATCTGGGTCCATCGAAGAAACATGCTCAATCAGCCCTTCCAAGCCGTCTGTGCTCGTGCTCCTTGCAAAGCGCTTTACAAGAGCGGTATAATCAAATGGTGGTTCAATGACAGAACCATAATCCCATGCAGATCTATTACCCCATGCAGATCCATCAGCCCATCCAGATCCATTATTCCATCCAGATCCATTATCCCATCCAGTTTCATTCGCATACCCCCAAGTCTCGCCTTGATCGATATCGTGTTGGTATTCTTGGTCTTCTCTCTTCGAACGAGGTCGAGCAAGGGCATTCCCCTTCTCCTCCGTGATACCATCATTCTCCTTGTTCTCCTCCAATCTCGCAATGTCATCATCGCACAGGAATAGCTTGCATGTCTCGCATTTATCCCATCTGCAAACTGTTGTAAGGACTTGGACTTTGCTCCCAGAAGCGTCGATATCGAAACACACGGGCACTCCATGTTCCAGCTCTGGCACTTTGTCGAAGAAAGCGTAGTTGTCAGTCTCCAGCGGTTGGAACTCCAGCTCTCCGTTACTAGGCTTGAAGCAGTCGCGAATGGAGTGAACGAATGGCTGGCCACCAGTTGCCAAAGGAGGCAATAGCTGCACACCAGGTAATATAGCACAGTCGGAATAGCAGGTGCTTGCATCACAAACCATCACGTCGGCGCTATACGAGGCTTGTGCGCCGCACTCTTCGAAATGAACCCGCATTGCCTGACCGCCGCGCTTGTAGGTCTCTCGATCAAACGCATTATCCGCATCGTCTTTGAAGGACTTGGAGAAAGCGACAGAGCGGGCCATGAAGCCGTCAATTCGCTCAGTTCTGGCCTTTTCCAGTACGCAACGATGGAGCATGCGGAGTGTAGGATACGATGGTTCAGGCGGACTTGTGGAGTCAGACTGTACCGCCTGAGAGGCAGGAATCGCTGAGCTCGCGATTGCGGGTGTTGTGACCAGAGGTGGACCAGAAGGTGTGCCTTGACGGTGCATCAGGTTGACTTGTACTCCGAAGATGCTGATTCCAGTTTGATGGATGATATTGTATCCGACACCACCGGCAGCGAGTCTGAGTCTGGCCGCACACTTCTCAATCTCGGTCCGCTTATTGTCAAAACCATCTAGTTCCTCGTTGGTGTAGTACATGGTGTTGTAAGGATTTGGTCTGTCGATTTCACGCCAGTGCGAATCCCACTTTGCTTCGTGTTGATAGTAGTCTTGTGCAATATGCGCGCAGCAATACTGGGTCAGACCTGTGCGGTCATGGAAAATGCTCACTGTTTCTTCGTCTGAGAACTCGTACTCATTCAGCAGCACGTGCAATGTCAGGCACTCTTCGTTCGTCAACGTCCAACCGCTGCTAGTGTCCCTATGCTCTGATTCTGGATGGCTGTCATGCAAGCTAGAAGTCTYCTACCAGACTCCATCGACCTTGGCGAGGTAGATCAGGCCGCCCTTGTCACTTTTCTCTCCAACTGCTGGAAATGGTGGTGGAGGTATTGTCATGTTGACACAAACGAGCTGTCACCTAGCGTCAGTCGAGAGTTGATGCTCAATGCAGATTATACTCAACTGAAAAGTATTGCCGGTGAGAAGAGACTTCTGCAAGACCAGGATATTGATCAAAAGAGGAGTCAGTTTGCGGTGCAAATGAAGCCGCAAAGTGTCAGACACCTTCAATGTTTAAATCAAGGCCATGAGTCCTAGACGTCACTGTTGGTGTACGACGGCGAGTGGTTTGCTGGTTTGCTGTATGCAAGCGACGCAGGTAATGACTGTTTCTCATGCTTCGGCGTCTCCTTTTGGTTTGTTACCAAACCGGCAGATGAAGAAAGCGTGCTGCATTTTGTGCTTTTGTCATAGCATTCAGATGCCCATACGAAGCTGTTTGCTTTTTCAAGGGGACAAAGCAGGCAATGAGCATATCGTCCCCTGTACTGTCGTGAAATGGTGATAGTAGGACTATCGTCCCCGCTAGTGGCTGGGACCGTACAGGCATTCTTCCGCATTGCTCGAATGTCGATGAAATAAAGTAACGTGATCGGATAGCGAACTAACACGTTCACGGAGCTCGAGACCTGGATAACTTCATCTGGTCGTAGGAAATGCTTTCGTGATTGGACTACACCCCGGCCATCCTTGGATATTTCCGTGTTCGTAGGGGTTTGGCTGACCGACGGAGCCTCAGCTTTTGGATCAAGTTGCTTGCAGAAGAGAGTATCTCCGACCATGAAGTGTTGCCTGCAGATCTTGCATTCATCCCAACTGCACAGAAGACTATCGGCCTTGAATCACCTGTAGCCATTAGTAGAGTTTACATTGATTTCCAATTCAGCTTCACGAAGCTCGCTCCAGAAACTGTTGGTATTTTGCCCGGCTGGACGGAGCCAAAGCCCTCAACTGGAGAGCGAGAAGCGGTCTGAGATCGTGTATGACACTGCCATGTAGATTGTGATAGCTAGGAAATGAGCTTGGGCGTCTCCATGTGCATGGAAGGACATGCGCTTGGCTTACCTATTTCGCATGTGCACTTCACTTTCGTCAAAAATGCCACAAGGAGATGCGGAATTGCCCAAACGCAGTATTTGTCCATATCTGCCGCAGTCTGCCGTCTCGCGTAGGGTCTCGGGAGCAAGACGGCATCGAGATTGAAATRACGATGCAGTAGGAAGAGGAGAGGACAGGTGGAACCTCATTCCGCATGTTCGAAGCGAGATCAGGAGCGGTCGTCGACAGACCAAGTTGAGGAACGGCAGGATGATTGGGCTACACCGGATCGAAATGATGCTTTCCTTGTCTGATCCTTTCTCGATGGTAGACCGTGCATCTAAGACTAGCAGGAGACATCTCAATGTTAGTCCAGACACTCGCAGCGTCTGCCGACTCACTTTGTGGATGCGGCAAGGCATAGTATTTCAATCGATCATCCAGAGAAGAAGCGATATATGTACTGAACAGGCCTGCTCCCTGCTTGATTTCAAGTTGGAAATGGCTCCGTCATCTACTGTAATTAGTTCAGACAAGGAAGTTTACAGTCATCTTTAAGAGTCCAGACGAGGAAGTTCACAGTCGTCTTTCAACTGCTATCAGAGAGTAGAAGCAGCAACATCCTCTGCGGGATTCGCAATGTTGTCGCGTATGCTGTGCGGTATTAGCTTCGAACTGTGCCATGATGATGAGAGGTTCAGACCATGCCGCCACGAGTGTCGTGTGTAGTGCTCTAGTTGCACTAAAGTACACAGCACGTCCAGTAGCTAAGCTTGCATCGAAGTACTGTGTTCCACGAGAGCAGGCAATGGATACACTGTCTGTCAACAAGGAAAAGTTCAGATGAGATTGYAACCGTCCCTCCGGTACTGAGAGAGCGTCTATGCGCATCCAAGCGTTGAAAATCATTGCAATTCATCTCACCTCCGTCGTCTAAAATCACATCAGCCGTTGAAGTGTGGCATCCACCCTCCGTGAGGGTCCTTATGCTACAATGAACACACCACCAATGGTCTCATACCCCAACAAATCAACCCTGTCCCTTGTCCGCAACCTTTCCGCCGCTGCCCGCCATACTCATCTCGCCCATTGCCTTCTCCACGCTCGTCTTCCTCTGCGCTTTCTCCGCCTTCTTCTTGTCCTTCGCGTCCAACATAGCCACCGCCTTCTTCGCCTTTTCCCCCCAGAACTCGCAGATGAAACAATCCTCCATGCAAACCCTAGTCATCAACATCATCTTCTCAAACCCATTGTGGAACTCCATCTCCATCTCCCGCGTCTCGCCGGGTACAATCAATCCCTTCGAATAGTCACTGACAACTCCCGGGTAGAACCCAATCTCCCCTTTCTCATTCTCGCTACAATCGCCCCAATGTACAAAAGGCAACACGCTAGGTGTCTTTTGTACAACTCCGATAGAAGGTCTCACCCGAGCAGGCATACCCGCTCGACACCTCTCATCCCGACAAAAGTCCGGGTCGCAAACCATGCAATCCGCAAAATGCGCGGGGGAAGTTTCCGTGGCGGGGAAGTAGAGGCGAAGAGTATAGCCGCCTGCCTCGTAAGCTGCGGCATTGGTTGGGCTTCCACCGATGAAGCGCTCGGAGGAGTGCGCGGAGCGGACTGTATGGCCATCGAGGCGTTTCGAGTCGAAGAGAGTCGCATAGTGGACCATGGGGAGGGAGGTGGGAGGGGAAGCCGGTTTAGTTTGGCGCGCGGTGTTGCGGAATTGTGTCGAGCTCATTTGGGTGGTGTCGAAGCCGAGTTCTTGAATTGGAGAAGCGTAGAACTCGTGCTCGACAGTGTCTTCTGCTGCTGGCTGGGGATTGGGAGCCTTTTTCTTGCTCTTGTTCTTCTTCTTCTTGGTCTTGGACGAGCCGGGAACTGCTGGAGTAGACATTGACGAGCTTGTTCCTTCGGATATCTCGTTCTTGCTCGACTTCGAGGCGTCAGGGACGGGTGGAGGAGGCATGGACATGCTTCCCGATCGGGAGGTTTGCTTCGAAGAGCCAGGCACAGGCGGAGGAGGCATCGACATGGTTGCTGGGTCCGATATGCTTGGTAATTCCGACAACCTTCTTGCGGCAGCGGCGGTGTCTCGAAAAATGAGGCCTGGAGATTGAGAGGGTGACGAGGTTGAAAGCCGTAATGATCGCCGTTTCGTGGAAGGAGAAGCGGGAGTCTGTGTTTTCTCCCCAGGTGTTGGAGAAGGGTCTACCATGACGAGAATAGTATTGCTCTGGAACTTAGAGGGAAAGACCGATGGATGGCTGCAATGTAGGAAGCCGAGCCTGGAATTAATATTGCATGGCTATAAGATTGCTTAGATCCTGACAATCGAAGTGGCAACGGGTTGTTGGCAACATACACAATCAAAACGTACGAGGCACAATTAGCATACACTTTGGGTTGATTGCACCTAGAAAGACAAATTGTTCTACCGTGTTCGTTTCCTGGTGAGAGATGCGAGAAAATACTAGCGGGGAGGTATAGGAGAAGACACGAAGCATGGATTGCAGGCGAAACATCGAGCACCCTTGTCATGAAATGGTGCCGTCTACGCCAGTATGGAAAATTTGGAGCATAGCATTCAGAGCATATTCACCGTTTTTAACCTCGATCACTCATTTCATGCAAAGCTAAAGCCTGCTGTATCGATGGAGGTCATCGCTTCACGACAGCGGCAGCCGCCAGCTCCCTCGCCAAACGAAACATTTTCCCTCCTTTCCCTATTCATCGTCCTGGAATGCGCGTGGCCGGTCGCTGTTACTCGCATGGTTCGTGAAAAGCCACTCGCCAAAACCAGCGAACGCCATATCTCCGAGGACGGGCATGCCAAAAGAAGTAGGAAGAGATTGGAGAGGACGCTTGTCGTGGCGTTCCTCCTCGTCGCCAGCATCGGCCGTCTCGATACTCTGAAGCACCGCCTCGTAATCGCCAACAAACTCCATGTCATCGTCCCAGTCGATGACCTCACCAGGTTGTCCATCATCCTGCTCATCGAAGAAGTATTCTGGTTCCCGGTTGTTTCTTCTATCGTCTTGGTCCTCCTGCTCATCATCTCCCTCATCTCCCTCATCATCCTCATCAGCCTCATGAGTCGGGTCCTCCGACATACCATCAGTAGTGTCAGCCGGCTCCTGACGACTCCTCAGCTCGCACCGCCGACAGTCGCCCTCAGAACACACCAGAGCTGGAACAGTGAATTGCTCAAAGCCATTGTGAAATATAACATCGATTTCCAACAGATAGTCGGGATTAACGTCAGCGAACGTAGGACCGAGGGTGCTGTCAGGAAAGAACTCTGGACCACCATCGCTGGTACTGACAGTATCGTCCAAGTGCACGAATGGCTTGCTAGCCCAGTCCATCGCCGTGAAGGTGTATGCCTTTTCGATGGCATCGCAGCCTGCGCTCTGGCAACGCTCAGGGTTGCAGATCATAGTGTCCGCAAAGTGTCCTGGGCAAAGATCGGTTCCAGGATAGTAGAGGCGTAGCGCAGCGCCGCCGTCGTTGTACGCTGCGGTATCAGCATCCTCAAGGTCATCTTCACGTAAGGGCACGCCGACGCCGAAGCGAGACGAGGTTGCTGCAGAGAGAATGGTAAAGCCATCGTCGAGCTCAACGGTTGTGAGAGCGCCGTGATGGACCATGGGTAGGCTGCTGGGAGTGAAGTTTGGCTTGCGTTGATGGACCGGCGCTTGTTTTGTGTTGCGAGTGCGTGGTTCCTTGACCAGACGCAGATCAAAGCCGGGCTCAGAGATTGGTGCTGCGTAGAAGACTTCGTCATCTTCAGCCTCTTCAAAATCCTGAGCATCCTCGAAGCGAACAACTTCTTCCCACTGCTCGTCGTCATCATGTCCAGAGAGGTAGAGGCCCTCGTCTTGATAAAAGGCATCATCTTCTTCACCATCCTGTTCGCCCTCATTCTCGCCGGCATCCTGCGCGTATTCGCCGTCACTCTTAGTGCTGTCAGCATCTCCGCCTTCTTCGTCCTCATCATCACTGTCCTCACGATACACAGGTATCGATGCCCGTCTTCTCTCGCGCGGACTGTTCGCTGGAGTCGCGTTCTGGTGTTTGAGCTGCTTTGCGCTTGATGAGGAAATAGTAGAGGCCTTCCGCGGTGCCCTCTGGGAGCGTTTCTTCGGTACCGAGGAGGCACCAGTCTTGCTGCGCGGCGGTCCAATGCCGGTGGCTGCACGCGCGAGAGGCGCGAAGAAGGTTGGCGAGATTGCCAGGGAAGAGGTAGCGGGAGCAATGAAAGCGCCATTCGGATCGTGAAGCTCTTTGTTGAGTGGTGTTTTCAGCCGAAGGTTGATTCCGTTGCCAGCGGCGACGCGGTTGATCATGGCGCGAAGTCGAGCCCACTCAGCAAGCTCGGCCATGTTGTAAGGCACATCATTTCGAGGTCTAACGCCGAGAATGCCATTATAGGGACGCGCGATGCTCCACCATTGTTTGGAATGCGAGGAGAGGTAGCGCGCGTTCCAAAGATCGCGCAAGTCTTTGTAGGTGCAGTTGTACTCCATCTGCCTCATGTCTTCGAAGCATGCTTGGGTCAACTCGGCGAACGCCACCGGATCGCGCTCAAACTCGGTGAATAGCAGATGGAGAAAGCAGCGCTTCTCCAGGTTCCACTGGTGGATGCCACGGCGGGCCTTGATGGTGGGGCGGCGGGAAGCCACGGTGTTGATGTGTGTATCTTTGCGAGACGACTTCGGCTTTGGAGCCGCGCCCCTCTTGCTCGACGAGGTTGCGATGCGACCCATCTTGATGATGTTGATTTTTCAAATCATTCCTCCAATTTGGTCTGTTGACAGAACGGAGGGGTATCGCTGCAAAGTGAATGACGGGTGATGGAGAGGCAGCAGTTGGGAGTCGCTGGAAGGCAAGATGCAGAAGTAATCGTGTGGGTGGAAGAGGATTCGGAAGTGTGGGTGTTTCGAAGAAGATTGAGATGATGGTACTCAAGTAGTCTCCAAGAAGTGGAGACGCGCGAAGATCTGCACCACGTGAACTTCCCCGCGCTAAGAAGCCGCTAAGGAGTGAATGTCTGCCAAATGCGGTCATCCAGCAAACATTCTTCTCTCCACCCTACGTGGTTCCGGTGAGAGGGTATACGGATCAATGAACGCGAAAGTGTGTGCTCTATATTGATTGTAATGTGTGCATGAAATGTCTAAACTCACCGTTCGTGACTCGTCTTATGTCCAGTTGGAGAGTCGCAAGCAACCGGGGAGCTGAAGCAATTACAGCTGCGACATTGGCAGTGCGACTTTGGGCCCGATTGCTCCGTTGGCTGTCTACTGGAGCACTGTGAAGAAGGGATGAGACTGCTTTGCGGCGTCTTTGCTCAAGAATCATCAACAAGGAGCTGAGACAAGCAAGAAAGTGCTAATGGAAGCAAACCAAACATGAGACGCTCGCTGTTCACGGAAGCTAGGAGAATGTTCCCAGAGCTGGCATGTCTGCATGATCATGCCACCGCCTCGATACCATCAACAGCCGCAAAATCAAGTTTTCTTGGCGGAATAGCTCAATCTGTGTTTCTGGCTCGACGTAAATGCACCCAGTTACAGTGTGGTGCGGTCGTCTGCTCATAAAGCGTCACCAAAACACCCCAACCGCTCAGTGAACACCCAATTTCTTCTCGCTAAGTATGAGCCCAAGAATCCGACAACGTAATGGCATGGTTCACCATCCAGTAAAGGCGTAGGCTCCGACTTCGTCCCAGTCCAATCCATTCTGCCACCGGTAAGCCGCGAATGGAAGCTCGCGTAACTGATCAAGCGTCGCGTACTGCAGTTGAAAGTACAGCATCTGATCTTTGATGCTTTTCCAAGGGCCTTCGGTGGTCCATTGTGCCGTGCAGCATTCCCTGCAAGTCTCATACACTGCACCGGGAGACCGCCATCGTAGGTCAATCCGACAAAGATGGACTGTTAGCCACACACGCTTCGTGTAATGAAAGTCCCTTCCCGAATGCTTTTGAGAAGCAGGAGGTTGGCTTGAACTGCGGCGTCTCTGTTTTTTTCGCTGCTCATGTATTGGAGATAGAGCGACGAGCCGGGCCACCAACCCGATGTCATCTTGACTAGCATCGAGCAGCCCTATTCGTTGTCGGTCATCGAGTAACTCGCTGGCCATTGATTTGTCTCTACATCTTTGCAACTTTAATGGTTTCTCCTGCCACAGATGGATATCATGTGTCCACGTAGGTAGCCATGCGAAATCCTGATCAGAGGGCTTCCAAGGGATGGTGACTGGTGCGTTAGAGATATCACCTGGCCACCGACCTGGCAGATCGAGCTCTACACATGTGTGTAAGGGATAAGCAGTTGAGTAGTACCAGTCGAGAGGTGTCGGACCGAACTCCAATCGTCGCCACGCACTTTGTGGCCAGTTCTCATACTCTGTTTTGCCGTATACGAGCAGATCCAGTCCAGCCTCAAATACGCAAATCGTCCAGATCTGTAAAGCATGAAGTTCACGATCGATGCCTTCTTCGTATATAAAACCTCCTTCCGGGCCGTATGAAAGCACCCGCAGGGGTGAAATCCCGTCGTCATCGAGCAGAGAGACGTCCGCGCCAGTTTGTAATGCGAGTCGGAAGAAATCCGTCCACTGGCCGCTTTCATCGCACTCCAGAGCCATTTGAGATGCAATGAGGTGTATGAGTGTTCTCCCACGTTGAGCCTTCAATCCAATCAATGTGGATACAGGTACGAAATCACCCAGAACCTTATAAAAAAGGGACAGATCCACGCCTTGATCCAGTTCCATGGCATTACAGAATCGCTCTGAGACTGGCAGGGTGCCATACGGGACACAGTACCCATCTTGGAGGAGTTGGGCAAGTTCCGTGTCGCGGACATGTACCCAGCACGTATCTCCAGCCCCTGGTGGCAGTAATAGCTCTTCCGAGTGGACCTCCAATTCTAAAAGGATCATCCGCAGAGTCTGTTTGAAGTGGTTGACTCCGTCAAGGTACCAAAGCCTTGGACCACTCAATGACACTGGACTTCCGAGTCCGTGCAGATATCTTGCTATGTCTCGATGATTGTACAYGGATGCAACCTAGAACAAAATTAGAACCGCGCTAACGTCAACTTCGATTGACGAACTGTGAAAGGCGACTGATCTGCAATGCTAAATGGTATGTAGTCGTAAGGTGACGCTTTTCCTTCCCGTATCAGCTGCTGAACCCCATGCAAGTCGCCGATTCTGCACAATTGCATGATTCGTGCGTTGTAAGGTACCATGTTGTAGCTGCGGAGTGAGATGTCCCAGCCGATTTTTGTTTGCCGTATCGATATCGCCCACGCCCATTTCAGCAGCCAGGGACGAAGATGAAGTGTAAATCTTCCAGCATTCGAGTTCGCACCAGCATCCTGTTGTTTTACTGACACAGTCTTGACGCTATTGGAGTCGAATGAGTCCAGGGCGGCACTGGGTATACCAGTGAGCTTTGCTAGAAGGCGGTTATGGGAGCTCATCGTCATGTCAAGGTGGCTGTTCAGGGTGTTGTTCTGTGCGAAGAGATCCAGGATCTGGCGTGTATCCTGCTCCCGTTTAGATTCAATGTATATGCTGTATGCCAGTGCAAGTGTGTTTTTTGCTCTGTCCAGCTCATGGCAAAGATTCAGTACATCCTTCTCTTTGAACGCCGTTCGAAGTTGGCCAAGCATTCTGAATTCTCTCATGGTGCCCTCCAATTTCTTGGTCAACGATCCGATCCGACCAACCCCCTGCCGACATAGCTCGATACATCGTGAGAGTATTGATGTATCACAGGACTTGCTGTTGGAGTAACGATCCCGTTCGATTTGTGCAATGAGGAGGCCAAGTGTGTCGATTTCTAGGACAGTTCTTTCCAGTAGCTCGGGAGCAGCGTTGTAGGAAGTGTAGAGAGCCCTTAATTTCATCGCACTGTCCGCTAGCTGAATAGTCAAGGACAAGAGGCCTGCACCACCGGAGACCACAGCTAGTACTTCGGCCATACCAGATGATTGAGATGAGTATGAAGGATTGTCAAGCGGCTGAGAGCCTGGAGTCTATAAGTAGTCTCGCAGCCTGTCCTTGGTATGGGCGTTTCATTGGAGGGACGGGCGTCAGCACGATCGGCTAGTAGGCGATGTTAGCGCGTGGTATGTGGCTGTGTACATGCTAAAAGAAAGCTCAGCCTTGCAACTTGGAGATACCGTGGAACACCCCTATGTCCCTTACTCATCTAAAGACAGAGCAGCGTCTAAGGGTGGTGTTGGCATCATAGTTAATCCTTACTAATTGATGCCATCAACAGTTATTGATGCCATTGACGCTATTAGTCATCGTGTACTAAGGTCGGTCCGCGTGCCGATCGCTTCCGAAGCCAATTAAAAGACGCGCTTGTCCCTATCTAGTTAGTGATAGTTTTTTGAAAATGATACCAATCGATGCTATTATCGATGCCATCAATGCCATCAACGCTAACGATACCGCTACTTTCCCCCCCTAGTATCGTCCCCTTCGTATGCGTAGACAGTATTGCTTTATGAAACATTGCTATTACGGCATACCGATCATCCTTAAAATCCATGTTTGTCCGCCTAAGGTACCTAGGTACTAGGTAGTCGGGATGGAGACCCTGCATAGGTATTCATGTCATCGCTTAAGCCCAACTAACCGACGCTAGACTTGTTGCCGAAAGTTAAGCGCCCTCTTTGACGCCACATCCAAACAATACACCCGTGATTAGAAACATGTCATTTTCTTATGAGGAAGTCAATAGGACGTACGTTCTTCAATTTTTGATTCTTCGTGGGAAGTGCTCAGTTGATCTTTGTAGAAGAGCAAGCACGTCTTCTCCCAAGGATATTTAGAATAATATGCGAGCATTGCGAACGCCGCATACAATTCTCGTATATCCAGGAGTCTATAGAAACCTTCGGCTCTATGCTCATCCCCCTGACTATACTCTAGACAGCATAGCAAGAGAGGGAAGGCCGCAATCCGACATGTCCAATCCCCTCTGGACCATGACGACGTATTAAGCATATTCAGAAAAGGTACTGTCTGGAAGTATACTCCCTATCTCGTCATGATCTTCTCTTCTTGGCAACATGACCTGGCAGAGTCTCAATGACCTTATTGAACTATACCAAGTCCGAAGAAGAAGAAGAAGAAGACAATACAGCAACGAAGCGACTGATAATGCTCGCTCTTATCTGCTCAAGGGGAGGACCTCCCTGTGGTTCATAAAAGATACTTCTATCAAGAGATGGAAATTGAAGTACAACCAATAATGGGAAGCTTCTCTGCCWACCTTGGCTTCTGCATCACCTTTGGCAAAGGCTTGAATTCTCGAATCTGATCACTAGGTTCACTGGCCTTCCCGGCACGGTGTTTCTTCCTTCATCTTCTCCGTTGATCCAACTTCGAACAACCTTGTTTTCCTTCCCTCCTCGTCAACTCCCTACTGCATAGCCTCCTCCAAGTCGCTTGCCTACGGCTCTGACTAATTGGTATCCTCGTCCCAAGAAGGCTCCTCGTCCGGGCCATCCTTCTTGAGCTTCTCCGCCTCAAGCGCCTCCTGCTCAGCTTTCTTCTTGAGATGTTCCCTGCGAATTCGCCTCTTTTCGCGTCTTTTCTGGCGTTCTTCCTTTTCGATCTTGTCCTTCTCATACTTTTCATCCAATTCCTCCACATCGAGTTCATCTTCCAACAACAGCCCTTCACGCTTCCGCCTATCCCGATCGTCACACGCCTCACAGTGTCCTTCCACACAAACCCGACACGCAACGTAAACAGAAGACTCTCCATCTGGACCCCCGAGCTCAAACATGACTGTCTTCAACTCCGTCATCGCCTGCCAATCAGGATGCTCGTATCGTGTCTTTGGCTTGGCGATGTACCTCGGAATTGTCTTTCCAGGATCCATCTTCGTATCGACGCGATGGATCAAGTGCACATTCGAGGTTGGACCTTCCTTGACTGCTGCCAGGCCTTTGGCTTTGCAAGAGAAGCATTTCTCCATGCGACAAGTCAACACTTCCATGACCGCATTGTCTGGGAACTGAACCTCATACACGGGACCTCCTGATCTGTAGGCGTACAGATTTTCCGGAACGAAGTACTTATCAACAAGGTTTGCGCTCACTCTTGAGGGATTGCCCCATATGGGATAGAACTTGGTGAAAGTCAGGTGACGGTAGTGGCACATTCTCAATCTGCCGGGATTTGTTGCGGAGCTCCCAGGAGCAGGACCGACGTCAGTGGGATCAGTAGCCATGTTGAACTTTTTGCTGTTGTTGTTGAGTTGAACCAAAATGTGTTTGTCTGTAAGAACTCCTGAGCAAGGTGTGGGTGAGGAGGGAACAGAGGGCCGGACGTGCTGTATTTATCAATTGAGCTCTTTATCAAGCTTTGCTTCCATTCTTGACGATAGTATGTGGAAGAATGTACTGCAATAGAATCGATGTTCGCAGAATGATCTGCTAGTCTTGCGACTCTTACCCAAAGAAACTAGGAGAAAGAGAAAAGAGCTTCTACCGTAAGATTTCCCCGTGAGATCCTTCGAGACTGTCAAGTAGATGTAGTAGACTGTTCGCGTCGTTACAAGATACGCCAACGTTCCCATTTGTCCCGCCCACATCTCTCCTTCTCAGCGAGAGCAAAGCCTTACCTTCATTCAGACGCTTCTCTCTTTCTACGTACCATGATACCTTCCATATATGTATGAGGCAAGGTTTAATCTAATCTTCCTTACGTACCGACCACATATACCATGGGCAAGCCAACGAAGCTAACATGGATTGAAAGGCGAACGGACGGCAATCGAACGTTCTGAGTGCGCGGTAGGCAAAGCCCAGGTTTATGTAAAGACGCTACTCGGGGTCCCAGCAGCTTTACTAGATGGCAAACGGCTGTGCCAGATCTCTGTTCTCGGCCGCTGCACTCTTGTAAAGGGATATTAACACGAATGTCGTATTGTAGACACGGATCGGAAAAGTCACATCATGTAAATGCCACCTCACTATTTCAGCGCTCACCGGACGTCTTCGGGTACCCTTCAATCAGCAGAGGATACCAATGAGACACTCAACGGAATCAAGAATACTCTTCCTAACCAGGTCCAAGATTTCCTGCCTCACATTCTGGTGCTTTCCCTTCATTGACATCCTTCTCTGCTCAAACTTGCTTGCTGTCTCTGAAAAATTGTGATGGAGTGGGTATACAAACCACTTGAAGCGACAACGACCAAGATGGTGGAACTAGCGCGAGACTTCCATTTCTAGAGTTGACGGGTCGTCAGTAGATGATTCCGGGGAGACCGATTGATACCTACAACATAGTGATCCACGCCCCTTTTCCGTTCCGTAACAAGTCCAGCCATACCGGACCCTGGATTTGGGCTCTGACTAAACTGTCGAAAGCAAAAGTCTCTCGAAGCAACACACATGGGAATGGGAAGAGTGAGACTCGCGTCAGATATAGCCTAGGCATTCTCTAACAGGAGGCTGGCTCTTCATCACTATTATCCAACTCAGTTGTACCTTTAGTCGAGACACCCATCTTCGTTCTCACGCTCACCATCATCGTCGTTCTCTCCTTGCTGACAATGAATTCATCCTCTTCGCGCTCCAATTCCAAGCYCCTGCCTCCTGATCTTCATGATCTTTCTCTCGCTCCATCACCATTTACGCTGCTGCCGCAGCTGCCTCGGCAGCGTCCGCCTCGTCACAATCGGTACAATTGCCACTCGTACAGGTCTCCCATTGCGTCGAAATAGCCGTCGCTCCACCAGGACCAGCACGCGAAAACGTCGCAGAGACAGTCGCAACAGGCGTACCATCCCGTAAAAAGCCATATGCATCCCAATGCATCGGCGTAAAAGTTCGAATTTGCGTCGCAGGGWCAAGAACCAGCTCCCGTCGATGAGCAAAAGGCATACCATTGTTCGAATTGCCACTACGAACTGGCCCTCTCTTCCTACACGTATTGCATCTATGCCGCCGATCGGCCATGACATCCTGCTGCGTGCCGTCTGGGAATGTCACTCGATAGGTAGGGCCGCCGTATTTTCGGCTTATCCAATTGTTGGCGACGAAATAGCCGCCGTTGTCGGTTGATATCGATTCTCCACGTGGGATGTTCCAATATACGCCAGTTGAACGGAAGTCAAGATGTTTTAAATGGCACATCCTGAATGCAAAGGTTGGTCCTGGGGCTACTGGAGCGGTGACTGCGGCAGCAGGACCAGCCTGCTGAGCTTGAGGTAATGCTTGAGTTTGTCCTGCCGTTGACGCTATCGAAGTCCCGTTTTGCGGCGCTGCTTGGCTCCCAAGCCTTGTAGCGTCTTTTCYAGTCGTCGACTGTCCAACTGGACCTGTCTCAGGGGCTTCCTGGTTGTCATCCGCCAGGAGATCATTCACGGCTGCATCGCCGTTATTGTCGCCGTCGGCAGGAGAGTCGTCTTCATCTTCCTGACCGCCCGAAGGAGCAGCGTTGGGTGTGTTAGGCTGTGCTGCTCCAGTTGAGGTATCGTTTGCCGAGGATTCCCCCGAAGTAAGCTCGGAAAGACTCGAATCAGTTCCATCATCATCATCATCGATCGTGATAACTTCTTTCACAGGCTGCACATCTGCCTGGCTACAAATGGAACAACTCGCAACGACGCAGACGGCGCTAATGATGCCCCTTTTCCTTCTTTCTGTTCCCCTTTCGTTGTATCGAACCATTCCACGCTCCATCTTGTATTCTCCGCCCTTGTCCAACTCTTTGTGTACTGAGGGAGTGAAATCCAACTCTCCGGTTGTGAGATTATCAGTGCACTCTTTGCCGTGCACAAAGGGAAGTCTATAGGCATTGGGCGTTCGCGCATCTCTGCTCTCGTCACCACAATAAGAGCAAACCTGATATTGGCAGACCATCACATCGGTATCGTAGGATCCATCGAGGACATGTATCCTAAGGCCTGGTCCTCCAGAATGGTAGAAAGTGTTATCTCTGCCAAACAAGTCTTGAGAAGTGCATTGAAAGCTTGTCGATGGGCCTGCTCTACTAGCGGAGAATGAACCATCCCGAATAGATTTCAAGTCCCTTCGATGAGCCATTTGTAGCTCCATCTCGTCGTTTGGTCTGCATTTAGGACACATTGCGGGCTCACAGATCATGGACTGCTGAGCAAAGCCTTCGCCACCTTCGTAGAACAACACGTAGCCAATCCTTGCTCTAGGCGGTGTTTTAAAGACAGATAGGAGGTTAATGGACCAGTGAGGTTGRAATACTGGAGCTTTCGTGCCATTTTCGTCCYATGATATCATACGGTCGGTACTGTGCACAAAAGGTAGCCCTTGGTAGATGTTACCCGTATCCAATGTGGTCAAAGGTGAGGACATCTTAGAATTCGGTGCATCCAAGCAATGTTGACAACATCGTACAGCGCAAATCATAACATGATGATCGGCATCTGGCCTCTGGGCATCTCCTGGTATGAACAATGACATGACTGGCCCGGCTTTTTCGAACATGATGTCGTCGCTATCGTGGTCGAAAAGGTCGTCGTAGGATGCTCTGTACTTTGGTACGCCTGGGATAGCGGCTCCATTCGCGGCTGTATTGAGGACAAGATCGGAGAAGTGAACCATCTTAAGCCTCATCTTGTCTTCTGGAATCGGCGCAGGATCGATGATCAGGCCGATCGCATTTGTAGGATCAACCACTGGGATGAGTCTCTCCACTGGGGCGGGTACATTGGACGAAGCGCCATTAGAGATATTCGATGGATCGTTGTCGGCCTTGGACTTCTTTGCTGCTCTGTCTTCTTCGTCGTCGTCATTTCCCCGCTTCCGCTTGTTCTGATCATCATTGGAATCTGTGCTGCCTTGTTGTCCCATTCTGATCTTGGGAACGTTCTCAATGTTGTGTTGAAGCGTTGACGCGGGTGCCATCGTCGTCAACAGGGATAAATGGGTTATGGCCGGATTCGTTGTGGTTCCATGCCAGAACAATGGCCTTGAGGATAAAGAACTCGATATTTCAGCCTGAAGTGGAGGAAGATTGAAGATCGTTCTTTGTTTCATGCAACCAATGTACTCCGATCAGTGAGCTGTGGCAGATGAGTTCCAATCAGATTTGCAAGCTCTCGGACCGTAGTAGTCACTCCTGAACCCAATCAGCGGTCACATGTGTACCCGTGAACAGCCACAGAGCAGGATCCGGAAGATACTGGTCGTGAGATGTCGCTCCGCATGCTTAGCGGTCTGTCCAGCTCCTTCGGTCGAGTCGCTCAGCAGGAAAGATGCTCCATATTGCGACCTCATCCGAGGTAATTTTGGGTGAAGCAAAGCTTATAGCAAGGGTTGGGGTGAGGTGGAAACTTGGGGTGTAAGTTTAGAGTATATGGATCATTGAGCTGTGCCTGGTATATCAGCTTGTTGTATTATGACTGTAATCCGTAGATATCTCAAGGTTGTGTGTACTCTGAGGTGCTACCGGAAAAATATTTACCCTCGCATCGACAGCTGGGAACAACCACATCTCAAGCTTCACACCGAGGAAAAGTGCATGTGCGTAGTAATGTGCTCCGGACAAGATATTAAAGCAATCGTTTGAATATTGACAAGTATAAGCTCAATGAAATCTACAAACACGGCAATCGAATTGCCTGCCCAAAATCTAGACAGGTTCTCCTTCCCCTGAAATTCAAATTCCTCGTCGACTTTGCGAAAGGCCTCCATCAACTCCCGATCTCCAAACACCTTCGAGGCTTCACTACCGTCTCCGCAAAATTCCGTCTCATTACAGCTCTTGAGTCCTTCCTGACCAAGTACTGCACTTGCGAACCTCCTTCTCTTGTCCCTTACCAGTCATCACGTCCCGCCGTCGTCCCAGACAGTTAACAAACTCTAGCCACATTTGCGGCATCCTCCAGCAACACAAACACGAGTCTGCAAAGTCTTCCCAGCAATCGCAAATCTCACCTGCCTACTCTGCATCTGTATAACCGGCCTGAAAGTCTCAATAGCCTGCAACGCCCCAGGCGTAAAAGTCGACAAGCCATTAATAACCGTAAGATCCCTCCTATGAACAAAAGGTCGTCCAGCAAGCGGACTATTCGCAAAATCCGCGGCGATTCCACTTTTGTTATCACTCTGACATCTGGCCCTGACGCAACCCATGACCTCCACGATCGTACCATCTGGCAAAGTGACATGGAAGACTTGGCCGCCATATAGATAGCTGGCGTGGTCTTCGGCGATATAGTAGAGATCAGTGGTCTGAGCCCGGAGGCYGGCGGTACCGATCCAGTCGATGTTGGTCGCGGTGATTTGGAGTTGATCTGTGTGGCACATTCGGAGACCTGGACCTAGAGGGTTTTGTGGGCCTGTTGTTAAGGGTACTGCTGGAACAGTTGCGGCTTTCTTTGCTGCGGCTTTCTTCACTGCGGGGGTCTTTACTGCGGCTTGCTTTGCTGCAGCTTGCTTGACGGCACTTTTCGTCACTGCGCTCTTCTGGACTGCAGTTTTCTTGACAGCAGCCTTTTTCGCTGCCGCCCTGCTTGTCCTCGCCTTCTTCGTCGGTGGCTCCTCGTCTTCTGATTCCGACGCCGAATCTTCTGATTCCAACCCCGATCCTTCTGGTGAGTCGTCCCTCTCCTTGGTCTGTGGTTCTGGATCGCTGAGTTCTGAATCTTCGTCGCTCTCTTCCGTATTGTACTCTTCCTCCTGAGCTTTGCGCAAGGCCGCCTGCTCCTCATCCCATTTAACACAAACGGAGCACTCCTCCCGCAAGCAGACAGCACTCTGAATAGTTGCAGGCGCGCCTTGGTCTCTCCGGATATTACTGAAGACCACAGTCGCTTGTCTAGTTGCCGAACTCTCCATCCTCAAATCATCGAAGCAGTCATTCTGGAATGTAAGAGTTCCGGCATCTTCATCTTCTACACAGTCTTTGCTGTGCACAAAAGGCGACCTTGAACTCTTGTAGGCCAGTCGTGCGCCAAGTGGGCACGACTGGCATCGTCCCCACTGACAAAGCATGATATCAAGGACTTCACCCGCAGGGTCATCTTCACTCAAGACGTCGACATCGGGTGCGTCAGCTCGTCTTCGAGTGAGCATAGGATGGTTCTCATCCGGGACGAAAAGCTTCGTCACGCTTCCACCACGATGCCACTCTGAAACCGCACGGCCAAAGGTCCTGTTCCACAGGCATGCATATCGACTCTGACGACCATCTGCAAAGTGATCCTGATATTTGTTGTCATGCAAGTCTCTCCTGTGTACCATGCGAAGCATATTCTCGCTGTCCAATGTTGGCCGTGGATCATTTTTTGAGCGCGTACACGAAAAGCAATTCGCGACCACACATACCCAACTTCTGGCTTTGATTCTTTTACCAGCTTCAAAAAAGGTTACGGTGTCTTGATATGCAGTGACCTGTGGTTGTCCAAAGTTGCCAACAGCCCAATGCGGAGAAAAGGTTAAGCCTGCGGCAGTCACCACGCAGTCTTTCCGGTGAACGAATGGAAAGCCCTTGTACCATTGTCCCTTGGTCTTGACGACGAATCCTGGTCTAGCCGTAGCGCTCGATGCAACACAACTCTCGCAAAAGTCCCTATCGCATACCATGAGATGTTACTCAGCGGCTGGAATGTGTTGGCCGTTGCGTGTCGTCTCCAAGACCAGCACGTTCATTACCGAGCCGCCTAAGCGCCACATCTTTTCGGGTGCGGCAAAAATGTGCCTGTGTTCTGTGGTCATTTGAGGGACTCCGTCCGGTGTGAAGCCATCTTCGTCCTCGTTTGGTGTGAGATCTCGATAGTGCACCATGCGTAGAGTAGCGTCTGTATCGTCGACTCGTCCTGGCTCGAGCAATGCAAAGCCGCGTCCGTCTACTTGAGATGCCTCTCCGCTGTTGGGTGGTGCGCTAGAACGATCCTCTTGGGCTCTCTTTCCACTGTTGGGCGTTGTATCCCTCCCATTCTCTCGCGAGGCACCTCCATTCCCAGAAGGCGAGGCCGGCTGTGTTGTACAGAACCGACATCTGGATGTATCGCACATCAATGCTTCCACCAAAAACCGCTCACCATCCTCTGAGAACCATACATTTTTGGGGCCAGATCGAGCATAGTCTGTCTCGCGGCGGATCAAGATGCTGTTTCGTGGAGGATTGAAAGAGGTACCCTGAGGTGAGCGTTCGCACTCACTGGTGTGGACAAAGGGCCGGCCACCAAATGGTCCCGGACCGTTGTCTGAGCCTTCGGGAAGACAGTCTGGGCAGTACTTCGGATTGCACACCATAAGATGCCATTCGACGAATTTTCCTGCCGGTGAGCCCCTGACCAGGACCAAGGCAGCCTCACCACCTTGCTCCCAAGCTGGTCCTTCTTTGAAAATCGAACCATAATTGGTCCACCATTTGGTTTCGTCAGGGCGAACAGGACCGACGTTCCCAATGTTTGTGAACAGCTGATCGCGATGTATCATCTGCAGCCTGCGCGGCGGCTCGGATGGCTTCGTTGTTTTGGACTTCTCTTGAGCTCCTATTGGGATGGATTGATCCTGCTGCGCTTTCCCGAATCCAGGCTTTGTGCGAATACCTCCAGATAGAGTGCCTACAGTTCCAATTTGGTGCGCATTTACAGCCCCGGACGAGGATGGATCAGATTGTCCAGGTGCAGACTGTTTGTCAGAGCCTTGTCCCGTCTCAACGTTTCGAGATCTGATCTGTCGTTGATTAATCCCACTAGAGTTGCCAAAGTACCTTCGTTTCGAAAGCGGTGTCTGTAACGACTCACCAGGACGTTTGCTTGCTAGTGGTGGTTTCACGAAGCCCCTACTGCTCAGTGCGCTCGATACTCTCGGGCGTGAAGGCTTCATCGTATATCCAATGCGCTTCCTGGTTGGCACCAGTTCTGTCGAAGTACGACACACGGCGCAACTTCTAACGATGCAGACTGAACTCATGATTGGGGTGTTTTTCACCCCTTCCACCCCATYGCCTCTGGGAAGGAGATAGTTGACYAACTTCTGCTCAACCTCAACCAGGCAGTTCACGACCTGGTCTCTCCTTGCCCGAGCTGAAGGCGCGAAGATAATCTTTCCGTTCCCCACAACACATGCCTTGCGATGAACGAATGGAGTCGTGTAAGGCTTGTATGCACGCCGCGAGCCAATGTTGCATGAGAAACAGACACCATACTGGCAGAGCATGACATCGCGGAGCACGCCCTGTCGATCATTGGAGGCACTGCGGCCAGCTTTCTGCGAGCTGTCGCGAACAAGCACCCTCAGCACTGGTCCACCGGCAAGCCAGACTGGTGATGTGGAGTCCATCAAATCATCCAATTGGCATTGATATCTGGAAATCAGCTCCAGTCCCGATTCACCACGATTCTCGAAAGGAACGACCTGGGAACGATGGACCATGCAGATGCTATTGCTGTTCAAGCCTGGTATTTGATCTTTCTGCACTTTTGTGGTAGTTTGAGTAATTCTTGATCCCTCTCCTGGGGAGAAGAGTAGTTTACGATCCTTCTGGCGGGGCTTGGCAAGTGTTTTCCTGGGTGAAGGGGTGGCCGTGTGAGCTACTGTGATGCCGAGATCAAGAGATCCTTGGGTCTGCGCACTTCCTCCTGAAGCTGCGGCTGCGGCAATCTCCTCGCTCGTCACAGGCCCTACAGCCAGCGCTGTCGTCTTTGCGGCGTTGTGCAGTCCCAGGAACAAGGTTGGCGGGTTCAAAATGATCCCTTGATTGACCGCAGCCTGGACAATCAACACTCGGAGCCTGGCACGATTCGCCCGTTCCTCGGGCGTGTAGTTGACAAGAGACTTCTCGTGAGCGCTCTTCCATGTAGAGGGTCTTCTGGGAGCCAAACGCGTTCGCCATTGATCACGAACTTTGTTTCGCTCATTGGAAGCCCATGGAAAAAGCTCCGAGAAGAGCGCATGAGCAATGTCTGTGCCAGCGTCGATTTCCGTCTTGGAGCCGCCGAGGGCCTGGAGTCGATATTCGATGAAGAGTATGTGCAGGACGTCACGTTCGTCGCTCCCCCATCTATGTCTTGAGGCTTTGGGCGGCATGGCTTGCTTGAAAGTGCTGTCGATTGTGAGCTGGACCGAGTGAAGGCGCGTCTGGTGACCTCTTACTGTAATGTATGAGACGATGGAAGACTCGGAATGTCATCTTTCCTCATAGTTGCTGTCGAGAGGAGATGTCGTCTTTGTTGTGATGAGCTCTTCCACCGGTTCCGGCACTTTTTAACACTACAAAGCCCGACTCAATGATCCAGATTCTGACTTTCTGACTCTAATGGAACAAAGCGGGAGTCTTTGACATTTGTCTCCCTTGTTTGATACCTCCAGCTCTCTCTGACGTCGCCCATTGAGGCAAGTAAATTAGGGTTAGGGTTAGGGTAGGGGTCATGCAGCTCTAAGCCACAGTAATTTTTTGACCCCTATACTCCGCATGAACCGGAGTGACCGCAGAAACCAATATGAAGTTGATTCCAAGCAATTTAGAATATCGGAACCAAGTTTGATCCGTTTCTAATTTGACGTGCGACGACCCTGGCGGGAGGAAGACTTGCAGTGCCCTCAAAGCTAAGATGTATCAGCAAGAGAAAGTCTCAACATTTGGATATCATGACTTCCAATCAGTTGTACATCAACGAATCCCAACAACATCGTGTGGTGGCTCACGAAGTTTGAATTGATTTCATACGAACCAATGACAAATGTCGCATGTAGTGCGAAAATGGCATACCTAACAATAACGATTCTACCCATCTACCTCACAATCCACCACTCCAAAATGGCGTCGTCCATCACCGACGTCGCCTAAGAGGCGGAGAAACGTCGTACAACTCATTGAAGTCCTCATCCTGAGTGTCGTCCGGCTCTTCGAATTCTGGGTCTGCGTCAAGATCATCTTCCCCATCGTCGTCAGCCTGTTCCTCACTGCCCTCTGCTTCGTCAACCTCGCCATCCATTGGCTCTCCTTGATCGCCTTCATCGCCCGCCCCCTGCTCAATCTGTTCTTGGGTTGGTTCTTCTCCCTCGACTGGCTGTTCTCCCTCCGCCATTTCTTGTTCTTCCACCGGACCTTGTTCTTCAACTTGCTCTTCTTCTTCTGCCTCTTCTTCTTCTTCAACCTCCCCCTCCTCCTCTTCCTCTTCAGACTCCACAACATCACAATCATCCGGACAGTTCCCAGCCGTACAAGTATGACACTGCGTAATAATAGCCGACGCACCCGCATTCCCAGCTCGTCCAAACCGTGCAGTAACAGTAGCCATGTTGGCATCRTCAGTATAAACATGATCTCTGCCCCTGAAAATAGGCACAAAGTTAAATCCAGTAGCAGCACTCGRTACAAGCTCTCTCCGATGCGCAAAAGGAAATCTCAAAGCATTCGGTGAAGCAACCGCATTCCTCTTGCCCTGGCATGTCTTACACTTGAGTCTGCGACAGGACATGACGTCTTGTACTGTGCCATTCGGAAAGTTGACACGATAGACAGCACCTCGCCACTCCCATGGTAATCCGGTGTTGGGGAGGAAGTAGTTGTTGACAAGGACTCCGCCGATTTTTTTGGAGTTACCCCTGCTGTTGAGATCTGACCATGTTACACTGTTGGCAGCGAATTCGAGGTGCCGATAATGGCACATTCGGAAGAGATTCGCTGCCCCTGGTGTTACTGCAATGACTGCAGTGCCTGCTGGTGTTGCTGCTGTATTTGTAGTAGCTGTTCCACCCGCTGGTGCTGCAGAAGTGGCTGGGAGAGTCGTCTTGATCGCTGAAGTAGTTGGGAAGGTCGTCTTGCCCCCTGGTAGTGCATTTCCTCCAGGTGCTGCAGTCGTTGTTGTTGTCGATGGAATCGTCTGCGAAGGTGTTGGTTTAGTCGTCGGTTTTGTTGCCGGCTTCGTCGTCGGCTTCGTCGTTGGCTTCGTAGGAGGAGGCTTGCTTATTCCTCCACTCGTGCTGCTGCCTCCTGCAGGAGAGGAAGCTTTGGCTACTCTAGGGGGCTGAACTCTTTCAGGCGTTCTCTCACGAATTTGCTTTCTTGGTGCCTTTGGTCCTGTTGTCGGCGGCCATTTCTTGCCAATAGGTCTAGTGGTTGATGGAGTCCCTGTTCCTCCACTACTGTTCGTAGTTTGTCCTGTCGGCCGGATGGTATTTCCACCGCCATTCCCTACGTTGGTTTCTGCAGTGAAGTCCTGCTGATCAAGATCGATAGGATCATCACCATCGTCCTCTCCCGGGGCTATCCCGTCGAGGCCAAGAGATATTTCGAGACCCTCTTCTGTCCTACTACAGATTTCGCAGTCCGTCCGAACGCACACTGCACTCGTCAATCTCGGAGGTGCGTCAAATGGGCCGCCTCTTGCTGGATATATGACTTGCCGCTGCGTGACCGGACAATCTATTCCCTGATCCAATCTTGCAATTGGGTCTGGACGAAATGTAACCCTACCGCCACCACCATCCGCGGTGCAGTCTTTCGAATGTACGAATGGAAGACGATAGGCGACGTGAGTCCTTTCGGGAGAGGTACCGTCTCTACAACCTTCACAAGCTTGGAATTGACAGACCATGACCTCCATGTCCTGCCTAGGCTGGGTTTCGGCGATGAAAACGCTCATGACGGGTCCGCCTTGGTGCCATTCTAAATCCTCACGTCCTTTGATGTCCGATCTCTGACATCGATAGCGAGATGGAAACCCGTCAGGTTGGAGGTCTCTTCGATGAACAAGCTTCAAACCTGTAGCCTCTCTTKGATTACACTTTGCACAAGTTTCGGATTGACAAATCATGCTTTTCTGCACGACTGGAACGCCTGCTTGGAAGTAGGTCACGTCGGAGAGCGTTGGATCTCCCCCCTTTATAGCATAGACAGCTTTGGTCTCGTTTCCAATCGGATCAAAGAGGAGTCCTGAGACAGTGCTTGTGCACTCGGATGTGTGTACAAACGGTAGTCCCTTGTAGAAGTCGCCAGTTGGATTTGCGCTCATCCCGGATAATCCCTTGGAAATGCAATACTGACATTGCGCTACATCGCAGAGCATAACGTGATGATAGCCCGAGGAGTCTCCGGTGACTTGGATATTGATTACTGGCCCTCCTCGTCTCCAGGTTTCAACAAAGCTGGGTGTCGAATGAGAGTCGTCAAACATATTTGAAGTAGTCGTGCGATATCGAGGAGCGCCAACAACCGGTCGGTTCACCTGCTCGGCATCAACGTAATGTACCATTTTCAACTTGTTGGGCTCCGCCGGCAATGGGCAAAGAGTGCATTTTCCTCGATTGCACACTGCCGTCACCACAATTTGCGAGTTGTTCTGCAAATCATATCTGATTGGCCGCAAGGTAGCTTCAGTGGTGGTTGCGTCGTCAGTAAGTAAGGTGCTATGCTCAGGAGGCGTGAATGATTCTGGTTGAGTAAACTCGCTGCTGTGAATGAAGGGAAATCCTCTGTACGGACTAGGACCAGGCAGAGCGTTCTCCCCTGCGCAATTCCCGCAATGTTCTCGGTCGCAGACCATCACAGGCCCGTAAGCATTTACAGACTTGCCCGTAGTCTTGTTCTCCATCCGAATGCGCATGCGGATTACAGGACCGCCCCTTTTGTACATCGGATTCGTTGGCCCGAATAGCTTGACCTGCTCAACCTGCCATAAGGGTTCACCTTCCACGGGAAGTCCGCCAAGCAGACCGGAAACGAGGTCACTCCTATGCACCATTGGCAAGAATGGGGGTCCCAGGGCTAGAACATTCGAAAAAGTGATACGAGTTTCTTCCAATGCAGTGTTGGACGAGACTTGAGCAGGTGGGTCGATCGGAATAGGACCTCCGATTCCATCTGTTAGTGTGCAAATCTCACAAGAGGATGGCACACAGACACTAGCTTGCACGGAGATCTTGTCTCGATCCCCCCGAGAGAACCAGAGCCATTTTGCTTGACGAGCTTCACCCATCCGGCCTTTTTGGACTCTCCGACCGCGAACGAGGGGCACAAAACTGGCGCCCGCTGGCTCTGGACTGCACTGTCGGAAATGTACGAGCGGGATAGCAAGACCAGGAGATGTTGTGTTGGGCATGGTACCGGAACCTCCGCAGTCCGGACATAATTTCGCATCGCAGATCATCACATCCCTCTCGGTTCCCCTTGGATCACCCATGTCCATAACGAGAGCCCTGATCACTTCTCCGCCATTTTCCCACACTCTCCCTGTATCGAAAAGATTTTTGAAAGAAACCCGGAAAGCTGGCCGATTGGCATTGAAGTTTGGGTTCACCTTCACGTCTTTCTGGTGGACCATCTCTAGCTTATCCTCGGGCTCAGTCGGTTGATTTATGGCAACAGCCTGACTGACTCCAGGTAAGTTCTGCTGCGTATCATCTACGTTGGTGCCAGTTTTTGGCCGCTTCGGCCCCGAACTCTCAAGGGGCCCTCCTGATCTTTTGAGAGTCGCGTTTCCCCCCGTCTGCGTGGGTTCATTCGTGACGTTCCCTTCCGGAAAACCTTGATCAAATGGAGCGTCTTGATCGAATAGAGAGCCTTGAACGAGTTGACCGACACCTCCAAATCCTTGGCCAGGTAATGTAGTTCCATTCGCTCCCGTTACGCCTGAGCCGCTCTGTAAAATAGATGGTTGGGCCAGTGGCGGCAAGTTCCCCAGATCCGGGAGGAAATCATTAATGTCAAGATTATCGAGGCCTGAGGCAGTCCCAGTCGGGTTGAAGTTTGATCCTCCGAGTTGAGGATCGATCGCCGAGGATGGAAAGCGCGGTATATTCGGGTTAGACTGTGAACTCGTCGACTGTGTCGTCGCTGGCGGTGGGGGTGGTAACGTTGAAGGTCCGGCTACTGCACCCGCAGCACCTGTCTGTTGAAATCCTTGTGTAGTAGGCTGAACCCACCCAGATGGAGGAGCTTGAGATCCCACTGCTGGGGCAGCAGTAGTTCCGTCCTTTTTCATCTTCGGCCTAGCACGATCCAAAGCCTTGTGATCCGCATATACCGGGAGAAAAGTCGTCCCTGGTGGAGCATTTTGAATGGTAGTAAGGGCGGTATTGTGCAGTGCGAGGATTGCGGGGGTTGGAGTGAGTGTTATTGGTAGTCCTCTCGCGGCCTGTATAATCTGCACTCGAGCAGTAGCACGATTAGTCCGCTCCGTTAAGTTGAAGTCATTGAGGTTCCTAGTGTGGTAACGGCCCCATTTCTCGGACCGGTTATTTGCATTACGACTAGTGTAATGATCTTTGACGACGACATGTCTACCGACTGCCCAAGGGAACAAGGTGGTAAAGATGCTGAATGTGTCTGCATCGCTGAGATTGTACTCGTCATACAAAATCCGGAGTGTATCTCGCTCTTCTGGACGCCACTGGTGTCGATACGTATCCGCYGCGCCGTTCGCTGCTTTTGGTGGCATGGCGAGACGCGTAGTCTCGCTGAGCTGGATGTATGTCTGATGTAGAACACGGTATGATTCGTAATGTAATATCAGTTCAACCCAGGGAGGAGGGAAATTCTCTTTACCGTACTGTCCTGTTCGAGGAGAACATCGTCTTTGTTGTGATCATTATCGACGCTTCCGGCACTTCAAGTCACAAAAAGCCATGGTCCAAGTCTTTCAAAGGCTTCCAATGCGCCGGGTCAGGACAAAGAACATAGAAGGATGCCCCTGTTCTCCGGGATACTGATAACGGGCTCTGTTGTTGGTCGTCGAGCATAAGCGCTCAGAGGAGAGCTTTTGATTGATGACTAGAAAGGAGACCGCAGATTAGCTGAAGTTCCAAAATGACGAGATACAATTTCAAGACATGCTGAAGGAAGGGTCCTGATCCCTCGTGTTGAAGTGGAACTTGCTATTCATGATGGTTCAATCCTGTTCAGCCCAATTCTCAGCAGTGCAATGCATCAACTTAATCCTCAAGTAACATCCATGCGGTCGCTGTCATCACCCTGAAACACAATCGCACCTGCCCCACGCGTGACCTCATCCCTCTCCCTCTCCACCTGCTACTGATCACACTCTTCACACGTTCCCTCAACACAAACCGCACAGCCAGTCTTTTTCATAACACCATCCGCTCCTTGAAACAATGCAACATCCATCTCAAACAGCACCTCCTTCTTCGGAATGCCGTATGTCTGACCCGCTACCGGATCGAAAGACTTCGCGCTGCCAACTCCACCATCTTCCACGAGTTCCCTTCGATGCACAAACCCCTCACCAAACCAACGATCTCCCTCCTTAGGGACCTTGAGCATTTTCTTATGCTGACAAGGCCCGCATGTTGAGACCAAACAGCACTTCACGTCTCTCGTGGTACCGTCTGGGAAGGTGACTCTGTAGACTGGTCCTCCAGAGAGGTAGACATCGGAGCCCTCGGGCACGAAGTAGTCATCGATGACTTTGAGGGTACGGCCAGACTGGTCCAAGCGGGCCTGATGAGCTTCGAAAACTACTTGCTTACGGTGAACCATCCGTAGAGCTTTCGGCTGAGGAATAGTTGCTTTGTTCCTCGAGATGGCGTTCGACGGACCAGCTTGTGGGGTTGCCTGGTTCGCATTGGCCTGAGCATTGTTGTCGAAGTCTTCGGGCAGGTATTCCGGTCCAGTAGCAGCCAGCCCCAGACTCACGTAGAGTGCCGCTTGGCGATCGTTCCAGAGCCCCTTCTCCGTCTCAACAGCAGCCTTTTCCTCATCGCTTCGTCGATCGATGTCCTCTGGATGACATCTCCTACATCCCTCAAGATCACAGACCTCAACTCGAACCTTGATCTTCTTGCCTTCCGAACTGCAAATCACCTCCCTGACGCCGTCTTTCGGAAACTCGTTGACGTCCCACTCAACGCCCCTGAGCTGATTCTCAAGCTTGAAGTAAAGCTCATCTGGCGGCCTGCTCATTCGACTCCACGTATCGCTTGTGAGATGCACGAAAGGCAGCCCGCTCCCAGACGCACCGGTCTCATCCTGATAACCAGGCGAGCACACTTCGCAGGCACGATCGTAACAAATCGTGACATCTTCAAATCGCGCAGGAAGATCATCCCAAGCGTAGAAGAAGACGCTGTACACCTGCCCGCCACGGAGGTACGTATCAGTATCGTCGACGAACTTGTGTGGATGGAGTGCTTGGTAGCGGCTACCGTTGACGTCCCTTCTGTGAGAGAGGTTGGTGAAGTGCACCATCGGTAGGCGTTCGACAGGCATCTCGGTGGCGGGCTTTGGGACGTTCAGGTTCGTGACCTTCGGTGCAGCACTGCGCTTAGCAGTCTTGCCTTGATCATTGACTTCAACGGCCCTGCCTTTGCCTTTATCGCGACGGCCACCACTGCGTGTGCTTCTCGCCGGAGGTTGGTCGGTGGAAGCGCTCTTGTTGCCGCCTGTCTCAGTAGAGCCTACAGCAGCGTCGTTCGATCCCTCATTGCTGGGACCTTGGCTTGAAAGATCGCCATGCCTCAGCTTTGCGGCCTCGAAGCTAGCCGCATTTGAGAGAGGCGTTCGGTGAGAACAGCGCTGACAGCTCTCAGCAACACACACGGCGCTCAGCACAACAGCACTCTCATCGCCGTGAAAAAACCGTACGCGCTTGCGCTCCATGCGGCACTCCACCTCATCCTCGTAATCCTGTCCAAGATCAGGAGCGAATACAAGAATGCCATCATCCTCTTCAATGCAGTCTTTTGTGTGGACGAAGGGCAATCCACCTGTCGGGCTATCTCCCTCCAACTCCTCGTCCCAAGATGTGTCGAAGCACATCTCGCAATAGTGCCTGCTACAGACCATCACATCTTCCAATCGCCTCGGGACTGTAGTGGCAATGTCTTGATCAGCCACGATACGCATGACTTGACCGGCATGGCTCCAAGCAGGATGTTCGTCGCCGTTGAATTTGAAGCCTCGCGCGTAGCGGAAGCGAGGTTCATCTGCGAAACGGCCAGTACCTGAGTGGTGCGGGTTTGGGTGAAGGTCCATGTAATGAACCATCCACAACTCAGCGTTTCTACCAGTCTCCACTGCGACGTCTTGATGTTGACGACTTGCCGTACGCCGGTGAGGAGCTGCTTGTTGCGCAGGGGGAGCGTCATTGATGTCCATCATGTCTCTATGGACTGGAAGTGGTGGAGGCGGCATTGCTGCTCTGTCTGCAGCTTCACGCATGATGTGGTCGGGTGGTACGTCTTGTGCGGCCTCGTTCGATTGCAGTCTCATTTGCTCGGCGATGGGCTTGCGCGAAACAGACACGTTGGAATCCTGTGGGAGATGCCCAATCAAGGATGAGGTGGAAGACATTGGCTTGAAGGGGTCTTTTGGTGCGCGAGGTGAAGTCATTGCACCTGGTCTCGAGCCGGCCGACTCTGGATCTGGAGCAGTCGCCAAGGCGGCGTTTGGTGCAGCATTCGCACCGGAGGCAGTTGTAGCACTCGAGGTAGTTGAAGCACTCGAGGGAGTTGAAGCACTCGAGGCAGTTAAAGCAGTTGAGGCAGAAGCACGGACCGCATTATCCTCGACCGCTAAAGTAGCAAGTCCGGCAGCATGAAGCTCCTCATATCCAGCAATGGGCTTCATCCCCAACTCCTTCTTACCAGCGACCCGCAGGACCTTGACGCGCATCGCAGCTCTTCTTGTCTGCTCCGCAACATCATACTTGTCAAGCGTCTTGTCGTGCGCTGTACCCCAAGAAAGATTCTTGCCAGCCTTGCTGCGCATACGCCACTCGTCTCGCACTTGGTTGAAGTTGTGCGACCATTTGAAGAGTTCCGAGAAGATCGTGTAGGCTTCGCGCGTGCGGCCGTCGTCGAGGTTGTATTCTTTGAAGCAGATGTGGAGGACGTCGCGCTCCTCCGGGAGCCAGGTGTGGCGGGCTGGCATGATTTTGTGGTTGGATGATCTTGGGCGGTCGTTGTGGTTGGCTATGACAGGATTGCTCGAGGTAGACGAAGCGGAGGAGGTTGCTGGAGTTTTGTTGTTGGAGGAGGAGTTCAAGAGACTTAGCAGGTGGGGAAGATTGACAGGTTCAAATCGAGTGCGCGTCTTGCCCATGTTTTGGAATGTAGAGAGGGTCCAGCAAGAAGTTCTAGCGGGTTGTGTACAAGGTGGATCAGATTGGAAATATATCTAGAAACGCCGCCTTGCAACGAAGACGCTGAATATATGGAGCGAACGAGAAGCCGTTTGTTATTTGTGCAAGCATACCACCATGTTCAGCGAGCAAACCTCGCGAGAAAGAGTGCTTAAGATCTTCTCGCCCTACACTGAGCAGAGTCGTCTCTACATGTTCACTCTACTCAATTGTTCAAATGCTATACTTGCTAATAGCACTTATGTCGGCTCTGTCTCCTGATTGTTCTATATCTCTTGAGCAGAGTATCGCCAGCTACGGGTGTTGACCGAGAGCGAGGACGGAAATGGGTCCGTACCAGGYAGGTTCACGCTAAGCGGGGTTCATGTTTTAGCGCGACCCTGACATGAATTATCTCGCGACGCGTCTAACACCACCCCTCCACTTTCGAACCTCCACTTCCTCGACAACACCTTTTCCCACCGACCACACAAGTTCTTGTAAGTCTTTCCTCGCAGTACCAGGATCATCCGTCAGGGTATCCGGACTAGTACTCTAGGCTAGACCAGATGAAAACATATGCTGACTGAACAACAACTCGAAGACTTCCAACAGCAACCTCCAGCAAAGTCCCAGGAACACGAAGACGGGCCTCCGGCAAAGTCGCGCGCAGTTGTCAGGCATACCAGCAAGTAGATTCTTCCTCCCACTCGACCTGCCGCGCGCAGAAGATCTTCCTTCCCAGCTCGACTAACACTTCCCCTAGCCTCTCCGACCCGTCTCGCCTACCAATTCTCCGATAATCAACATGCAGACCAACAAGATGGTCCGTAAAAACGCGCATACCTGGCAGTTCGAGGAGCGCGACGCCCTTGAGATCCTTTACAAGGAGTACGACTTCGACAACGGCAACGAGGTAGATGCGCATAGCATTTTTACCCACCTGTTTCCGAYGACAGGCTTTGCGTTGACTCGCATTCGCGACGAATGGCGTGGCCGCTTCAAGACCGGCCGCAACAAGAACTGGGCCGCCATGCACTCGAAAACAAGTCTAAACATGTACACTATCCAGGAGCAGACTCGTCGTGCGGCTGTACGTGTCCGCATTGTTCAGGCCGCTGCGACTTTGGCACCGCAAATCACACTGGCACCCATCGCCAGGGTGACTGCGTTACATAATGTCGCGCGCGCGACTGCTGGCCTTGCTGGTCCTGGTGCAGCCGCTCCCGCCATGCCCCCACCCGCGCCAGCACCAGTACCAGCACCTCCCCAGACCGCTCCCGCAACGGTCGTTCAGGCAGACGACCTAAGCAACATTGTGGTCGCATCGTCTCGAAAGCGTTCCGCAGATGCTCCTCCAAAAAGCTCGACAGGACCAGCAAAGCGTCCTCGAACCTCAGCACATCAGCTGAATCGACCAAGCAAAGAGGAGGTCATCAAGCAACGACAAGCTCGGAGCTCCCATCAGCCTGTCGATCACGAGAACTCGCCACGAGGCGCTACTGTTGCCGCCGCTGTCCAGGGTGCTCGGCAGTTGTTTCTCTCTGCAAGGACAGACCGAGACCAAGCACACCAGCCAGCGGATCAGCTTCCAGTGTTCGCACAACCCTCTGACTTGCTTGATTCCCAACACAAGGACCATATAGAGGCGTCACGCGATGACAGTAACGTGCGCAACAAGCCGCGCGGGCATCGCACGGCTCTCACGCATCCAGCAACTGGGTCTGTCGCCGGTAGGCAGCTTGGTCTCGGAAGACCAACAGTCAGCACCGGCAACTCGGAGACACATTCTGCCTCTCAACCACAAAGCAGTGGTGGAGCCCATATTGACAAGGTCGTTGGCAAGACGACAGGCGGTAGAGCGATTGTCGTGGCGGGTCCGGATGTCGAGCCTGTTCCCAGGCCGAACTTCCGTCACCTTCAGGCAAGACCATCAAAGATGAACATGGTCCACTATTCTCTGCTCTGCATGGTCTCGCTCAACGGCATCGATCAAGAAGTCGTCGGATGCTATGTTCAAGATCGTCAGGCCATGGTGCCATACGACAGCAAGACGTACCAACGCAAAGGCGTCGTTGCTGAGATCTGGTTCAAGTCCACGGCGAACGAGATCACCCACTGGCAACACGAAGCCTGTATGATCTGTAACTTTGAGGCCTGCACGTTCTGTAAGAGGAAACTCGACGAACCTCTCGTCTGGCATTCTGAGCGGACGTTAACCTTACCATTCGTGCACGAGAAGCACTGCGTTCCAGTCGACGACGGTGTCATGGTCTTTAAGCCCGACGGTGACCTTCCCCATGGCAGAGTTGAGGGCGTGGTCGTGAAAGCTAGTACGAATGACCAAAGACTCGACAAGCAGGCTTGGTACGTCCCGGAACGCCTCACAGACGAGGTCATCCAAGTCGAGGAACACCAGGAGAAGGTGAAGATGTGCGTCGCGGAGGATTGTGACGTGTGCAGCGATGAGACGGAATCCGAGGTCGGCTCTGAGCTCGAGCTCTCCAGTGTCGCTAGCGATGAAGGGGACAGTGACGTTGGAGACGATGGCGCCGAGGACCCGCAGTATAGTTCTGGCGAGCTCAATGGAGCCGGCAATCTAGACGACACCTCCACGAAGCACAATGACGCCGAGCACCAGGAGCATAACTCTCCAGAACAGGACGATGCTGAGAACCGAGGGCATGAGTCTAATGGCCACAGCAATGGCACACACCAGGGGAGYCAATCATCTCAAGACAGCACCGCTGAACACCAGGAGCACAACGCCTCGTATGCGACCCCTGCACCTAACCAAGCGCTAGTTGGAGGTCCTGCGCTACGCCATTTTCTGATCACATCCGGAAAGATGAACATGGTTCATCGCTCGCTTATACGCGTGATCATCGACAGTACGACCGATGAACCACAGATTCATTGCACGAAAGCCGGCAACAAGTGCACTATAGACTTCGACGACAAGGCCTATAAGCACGGTGGTCCGATTGGTGACGTGTGGTTTCCAAACTTCGACTCCGAGAGGAAGGTTCAAAAAGTCCACAAGTGGTGGATCGTCGAGCCTTGTATGGTGTGTGATCCGAGAGTTTGTGCTTTCTGCGACGAAGGTAGCGACAATGCTCTCACGGATGAGCTCGGTGCAACTGAGGGTCTGGGTCTTGTCCATCGCAAAGACTGCGATGTGGACAGTGATGGGCAGTTGGTGTTCAAAGCACACGGCCCCTGGAAGGTCTTTGATCGGAACGTTACCCACAGTCTCAATCCGAGACCTTGGAAGCCCGCTTCTTTGCCCGCTTTGGTGGAAGAAAAGACCGTGAAGTTCACCCGGCACGCGGACAAAGTAATGGTTTGTGTGCGCGACCATTGCGAGGTTTGCAAGAAGCACGACGAACTCAGGGTCGTTGAATCGGTCTCGGGCGGAGATGACGTTACGGCGGAGGCGCACACAAAGCATGGCGACACCGAGATGCAAAACAAGTATATTGAGGAGCAGGAAGATGCTAGTTCGAAGGACTTCGCCGCACGATATCCCTTCGACGATGAGTAGTATACCTTTGATATTCCTCGACAGCTTCCGGAGTAACAGCAGGTTGACGGACGCGGTGTCGAATGGTCACAACCTTCCTAGCGGTACCGAGCTCGAGATGGTGGAGGATCTGCATGGAAATGTTGAATACAAGGTCGTTAACGAAGTCGACAGCAGCAAAGCCGGTAGCGAGGAGGATAGCGGGCGAGATCGAGCCTTGAACGACGAGGAGGTAGAAGGAGGACACCACGATATCCTATTAATGAACCTGTTTCCGCTGTGTTGGCCATCGCTTCTCCGTCTGACCCATACAATAACTGGTATTGCGACGAAGTGTCAGACCCTGTTCCTGGCTCCCTTGATCACGGCATCGAGACTGGCGGGTTCGTTGTTATGTTAGGTTGGCAGGATTTTGCAGCTAGTAGACCATGAAAAAGCTGGTGTAATTGTTTTCAAATTAATTGTGATTGAGATCATGGTACGGCGCAGATTCTTCCACGTAATTCATTGGTGTCTTTAAACAAGCTTCCCTATCATCTGACAATCTACTGCCCACCGAGTCTCTTCACCTCATTCTCCCAGTTCCTGACAGCAGCCTGCAACAACGCATCCTTACGAGCGAATTCCTGATAGTTCCTCTCCACTAAACCTTTACTGAGCGCCAGATTCGTCTCCGCGAACTCCTTCACCTTCTCCCGCTCAGATCTCTCCCCATTTCCACTGCCAAAAGCGAGATTCTCCGGGATCGAGGCCATCATCTTCTTGAGATTGGCGAGGAAGGCCTTGCGCTTGGGATGGAAGTCCTTCGCTGAGGTATGCGCCTCAGATGCCTCGGTGGCATCATTGCGGCCCTCTGTCACGGAGGAGGCGGCAGAGCTGATGCTGTCGCTGTCGCTGATGATAATGATTTCGGGGGCTTTGTTGGCGGATTGTGCCATAGTGAACTGTTTTGCTTGGAGTTTCTGCTGGATTTTGTTAGATGAGTTGTTGCCACTCGGGTTTCCGTTATCATACCTTGGAGGTGAATATGGTGTTTCTAGAATTGAAGTTTCTTGTGATTGTGAAGAGGTGTGGAAGAGAAAGTCGAGTCCGAAAAGGTGTCGCCGAAAGAGTGCGGTCGATTTCGCTGCTGACTGTGCTAGTGGATCACGTGATAGACATCACTTACGTGACCAAGGGGTAATGCAGAGGGAAAAAGTGGGGCGTTTAAATATTTGAAATTCGACCACATGGGATGGAACCCGAGTATCTTATGTCCATGGAGTTTTTGTCCTGGAGCATGAACGCTTCGCAGGCTTGACAGCTCCATCCTTGCGAACGGCCTCCCAACTCTGTCTCACGGTGAAATAAACCTACGTTGAGATACTTATAAGCTTACCAGAAGTATTACAGATTCCTCCGACTTTTTGTTCCCTTCGCCTCTCCGTAGCGCCCGAGGTCAAAGAACCTGTCGACCGCTGGCCGATTTCGAATTATTCGACTTCTACAGCCGCAGCACCAACTTCGGGATCTGAGTTCTGGACTCCAAGAGCCTTGTACTTACATCTTTGATCTTGATACACCCTCCTGTACCGCTGCTGTCTCCTCTTAACCATCTCAATTTCCGAATTCAGCTCTTCGAGCTTCCTCTAATCAGCAAAAAATCTCAGGGCAGCGACCCAAGCGACCCGAGCTTCGTTGAAAGACCAGTACACAGTACTCCAGGTTGCCTCGTCACCTAAAATCTCGTCAACCTCGCCTGTGATAGTAATGCATTTTCTCCTAAAGGTAGATTGGCACATCAATCTGATACGTTCCAGGTGAGTCTCTCTAGAAATGGCGGCACTAATTCTCGATCTGCTGAAGCTTGACCCTTGATCCCCGCTAGCTCGTCATCTGCGAGTCAAAGGACTGTGAAGCCTAGAGCTTCTTGCCTTACCCACAGGGAGATTCCATGCATCTTGTAGGTGGTGCTGATCTTCCTCTCGCTGATCAACGCGCTCTTCTTCTTCATGGATTTCATGGCCATTCGAATGTCCCAGTTAAGCTTGTTCGAGTATACAGCCTCCCTGTAGTGTTTCTGCTCGGCCGTCTGTTCGAAGCGTTGGTACTAAGCCACAAGGGTGGCTTTCTGAGTTCGACCAGGTGGACGAGACTGTAGTCAACAGAACGAGTTGCCTGGATTGATAACGGACGCTCTTGGTAATGGAGACTGCATCTCAAGACTTGGGTGTGGGTCCAGACACTTGAGACATGCTAGCGCGGGTGAGAATACAGACTGGCGTACCCGCGGGAAGAAATCAAGTCGGGATACTTTGTGCGACATTGCCAAGTCGAAATCGACGAAGAGACAACCTCCCTGATCACTGGCGCAGATACCTAAAGTCGCTGCTCGAACCATTAAGATAGGTGACGGGAAAACAGGACATCATTTAAGCCTTTCATTCAGGACATACATGAGAAGACGATGCGGCCCGTATTCTCACAACCCAGCACTCACAACCCCAACTCATTACTCTCCATGTCCAGAAACTTCCGATACTTCTTCGACACCTCCGCGTCCTCCTTCCCCTCCTTCGCCCCCTCCCCATACACCTCCTCCAACCTCTCCAACGCCTCCGTCGTCTCCTCCTTCTTCTCTTCCAACGCCGTCATCTCCGCTCGCAGAGCTTCAATGCGCGCCTCGGAGTCCTTGTAGATCTTCTCGAGGCGCGTCTTGCGCTCCGAGAAGTAGGCCCACTTGGCGTGGGAGCGCTCCGTCTTGCGGTTGTGCTCGATGGAGTCCGCTTGGTGCTCGTCGCGGCGAGCCAGGCGCTCCTTCTCGAATGCCTCGATTTTGGCGTGGCCGTAGAGGTTACGGTCTGGTGCTGTATGCGCGTTGTCAGTCGCCTATTGCTTGGGGACGATGGATGAAGAGACATACCCTTCTTGCGCGCCTCGCCGTYCTGCTCGTTGTTGTTGCGCTGGTCGTTCATGATTCTGGTTGTGCGTATATGTTTTTTGAATGTTGTGTGTTTGAGGGATGAAGGGATGAGAAGCTGTGGTGGTGGTTTAAGTAGAAAAGTTCAGAATGAGCAAACAAGCACACTTGAAGCGGAAAGTGTATTTAGAGAAGCTTCTAGTCCGAATTGGATGTTCAGCTGACATCGACGTCGCTCTACGCGGGACACTCCGGGCGAAGATATKCCGGGAGAGGACAAGTACCTGGTCTTCTCACCTTCATTTCAATGCCAAAAAGCATGAGGTCTAGACAGCTTACTGAAACTTGCCACCGATTCTATATGCCGAGAGGCATTGCTTTGCAGTGGAGGAGCACGACATGTGGTCCATCGCTTGGACGCTCATATCGAAGACATCAAAAGCCGATCCTTGGAATTCAGAGAATCTTTTACGAATGCCATTATACTTGCCATTTGAACAGATACAATGGGTGTAACAGCCGCCCTCCCATACTGATTCAACGCATTAGATGCGATGTTCATTCTACATGGCGATTTACTCCGCTCGTCTCGCACCATCCTCGCGCGCTATCACAATATCTTCCAAACCCGGCCACAGCAAACAAAAAAGTCTGCTGGATCAATATCACCTGAACGCCGAGAGGAGGCTTCAAGAGATCTCGGAGCTTGAATGCCCCTGAGCACATTTCTATTCGCCGATCCCGATGCGCCTGCGACTAGACAGGACAACAATGCTCAGTCTCGTCAAGATGTCGTCYATCAATGCCCTAGAGATCCTGATGGTCGCACGCCGATCTAGGTTTTTTTTCCCTCTGCTTGTCGCCCGAATTGAGCCTTCCGGGGYAAGAGACTTCTGTAGTCTGCCTAAACGTATAAGTACGCTGCACGCTGTCAGCTCTCCGAACAGATTTGAGATCAGACCCTCCTCCTCTCGAAAGTTTCTTTCCCACGGTGTAGCTACTACACAGCAGGCCCTCGACGACCGCCAGCTATACGATAGGACTGAAAGCTTCTGCTCTGAAATACGCTGGTCTCGACACTCTCTCAGTTCTAGCTATCGTTCCGGGAGACGCTCCTCGATACCTACAAAGACAGGCGTATTAATGTACACATCAAGCTCGACTGCGGGATTTCAAGGAGCAAGCTTCCGCGAGAAAAGAGGTCTTCGTGGCCAGAGGAATGCTTCCCTTCTGGCGATCTCCGCGAGAGACCGTTTCCATTCAACGATCCAGAGGCCCGAAGCTTGGCATCTTGCCGCCAGGCTCGTCTACAACATCTGTCAAATCTGAGGGATCTTGCTCCTGTCAAAAGAATCGGCACAGCCAACATGCTGTACATGGGTCGATGGACCCAGTTTCATTTAGCTACGGAGCCATTGGTGTAATGAAGGTGCTGATTCCGGGTCAAGCTGTGAGGATGACATGATAGCTTGATATGTCCAATTAACCAGGACATCGCCTGCGCCTTGGATGGCGGCTGCCCCTCATCCTTCTCTCCTAGCAGCTGCGAGTTGTTGTCGGAGTAAAAAAAGAGTCCGCTTCAGTGGATGTAAATGGTTTCGTAGTGGACCAGGAGCCTTTATCTCATCTTCTCGGTCGGAGTGGAGTAGCAGATCCTTCCAATAAGCTCAACTCATCGCTGGACCCGCCTTTGCTCAAGATAGTGAAGTTGCAGTTTGTGGAGAAGGCCGATTGTAGCAGGCATTCAGCCATGCCGTTCCCAACACAGCTTGTCGCAAGGACGGGTTATCGATTCGACAGATCCATCAGGAACGAAGCCGCGAAGTTCCATAGGCATTTTCCTCTCTGAGGAGCCGCATCTTAGCTGATTCACATCATGTTAGCTGCAAGTATGTTGGTTTCGATAGCTTTTGTCGAATTGAGAAGCTGGCAGCTTTGAACCCTTAGCATGGCGGCGGTCTTAACGCGGAGATTCTGCTCTTCTCTAGTTGTTCAAAGCTCTGCATGCGTCGTCGACAGCTTCGCCGCCCGACCACTTCCTATGCTGGCGAGTCACTCAGGGCCTCAGTACTCCACTATCAGCACAAGGATACCTCTTGCAGAGTATCCCCGGCCTTACCGGGCAGTTGGAAGACTCCTCGACTTACGTACGGCCATGAAGTGTCTCGATTTGGCTATGGTTGACTTGGCACCAGTGCATCGTGGGTAATGCTATCGTTAAAATCTTCTTGTCCTTCCGCTTCAGGAGATGAGAAGCAATTTAGCCTCGTGGCGACAAGTCGGAGGACGCAAGTACATCATCTTGAAAGCTGGCTCGCTGGTAAGACCTTCGCAGTCTCTACGTGTAGGAGAGGTGCCGCAACAAGGCAAACTGTTCTAATCTAGCTTTCATTATAGTAAATGCGAAGGATAGGAAGGCCCGTTCGACTGGGCGTAGATCGCGAAGTCGACGGACCAAATTGCCAGTCATCATACTCATTGCACTGAAGAGTCCCCCCCGCCCGGATCGATAGCCTTTGAGGTCGCAGGAAGTAGCTTGATGGAAGATCAGAGGTGCTCCTCATTGCAACGAGTAGCAGAGTCGCTGTTCTTCTCCGTCCAATATGGCAGGTTCTGTAAATTCCTTGGACACTAGTCTATGTTGCCCAAATATCAGCGGAGACGCCTTCTAGCAAGGTATACGCTCGCCTCTAAGCATGCAGATCCAATGTTATGTCCATTTATCTCTTGAATCGGTCTCGAGTACATTTCCAAATCTTGAGAAACTGCAGCCATCGTTGCCCGAGGTCCCCGCCATCATGAAACGAGGAGTTGTGCTGTGGAGCTATACCTACGCGGCCGTGAGACATGCAAGAAAAATGTAGGAGGATATCGTAGAAGGGGATGGCGCGTGGGTGGACGATCTGGGAAAACTTATCGAGTGGCATGAAGGTCCCAGTGGCTCGAACAATTGGTTGCTGAGATGTTCGAACGAGGTGCCGTGCGCGTAGGACCGGGAGAATGGTCGCGTCGTGCGAGAAATGTGGTGAGCGGAGTAGCTAACACGCATTTCCAATCCGATCGAGAAGTCCTTTCAACTCTGTTGATATGTGCTGACACGATGTAGAATGGAAATGTCACCGCGAGACGCGACGTAGGCGCTGGAGGAACTGAGCCCAGAATGTGAGTAAGACTTTTACGGCTCATAGAACATGGGCAACACATTTTGAACACCATCGATGCACCAATCCATATTATGTCGCAGTCTATCATAAAACGAACAGATTGCCCAAGGTTAATCGTCCTCGTCCTCGCCAGTACCCTGCATCCTCTCAAATTTCCTCCGAAACTCCCTCGTCTCCCGCGCCGCCTCCTCAGCAGTCAACTCATCATCACCACCACCATCCTCCTCGACATCACTACCATCATCGTCCTGCTCCTCCTCCACCTCCTCCCGCAACGTCAATTCCACCTGCGGAGCCACAATCCTCACAATCGCCTCCCAGAAATCTCTCTGCCTGGCCTCCGCCTCATTTCCCCTCGAGCGCACCACAATCCACTTATGCCTCACACTCGCGTTCTTGCGAGCTCTCCACTCCGCACCGATCCGGTGATTGTCGATGCCGTTAGGGAGACCCATTGCTGGCATGCGCCTCTGACAAATCGCGTTGATGATCAGCGCGTACTGGGTGGCGTTCCAGTACCTGTGAGAAATTCATGGTGTTAGAGCGAACTTCATGGTAAGGTTCTTGATCTGATCGTGCTCCCTCTCGCGGTGTTGTGTGAACATGCACGGAACGATCACCTCGAGGTGACTGAACTGTTCGAACAGAGCATCTGAGACCGTGACGCCATGAGGCAAATCCATGATGAATCGAGGTTCATTGCATGCAGGTGGGAGTTTACGTACGTGTAGCGCTTGTAGAGGACGAAAAGAAGGGTGCGGATCCCGTCGAGGTCGTCCCATTTCATGCGGGCGAGTGGGGGTGTTGGTGCGGATGCGGCGCCTGTTGGTGCGGTGGTGTTGGGAGCCATTGCGCGTGTGGGTGGCTGTTATATAGGGCGATGTTGTGTTTGTATTTATGTTTGCTGGAGTTGCTGAAGCTGTTGGAGTCGCTGAAGCTGTCGGGATTGCTGAAGCTGTTAGGATATCTGCAGCTGTTGGAGTTGCTGAGGCCGTTGGAGTTGCTGAAGCTGTTGAAGTTGATGGACTTGTTGGGATGGTGGAAGATGTTGGAGTTGTTGGAGTCGTCAACAGCAGGAATCCGATGTTGAAGTATAAGTAGTTCCATATGTCATCAGCAAACCCGGCGACCGTGTTCCGGCTACTATTCACTCATTATTTGCGTATTTACTCATCTTCCATCGAAGATTCGTGGCAGTTCGGATCGATTGTCTCAATGAAACTGCCAGCACTGATTCACTGTCGAGCCTTTGTGTTGTGAATACGAGGCTGTCATAGGCGCTGTGATAAGGGGCATTCACTCGGAATGCTCTTCTACCATGGTAAAAGGCACTCAAGTTCTGGAAGGATCGGACGTTGCAGTCAGTTYAGGAAGATCGCAGTCGTGGCCCTCCGGTTCCAGAGTACATCTTCCAGACRGAACCACCTGTGTCCTTGTCAGTTGTGAAAATTCCGGCATGCAGAAACTAGAGCAAGTCTCAAGAGCCATGTAGAATCTGCCCGTCGTCGATGGAGCACTTCCTGGATGATATAGGAAGCCTTCCTTCGTGCGTTCCATTCCTCCTTCGTTCACAACATCCATCACATCCGAACAGACTATCTGTCTCCCTCAATATGCCTGCTCTTGACGAACAGATCCCAGCACACCTATACTCCTGAGGCAACCCTCCTGACGCTATACACTCACATCGACCTTCACATATAGAAGCCTGCTACCGACAGCGGCCTGCACAGCACTGACCCCTTTGCTTGGCCACCGCGCTAGCGGAACGACCAAAACTCCCAACTTCCTCGCTTCCCTCCTCCATTTTTTCTTCAGCGACCTCCGCCATCAGAAAACGTACGTACCCCCTCCTCTCACCGCCGTCAACTGCGACAAAGCAACGGTATTCGAAGACCATTGTCCAAAGGCTAACTGTCACATAGAGACACACACACCACGATGGCCGACCCCAACAAGGCGGAAGGCAGCAACAACAGCAGCATGGACCTTGCGGCGATCGGGTGCGCCCTCCCTCCTCCGGCGGCACCACCACCCGCCACCACCACCACCACCCTGGCTCTCCGGCCAGCGACGACTCCCGGTGCCTTCGGCATCAAATCCGGCCGCGTGGAGAAGAAGCGGAGCGTGGCAGAAATTCGGCAGGAACTGCTGAAGAGAAAGGGGCCAGAGCTGGCGAAATTCGTGCGGGAGAAGAAGGAGAAGGCAGAACTCGCCGCCTTCGACGAGGAAATCTCTGCGCTGTTCCGGGAGGAAGAGGAGAAGAAGAGAGCGGTGGCTGCCCGGGCCCTCGAGGCAGAGAGCGCTGCTTCTGCGCTTCGCCTGGAGGAGATTGCTGCGGAGATGCGCTCTCGCGGGAGATGATTGGTGGTTGTGTGTGGGTGTGGAATCGTCCTGCATGACGTTAAAAGGCGCTTTTTGTATTATCAGGTCTTGCGTGTGCTGCTGGGGTGCGGTCCCACTTCCTTGGGCAAATCGCCCTGAATGGAAGGATTTTTTGCTGGTGTTGTGTTACGCCTTTTCACTTGTCGTGTTTGGCCGTATCGTTGTTCACTCTCTGGTTTGAATTGACTCTATTGTGCTGGGTTGAGGGTTGATGGACGCGTGAAAGACGTGTGTGGGAAGGAAGGATACTTTCAAAATCTGTTTATACTTCTKTGGGTTCATGGAGATTTTGCTACGTTCTCGTTTTGCAAAGCCATGTTACCGTACTCCCAAACTATTTCGCCCAGTCCTCATCTACGTCTCTCTAATCTATTGCAGGTACTGAGCTGCCCTGATGCTTGCCGGACGCGTGAAAGTGGGACCTGAACGGGAAGGTTGTTTCCCAAATTTGATTTCACTTCGTAGTCTTTATCAAAAGAATCGGAAAGGGAGTCTTTCTTGGCGGCGACAACAGATAATCGCAATCGCAGTCATGCCGCTCAAGCAGCGTGGACATCCCACGAAGTAGCTTACAGAGAATGACGGAGTCAATGACCCGCCGAAAAAGCGTCATGTTGTCGTTTCGCAGCATGGCAGCTGAGCAACTTTAATCCGTTCCGCCTTGTCTTCCGCTTGGCTCTCTCTTATATCGTCTCGAGAGAGCGAAGCTGAAGGGTACTAGGCGGTGAACGGGGGACTGTAAAATGGGATTCATGGTTTGCCAAATTTTGACATATGGTTGACATGGTTGAGATTCAGGGGATCCGCAGGGTCTAAAATTCCACACCGGTGCCATACCGCCTCGTTCCTTTCTGTTTCTCCGTACTTTGTTGATCGTAGTGAGCTAGGCTGGCGCGTGGTGAACGGGTGGGAAAGAGCTGTCCGACGGAGGGCTATATCGTCAGTACGTCTTGAGTACCGCTGTTAGGGTGGACATCCTGATACTCCTCGCTAACAGAAACCACGCGAATGGAGCATTGTGGTCAGATCCGCACATCTCTCACGCAATCCCTGATTACTGCAGGTTTTCCCCTTCAGCATTCGACCGAGCAGCCCGCATGTCAAGAAGAAGCGCACTACACCGAAGACGGGAATCCTTCGACCTCCCTAACGGCTAACAAGACCTGATGCTCAAAGTCGGCGGTGAAGGGAGGACGTGATCATGGTATCGGAGTAGCATCGTCTTCTCTTGATCGGGGTGCCAGATGACAACACACTTTCGGCACCCACAGGCTCCAATACCGGTGTTGGCTCGTACGTTGCTGCAAACGTCCCTACTGGACCAAAGGATGGCAAGTGGGGATCTAACATCGACGARCCAAATACAGACAAGATCGATGAGACCTTACCTGCGGTTGAAGACCTTCTTAATGGCACCAAGGAACAGCACGGCGACTCCAGGCATGTTGTTGTTGATCGAGACGATGGCTGCGCCAAGTATGTAGGTCCTGGATGCATAGAAGAGAGCTGAGACATGGAAGGCTATCCTGTGAGTCCGTTAGTGTAAAGCCAATATCGTGGACATCTAGCAGACCACGCGGTTCTCAATCAATTAGCAAAATAATCTGATTGACCTCTCGTCCGTCCCAGAAATTGCTGAGGCTTTCAAGTTGGGGTATCCTGCTGAGATGAGGTCGAACATAGATGAGAAGGCATATCACCTTGTCCTACGATCTCCCGTGAACCGTAGGACCAAGCCAGTTGAAGTCAAGCTTCGCAAGCTGCCATTCAAAAAGTCTATACCCAACCACGGGACCGTTGTTGCGAAAGCCATCAGAGTCGCTGAGCCAACATGTCTTCCGTATGTCCTGATCCATGTCTTCAAAGCTCTCGTACGGCTTGCAGTCAGAGAACTCGTTCGCATAGCTGACGGAGTGCGAGGAATCAGCGACCATGGAACTGTTGGGCTCAGCGGAGGCTATTGCCCTTGGCTCCTCAGGTGAACTCAAAAGGCACAAGAGATCGCGAGTGGCAGCTGTAACAATCCTAGATCCAGGCTGAGTGGCATGAAGCGAGTACTGCGACCGACCCAGTCAAAATATGGAAAGTCGATGGACGACGCCAGTGGTCCTGATTCTCCCTACTGAGATCCCGGGGTGTTAGATGGCCTGCCTGGGTTTGCTGCTCCTGTCGTACCAGCTGTAGCAACGCTGTAGTCGTGATTTGACGGTTTGTCTATGTGGTTTGCCAGTAGAGTTTGCTCGGCATCCGCGACAAATGGGATCTCCAGCGATACTTAATGCCCCTTCCCCTTTCTCTATTCCTCTCCTTGGACTTCTTATCCCGTTATATGAACTTAATCACACAGTATAAACCCAAGCCAACCTCTCTATCAAGTCACTCGTTGATTCAAGAAATGAATATAAAGACCCTGCAGCGGAAGTCCTGCGGCCCCACCCCCTTCCCGCTGTTGTTCACTCTCGGGATCCGCGCTAGTGATCAACAACTTTGACTTCAAAAGCTTCACAACATCCCACTGTCGAACGCTCTCTTCGACATCAACACTTCCAAGCTGCGCATTCCCCTGCCCTGCTGTCCTGCTACAGCAACCGTCAACTCGGACACTTCCGGTTAGTGTTCTCTTACCTCGAGGCGACGCGCATGTACTGACATCTCTAGCAGACATTCGCTTACCTCGAGACGATCTTCTTTCCCGAATAGATTGCTCTTGAGATCACGTCCCGCCTCGAAGACTTGTGGTATGGTCGTTGCTGTCCCCTTGCCTCCGCGCGTCTACTAACGAACGCGTAATAGCAGACTTGCCCGGGCCTCAGCTTTCGGTTTTCCACGCGCACTTTCAGGCCGCTGTCTTCCTTTTAACCTTTCCGTCGAGTAAGTCGCCCTGATGATTACCCTGCCAGATATCCGACTAACACCTCCGATAGCATTCAACATGTCGAACACAAACGCCGCCGCCGCGCGCTCCAGGTACGGCCGCCGCAACCAGCCAAACAACACCCACGCGTCCGCAGCAACCACCACCCGCGCTGGCCTCCGCCGCAACTCCGCTCCCAACCCTCGTCTCCTGGCCGAACTTGAGACGTACCTCAATGGTCCGGTCAACAAGGATGTAGAAGACCTCGGATCATTCTACTGGCACGGGAGGTGGGTCGCCATCCAGCGGCATGAGTTGGGCATGATCTGGGGCTGCCGCTGCCGCAATGTTCCTGAGATCCATCGACTTATGATCTCCACCACGTGGGGTGGTATCTTGGCGGACGACGTCTCTGATGAGCGCCGGGAGGCCAACGGTAACAGGGGCACTGTAGCCGCTCGAACAGCGCAGGTACAGGCAAGATCTTCGAAGGCCGTTGCTGCGCGTGAGGCAGCCGGATATCCTGCTGTGGCGCGCGTGGACATGGACATCGACACTGCCGAAGAAGCGTTACGCCCAATCAGAGGCGGTGACCTCGCAGCACCACTCGCCCCACGCGCGAGCACGCCACGACATCCCTACGCATTGAGCGATGAACAAGCTCCAATGAGCGATCGCCTCGCCCGGGACTTCGCCAACGCAGACAGAGCCACAAACATCTTCCTTACAGACGTGCAAGGCAACTTCCTCGGTGCGTGGCCCAAGCAACAGAAGCCACACACCTACGATCAGGCAACTTGTGGTGTCGAAGGATTTGCGGGAACCCGCGCATACCAGTCTCCTGGCATCGGTGCTCTGGAGCCCATGGGGCTGTGGAAGTACCGAGAGTGGCTGGTAAAGCGGAACGATTTCCGGCTCACCAAGGCGGGTTGCGATGACGAGGCACTGCGGAAGACGGTGCTGGACCAGTGCCTGGAGACTGATGATCTAAATTGGCGCTATGTGGAGGAGGCCTGGCGGCGCCTTGGGGATGGGGGACAGGCATTGCCTGATGGGTTCGTCGACTCAGCGAACGAGCCTCTTGAGGAGGCTGACGATGCGGACGTGGACATGACGAGCCCGGTCTTGGAGGACGAGAGCGAGGTGGAGAAGACGTTGACAGAGCGGGGCTTTGACGCTGACGATGAGCGTACGGCAACCGCACTTGAGGAGGAATCCGACAGTGAAGGGGAGTATGAAGATGGTGAGCGGACCTTTCTCATGCAGGGAAAATTTTGAGCGCTGTCCATTGTAGCCAGAATCCCTACTCTTAACTTCTCAAAATGGTCATTTTTCCATCAGCGTATTGCTCTACCGAGTGAATTTCATCTCATGACTTGCCGTTTAGTTACGTTACCGTCTACACTATCAGCGTTACTAGATGCCCTGGCCGTCATACCTTTCGTTTGATCGACTTAGCAATGATGCAGTTGCCGTTATTGGTGGCTGAWATGATCTGTGTCTCCTAAGCATCTTTGCTCCTGTTCGATACACACAATCTGAACAGCTCCACAAACAAGTTCTTTGTCATTCGCTATTGCCTACTAAATAAAGAGCTTTGCCCAACAAATATCCAATCGCTCGATTTCTGAACTACCGACTCACGGTGCTGCATATAACCCATCAAGGTCCTCCTTCTCTTCAATCTACTCGTCTACACTCAATCATCCACATTCGTTCTTCAATGGTCATTCTGGACATCTCCATGKCCACCATAGTGCTTGTTCTATCTGAGATGACTCCAATACAAGTCCGATTGCCACACATGCTGTTGGCGAATGGGTGAACAGTCTACGAATTCACATTCAGGCTTTTTGCTCGACCACCAGCTTTCTGCGGCATTTGAACTTCATCTTCTTGATCTCCGACTGTTCTTCCTGCACACCTATGCCAACGCCTGATCCAAACCTTTCACCGAGAATCACCACAGCTCCGAGCGCCTTTCATCTTCGCCGCCCTACAAGCTTGATCACTTCACAGTCTGAGACAATTCACCGCATCCATCGTTTTCACTATAAATACACATCAACAAATCAACGTATCAAAAACACCAGACCATCGCGTCGCTTCTCCTCCGCAGCGCAGCCGTCACCTCAACAAGCACACAAACAGCCCGCGCATCAATATCACACCCGTCCCCAGCACCAGTAGCACAATGGAATGGAACAACAAGCCCCACGATGACTTCTCTTCGAACTCCTCGCGTGAAAAGACACGCCAATACGCCAAAGACGAGTTCATACAGGACATCGGCCACGCGACCAAAAACGCAGACATCGTCGCCCGCCGGTCAGAACGCAAGCACCAGCGTCTCAACGACGATGTCGCCGAGGAAGTCGTTGAGAAGGGTCCTGTACTTTCCGTCGGGGAGCTCAAGTACAAAGGGGCTTGGTATAGTATCATCGAGGATGCAGTAGCAAAGTGGTTGGCGGGGAATGAGATACGCAACGTATCAAAATCCTCGCTAGCTGGCTTGTTGCAGCACAGGGCGTGGATCTCGGATGCAGAGAGGGAGAAGACACAAGCTCAACCCGAGGTTCCTGGCGCACACGCTCTGCTTCCCACAAGAAACTGACAAGGACAACATTCTGATTGACATGATTCGTCACTTTGAGGCTGGAAACTTTAACAACCCAGACCAGCTTGCGAGAATTCACGCTTAGCTAACTTATCGTCTCGGAGTATGTGATTTTGCTATACAAATCGTCAAGAGATCGAAGTTATAGAAGGGTGCAGCAGTGCCCATATCTGCGTAGGATCCTCTCGCACGGGAAGGTGCTAATATGAGTCTGGGAAAAATCATGGTTGGTCAACTTCAGCAAGACACCCCCGTGAGGGATGAAGAGAACGAGCAAGACGAAGTCCCTGGCACTGCTCCTGCATTCCCTGCGACCACAATTCCGAAGCGGAAGCCTACTGCGGCGCCAAGGAAGAAGAAACGAGAAAGCCCTGACGACGAATATGTACAACGGAAGGGACGCTCTCAAAGACCTCAGACCCAACGCGAAGACATCTCCCAAGATGGTTCAGATATCGAAGTCGCACCGCCTTCGCGCAATCAGGTGCAACCAAGTCGACGACGTCGACAACCCGTTGAATATCTTCAAGGACTTGCATAAGCGTCCTCCACGCCGATGCAAGCAGAGGAAATGGGACAATCTCGCTGAACTGGTACTGGCTGTTATGTCATTCCTCCAGACCACCCGCCTCATGGGTTCACTAGCAAGCCCGTTCGCAATGTTCCTGCTCAGCACTCGACGACAGTCGGCTCGGCTCTTAGTAGAATGGCCGTTAACAAGATCATCTTGGCCTAACGTCACCCCTCCCCTACACTCACAAGGCCGGGCAGGGCACGCGACCCTCGTGCTCCGGAATCGGCCATTGCTGGACGATTTTCACCTCAGAGGCCGCTTGCGAAGTGATCCTAGAGGTGCAGGTGTGGTGGCCCGCTTTGGCGATATTACAGGGATTGCGGTGTCTCGTGAACTTGTCCGATACAACGTAGCGACGGGGCAAAAGGCCTTTACGGATGGAGAGGTACGAATCCATAGCCGAGGCCTGCCAGCAGACCAGATAGACTGTATGAGATTCGCCCTCAATACGATGGTGGACCTCCTTCCTGAAMTCATCGACGACACCTACGACCCAGAAGCAGGGAAACGGGAGAGCTAAGACGGAATCTGGACGACGGCAATTAGCCTTCGCTGCGAGCTATCGAGCGAGTATTCATTGCCTGTCCGCTGTGGGAAACGCAGAGGAGCTATCGAGGGAGTACACATTGTTGTTCAGGCTTAGAATCCTTAAAGAAACGGTAGAGCGAGAACTCATCAGCCTTCGGCTGTTAGATCCGCGAGGATGGCATCACTCCATCGAGAATCAGGCTATGGCGAGGCGAGGCAGGATGTCGATTACAGTGGATCTCCTGGGGTGTCGGAATCATGGAAGATGCTCACTTGATCTCGGAAGTTCATTTCCTGCTGTATAGCCATCGATTCTCAGACCTATCCCAACCATCTGCTGCTGTAGCCGCAAGATTTCTCACATCGGAGGAAGACATGAGCTGATATTTTGAGGAGGCTAGAGATGTTGCTCAGCCGACAACTCTCAATGAGAGATGTCCCGTATGTCCGGCAGCTTCGATAGTCTGAGATGCTGACAGTTTAGAAATCCACGACGACGGCAATGGAGCCTCGAGTATCGTTATCGCCACATCCACTGACTGCTCGACGTACAGACCATCGACTACTTCAACGCGCCGACGAGCAGAGAGTTCCAGGTGCGCTACACATTCTGCGGCGACAAGTGCTACTACGCCACCGACCATTGGAGGGCACCAGTCGACTGGACATATTCATCTGGAGATGTCGGTGCTGAAGCCAATTGATCGACCGGGCGAATGAACTCATCCACGGCCTTCTGGGTGTGCAAAGACAAGATCTCACCTGTTCCTCGTTTGCCAGTCATTCGAATTGAGGGGACGCTCTGGGTCCTCTGCCGAATCCCTTCGCCGATGGAACGCGCAATATGGGCAGATCGGCTGTACGGTGGAAGCCCCTTCCGCCATAGCTCATATGTGGATGGAAGACATCTCGCAGTAACCTTTCAATCAATGTTGTTGGATTTTTGCTAGATCTTTGGCTGTGTGACAAGCCCAGGCCGCCTCTTGAGAAGGACGCTTCAGATGTGTAACAGGGGTCGCTTCACATCTCGACAAATTCTGGGGTCTCAACATCGACATTGCACCACTTACAACACAATACAACGCAACAGAGAACAACATCGCTTCAACTCTTGTCCAAGTTCCGGCAGCCTCTCTTACAGATCTTGTATACACGATCGATTATCACGCCATCTGAGCTGTAGCAGTCTTGCTACACCAGCTTGTAGGTGCAATGCCGCGCGCACATATCTCGACATCAAGCTGACTTTCGCCAGGACAATTTCTCCAAAGCTTGGTTCATTGAGCAGGGCTGTCTTCTTCAGAGACCGCGCAGGTCTTTGAAGACATCTTCCCCAAAACAAGAGTAGACTGCTCAGGTCAAGTCACTCTCAACATGGCACCAACCAACCAAGCCAACGGCCGTATCATCCCAAGCACAGTCGCAGTCTCGAAGAGAACCATGACCAAGCGCGCAACCCTCTCCACCCAAGATCACGTTTCTCTCTGCAATAGGATCCTTGCCCTCCCAAGTGAACTCCGCCAGCATATAATAAGATCCATGGCCGCGCGCCGCCTACCAACCCTCTTCGCACGCATGCCAACCTTTGTAAACGGCGCCGCCCGGCTCGCCGTAAGAGCGCTACTTCCCGCAGAACTCCTCGTCATGGATAAGGAAGCCGAATACGCTATCGCGGAAGTCGCCCGCGTCAAAATCCACACGGATAGATTGACTACCATCGTCCTACATGGAATCTTTCCGAACCTCAACAGCGCCGCCCTGACGAGTCTAGAGATAGGGGTGGCGTTCCCTGGTCCACAAGCCACTCTGCATGCCATTGCCAGCAGGATCGCAGATGCCGGTATCGCGTATCCACGACTTCGAGTCTTGCATGTTGCGCTCAAGCGGCGCTACTTACTTGGTGGGGATGGGAATGGCGAGCAACCTGATGCTGGGGATGATCTTGATGAGTTCTGTGGGGGAGTAATCGCTTCAGTTCTGCGAGTCGATGTCAGGGAGAAGTACATCATGGTAAGCTATGCGGACTCTTATTTGAGTTGCTTGGTATATATGGATGAGAGATTGCTGGTGAAGGAGATGGCTTGCTTGGGGGAGGGGGAGATGGAAGGGACGGATGAATTGGAGAGACTTGGTGTCGTGCTTGCGGAGCACAGTGATGAGTGGATTCCTGTGGGTAATTTGAGATATGGCAAAATTTGAGCTGCGTCGAAAAGGCTGTCAGTGTTTATTGTGATCAACAAAATGGCGAACATCGATACCGCACATTGGCATTTCCTCACTGGCAGAATAGACGAGTCGACGGTCCGAAAGTGCGCACGCTTCAATGACAAGTCGGCTCGTTGAAAGACCTGCTCTAGGCAATGCAAAGGCTCGACGGAGAGTGCAGCACGAACAAAGGATCTTCGCGATAGGCATCCAGAAACAAAGGAATGGGAGACAATTCGAGCTTGGAACTCGGAACGAGCTGAAGATATTGGATATCATCACCACCAAGTGAGTAGCTTGCACGCCTGATATCTTCTTTTATCTACCCTCTGCACCCTATGTCGCTGCCCCTTCCTTGGTTGACTTTCCAACGCTTGACGTTTCCTCCTCATCTTCATCACGCCGGTATGTCCCCGAAAGTAGCACGGAGGTATCGATGGTTTCTGATTCCAGGCGCCTACTTCAAAGTTCAAAACATGCCTCGCCATTTGATGCAGGATCGTCGCTAGGCATCAATTTCAATCCATGGACAACGCAGGAAAGGCCTGCTGCAGCTAACAGAATGGAAGACGGGATTTCTCGAAGCACATATGGCTTCTCTTGCTTTCTCTTCTTGGGCGATCGCAATGATCCAACGAAAGTCAAAGACGTCTGCATCGCAGGATGAATTTGAAGTCCAGATCTCGCCACCACTGCGCATGTGAAGTGTAACATAAGTGTGTCATTCAAGATCGCTTGCTGCAGAAGTTTGTGACTTTGTTCGGAGTATGCTGGCTTCCAGGCAGGCGGTTCGCCAGGCGTTATCTTGATCTTTTGAGCATCCAAGCAGCCCTCATCTTCCTTTGTTCTTTTCCGTGGCTGGTGACCCCAGGCTTGGGTGCTTGAATAATGCTCGCTTCGCCGCTGGGGATGCCATCCGTCAAGCACTTCAATGATCTTCTTCCTCGTTATCCACCAGAGCTACAGCTGTCAGCTGTCAGCTTTCGTGCGCTGGTTTGTGCTAATGTAGCGGGCAGTTGACCCGCACCTTGTAAGATCGTTGGAAAGGCCTCTACTTTCATCACCCTCCACTCTGCGGCTCCTCTCGTCTTCAAACCACCGATGTCGGTGGTGTGGGGGGGGAGGGGATAGTTTTCGTCGCTGTTACCTTTACCCGTGAGTCTTACCGGAGGACTTGACGGTATTCAAGGCATACTGAGTAATGGGGTCGAATGAGTAGGGCGATGAGAAGCTATGGATATGTCAGAATATCGAATGTCTCTACCGTGGAGCGACGAAATGTCTTGGGTGAGACGCGGCACATCGAATGCATGAGAACACGTCTACCGCACGTTGAGCCTGGCCAACGACATGTTCCTGGTGTAAATATGCACAAGTCACTACGGCGGTGTCAGAGCCACTTCTTTCAATGCTCGTCCGCAGAGAAGAGTGATCGCCCGCTGTATCGTTGCTTTGTGAAAGGTAGAGCTCACCGTCCGCGAATCTGGGCATCATTGTGACTCAAGCTCGCACGCGTCGGCCCCCATCAAAACAATATGCACAACAACAATCACGAAGACAAAGCCAATGATCTTCTCCAAGCCACTGCACAAGGCAGCAACACTGATGAAGAAAAAAAAAGGTCTCGCTCAAAAGAGCGGTTGAAATCAAAACTTACGCAACGTCTATCTCATACTCGATGTGCAATGAGAAGAGATTAACGGGCCAATCGGATTCATGAGCTCGAAAGGCCACTGCACCTGTGGAAGATATTAGGATGATCGAGGAAGAAATGGGGATGGAGGGCCGACTCACAACAAACAACACCGCCTGGGGGAAGAAGATTGTTGGGGGGAGAATTGAATGGCTTTATATATGCTACCTTCTCCGTTCTACAGCTCGCGCAAGGAGACTACAGTGTACGCGTAGGCTGACAGCGGTGTCGGCGATGACATAAATAGTAGGGTAACGTAAGCGGTGATGACTCCCAGGGTAACGGTAAGCCCCTGGATAACGGCGGTGTTTATGGTCAAGTAAGCAAAGTCTTTTCCAAGCCACTGTACAACACAAGAGACGTTGAGGGAAAGAATGACAGTGGTAATGATCGGAAGGCTCATCATTTGAAAGGCTCACTATTTGAATCTTGGGCCTTCAGCATCTCAATTGTATTTTACTCTCTGCTGTTGAAATCTCCTAAGTACGCGTACGCGCCACCATTTGCTATCGCCGTATTCAACAAAAAGACCACCGAGCATACTGTCGCCTACGATGAGTTGCTTCGTTTGCTATGAGGTGAAAGCTGCCTGGCAAGCAGACGCAAACAGCTCATACGTGGGTACATTAGCTGCTCCTCTGCACATGGGAGTGAGCGATTAGCCTGGCTCAACATTCCCTTTCCCAACGAAGGATCATTCGACGCCACTTCAGAAGAAGCTCTCACAGTATACAGCAGACAGAATCACACACAGTAGTCTCCAGTAACGACAAAGCTTTTGGATATAGAACGCTATGCTAAGCACCAAAGACACAAATAAGTCCGCGGTATGCATCCAAAAAACTCCTCAACCCCGGTCGAGCGCTATGTGCAAAGGCCTCATCCATCCACCTTCCCACGCAACGTATCCCTCAACCGACTCAACGACCGCTTCGTCTTCAGCTTGACGCTTCCAACAGCACGACGCAGCCTCTGCTTGCGCTCCTCCCAGCGCCCAACTTTCTTCTCCCCAGCAACGACACCAAGACCCTGTAGAAAGGTGATATTGGCGCCCTGCTGGACTCTCCAATCAGGATCCTCTTCACCACTACGATTCAACATCAGCATCGATGATACGAAGACGGCAGACGACACGACCTACGACTTCTCCTTCTCCATGACCTCATCATATGCCGCCAACTCGCGTTCCGCTAGACCGATCAGGTCGTGGAAGGGAACGGTCCATTCTTCGAGAGAGTCGGGCTGCTCGAGGAGGCTTTTGGCCCATTGTCCCATCTGTGCGCGTTAGTACCCTTTACCAGATATATGTCAGGGGAAGTCTATGTATACTTACGGGTTTGAGAACCCCAGCYTGCACCAGGTCTCCTCCATTCTCGAACACATTGCACGCGTTGAGTGCGATGATATGCGCGTCATGCGCTTCGGCCTTGCTCTTCATTTTGTCGGTGTAGAGAGCGAAGGCGACGGCAAGGTAGAGCGATGCCGTGAACCGCGATTGGGCGATCAAGGTCTCGAGGTCTTCCATGGTGTTGTTCGAAAAGCTGTTGTTGTTGTCGAAAGTTTTGGTGTTGGGAATTCTTCTGTGGGGGAACTTGGGGAAGATAAAGCGCGCTAGTAGAGGAACCCGGAAGATCAACAAACCACGGGAACACCTCGTGCGGCACGGAACTCCGTCTTCTTGCACGCCGTCGACATATCTGCAAGGCTCTGGGACTTTCCCCATGACTTTGTGGATCAGGCTTTGAATTTCTACATTCTCGGAATCGATCATCCTCGTCAGCAAGATCAACGACATTGTATAACAAGATCAACAACACTGCACAATGGCCGCTGATCGCCAGGACCAGTTGTCCGTCAACGACAACCGCGCGGCCGACGCTCTCCTCGCAATCGTCGAGTCAGTGCCAACACCCGAGTTGTCCGCCACCTCCCCCACAATTGGACGCTTTCCAAGAAGATCTGCTCCAACGGCTCCAATCGAGAGACAAGGACGAAGACATGCAGCTGCCGGCATGGGAAAGAAGAGGCAAGCAGCCAACCCACCAAGCCCGCTACAGAGAAACACGCCAGAGAACGCGACATACTCCACTACGCGCAATCTCACTAGTCTTGCTCTCGCCGCCGCAGCAAAGCATCACGGAGCCGCAGAAGGAGATGGTATTACCGCGAGGCGAGCACAGCTGCAAGCTAGATCCGCACCACTCACGCCTGCAAATCGCACAGAGTCCGCYGCGCAAGGGACACCTCTCATGGTCTTGACAGAGATGCAAGCTCAACGACAGGAGGGCAGGGATTCCGGAAATGAGCAGCGACCAGAGGCAAGGGATGATGGCGACGAGGCGTGGATTGAGAGATGGAGGACGGAATGGAGMGGAGGGGGAGACTTGGAACCCGTAGAGGAGGAAACTGAGAGACAGAAAAGTACTCGGCTCGGGAGGGAAGGGGAGGAGAAGGGAAGGCCGGGTGGAGAAGAGGAGTGGATAGAGAGATGGAAGGGCGAATGGACTGGAGGTGGAGATCTGGAAGTTGAAGAGGACGGGTAAGCGTATATCCTGGATTACATTTCGAACAGCACGAAGCGCTGTACTTAGTATAAGAAGAGTGGCCACCTCGAGGCCGACTGCTTCACTAAGCACCCGGAGAAGAAGGTGGAGTTCGAAAAGAAGAAGCCATCCGCGCGGGATAAGAAGAAGGCGAAAGATGAGAAGGAGGAGGAAAGCCTCTCTCATAGCAACTTCCATACCACCCCTTCGCCTCCCGCTCTTACGACGGCCCTTTCACCGGCGCCTCCACACGACTTCGGACACCAGCGCGCCTTTGCGGCGACAGAGGGTTCTCCCTCACCTGATCCCCGCCAACTCCCTTAGCACTACGACGAGCCGTCAGGCCCAGCACTACCTCCAGGAGATCGGTCGGGCGTGGGCTACTGCTACTCAGGCGTACGTTGTCTCCGAAGGGATATTAGCTGCTTCGGTACTAACGAACGAGACAGAGACAAGCGCGCCATCATTCGATATTACTACCAGTTCGGCCCGGCAGCCCAGTTCCGCGATCCTCTGATGACTGCCGGTGCAATTGGCGACTCCCCTAAGGCGATCTCTATTCGTTTCTGGCGCGCGAACAACCGAGACTACATGCCGAAGTGTCGTAACTACGCCGATCTAAACACTCCCCAGCCTCTAGGAGCTAGAAACATTCTAATCGGCCTCGATACTCCGTAGGTTCTCTCTTATAGCTGCTTCGTTCTGCACGGAGTGTACGAGGAGTATCTTTTCGCGAAAAGACTCCTCGCTACGCGTCCGCAGGGTGGGTTTTCAACGAAGGCGGACCGCGCGTTCGCCGTGGCTGCTTTTGAGCACCAATTTGGACCATTCAACGTTCAGAACGTAAGCAAGCCCCTTCGTTATGATTCAATTGTCAATAGACTCCAAAAGTTCATTCTTTGATGATGCAATTCCAGGTCTCTATGCAATCTGCTCTCTATTCTTAACATGGCTTAGCAGGATTTAAAGACTAGCTCATGATCAGAAAACTGGCGAGAGGCTCTTTGACACGCGAAGTCTTGGACACGCTCTTACAGATATCCTCCTCACTCCAGAATTTTCTGGCTTCGTCTCTGTGCGGCACTGATCCGCGATTTGAAGGAAATGGTTGGCGAGTTGAACACCGCGTGTGCATCGATGTACACACATTTCGAGTTGCATTCCTCTCAATCCCACCAGCACTTGATCGGGCCACAGTGAGGTGCAAAGAGAACAACGCCGATGGCCTTCTAGTCTGGTCGCATACAATGCTGGGCACTTAACTTGATAGTAGTCCTGTGACAAAACTGCTCGCTAGTCGATGTCGTGGACGTACCATTCAGAGCCAGACAGGTCATGGTGATTCAGTCATGAGGCAGTTCCATTGACAGAATTGGTTCGATGATTAAGCAAATCTGGAAACCCATTGATAGACCTGTGTGGTCTCCATTTGCAGAGAACTAAGTTCATCCAAGCATACATATCCAAAGTCCTCCTCACAGAAGACATTCTCCCTTCTTGACCTTATCCAGCAAGATCTTGTGGAACTCGCCATAATTCGCCAACTCAATATCCAGTCGTAAGCGTGGACTTCGCGTAACCCTCGTCCGTGTAAGATTCTGAAACACAATACCAACTTTCATTGCAGTCCCGAACACCACTTCCGATCCACAAGCCTTCGACCCCTGCCTCACCGAGTATCCACCACACCAATCCTCAATCCAGTCCAAAGTATTCCCAATATCCCCAACCCACTCTTCATCAAGCTCACACTCATCCAACCAAACCCCAACATCACACCTCCCCACTCCCTCTCCACCCCGAACGTACCGCAGAGCCTGTAAATAACTCTCCATCTCCAATCGAACAACATCCAACAATCTCACCAAATCCCCCCTCCATCTCCTCGATCGCCGCTGTTCTTTAACAATCATAATGATCCACTCATCCGTCCCCGTCGTAGTCTTTCCCGCAAATTCCCCACCCAGATCAGAATACTTTCGCAAAGCAGGGAGACTTTTTATGAAATTTTGCGCTTGTAGAAGTCGTCTCCCGCGTCGAGCCATGGGGTGAGGGCCGGGTTTCCCGAGGTTTTTGTCCAGGAGGAAGATTGCTGCGCCGGCGTATGTGTGGGATCTGAGCTTGGAGATTTTGGCCATTTGGGCGGCTAGTTTGGCTGTTTCGGAAAGGTTTGCGGGCCAGGCATTGGGGGGTGACATGGTTTTTTGGATGCGAGGAGCGGGATGTATTGTTTTGGGGTTCGAATGTCTTGCGATTTTGAGCCGTGGAGTGAGTGTTGTACGGGGGGGGATCTTGAGGATAGTTGAGGATGTGTTTGTTGTGTATGTTGGACGCGACGCGATCAGACGTTTACCGCGATGGTCAGAAGACAGGGTGCGATGATTAGGGGGGGCGGGTGACCAAGTTCACCAACACGTATATATGCTTCTTGAGTCGCTGACAACGGCTGACCATCGGATTGAAGATTCCCCGCATTGGACGCAAAAAGCACCGACTTCCTCTCTAAGGCTTTTGTTGGCCTTTTGAAATACAATTTCCTCGTCGTGGGAGACGAAGGACTTGTTACGCATATCTTCTACCCAACTCAACGCCGGGAAGGTATGAAGTCAGCAAAGTGGGTGGGAATTTGTCTCTCAGATATCTCTCGACATCATTAAGAATAATTTCAAAGATTGATTGCACGGACTGCATGGATTTCTCATGCCCAGGCCCAATTATTCCTTGATCTCCCTCTGGCCCGTATTGCCACGCACGTAACGAAAAGATTACTTGCATTCAAGCTCAAACGAGAAGTCGACTATATGTCGATCGTCTCTATCTTTGGGTGCTAAGACAGGCCGTTGAGAAAGTGTAGCTCAGGAGGCTTGCAAATATTCAACCGCGTTAGACTCATTTGTTGGTCCATGATCTGGACCTCCATCTCAGCCGTAGACAAGATCCAAAGTCATGTTGCCAAAGTCTCGATTGGACTCGCTGCTACGTTTCTGCAGGAGATCATTCAAAACTTCTTATTCCCGTCGGGATCGTTTACGATCTTCAAAATCGCGGCTCTTAATAACACCCATGGCCTTTCAAACGTTGACTTACGTGAGTATTACCTTTCCCCAGCGTGACGATATGCTTTTATGTGCCGTTGCTCTCTGCTGGCCCACTGGAGCAATGGTTAGGGATACGAGAATGGTGTAGTTGGAGTTCATGGGCAGTGCAATTGTGTTGGAGACTTCCGCTTTTGTCAAATACCCGTGGAGTTGATAGCCGGTTATCATCATCTCTTCCTCTAACTGCATTTGACATGTCATCCTTGGGTCGTTGGGCCTATGCGAACATTTCTACAACGGTGTCTCGGATGGTCCCCGATACATTGAAGAGATTCTGCCCTGTCAAGGTCTTTGATGGCGGCCTCACTTGAGTTTAAGCTCGTTGTGGCCTGATTTTGACCGCTACCGAAGCCAATGTCAAATATCCATTTGCGATACTATCCGGCGATCATCGGCATCGATGATTCAGATCATTGGGTGAGAGATTCTCGAGGTACTGAGGCTCTCGGCTCCTCTTGATTGGAACTAGCTGCATGGCAGATTCATACAATCTGCAGTCTCGTCGTTCGTATGTCCAGTGAGTAACATCGTTTCTCGTTGCTGAATCAATGACTGTTGCAGTTGTTCATGGAGAGATCGGACTCCTGTCCTTCGGCACCCGTAGCGTCTTCTTCTGGGAACTTCATCTTGAGCACATGAATGCTGTTGCAAAGTTGAAGTCTGTTATCATGGCTTTGTTGAATTCTCCAGCAAGGCCCTGGTCCCATTTCCTGATTTTGCTGTTGGCAACGATAGCCACCACGTCTGGGAAAAGAGTTGAGTTTTGCTTCACTGCAACTGCTCATCAAATGGTCATCTTTGTGTCCTACAATCGAGGATCTATCTGGTCCGCCAGGCAGCCTTTGGCCAGGCAAGTTTGATTCTGCCCGTATTMTAGTCACTTTTGCAGGATGGCTGCGTAGATGTCGGTCGTGTAGTTTGGCCTCGATGTCTTTGATGGTCTGGAAGAGAGTAGCCCATGAGGGTACCGTCGGATGCTAGGTGTAAGTTGGCCACGGGTCGGGAGTCATGCGGCACGACCGATCACCTGGTGACTTCGTTGATCGTTGCTTTTAGTACGCGTGCGCGTAAGAAAAGAATTATCGAACGACTTCCATCCAAAAGACTCCGCCATTTTTCGCTCCAGATGGAATGGCCTCCTAATGTAATCGTGCCTGCTAGGCTGAACGTCCTCCGTTACTGCCGCATGCAGAAGTCAGTTTGCAGCTCTTTCACCTGCATAAATGCATTTCTTCATTCTGCAGACAATTTGAACTTACTCCCCCGGTGAGGTTGTTGTGATGAACCGCCGAACTTGGTCCCCTTGAGGAAGTCACTCCCGTGTAGTCGCCGATCTTACGATGTTGTTGATTCGGCGAGTAGAAGGGGATGTAGCTGTTAGGAAAATTGGGATTATTTTGAGCTGATCGATGTTTGCTTACAGTGCGTCCGGCGATCACGCGCGTAGAATCTCCACGATCTTTGATCGTTCTCCGCTTCACGATCGTCACTTGACTCTCCGACCATCCGTCAACACCGTTGCCATCTAGACATCACAGTCGAAAATTCAAATCCTTTCTTGAGCTCAATCGTTCCGCCTAGTCCTCCTGACTAGACGAAGGCGAGTTCGATGTCGACGCATGTCATATCCGCGACGTGGATTGATGAGATACTTTCAAACTTCAACATATATAGGCGGCCGCTCGATATCCAAGGACAGATCATGGATGCAGGAACGCGCATTCAAAGCTGAGGTTTGCAATGAGGAAGTGGGTTGGAATGATCGATGTCTGGATCCGTCAGTGGAGAGCCGATAGCTGTCGCTTACCATGTAGGTTCCTCAAACAAATGCTCTCAACACTATGCCGGAGAACCAAGTCTACAAATCGCTCTCGCCACTGCGATTTCTCGCTCGAGCGTTGACCTTAACGCTTCCTCACGGCCCTTTACATTCAACGCCTGCCTTGCATCAACCTGCTCGAGCCTTGCCTTCTGCTGCACTTCCTCTACCAAGGCATCTCAAGTGGCCTTCTCTGTATCCTTGTCATCCTGAATAACGGAAGCCCCTACTCCAAGCTCTAGATCTTGCATCTTGTGTTCAGAGGTTGTTGTTCAAGCTATCAAGGTGGCTATGACCGTCAGAAGGCGATCATTCGGGGCATGCAGAAATTGGTCCATTAAGGCTCGGGACTGCTCCTTGTTGACTTCAATAACTGCCACTCAACAACTGCCACATCAAGCATTCCACGTAAGTCAGGCTTGCCACACAACGKCACTCTCGTTATCGCTCAAACATACACATGGCATGCTTCTAGGCTCTTCAGCTTCCACTGCTCGACTGGACTCCTCGGCCTTCAATTCTCTCTTCTCGCCGCCCTCTCAGCCCCTTTCTTGGCCTTTGTCTCAACTTCTGCTCGAGATGCCGAGCGGGCGGGCTGGAAGAGTGTGGGGAATATTGCGATGGCGGTGATAAGCAACATCTGCGACTTACTGAAAGACCGGTTTCCTCCGAATCGATTCCGGAAATTGTGCCAAGTGTGGCTGTTGTTCCATCTTGAAAAATGACGATATTGGTGTTGTTATACTCGGCTGGGTGGGCTGCGGTCAGTTTGATATTCCCTTTGAAGACCTTGCTGCTGGATTGATAGATGATGGTGAGACTTCAGAACCGGGTAGAAAGATGGGCAGACTATCATGCGGGACACTGGTCATAAGACGTGTTGAATGTAGCGATAGACGCTGACCCACATCATGTTCACCCCCGCCACGCGTACTCCTTCCGGATATTCCCTACAGCAATCCCTCCGTGCTCGTGCTCATCGAGTAGCATGTGAAAGCAGGAAACGGCAGAGGTACCGATCAGGTCTGGAACCAGGAACTTGGAACCAGACGCCCGAGATATGCGGCGTGGCGAAGCCAGCAAGTGTTGCGAAACAATTATGTTTCGAGTACATGATGTACTTACAGGCCGAAGATACCCCACGCACAACGCTACCTCTTCAACTCGCTTATCCACACCCACTTCATGGGCCCCGGCGCTTGTGAAGGCATGTTACTGCTTCTCGTACGAGCAAGTGGGTTCTTGTGGCTCTCTCTTTGATCATTACCACCCCTACAAGCAAGCATCATCCCGGTTCTCTGAAGACAATTATCGACAACAGCATCAAGTACTCGAAAGCCGTGATTATACCCRAAAGCTCAGAATCACAATCGATACACCCCACCTGCATTCATTGGGATCCGAGACGTTCTCCTATCCGAGTGGACCGTAGCACGCCGAGTGGACCGTACAGGAAGCATTCAAACTTCGACCCGATTGTGAAGTATCGTTGAATACAGTGCCGCAGAAGGGAGGCTGCAGCACATAACTTCGCATGCTGTAGCCTTCATGCTGCGTTTTGCGACATTGTGATATCGGTGGTTATCGGACGAATCAGAGTCTCGAAGCAGTTCACGGCGGGCTATGGCATCAGRGTGTGCCGCACCTGCGATATAAGCAATATACCGCTATTCGCCAACAGAGGAGTCGTTAGTGATACTTGGGAATATTACTGCWTGTTATCCAGGGCAAAGGAAACTGATCTTGTCCGCCTCTTCCTACTCAGACATCTGTCTTTTCTCACCCGAGCTGGTACAATCGGTAGCGACAGTGACTCTAACTGTAGCAGGGACAGTGATGGTTGGGGATGTGGGCTTCTTCCGCTGGAATGATAGACTTGAGCGTGTCCTTGATAATCTTGCCGCCTTGCTGCTCCTTCACTATCAGCGCCCCAGGTCTGGGATGTTGAGATTGTAGTTCCGACGCAGAGTGATTTGAGATTTTGGTTGCGAATAAAGAGCGCACAGAGGCTCTGGGGTAGTTGGTTCGCGATGATATCGCGAACACACAGAGATTCTTGGCCTCGAGACGCCTAGGTTGAGTCAAAGCCCGAATACGCTTTCTCTGTACTTGTTGATTGCCTGAATGGCACAAGCATCGATAGCATTGCATAGCTGCCTTTCATACCGCCGAGAGAGCTCAGGCATGTGAGATATCTCCAAAGAGTCCAAAATCCGAAACTCCCGAAAAAAAGGGTCCAAAAAGGGGTCCGCCCATACGCGACAAAACCAACAACACCTAAGCCCGACCAAAACACCATCCAAAATCCCCAACATCCTACCCATCACCACCTCCCCTCCCCTCCGGCAACCAGCCCACCAAATCTCCAACCCACCCCAAAAAATCCACTAAAGCCCGACCCCCTAACAACTCCACCCGTCGCCAAACTCGCCCCCGCCACAACCTCCACCACTCCTTCTTCTGCTCAGCGCGCAAAACATCAATCATCCCGAACATAGCCTTCTTCTCAGCTTCGATGCCTTCCATGAAGAGACCAGAGGCCTCTGCGTCCGCGAGGCGCTGGACGCGGTTGGTGATGAAGAGTTCACGGCGGTGGACTACGTGGGAGGAAGTATGTTAGATGCAAGTAGTTGCGAGATGAGGAAAGACCTACGTTCCGCCGCGCGGCTCTCTGCGCGGAGGTTTCTGAGCTCAATGTCGCTCATGGTGGTGCTGTTGTTGATGGGTTGGGTGTTGGTGAAGATGGCGTTGGTCCTGGTGGGAAGAATCTCTGTTGATGAAGAGCTTTACGGGGAACGACGCGCGTGACTTTAGGAGTTCGCAAGAGGGGTTGTTTTAACGAAGGAAGGGTATGTATTATTCAAGATTCTACGTGGATGCAAAGCACTTTTCCTTGATGTCTCGCATCTTGACAATAAGCCTATCTGCTCGCGGTCTCCAAGGATGTAGCTTTCTTTGCAGTCTGCTATTTATTACCGAACTGGCAAGATCCGCCAATGTCGCGCCGTCTCTGCTTAATTTGTTTTCCCAAGCAGGAGTAAGTCCCACCTTATCGAGTTCCCTCTCGAGTTCCTCTGGAGTGTAAATACATGAGCCTGCTTGTCTTGCTCTGCTCATCTCGGTCTTGAATTGAACGTCTTCAGCTCGCAGCTGACTTAATAGTATTTGTACTATGGTCTGTAGCGGCGTGTCCACGTATCCATTGTGTACCTTGCTGTTCAGGTCGATCTGCTTGCGGACCCACTCTCTAAGCTCTTCCCTGTTGGAATCCGTAAGGAGAGGTCCTTCTGAGAAACGGATCATTCGTTCGCCTCCTTGAGCACGTTGTATGTTTCGGGCGACTGCAAGAGCTATTGCCATCATGTAGATGTTTGGGTTCYTGTTTGGCTTGCTGGACTTGTCGCTGAAGAGGATCCATGCTGTCGTCATGCATAATTGGACTGTGTTTTGAGATTGAAGGGCATAGTGTACGGCTTCTGTGAAGGATTTGAGGTTTGCGGTGTAGGACGTGTTCATTTCGAGGGTCTTGCTCCGGTTGGATGTGTTACAATGTACGGTGTAGTAGCTTTGCGGCTATGCGGGCTCAAGCAGAGCGGGTTCGAGGTGCGCTTGGGATCATTCAACCCGGTCATGGGATACACGGACAGCATCCTAGAGCACACGTAAGACAGCGCATGATTGATACACTTGTGAGGCACGTGGAAACAGAGGAAGAAGGACAGTCACCACGCGCTTTCATATTCCACCCCGGCCGCCGGAAACCCCGCCCAAACACTCAGAAAAACCGTCCGAAGAACCGACGCGTAGCCTGCATCCCATCCCGAATCACCACGGCAAAAGGCATGATCCACAGAAGCACACGAATCACCACCGCACAACCCCGGCAGCCGATTCGGTAGATGATTATCCGGAGTCGAGTGTGCCTAATCTCCGCCCTCATCGCCGCATTTTTTTCCGCCCTCATAATCTCCATATCCTCCACCAGCAGCGCAGCCTCCAACTCGCCCGCCTCCTTCGCCGTCATCGCTCTGCCTTTCTCCACCGCCGCCAAGATCTCTGCCGTGGGCCGGGGACCCGCTCCGGGAGATCCTATGGCGCGAAATGTGTTAGTATGTGTGCGTTGATGATGGGGGATGTGGGGATAATTACTGCTTTCTTCCCAGAGCGTGATGCCCTCCCAGTCGTATCCGCCGTCTGACATGGTGGTGTTGATTTGATAGGGGCTTTTATGGTTGATGTCGATCTTTGATTGATCGATGTTGTTGGAGTGAGGAAGAAGAATTCGAAGGCAAAGATTCTCCATCTCGGATTTCCGGAGCACGGACCCCTAAGCTTTGCTGACTTCATTGAAAGGCAACTTGCTGAACTAAACTCTGCAACGAAGACTTGTCTCCATGGTTCTACGGCTGCAGCTTTACATACAATGTTGATGACGACAATAGAAAAGCATAACAAACTCCATCTACGCCCCCGCATACCCAAGATGATCGAGCATTCAAGACTCTGAGTGAAAGCAAATCATCTACAACTCATCAAAGTGGCTATCAGCCCTCTTCCAAATCAAGTCACCTTGCCCCGATATCTGCGTTCATCAAAAAATGTCAGGGATAGTATGAAGGTGGAATGGTGCTGTGAAAACTTTCACGGCGTGGTTCTGTTCGAAGCTACCATCGATGATGTCTGATTCATACGGTAGTAACTATATGAAGAAGTTCGAGTAACTGCCGACACCAGGTAGTTCCTTTCGTAACACAAGGTAAGGCAAGGTAAGYACGATCAAAACCGGGGTTCATCGTTCATCAAGTGACAGCCTCCATTCCTGCTCGAACAAATCCTGATGCATCACCGTCGCCATTACGTGATACCCTACATGAACGGCGACGCAACGTTCGAACCTGTTCACTCACCCACCATGGCTTTCAACGACGTTATGACAGAGTCCTGGGAGAAAATCTGCGGCGTTACTACTTACTTGCCTGTCAAGGCAGTGACAAAAAGCGACGAATCCTCGCTCTTGAATGCCTTCGCTCTCACCATTCTACTCTTGGTCATCCTCGTCAGCCTATGCTGGAGAAAGTCGCGTGGAATGCCCTGGTTTCCATTTCGTCACTGGATGTTGGTCTCAGATTCCGTCTCGATGCGTGGACCGGAGGCGGTCTACATGTCCAGCGTCATGCCTGCAGCACGTAAGAAAGTACGTTGAATGCCGGCGTTCATGAGTTCATGATGAGCGCGATATGAACAGTATCATGAGAGACGAAGATGCGATGCCATCATGGATGCGAAGGCCAACTTGCTTCACTGGCCACGAACCACTTCCCTACATCCCGACACTGCCTCCTCGAGACCTAACTCACTAGGATTGACGCATTGAGCGCATCCAAAGCTCGAAGGTCGGCCCCCATCTATTCTCCCTTGAGCGAGTTACGAGCAGTTGRTCAATGAGTGTTCTAGCATTCCTCCATCCCGACCAGATTGTTCAGATCCCTCGTGAGGGACCGGCGGTTTCCATTCTCTCGGCCGCATAGAAACGATGAAGGTAGGTTACAGGCAAGACTCGTGTAGCTTGACATGTATAAATCAGCCCTGTATGGTATTCGCCGGCTGAATTCTGTAGCCTGCAGATCACTGCCAGTGTCTGCGTCCTCTTCACCAAGCCTGACTGTATATTTGATATCACCTTCCGCTGTAGCTGGGACGGCTTTCCTGTCTCTTGCTGTACCATCGCCATCTTTCCCCTGCTTTCTACACTTTACCGCGAACATTGCCTCAGATGTTGACGCGAGCCATTGCCGCAATCTCATATCCTTGAAGATTGTCCATCGTCCCTTTTGACATGCTCTGTGTCGTTGCAAACCCCGTGTTGTACAATTTCGGTTCCGATTACCTCCTTCATCGTCTTGCTCATCCCTCTGCCTTCCAGACCAGAAAGTGCCTCCTCAGAGGCCAGGAGGTTTGCAGAGGCCGCAAAAATGGACTTCGTTCGATTCGGAGACACAATATGCTGCAGGTCGGGTGAAAACTTCGAGGTCTCGACATTGCCTGTTCCTGTCATTGGCAAGCTGGACTGAAAGTTGGTTCTGCAAAGACCTCATGGCCCGGCGTGGATGTGCTGTCGATGGCCGCATGCTGTGCTGCTGCTGAAGCTTTTCGACGGCTAGCAGGCGTTTTGTTGCTCTTGGCCTGCAGATTTGGAAGCTTTATTCGAAAACCTGACAAGGAGGCTTGAGTGCATTGGGGGTCGAGGAGATGTACGGCGCTGCGGGTCATCGACTTGGCAAGCTTGAAGCTGCTCCTGACGAATGACCTTGGCGGAGAGGAGCTCTCCATCATACTTCCTCGGTGTCGGCCGCAGGATTCCCTCACGTAAGGGGCCTTTCCTTCGTCTTTGTGATTAGAGCAAAGGAATCCTTGCTGGTGTTGTGTTGTCGGTTCACGGTGTCTGTGGTCTGCCCTCCTGAGCTTCACAAGGATGAAGTGGATCCACCGCAAAGAATGCTGCATATCACAACTCTGAGAGACCAAGACAGAGATACATAAGCAATAGGAAAGCATCTGATTCTTCCGCTTTATCTTTCAATAGCCTCAATTCCCCCAAAGCACGACAAGATGCCCTTTAGTGAATGAACCCCCGTGTCATCCCAGCCACCCCCTCCGCCTTCGGCCTCCACAAATACCCCCACCCCACCCTCCCGCCGCAAATCTTGAAGCACGCTTGCGCGAGCTGTATCACGCTGGTCCAAGCTTCTCCCTCACCTATACCCAAAATTTTCCTCCCCTGCAAATCCACTTCCTTTTCTTCTTCAACCATGTCTGAACCACAGCATGGTCGGGGGCTCGGCCGCACCAGCGGTCGAGTCTCTCTCTCGTGAGTCCACTCCCCTCCCCCTCCCTCCATCATCATCATCACCATCACCACCAGCACCATCCCCCTCCTCCCTCCTCCCCCTCCTCCTCTGCGTGCTGGCAACATAACGTGATACACTGGCATACAGATTTTGCAAGTCTCGGCGTAGGCGGTGACGGTTGGCACCTGATCTGCTGGCGTCGCGGGTAAGTTCCAACACGACAAAACTGGTGAATGTACTGACCCCATTGTCTTGCGTGCTTTATGCCGTGCTGCAGAGGGGTTTAACTTGATTTCATTTTGATCGTTGCTTTACGCGATGACGGGAAGAAGTTGGTGTGATTTGATTTGAGTGTGATGGTGTGACGTGTCGCCATCACTATGAGGATGCTGCTCACCGCCGCTCGACGCGTGATGGACTGGTGGAGATGTGGAGTGTGGACGTGCTCTATCACTCGCTCTTAGACACTGAGCACTGGGTTGCGTTCTACTTGATCTCATAGCTGTGCTGAGAGCAGCATCGTCGCCGCAGCATGGTCGCTGCTGGCTTCGATAGTCTGCGGCTGCGGCGGTGATCATCACCGCAGAACTTAGATCAAAGGCAGCTTTTTGCAGAGCTGCTCGATCATCGCGGTGACATCCGAGAATCTGCATCAATACCAGGATCCACGACCTGGGCGACTTCGCCATGACAATTAGGGGAAATGCAGCTACTCAGAGGATGGGTACTACCAGTCTTCATCACTTCCTGGAACTTTTCAATTTTGCCACTCTGGCCTCACCGAAAACATGTCGGGTGCGGAGAAAACATTACTTGCAAGACCAGCGCCACTTCTACGCAACACCACATGTATCGATCGTGCTGAATCTACCGGTCTGTCTGTCCAGTTTTTCGCGGCTTTCACTGATTCATGATATACAGATTTCGACCTGGTCACCATTCGCCACCGGCAACCCTAAGACCCAACGCAACTTACGTTGAAACGACCTACAACATCACAAAACCGCCGCGCAGATCGACGAGGAAAGGAAAAGGAGGTCAGCTACGCCTTGCGCTCGCAGGACGGTAGGCAAAAGCAGCAGAAATACAAACATCGTCGTAAACTTCATTCGACATGAGCTGAAATCCCAAGCATAGCCTTGGCTGATCCAAATTGGAATATGTCGAAGAATGCGGTGGCGAGAGCAAGTCAACACCGCCTGGGGAAGCAGGGATAGATGGTGGAAGAGCATCGAGATACAGGACACAGAAGACCACAGGATCAAAGAATACAGCATTTCATAACACCCTCCCTTCGGGACCCCACCGCCGAAGTTTTTCATTGACACGCCAACGAGGTTAGCAGCACGCGAATTTGCCCGTAACAGACCTACTTCAACGATCGATGGATGGAAAGCGAGTCTGCGCTATTCTACAACACAATCGCCAATACTACGTGGGAGAATATCACATTCAGCGGACCGACGGCAGCCGGAAAGCTGGAGGAAGATGGAGCCCGGTCCCAGACAATAGTCTGGCCTGGAGKTTTGTGCTCAGCTCGTCTCCAGCAAAAATGTCATGGAATCTCGAACGTGGAATGCTAAAGCACATAGAAGCGACTGGAGCCGAGGAGGACTTCGAAAGAGCCAGCAGCGCGGCGAAGAAGACATGGCCTCATGTTCACAACGGAGTCAGGTGATGCGAACGGTAATGGAAGAAGATCTTGCAATTGGACGCTGTCTGAGTTCACTACTCCCACTCAGGAGCATCATTATCCTAATCGTCCTGCATATTGCAAGCTGCAACTCGAGCGCCGCGCAATTACTTCAAAGTATAGCGGATGGGACAACGCTTAAGTATTTCTCGGGAGGATCCAGACTACCTGCAGATTTGTGTTCTCAAGCCGAGCGCTGGCCTTGCAAGACACGTGTCCCCGATTCAACGACGAATTGAGAATCTTCTGACCTCGACATCGCCTTTCAATGCTGGCTCTGCCTCAACCCGTCAGCCATAAATCCCCAATAGCATCTGCGCAGTTTTTGCTGCTGTCCAACTACGGTGTAGCAATCGGACTTGACGCTCCCGGCAAATGTGCACCGATCCGGACTACATCCTCTGGCAACTCGATCAGCCCTGCTAGCGACGTAAGCAAGTGCATTACCCGGTAAAAGGCAGATTCTGGATATGCGAAAGCTGCAGGTCATTCATCCTGATTTGGCCTTCCTTGTAACCTGAAACGCTCTTCGTAACGCTGTGGTTTACAGATTGAGGAATCGCTCGAACCATCAAGCCTGCGTATCCGGACTGTGCCACCTTGGACAAAAGGCAGACGAGGTGCATCGGTATCGTCACGCCTGCAAGTTGGGATTGATATTGAAGTAGCAGCAGTTCTCCTGGAAGCGTCGCTGGACTCAAAAGTCACCCACACAAGTCTCCAGCGATGGCTCACTCGAATACCTTGCAGATTGTGCCAAGGACACTGCAAGCGGTGGAAACCCGTTGCCAGTGCGGTGAAACATGCGCATGAGCTGTTGCATGGAAAAGTAAAGTCTTGCTCCTGCATTGAGGTGAGGCCCAAAGATGGGATATCCGGAATGCCAAACATCTTACACGGTACGAGCACGATTGGGACCAGACTACAACAACTCCCTAGCTCTCATGTTTTGCGAACAGCATGGCCGTGGCATCACTTGCACTCCAAGAGAACGATGGCGTGAACCGCACTCAGTGTATGTCCAAGTCGACGGAAACAACAATAAGCAGGTGAAGATTGTACAGCTCCCGCCAGGCGCGAGCATCCCTCCTATATTTTTGCTGGGATCATGTTGATGGCACGAGATCGGCCGCCGAAGGGGCTGCGTAATTGATGAGCCAGATAGTTCTACGCAGACATGGCATGTCGAGGCTCACGACCCTGGAAGCAAGATGAGATATCCTGGCCCTTGCTCTCTATCTGGAGCGTCTGGCTTCACTTTGCCTATTTCAATCACTTCGGGCGGAAAACAGCACGTGCTGCTGGAGAACACCATGTACACATGCTATTTGATGGGCTTGAGACGACAATCTCAGCTGTCTCTGGCCCTCTGTATTGCCGCGTACAGTTTTACCGCATACAAGATCCCACCTTGTCGAATGGCGCAGAAAGAACATGTCATCTGCATTGTTCTATAGATAGTTCCTCACTTTAGCAATCATCAGCAGCATTCATCTCAGCGTTTCCATAAGAAGAATGTTCTCGTGACCGGATCTTTGTAAAGGCACATGGGTCTGCCAGCATCCACGAGAGCGACAACGAGACCCTCATAGATGCTTTGTCTCATGTAGTGATAGTGGTCTATGTTCAGTCACTCCCTGGCATGATTGCTGCCTTGTCGATATGAGTATAACTCTTCTGATCGCCTTGCATAACACGTTCAGCTTCTTCACCTCACATCTTGTAACTCATTCAAGTATTGAGTCATGGCTGAGGTTAGAGAACCGTCTAGGACTGTTAGAAGAAAAAAGCGAGCTCCTCGAGCTTGGAGCGGCGACGGCGACTCGTCGGATCAGATTACCGAGCGAATTCAATCACAACAATCGAAAAAAAAACACGTGATTGACAAGAAAAGTGTTCCTCTTCAAAACGCCACGACAGCGATCTCCACCCGCAACCACGACCACTCTCACCCGATCAATCCAGAAGAATGGCTTCCGCCAGATCCGAGCGCGCGCCACCAGCGGACCCGGCATGGAAAGCCGCCTTCCTGACCACCAAATTCAAGGCCTACCAACAGGCAAACATCCATGAAAAAGCCCTCCTCGCCGCCCTCGACTACGCCGCGACATGCCACATCAACGAGCGAGAAGAGTACAACCTCGCCGCCGCGGAAGCCAAGCGCATGGGAATGACCGCTGGAGTCCACTTTTCACAATCCAAGGACAGCCAGCGCAGCCTTGTGGACGTTGGAGAGAGAAGTCTGTGGGAGGAACACGACGAGGCGGAGAAGCGCAGTCGCCTTGTGATGATCATGCGGGACGTTTGTCGCATTGAGGAGGCTCGGAAGGAAGTTCGTCGTGTAATGGAGGAGACGAGGGCAAGCTGGGAGAGACAGGCCCAGCAGGGTGACGGTTTTGGGGGTATGGCGGAGAGGCAGAGGAAGGCGGCGAGGGATTGTTGTGCTTTGCAGTGAATGTGCTTGGATCAGGGCSGATGTTCGAGTGGATGGTCGCTGGATGGGCCTTGGTAGCGCTAATTCGCTGCGAATTGAACAAGATGCCGCAGAATTCAGGTAGCAGCATCGAAAATGAGATTGAACGGGTGAATGTGACAATGCTGAAGATCAGGTTCCACACTCTATCGGGATCTTGAGACCATGGAGCAATATCCTAATCATGCTTTTCCCGCTCTGAATGTCTTTCTGCTGCTGGAGAGAGCCGCGCTGACGACGAGGACCGCTCCCGTGTCTCTAACAGCAGCCGTGGAGAGGAGTCAGGCCGAAGCATCGCTTGAAGCAACACGAAGCAATATCCGGATAATGCTGATCCCTCTCTGAATGTCTCTCCACTGCTGAGAAGAGCCAGCCTGGCGACTAGAAGCGCTCTCGTAACCTCAACAGCAGCCGTGGAGAGGAGTGAGTGCGAAGCATCGCTTGTAGTAACACGAAGAAATATCTGGACAATGGATCTCCAGCTCATAATGACTCTCTAATACTGGAAAGAAGCACGCTGGCGACGAGGAGCGCTCTCGTGACTCCTACTACAGCCGTAGAGAGGAGTCAGCCCGAGGTATCGCTTGTAGGAAGCGACCTGATGATAGGGGCATCAGCAGCAGAGCTGTCGACATGAAAAGTCGTCAACAATCACAGCGCCCTGAACTACTCTCTCGATTGATTAACCGGCCACTCTGCTAGCAGCAATAGTTCTAGCAAGTCMAAAATGGTCGGCTCTGCAGAGAGCGAGGCTTTGAGACACCATGGGCATGACTGAGGACGTCGTATCCCGATGAACAATACTCATATCGACGGCTCTGCTTGAAAGGAAATCTGACGTTACTGGGGAGAAATCCGTGAGTGAGGATGGCACCGGTGATACAATGGCCAAAGACGAGGATTACAACGATCCACAAGTGAAACGCATCCGGGAACAGGCGGCAAAGCTGAGATGATTCAAGGATCCGCAAACACAATGTACGGTCTACGAAGTCGTGCGGGACAAGACCGACAGCGAGCCTGGCGCGGCCGCCAGAGCGACACACCTCTGGAACATGACACCCGAGCAGCGCAAGGGAGTCATCAGAAGGCCGGAGCGTTCTATGGAGCGGACGAAGGACAAGATGCTGATCATTTTAAGATGCACCGCACAAGGCCTACCGGTCACCCACTTCCCATAGGCTTACACCTCACCAAACCCAATGTCCGGGTACCTGACTATCCTGGCCGAGAAAGTGGCGATGCTGGTAGGAATTGAGACTCAGACGCCGCTGATCAAGAAGTACGCGGACGTGCAGTCAAGCCCGGTCCTGAAGAGCGACTCTATGTTCATGTGTGAGCTGAAAGCGAAGGAGGTCATTAAGATGAGTGATTATGATTTCAATAATGGTATCCCTGTGCTCAAAGCCTAGCACAGCACCCGCGTAGAGCCAGAGCCTACTATCAAAGAATCGAAGAAGCTTGTGCGAGACATGGCGACACTCTGCTGCAATCTTGAGGTAGCTCAGAAGAAGTTCGAAGACGCCAAAGAATTGCAGAACGCCATGCAGAAAGCCCACTAAGCAAGAGGTCGCTGGAGAAGAGCAGTGAGCTTGTTGGACTGGTGCGCTTTTGTTGCGAATGGATCGAAAAGGGTGGCATTAAGCCTCGTGGGGGCTTTCCCATAACGAGAATTTTCATTCACGGGTGAAGCAAAGAACTCAATGCATCCCGACCGTGCTCTGGTGGAGGACATCGATGCGAGGAAGAGCATCCTGCCGAAGAGCAGAAGCGCAGCAGCTTTTTGGGGCAGATACGGCAGTCCAGGAGGCCTGGAGAATATCCTAGTGCAGAGCTAACGAACAAGGCRCCAGCAACCCGCGTGAGTATTTCCTGACGCGGAGGGTTGTGCAGCATGGGAAAAGCGGAGAAAGTTGAGCAGATTCTGCTTCCCTTCGAACGGATACGATTGACAATGAAACAGAATACTTCGCCGGCCAGACGAAGTTCATCAGCTGCTTGGACTACTGTGCCTATGCATAGAGAGTGTCTGTCGGAGCTCTTGCAACACCTGAGTAGGCTGAGCAGGCGCAACCACTCCTGATTATGACTTGCGCATCGGGGAAGCTCCCCTGGAGGGCTACGTAGTGAGACATTACGGACCAGATTACGCCTCCGTTCGGTTGATGGGCCCTCGGAGGCTACATGGAACAGCTTCGCTAGCTGGAGGGAGTTTAGCGGTTTCTTGAGCGACCATGACGACGAGAAATTGTGCGGTAGCTTCTCCTGGGGTCTCGCTAAGAGTACAGGCGGCATCCGTACTGGATCTGAGTATCTTGTGGAGGAGAGCACGGTCTACGAGAGTTGGAAACAAGCGATCAATGGCGAGTGCTATGTGGAAGACCTGAGTGCGGAGAGCAAAAAGAAAAACACCTGCTTTGATATTCGATGGACGATTGCCTGAGCAAAGACAGGGAATCCCTCTTCCTGGGAATTCTTCTCAACGGCTGAATCATACGAGGAATGTCTGTCTGATCCTGCCATGGTCAGGTTGAAAAATGTATGCTCAGATGCCACTCTCAAACTGGAACCAGATGACCTCTCGTAGATTTTTGATTATGTTCCGTAGTTTTGGTAAACAATGCAGTAATCAATCTACTGATAATACCCTCATCTCTCGAAGTAAAGCTTGGGAAATCATTCTCTCTCTGAAATCATGCTTGATGTCTAGAAAGGCGGCTGTGATCTTAATTTTTTATCTCGGATTGCTCAAAGTATCCGAATGAATTACGATAAATCTGAGACCTGGTGCTGGCAAAAATTTGAATCGCCAGATAGTGTGGTGAACGAACCAGTTCCAGGGAGCCCAGTTTGACTTCTCGATTAGCCAAAGTATCGAACTGGCTCAAAGATTTGGTATGCTTGGCATGCTTCCACTGCACCTTGATAATGGAAGCCTCTCCGTTTCAACAAACATATACACAAATGGTCACGCCATTATCGAGCTTTGGCTGGTTTGTTCAACACACTACGGCCAGATGAATGAATCGTTCTGCTTAAAGTGTCGGGACAGCCCTGACCTTGCTCCGCTCGTACTTCTCGTAGCAATGACTATTAGCAGAACCTATCTTCACGACACGGAGCTACATGCCTTCGTTATACACGGTAACTAATCCAGAAGTGCAGAGCGGCATCTGTTTCAACCATGGAAATCTACGCAGCCTGGTGACCTCCCCTGTTTGCTTACGAGAGGTCTTCTTTGGCAATCCTCGCCAGTAGAGCTTTGCATATTCCATTACTTGCATGGAAGTTTTTGGTTCCTCCTGGTGATCACGCTATGGTTACAAGCATGCTCATAGAAAAGCGCTAGCAATTCACTCAGGGGCGCCAAGACAGCTCAAAGAAGCTTAGCGTACTTTCCGACGCGCGCGGAGCACACTTCCAAATCCTCGAGCAATGAACGACTGACATTCAATCCTCAACWTCAACATCTTCTGATTTTTATTCTCACTAAGAATCCTCACTGTTGGTCATCATCTCACCAACACCTCATCACCGTCACCAACACCGGCAGGACTCCAGCATGGTTTCCGCCACTCGCAAGCGTCGCGCGGACGACGCGCTCATGTCGCAGGCAAAGCGCGAAATGCCTTCCGCGAGTTCCTCACACTCTGCATCTTCGTCTCTCGCCATCGAGCCAGTGGCCGCCGCCGACGCTGAGCGCCTCCGTCGCAAGCTCGCCAACCACGGAACGCGGCTCATTCGCCTCCCGCCAGAGATGCGGAATAGGCTGTACAGCTTGCTCCTCCCAGAGAGCAAAGATGTCATTCTCAGGTATCCGGTCAAGAGCGGAGGTGGCAACCTCCCAAACACTCCCATCCTCCAAGTCTGTCAGGCGCTGCGCGAGGAGGTAGCTTCTGCCTACTTCAAGGGCACCTCACTCGTGGTTATGCCTAATCCCGGTACGTAGTGCCATAATCGGCTCTTGCGCGGCTCTACAAGCTTCAACCTACTAGATTTCAAGAAGACAATGCTAATTCCTCCTTAGGCATGAACCCCTTCCCCTGGATCCCAAAGTCACTTGAGACCATTCCAAGCATGCCCGCGCGATACTGCACCACCATCCACGTCACAACCCGGGTCTCGATTCCTCAACATCTGCATTACAACTGCAGAGCCCGGACAATGGTCGACAAAGTCTCCTGGTCGACCCCCGCCACCAACGTCGTCTTGGACACGACCGCAACCAACATCGTCTTGACCTTCTCGCTGAATTCCAACAACGCATACCGCGTCTTCACGGACTTCATCAACCCACGCGATTTCGTTGCCGGGAATGGATCGTTGCCTCAGGTCCGTCAAGACAAGTTTGACGACATGTGGGAGTTTGCGAGTGTGCAGATCGAGGCGTTTGAGGAGAAGATGAAGGTTGTGTTGATGGGCCGAGATATTCAACGAGATGCTGAAGGAGCTTTCATCATGGTCTTTGATTACCCTGAGGACCGGGATGAGTGGAGGACGAAAGCGGGTGTCATGTTGTGAGTGGATAAGCCGGGTAAGCCAAGTCGTGACATGTTTTGATGCTGCAGATCAAGACGCTGGCATGACAGGCGGTTAGAATTCGGTAGCAAGACAGTGATTTCGGATTCAATACGGTACATCATAACTCTCTCGAGTCAGCAACGATATTGAAACGAGTAGTGAAAGATTGCATCATCGAATGAAAGGAATCAATTCAAACATTTCCCACCATATCTTCTCCGATTTCAATCTGTAGTGTTCTCGTAGGCATCTGTTCTTGGTATCTACTCCAAAAGCAAAAGGAAAAGATAGCAATACACATCTACACAAAGTCTCCCCCTTAATTCAGATCCTCCAGTCAAACAGGCCCACTAGTATACCGATTCGGCGACTCCCTAAAAACAAACCACCCATCCGTAGGCGCCCCAATATCCGCCACAATCGCCACCCTCTCAGCCACAATCCTCGTCCTAAGCGTCTGAACCCAAGGCAAAGCAATATCTCTCACATACTCCCACTCCTGCATTCCAGCAGGAAGCACGGCGGGAATCAAGTGATCACTTACTCGAGCGCGAATTGTGCCGGCGAACATTGTGAGCATCATGCGGCCGTAGAGTCCTGCGGAGGTTACTGCGACGTTGGCTTTTAGCATGCGGATGAAGGGGAGGGAGCCTTCGAATGAGTCGAGGTATTGGTTGAAGACTACGGCGGTGGGATCTTGATGTTCGATTCTGATTGAGAAGTTGCGGTTGAAGTAGTATCTGGATGGTTCATCGTTAGTGGAAGTCTCGAAAATCTTGGTCCTCCTCGCCAAGATATGTATTGAAACCATGCAGAGCGAACTGCTGCATCCAATGATACTTGCAAGGTGGATTTTCCAACTTACTTCGCCATAAAAGCCGATCGAAACAGCCGAGAAGTCTTAATCATCGGATGATTCTTCGGAATCGTCATGTTGACATAAGGAGGAGATAGAACGGTCGTCAACGTCATGCCCGGTGGAAGCGGCGCAGCTGGGTTACGCATAACGATTTCATTCATATCGCGAGGTCCCTCACGGATGACATCGTCGATGATTTTGTTCAGCATTTCCGCTGGCATGGTATCGAATCTGGCCAAGGGATTGGGAGGAAGTGGAGGTGGAGATGGAGATGGAGTTTGATCGTCATCGGGATCTTGATCGGGTGCTTGTGCTGGGTTTCTTCTGGGTTTCTGGAGAATCGTCAGCGTGGTCTTAGGCGCTTTGGGGGACTTGGTCAGAGCTGTGGAGTTGACTTGTCTCAAAGTCGTCTACGGTTAGAAGAGATGTACTGCTAAAGTGAGGTCTGCAGTGCATCCTCTTGAAACCATGGTAACTCTGGAACAATTCTCCTATCGACAGCTCTGGCAGTTATATGAATTACCTTGCCCTTGGATATTCCCGCGCCAGTCCTATCAGAATTGGAACTTCCCGCACCATTGTTACCAGTACTGGATCTTGCGGCCMTAGGCCGGCCGCTAGCTTTGGGTGCCATGTGGTAATGTTGGTAAGATTAGAAAGCTGTATAGGGAAGTGTGTCAGGGATGAATTCAAGTTGCGAATGCACTTAGGAGCACATCAGCTTTTCTTACGAATTTCATAAAGATCCTTAAGTTTCGCCGGATGCGGTGCGGTTTTGTCTCTTTACAAAGAATGCTGTATCATCCTTCACGACATTGAATCCGCAGTGAATAAGGAATATCGGAGGATGCGCGGACAAAGACCGAAGTGTAGATGTTGAACAAAGCTGATGCTAGAGTACCTGCAGACCTTCATAGGCAGAGATCAGTGGCTCGGAAGATTCGATCGAGGACAGATGCAGCTTCCAACCCGCCCATTCCTTCTTTGACCACGAACCCTTCAAACGACATTCATCCAAGCGCTTTTCTTTGCCGCGACCAGCGGATCCTGAATCATGAGCACCGCACGCAACAGCAAGAACTCACACCTTGGAGAAGCATGCAGCCGCGCCACGATTTGAGCGCTGGGAATGTACGCTGCGACACCATGCCTCTCCCTCACACGACCATTCATGGTAGCGCTGGCTTGAATGGTGTAGTCTCCGTGCTTCGTATCGAAGCAGATGTAACGCTCCTCGACTGTCAGCGTCCTCATGAAGTTGATGAGGTGCGCGTAAACGATGTCGTTGGCGTGAGTCTTGGAGAGGCGCACTACAGCTCCGTGGTGCATAACAGGTACGTTCACAACATCCACCTTGAGTGTCTTGAGTTGCGGGAGCCAGGCTTCCAGGTTCTTCATGCTGGCATGCGCGTCCATGAAAGGAGACGCATTTCCAGATGCGTGCTCAAGAATCGTCAAGTGGAGGCTCTGTAGATGCTTGCAGAGGCCGGGGCTGAGGTTGATGGCGATGGGGTTCATAACAGGACGTGGACCTGTAGCAGGAACTGCTCTCGCCAGCGCTGGCATGTTCTTGACGATGGCGACCTTGACGATCGGTGCGAGATCCCACAGTGCTTTGCTGCCGCCCTCGAGTGTGTATCCTGAAGAGTTTGGCTTCGGCCTCGCGTTCAGAAGCATCTTGAGGACGACAGTGGCCATGGCGGAAAGCTCAGCATCATTGCAGAAGCCAAAAGTGTGTGGGCTGAAAGTAGCGATGAGCTGGATGACGATGAGCTCTTGCAGCTCTGCGGGCAGCTTAAGCAGTCGTTCGCGTGTTCTTCTGACACTGGTCGCGCAGTCTTTTTCTTTCTCCTTGATCTTGATGTCTGCGAGGTCCGCTTGGGTGGGACTGCTGGTCTTCGCTTCGGTATTGTGCGCGTCCATTTCGGTCGCGATTCAAGTGGTGGTCTGCAACTGTCAGTGCCCAGTGGTTCAGAGTCACGATGTTTACTAACCGGTTCGGATGATGGACGACTTGGGTACTGTTCTGCGTCTTCGCTCCAGAATGTTTGGGAGGAGTGTAGAGGAGAGAGGACAGGCAAGGGTCGGATGAAGGTGGAGGTCGAGTGTTTGCTGGACACGCTAGTCCGCCGCCGGCCCGACCTAGTTGCATTGCGGCCCGTATCCAACCACAAACACCCAGCATGTGGGTTACGGGCAAAGAGGATCTGTATAGAAAGTGCGTGTTTGTATAGATAGATGGAAAGCAGCCTTATTGACAGTCTTGTTGTTCTTCTTCAGAGGATAGTAGACATAATGGGTTTCAGGGGCATACGACTGTAGATGTAAACCGAAGAGGAGTCTGTAACCACGTCTTGGTAGCTCTTATGTAGTTGTCCTGCTTGTCTTTTTGTTCGCAAGCGGAGGTTCTATATACGTCTCGTCAAATCCTCCATTGTGTGCCTCGCTGTCGGCAATTTTTAGATTCCAGCATCATCAAGATTGCTCAAGCTAACGCCGCTTAGAGCACTCCAGCACTCCATTATCTTTCCCAACACACCTATCATCTCCAACAATGAGCACGACAATGACCGGAACCACTAGCATGGTGCTCTTTGAGGCGCAGAAAAGTGCAGAGGACGAGCAGGCCGTTATGCTTTCCAATGGTTTCAAGCTGATCGACGACATTTACGACGCTGCCGGGACGAAAACGAGCAATACTTTCACACACCTTGCGACGAAATTGTGGCGAKCGCGACGGAGAACAACGCCACCTCAACAGACCAAGTTTGGGACACGAGAAGCTTTGCTACCTTCCAAATGACAAGAGATGGAAAGAAATGGATACCGGGAATGCCCTTCCGATTCTCCAGGTCTCCAAGCCCTGCGAGTGCGACCAGGCACCTTATGCGCGCAGGATGTTGGCCAAAGAGGAGGTCGGGCATTCGCTACTCGAAAAATAACTGTCCAAGAAGGCCATTCAACCCTGATCTCTCGAGTAGCCCACCCACGCAAAAGGGCATCAGGACCTGAGCAATCCGGCGGAGTTACAATTCACCCTTAAGCGTATTGGGTCCAGATACCTCGAGTGGGCCACAATTACCGCAGCAGAAAAGTTCGCAACCAAGAGCGATTCAAGAGAATGACAGCGTCAGCAATATCGGTTTCTGGGACTAATTAGCGAGTCCCAGCGCCGCAAGCCAGCCCGTCTCTTACTATGGGAAGCATGGTATCCTGCGTTCATTCCTTGAACTTCTCGCCGCTGGAACCCTTCCTTGAACCCTCTCGCTCCGCGTGCCCGATGGAGACCTCGTTGTATTTGATCTCCCTCGCTTCCAAGCAGCATCAGCTCTTCCATCCGCTGCTGCTCGGTGCATTCCGATACCCGAATTCTTGCTCGCCAGCAAGCAGATCCGGACATCAACCTCCTCAATGTTGTATGAAGGATGCAAGGTCTTCATACTCTTCATGCAATTCGTCGGCCTAGAAGTTACACTTCGCAATGCTCCTAGCCAAGTCACAGACATCATCCTTCCGGTCAACAAGTATATTGTCTTTCAGCACTTCTCTAAGACGAGCCCAGCCCAGCAATCCGCATCCACCGCTCAGCGAGTATCGTCCATACTTCACGGCTGTTGCGTACGTAGAGACAATCCACGAAGAGTTCGAGGTCAACTGGGTTACTTGGAGGCAAACAGATACATTGCTACAGCCACTCCTACCGTCGTCGGGATGGCATCGAGAGTCTCGTCGAGGCTATTGAGACGACTCTGCCGTTCCATCCGAAGCATCTTGGCAAGAAGGAGTATGAGAGCTTCGAGTCGAATCTTGGTGCTACAGTGGTCTCAATGATGTTCACCGCTTACTCGGCGGATCGTTGGGCAATGTGGGCATCACGATTTGATCCGTTGCTCAACTTTGAGGATCCGTAGGTTGAGGGGAGAAGAAAGACGGATTGCAAGGGAGGGATGGCAAGAGAAAGAAGCTGAGTGAGAGGGGAAACTGGATACATACTACACCCGATGTCAAGCGCAACACAGCAGAGGATGGTGAAGGACCAGGAAGACGTGCAAGATGCATCAGCGAGAAGCGTAATGAATTTCGACTCCGTCGGTGCACAATCGTGTCATCCTTTCCGTCACTTTTACACAATGTCACAATCTGTTGAAACCCAAAAGGTTCTGCCGGCATCGAACAGAAATTCAAGCAGTATTGACGGCGCCGGCATTATGATAGAATCCATTATCGTCAACAGTAGGCAATGTAGAGATGTTTCCCGCCGTATTGGAGGTGATCTTGCCAATGGAATTGGATGGACAAGTTAGTTTGGTACTCCCTATCCTTCCTGTGGTGAGGAATTCTACTGCGGAGAACAATAGGCGATAAAGGTGAAGAGTACCTCATCCATGAAGTCTTCCAGAGCAGTCTTGGGCTATGGAKTAGACTCAATGAACAAATCAAGGACTGCATCCGCGGGTCTCCTTCCGTACTCTCTGACTATTCACCAACGACAGTGTACTTCGCCTTAAGTTGAAGCTATACCGGAGCACAAAAAGGCTGCCTGAAGGTGGAAGACCTAGTTCTGGCTTCCTTCCCACCTGTACCGCTGTGTGAACTGCTGCTTCGCTGTACTACGCTGCGACCCCTTCACGCTCCTTGTTCATCTCTAAAAGATCGATGCGCTACTATGGAGCTCTGGTTGAACACTCTTGGAACCAATTGTGGAGTACAGTATGGCGTGCTGGAGGTGAAAGATCCAGATCTCGCTTTTTTCTCTTGCTAGAGTGCAGACTCCAATGTACTCCGCCGCTGTAACACGCATCTATTGCCTTGCTCCCCATCGCTCTTCAAAAGAACAATATACTGCTATTCTCCTCCAGTAAGTCATCAACGCAGGCAATACCAGAGTGTAATGAGGCTTCCCGGTGATGAAGTGACGTTCTTCTTGCGTCGTAACCAGATCGTTGCCATCTCACCCAAGCTTGGCGATCGCGTTGCCTATCATCAACAGAATCCTCGCGCTCCTCTTCCAAAAAACAACACTGTCATTCATTATGGCAAGACGTATCCTGTACTCCGACGGTGCTCGCGATCCCGCAACACACTATGCAGGTTGCGCCTATGTGTATTTTGACACTCTCCAAGACGCGTGGGTCGGTTCCAGCAGAGTACTGGGGCGAGTTGAATCGTCACAGGAGGCTGAAGAGAACGCGATCATCGACGCCTTGGAAGTTGCCAGATCAAGTGGATCCAGTCATATCACAGACTTCGCCGTCCGCTCCGACGCTCTTTGGCTCGTGGAGGAGATCAATGACCACAGACTGGGACGCCGTCCCTCACGCTCTCATGCCATACAGGAGATTATCGGCTTAATCCACAAACTGCAGGCATTGAGCAAAAGCGTATCTGTGGAGTGGGTGGCTGCACACCAAGGTATTGAAGGAAACGAGGTAGCAGACGCCGCTGCAAAAGAAGCCAAGTTGCGATCCTTCCGTGCATTCAAAGGATTAGATTCGCTGACAGAGCCGGTGAGGATGGAAAGCGTTTCGCCCGAAGAACGAAAGCGCTACGAAGTCCCCGGCGAGATCATATTTAGTAAGGAGGCGGAGCGCCTCCTGCTTAATGCCGCCTCTGACAGAGGTAAGTCAAGTGTTCTCAACCACCAATACTGTCTATTATGCTGACCTTCATGTCACAGACCTACCCAGATCCTGAACGAGGACCGGGAGCGAACGTGGAGTAAACCACGCTAAAAAATCACTCTCACGACGTGCTCGCATTTTGACGCAATGTGAGGGCTTGAGTCGTTCTGCGGAACGATGACCAAGACGAGCACACAATGGAGAAGTTGACCCACACGCTGACCTCTCTTGCTTACATGCCACTGACACGACTGCTATAGTATACGCTATATTGACAAGACGTTTTCTCCGGAAGGAGAGAACATGACCGTTGAAGAGACATAGACTGCGAAGAGATACAGGCGACATTCCGCATCACGCCCACAGACACGTTCTGCGGCCACGCATGATTGTAAGCTCTCCAACTCTCTGTCTTCTCCCTTTCCTGCACGTCGCTGACTTTGCTGCTATATCGTACATCACTTGAACAGGATCCATCTCTCCAATGGAGGTCACAAGGATCTTGGGAGGCTTGACTCAATGCCGAAATGGATGGCCATCCTTTTGCATCATGCTCGCAGATTTTGGAGCGAGTTCTCTACCGAACCAATGGAAGCTGGATCTATGGCGGAAGGCTCATCCACCTGCCGCACTCTCTCCTGCCTGTATATTACTACCACTGCGATTGTAGCTCGCCGTATACCAAGCAGAATTCCCACTTCAATTGAGTGTTCAAGTTCTTGACAGTCTCCAAAGTAATGAATGCAATTTGCTGTATTATGCTCACGGATGAGCAGGGATAGCCGTTCCCACACATCTCTGGGTACGCTTTCTCTTCAATAGCTGCCTCTTGCGAATCCGTATTGACACCGGTGCCAAGCTGGAAATTCCACGGATGGAACATGCTTCTCACCATGAGAGTGTATCCCTCTACTGCGAGTAGCTGCACGGCTCAAGTGTACTGATCCTCTCTCCATCGCTTGCACTATGAGCCCATCTTGTCCTCTGGAAGCTGCTTCCTCAAATCATTCGAGTTGATGTACYCCATTGGCCCACTGCCCCAGGACTTCGATCGCCACGCCATATTATACCCACAGTGGTGTTGCTCAGTACTTCAGGGCTACATGAGCCATTACCCAAGAGCATACTCAAGACTTTGTTGGGAGTGTGCTGCTTCTCAGGAATTCCAGTCTCATCTCWCGGCAGATCCACGTAGAACTGTACTCAATACCCGAGATATCTCACTGCTACACGAATGTCTGGCTTTGTCCTGCAACATATCAACGATGAACTCATACTGTAGATTAGTGGTATGGGCAGCGTCTCAAATAATGAGAGAATTTTGAGGTGGGAGTTATGTGGACGGGTCAGCGTTTTGCAAAGTAGGCCTGGCTCGCTTGCTACTCTCTGAGACTGCGCTTTTCTACTTTGCAACATTGCTTTTGATATTGACCAGACTGACAGCAAGGAGCGAGATGTGTGGGAGGGGACATACGGAAGATGTGGAATCAAGACGCTGACATTTTTTGCAAGAAGATGGACTCTGCAGACAATTTCAACCTTTAAGATTACAATCAAGCCAAGGATTCCATACGATGACAAGAGCCGACGGTCTCATTTCGTGGCAATAATCATGCTCCGGACTGCTGGAGTGCTTCCCAACAATCTTGTGGCTCGCGGGAACGTGTGAAAAGCATTTGACATGACTTGATCTTTCCAATGCTACTCCAACCCGATATCCAACACGAGAGCTTGGCTACGAAGAAGCATGCTCTCTAACAGCAACACTCATGTGATCTTATCCTTCGTCCGCCTCGCCGCGGTTCACTCTATCCACTCGACCTCTACTCAAAGTCGTCCCAGTTCTCCGCCACCTCCTCCACAGTCTTCAACTTCGACCTGCCTGCAGCCACCTTCTTGGCGGATTTACGGCTCTGCACGTCGTCCATCCCGTACGTGGTTGGCTTGGCAGACTTACCGTACGTCTTCCAAGTCTGACGGAGGTACGGCTCCAACTCTGGTCGCCACTCCTTCAATCCAGCCTTGACATCCTCTGCCTCTTCGAGCAATTTGGCCTTATCCTTTCTGGCGCGAGCTGCTTTCCTCCTTGCACTGCCGCTGTTACGCTTCATATTCAATGCTTGATGCTCGTCATGGAGTTGCTTCTTGGCGCGAAGCTCGGGTTCCTTGATTGCAATGGCAGCGCTGAGCTCTGGGAGTTTTTGATACAAAGCCTCGAGTGCTTCTTGTTCTTCGAGCGTGTAAAGTCCGTGGACAAGATCCCAGGCATACCTACGAAGAATGGTTAGAATGAATGCTGCAGACTCGTGTTTTGCACAACTTACTGGTGGACCATCGTGTCCCAAGGACGACGGCGGTCAGGATCTTCCGGACAGATGCTCGGACAAAAGACCGTATCAACCTTCTCCATCACCTCTCTCGAAACCTTCTCATGCGCAACGGTCCAGCAGATATGCCCCATGAGCTTTTCCGTCGCAGATTTCGGCTGCATGTCGAGGAGATCGCAAGCCTCCCAGATTGCGACGGCGCGAGTAACAGTCATCCCAGCGACATTGATAAAGAGGTTCTCTTTACCTCCATGTGTCTGAATAATTCCCAGCACATGCCGAAGACCGGCGGGCGCGCCAGTCGGCAAGGTCACCTCCCGGTGCTCCTCGTTCTCGACCTCCCAGCCCGAGAGGAAGCGTCGAAATGAGCCACTATGGGCTTCGAGTTTCGCGCGCGAGAGGAGATCCGACAGGAGCTTCCGGTCGGCGTCGATGGGGCGCTGCAGGAACACGGAAACTGTGCGCTCTGGTGCCATGTTGCGCGAGGCGGCGTGGTCGTTCGTGATTGCGTTGATATGGTTGGATTATTTCGATGGTTTTAATGTCTCGTGTGATTGTGTTGAGAAGTTGTCACGTTTGAGAAACTGTCGCGGTGTTGTGTTAGGTGGCGCCAAGATTTCGGCGACCGGCACACTAGCGCGGATCTCACGAGTGAATGTTTGTTTGCCAGCCACGTGGCTCGGACACCACGAACATCGCCTCCTGCGCCATCATATACAGATCCATACCCTGATGAGTATAGCGATGGGCAAATGCAGAGAGGCGTTGGCTCGTACTATAGACTGCGTTGGTTGCTGCGGGACCTTGCATGCCCTATCGCGGGTAGCCGCATTTGCCACGGGCTCTGGCATGATTACTACAGAACAATCAGAAGACGGCTGTCTATCCAGCCAACAGATCTTCTAATCAGATGCAAATGTTTGATAGCTTGTGAGTGGCTGCAGGGCCGCGTTTGGCTTTTACACGTGCATCGCGGGACGCCCAAAAAGCTTAGACCTTCCGCGTTTGAGCTGCCGCGCTACAAACACAACATCATCACCCGAGCTCCCTCAAACAACAACACCTCCCACCAGCACCGCCCTTTCTATATACTCATTCTCTCATCAACAGTAAGTCTCCGCCACGCGCTCCTCGCGCCAGCTCTCTCCATTACCGACTCCGCCGCCGTCGAGACTGACTATCCTCTAGAACACCGCAAAAATGACGATTCCCACCGGAAAAATCTCGAGTGTCTACTTCGAGACCGAACTCGGCAACTTCACCAAGATCGTCGATCGCATCGACAACGAGAAGCTCGTCAAGCTCTGCGGCAAGGCCAACAGACAAGAGCACATCGGCACCTGGCAGAAATTCGTCTACCAGCACCCCAATGCCATGCTGATTCGCTCGTTCGAGACCGAGTACGATGCCGCCGTCAAGATCATCGAGTGGATCTGCAACTACGACTTCGAGCAGCCGATGTACGATCAGGCTATTACCACCGACCTCATCAACTCGGAAGACTTCACCAAAGTCGTGGAGCTGTACTACTCCGTCGGCTCCCTCAACATCACCCGCGAATACCGTGGTCAGCAGCTCCGCGACGACATTTTCCATTACATCAACAGCGCGCCACTCTCCAGTAACGAGTTCATCATGATCTATGAGTGCTGCGCCTTCGATCAGGGTCTCGTTGTCAGAGCCTTGAACAGCTTCGCATATGCGCTCAGCACGCGCCACAAGTATCCCTACCCCGCTGATCAGGCGGAGGAGATTGAGGCGTACTGCAAGGATGTCGGCATTTGGGAGGACGTGTCGGGACGCATCGAGTTCCAGAAGAAGCGCATGGAAGATGCTGCTCAGCATGACTGGGAGAACATCGCCGAGAATGAGAAGAAGACAATTGCGTTCAAAGCTGGACGTGTCATTCCCGGTCCCGTCTTCAATGACCCGCGCCTCTCGGGCCGTGGAAGAGGTCGTGGTGGATTCGGTCGGRGTCGCGGTGGCTTCCGTGCCACTCGTGGTGGAGGTAACGGTGCCGTCAGGTAAGTCTCATTCTCATTACACTTTCTTGTACCATGTGCTGACTACTTTATGCAGGCACCAACTCATTCATCAACATCCTGGTAGTGGAACCTGGCCAGGCCAAGGATAGCGCTGCTGGATGATTCTTCTACAGCACCTCAATCGAGAGTGGCTTGGAGCATTGGAGATGGGATAAGCTCGGTTAGGAATTAGGTTGCACTCTGGATTATGAGAAATGTGCTCTTTGGGTCCCAAATAATCGTTTTAACAACACTGTGGTTAAGTCCTTGGGTTTCGCCTTTGTGAGCTTGTCACTGCCTCACGGTGTCTTTTCATCTTAAATACCGATTACCCGGTTCAAAGCACTTCTGGAACATTTTGTTTCTCCTCAAACAACATCAATACGAAGCGTAGTTCTCATCACCTAAATATCCGAAGGTCCAGCAAGACCCAAAGCCTGCCGCCTCGTCGGAGCATCAGCATCAAATACCGGCTTCTCAGCCAAAGATGTCACACGAGTCCCATGTCTCGCTTCCTTGCCCTCGTAGTCATAACTTGCATTATGCATAGTGATTCTGCCATCGTATCAGTAAGCCCTCCTGATTCTAACAAACGATAACAAAAAGGTCATACCTGTTATCCCAAAGCGCAGAAGATCCAGGCGTCCACTTGAACCGCACTTGAATGTCGACATTATTCTCATACACGCTGTACAAGTAATTGAGAATAGCGTCGCTCTCCCCCTGGTCAAGCCCAACGATTCTCACCGTCATAGCTCGATTGACAAAAAGTGATTTCCAGCCCGTGGCAGGATGGACTCGTACAATTGGATGCGTGCGTTCCACGTACTTTGGTCCGGAAGTGGGATTCTCACGATCGAGATATGCGTGAGCACTTCGGAAGACGGCATACTTGCCGTCGATAATTTTGCGGAAGTCGGGTGAGAGTTTCTCGTAGGCCGCATAGCCTGAAGCCCATAGGGTATCTCCGCCAATTTTTGGGATGGTGTCGTTGTGTAGGTGGGTGATACCGGCCGGTTGTCTCTCGTGCACAAGATCCTGCGAATGTCAGCCATGTTTCGTGGAGAAGAGCGGGAGGTAACTTACAGTGTGCCACTTTTGCGTTCCAACAGGGTTACGGAAGTCGGCTTGGACCTCTGTGTTCGTAAGATTGGGCCAGATAATCGTCACACCTGGCAGACCTGGAACAATCGGCACTTGTGGATGTACTTCCACTTCGCCGAAGTAGTTGCCGAGCTCGAGTTGCTTTTGAGGGCTAAGATCTTGGTCCCGGAAGAAGACGACGCTTCGCTCTGCGATCAGCAATGCCAGTTCGTCACGTTGGATGTCTGTAAGATCTTTCAATTGCAATCCAACGATCTCAGTCCCGATGTGCGTGGTCAGGTGGATGACCTCCTTCGCAGCACTGTAGAGAGACTTCTTGCTTGGATCGGCTCGGGTTCCTGCATCGACGTATTCCCGGTCGTAGTCTCTTATGGCGAAGACATCTTGCAGATAAAGAGGGATGGCTGGTCGATACTGTAGCGTCTGTCAGCTTTCTTTGCTACGACATCCCGGCGCTGTGATATTGGATAGATCATTCGATGGATCAAGTGGTTGGAATTGGAGTACACAGGAGTGATATGTCGAGAGTTATTGGAGCATTCGAAACACCAGCGACTGTACTTACTGGATAACCWTTTGAAAGATCGATCCCAGCTTTCTCAAGTCTTGCTCTCGCGGATGCTGGAAGGCCAAGCGTATCCTTCCTTGGCTGAACATAATCAACAATCTCAGGAAGAATTGCTGAAGGAGCCATATCTTCAACTGATGTCTTGATCTGTTCTTGAAGTCGTGTATCGTGTCGTATAGGTATAGCACAAGCAATACTTGATGTCCAGCCGATGCTTCGTCTTATACACGCACGCCACTTTACTCAAAGTGGAGCTTCCATAATCTTGACTCCACATATATCAGCATGAGCGGGGACATCTCCGAGCCTGATGGTGTTACGAAGCAAGAAATTCCGGATTGCGCCATATTGCTTGGGATCCTGCCATCGATGCCAAGACCCAGCTCTCATGCGCGCTCCTCCAACCAAATTTCATCCCGAAGATTGTCCGACTATGCTGGTTAGATGTGCCCATGCAGTGAGGTGTGGAGCCTTGTCACGCCATGAAGGTTTCGTAGCACGTTCAGGTTCATAACTTCAGAAGCAGGGGATGTGACTCGCTCAGCGTCGTTATCTGAGCCCGCTTTTGGTGGAGTTTTGACTAGTCGAGCATGCACTTCCCCCCTGTGGTATTGTTGAATGGGATCATTGGAGTATGCGAACCATCGTTCCGTGTGGTATTGCGAGTAGACGGCATAGATTGCGTGCTATTCGGAGAGCTGTCGACCTTACAAACCAGCCGACGACCCGGATTTGAAGGACATTTTTGAGCGGAGTGGTAGTCCTCAAAAGTAGCTCGTGTCCTTCGAATGGCATCGTCCTTGAGACCAGAAGAGCGACAGCCCTTACTCGGAGACTACGATAGCGGAAGCTCTGGGAACAGCCAAACCATCACTATGAGTGCCAAGCCGCATGAGAAGCTCGATGTTGCGGTGCAAAGCCAACCTATCCCAAGCGATGTTGGTTCCAGCGAACGATCCTCTCACAGCGATACAAAGCCCAAAGTTCCCTGGTGGGCTTATATTTGGGACTATGAGCCTGGTCGATCAAAGGAGGAARTTGCTTTTGTGCAACGACTGGATGTCAGCGTACTCATCATTCTTACTTTGGGGTACTTTATCAAGAATCTCGCTCAGACGAACATTGCCAATGCCTATGTGTCCGGCATGAAGGAGGATTTGTCCATGAACTCCAACCAGATCAATCTTATCGATGTGGCTTGGACGACGGGATATGTTGTCGGGCAGATTCCATCGCAGGTCATCCTTACCAAAGTCAGGCCCAGCATCTGGATACCCAGTTGCGAGCTCGTATGGACCGTAAGTTCTTGACCGTTCCTCAGGATGTAAATCCACTGACAGTCCATCCAGGGATTGACATTCTGTCTCGCGGCCGTCTCATCCTCGAACCACGTAATAGCGATCCGTTTCCTAGTCGGTCTGGCCGAAAGCATCTTCTATCCCGCCGCACACTTCATCCTAGGCTCATGGTACAAGCCTTCGGAGCTTGCAAAGCGAGCTGCAATCTTCCATGCATCGAGTGCACTGGCATCGATGTTTAGCGGATACCTCCAAGCGGGTGTGTACAAAGGACTGAATGGCGTTCATGGTCTTCCAGGCTGGAAATGGCTCTTCGTTATGGATGGCATCATATCATTGCCGATCTGCATCGCGGGCTTCTGGATGATTCCGGATCTGCCAGAGAATACCCGGGCATTCTATTTGACCAAGGATCAGATTGAGTTGGCGAAGAAGCGGATGAGTGATATTGGTCGTGCTCCTCGTACCAAGCTGGGTTGGTCTGCTTGGAAGAGAATTTTTGGGAGATGGCATGTGTGAGTCAATCCCAAAGGCCGCAAGATTCGTTGGAAACAAGTGCTGACACTTATACCTGCGTGTAGATATCTGCTGACCATCTTGTACATCATCTTCATCAACAGGGTATGTGTGCCTTCATCTCCCACTTCCAACAAAACTGAACATCGCAAAGGGACCATCAAGCAGCATCAACCCACTCTCCCTCTGGCTGAAAGAAAAAGGCTACTCCATCAGCTTAATCAACATCATCCCAACCTCTCAAAACGCAGTCCAAGCAGTAGCAACCATCATCCTCGCAGTCCTTTCAGACTACTGGCGGAATCGACCCGCCGCCATGTCCATCTCCACCGCAGGAGGACTGATATCCGCACTCATTCTGGCCATCTGGAATGTGCCCTCGGGGTTGAAATGGTTGGCCTTTCTAATGGACAAACTTTCCGTRCCGTATGGCCCGATGAGCATGACCTGGACGAATGAAATCTGTGGTGGAGATGCGGAGGAGCGGAGTATTGTGTTGGGAGTGATGAATTCTCTGGGTTATGCTTTCAATGCTTGGCTGCCGGTTTTGACGTATCCCGCAGTGGATACCCCGAGTTTCCGAAAAGGTTTCGTCTTCTCGACTGTGGCGTTTGTGGCGCAGTCTGGAATCACTTGGCTGGTGTGGTTCATGTATAGAAGAGATTTGAGGAAGAAAGCGGGTGGTTTGGTATAGAAGTAGATTATGGCAAGAGATTACGCATTCCGGTATTGGCTTGCTGGTGCTTGTTCCGCCACCATTCAGCACCACTCACAACAGTTGGAGTCTCCCCGGCCGCATCCACCAATTCGGGGTAGTCACGTCCTTTGCCCGCTCCACACGGTCCGCCACATCGACGGTGCGTGGTAAAGAATTGCCTGTAGAACTGAGCCAGCACTTCTCAAGTCTCTCCACATGCCTAATGGCAATTTCAGCGGGTGGATGATCTCTAAGTTGCCAACGATCTTCATCACCCTCCTCCCAGTCAACGTGCGCAAGCCGATCCAAATCCATGGCATGCACATACTCAATGCCCGTCAGGGTGAGGTTCTTTCGACCCCATTCAGCCAAGGCTATGGATTGATCAATGCCTGCGGTACCAACGGCCCAGTGGCATGCAATCAGGGTGACTTGACGGAGCTTTTGTCTATGCCTCAAGAGGAATGCTCTCAGGTCTGCGTCGTCTGTCAAATGGAGATGGTGGAATTCAACAGATGTGAGATCGGGAAAGGTGAGACTCAGGAAATCGCTGTTTGCAGGATATCGGACCCCGTCAGCCCCGGGATGGATCCCTGCTACGCACGCCCTTGTGATTGAAAGATGACGGACCGATCCTCGAGCAGCGTTCAGCATGTACCAAATGTTTTCAGGCGTCCGACCAACATATCCCCAGTCATTCGGGTCGTAGTACGGCAGGCGGAGACGGCGCAGTGGTTTGAAGTGTCTGTCAAACACATTGATAAAGGAGTCTGCTGGGTAGCGAGTAAGAGTACTCTGCACTTCTGTCGTGAGTCGGTGCATATAATATCCACTCATCATTCCTTGCACAGATGCGAATGGATGCGGCCCAATGGAAAAGGATTGAATACCTGCRCTCGGGACAGCCGTGAGCGCAAACATGACCACCACAATGTCGTCTATATCAGTGCAAACATATGTTTCTGGTGGCAATGTTGTTCCAAACATCCGGAGGCAARCTTCGGCGTAGGATTCACCCTGTCTCGCCAGCCCACGATAGTCGGTCATGACGACGTGCTTCAACCGCGGACACCTCCTGAATGCCTCAGTGATGAGTTGGAGAGCTGTGTTGTTGGTTTCTAGTGTTGATTGCACCTTGAAGCGCTGGATGTACTTGGCGTGGGTGTCATTGCTCCAGGTGGCTCGGTTGGCATTCGATACTAGACGGCGACCCTCGGCGTCTGATCGACAGAGTCAGTACACGTTCGTTGTGGCAGCTTTTCACGACAAAAGCAGAATTGCAATTGAGCATCGCTTTTCCTGTCTCTCGACTTACTTAAAAGTTCGTTCGTTACATCAGGTACTGCCGGGAGTGCACAATTCAGATTTGCGAGATCAGCGCTATCTTGTTGCACAGAGATACGCCAGGGATCAATGGAATAACGTTCGACATCCATGTAGTTATTGGCATATGCGTCTTCGTCTCGGACATGGTTCTCCCAATAACGGCTGCTATCGTAAGTCAAGGTGGTGACGTTGTTTCTCCAGGGACTGGCGATGATTTCCCTGAAGCGAGCAATGGTATCCAACCGGTGGGCAAAGATCAGGTTTCTTCCGAGAAGCCCACGTCCGGATGCGCCGAGTATTCTGCAAGAAAGTCGTGCTGCAGCAAGATCTTGGTGGGTCAGATTTGAGAGAATGCCAACTCGAGCTTCTTCCGGGATCGATGACAAGTAGTCTCTACCCGGGAGGGGAATTCCTAAGATGTAGGCCATTATAGCGAGATGCAGTGGATAGCGGAAAGTTGTTCGTGTTGAAATCTTCTCCGAAACGGCCAATTTGACAAACCCAAGCTATGTCCGCATTCTGACATAGCCTTTGTTCTTTCAAAGACGCAGTCTGCCTTGATATAAGCGAAGGAAGGTCATTGACATGACCGTATCCGGAGACGTCGACTTGAATGATTGTACATGGTACGAACAAAGGATCATCATCGCAGCTTGTAGGTGCTATCGCTGTATCTTTTCTCGCACTTTACCGACGGTGCAAAGGACATTCTCCAGCCCTCTGGTCTTGTTAAGGCCCAGATCAGGCCGTCAACATGGTAGCATCACGATGGAATGCTTTGTTGCGTGCTGGGCGAAACGCACTGGCCGTGAGTTGCGACACCCTAGGATGGTGTGAGTGATCAGTGAACGTAGACCAGCATATTTTGAAAATCGGTATACCCCAATGATCCAAGGTATCGCCAATGCAGAAACCTAAGGGAGTTGTAAATGGAAAAGAGAGGACGAGAGTCGGCGGGTTGGAGTCGGCGGAGCTCGGATCCGCGCCCCGCTCCCGGTACACGGCGCCAGCCGCTCCCGCCGGGCTCAGCTCCGCTCCGTTGAACCGAGCCTTCCCATCTCATCGATTATCAGCATCAATAGCAAGCGAGATCTTCAGCCGCGTTTCATTCTGCAGAAAAGGGGCCACCTATCGTCTGGTATGCCGGCACTTCCATCCATTTGCTAAACTCTCCCCATCACATATCCCACCTTTCAAAGCAGACCTCTAGCGCTTAATCTCTGAAACATCAACGGCTTGTCGACCATTCTTACTTCAGCAAGCATGTACGGCAGCTTTCCTACGACTTTTAGCACCTACAATACCAACATAAGAGGATGTTCGGAATTGTTTAAAAGCAGMATGCGGCGCTTTTCCTCGTACCTTTCTGGCCATGAAGAGATTGCTTTGGCCATCTTATACCCCACTGAGATCCGTTCCGAACAACTGCTTTCAGCTTACCTTTAAGAAGCTTGCTGGAATATGCGATGTGAGTTTGGGAGACTTCGATTGTCTGGTTCGTGATGGAAGTCATTCCCGAACTCCATCAGAGGCTTTCACTTTTCGGAGACGCAGCTTTCATGAGAGCACGCCACATTTAGGAGGAACCAAAGATTGACAACGAAGGGATTGTTGATCTTCGGCGATATTTCCGGGTATAGCAGACGAAACTGCTGCTCACAGGGACATCAAAGGTGTCCCAGACGCACGCCTTGTACGGCATTCTCGGCCAGTCTCGCCTCATCGGCATGCGTGCACGATCGTAGCAGCCAGTGCCACCGCGAGACTTCAAGTTGAAGTGTATCCTTATCCTGCACGAGCGATTGCTACCAGCAATACTGGACAGCAATCTGGTATCCATCTCTTTTCTCTTACGATGATATCCCTCCTCGGTCTCGGCATGATAGCTGCAGTCATGGATTCACAGCATCCGCAGCCTTCACTCATCTGGACTTTGAAGCCGTTCCGGAATTGAAGTACAGTCAGAGGACCTGGTGAAAGAGTCAATTCGTCGTTGACGCTACCATCTACTTGCAGCTGTGCTATCGTCGCCCGGAAGACATCTGCTGCGGCATGTCAGAGCCTTCGGGGAGCATTGTAGACCGCTACATATACAAATGGCATGTATCAACATAGAATGTCTCGGTGTCCACTGCACTGCTCTCCTTGTTACATCTCTCGGCGGCAGTGATCGCCCCGCTCCAGCCAATTCGCGACGTGCCCCAATGCGGTGAGTGTGAATCGGGCCGGGTGAGGTTTAGATATGTCATCAAAACACTCCTATTATGCATTGGAACACTTCTCAGAGACACCAGCTGCTTAATGAGTGCTTTAGGATATCTTCTTGTCGACACGCGCGGCGTACGTCGAAGGACACGGGGCATGCGAAGCATGATTTGGCTTAGGGTTAGGGCTAGGGTAGGAGATTTCGGCGGCCATAGCACGAACTGATCTCATTACGATTGAACCGGCGAGTCCTTGGGGGTCTTTTATGAGTATTCTAAAGGCTGATCTCGTTCTTGTCACTCCATTCGACCGCTTTGGTCATTTCTGTCTTTTCATCTCAGCTACGCTATCCTGCAGATCCAGTGCTCAGAGGGTGGTGGCTGGCGGCTTCGCGGAAGCCATTGAAATTCCCCAAAACTCACGCCCACGATAGGAAGTCGGATCGACATGTGAACATGTCTATCAGRCAGACCATTGTACTTGGTTATCATGGCACCCTTGCTACAAAGTTCAACTATGCCGGCGATATCGCCAAGGACAGCTACCCCAACCCTAACCCTTCAAGTTTTCGCAGCCTCGGATTCGGAACTTCCGCGCGCTCACAGATGTACACAAAACCTCGCGATCCATCATCAGCACCACCATCTCCATCTTCAGAGCACCGGAATGCTGCGATATCAGCATTACGGACAAAACGATCATACCAGGACGACGTCCGCCTTCGCAACGCCGGCTTCACATTGACCATGCTTCATCACGATCTCTCGGCAGAGGTAGGTTGCAGCAAGATCACATCACTTGTGATGATATACCTGCGTGGGCAATTCGAAAGAAGGAAAGCCATGAAAGCCATCGAAGGGCTATTGACTGGCTGGCGAAAGATGGCAAAACTTGGCTCTGAAGATACCTCAGCTCTGAAGCATTCAAAGGGCTCCCGATGCATGGCCATTGGGGCCTCTTACAGATGAGCTACATGAAGCTCTTTGTATGCTTGAGTTCCCTCCGAGAAGGAATGACGGACTGCTGAAAGGTTGACAATATATGAGAAGGCCAGCCAGAGACGGCGATATGTGAGGTTTGCAGAGTGATATGGGATTGTTGATTACCTAGCTGGAATGCTAGAAAGACATGCCTCAACACCACCGCCATGCCACATGAGCCACTCGACCGTTGTCTTCGCCTGGACGTTGTCGTCGACCGACCAGTAGGCATGGAACTGAGGACGCTCCCAGCTCATCCATTGCATGGAGCAATATTGCTGGCGCCGCCACTTGTCTTTTTCCACGTACTCAGGACTCTGGGCCTCAAACCACACAAATATTCCTTCGGAGTGCCGGGCATCACCTTTCCTCCTTTGATCTGACCAATCAATCTACAATCTACAGTTTCGAGGCTTTCTCATTCTTCGCCAAATCCCTCAACTCCCGTCTCAGAATCTTTCCAGCCTGGGATGCAGGTATGGCATCAATGAAATGAACACCGCCCCGAAGCTGCTTGTACTTTGCCACTCTCTTAGCAAGCCAGCTACTGATCTCCTGCGCAGTGTCTTTACTACGCTCGACTCCTTCTTCGAGCACGATATATGCTCGTGGCAGCTCAGTCGCCATCTCGGAATTGTAAATACCTACGACGCCGGCATCTTTGACTTTCGGGTGTGAGACCAAAAGGCCTTCGAGTTCTGCGAAACATGTCAGAATCCTCTTATCGTCGCCGAAGCTGTACGTACCTGCAGGAGCCAATTGGAAGCCGTTGAATTTGATAAGCTCCTTCAACCGGTCCGTGATGTAATACAAACCATCCTCATCAACATAAGCCACATCGCCGGTCTTGAACCAACCATCAGGAGTAATGGCTTCGGTCGTGGCTGGAGCATTGTTCAAATAGCCTTTGAAGACATTAGGACCTCGCAACCAGAGCTCTCCAACTTTCCCAACACCGAGCACTTCCCCACTATCAATGTCGACAATCCTGCACTCGATATTAGGAAGAGGTCGCCCAATACTCCCCATACTCTTCTCCCACTCTTCCCATCTCGAGTAATGCGTTCCAGGACTCGTCTCGCTCAAACCAAAAGCCTGCACAACAGGAATCTTCAGCCGCTTGTACATTGTCTCGATCAAATCTTTCGACAAAGGCGCGGCTGCTGATGTGAGCATTCGAATGGAACTCAAATCATACTTATCCACGACAGGATGTTTTGCCAAAGCCAAGATGATTCGCGGAACGACACTTATGAAAGTGATGCGGTGTTGCTGAATGACTTTGCAGAACTTTTCAATCTCAAAAGTTGGCATCACGAAGACTTCGTAGCCGCGGTAGATGGAGAGATGTAAGACGCCAGTCAATCCTGTGGAGGGATCAGCAATGAGATCTGTTCGAGAAAGTCGGTACTTCTCACTCACCGTAGATGTGATACAAAGGCACGAATCCAATACTCCGATCACCAGAGCCCGTTTCGCCATTCCCGCAGCTGAGATTATGCACTTGAGTAGCAGCCATCATCGCCAGATTCGACACAATGTTACGATGTGTAAGCATAACGCCTTTCGGTTTCCCAGTAGTGCCGCTCGAATACACCAGAAAACTAACATCATTCCCTGGATCCAAGACATACGGCCGTCTACTCGCGACGACTTCCTCTCCACCAATAGACTTGAAACTGGCAGATCTCCGATCAGAAGCTCCAGGTCCCATAAGCAAGACTCTCGAATTCGGAATCCCAACCTCAGCAGCAGCTTCAAGCACCATCTTCAAAAACGGTAGAAACGTCACAATAGCTTTAGCTCCGGAATCTTTCAATTGATTCACCAGTTCATCTTTTGTGTAAGAGGGACTGATAGTCGTAACGATGCCTCCAGCCCACAAACAGCCGAAAGCCACAGCTGCGTAATCAATATCGTTTGGCGAGTGGATTGCTAGAACATCGCCTTTTTGCCAGTTCCATGTCGAGTGCAAACTTGCTCCGAATTGAGCGGCTGTKTCTCGCAGTTGGCGGAATGTGTATGATCGAGGGGAATTTGTGTCGTGGAAGAGGACTATCGCTGATGTCAGCATGCGAATATGGGAGTGTATTGTTGTGTATACTTTTATTCTCGCTGTATGGTCTTTCTTTATTCTCGAAGAGAAGATCCCAGATGTCTACCTCGGGAATGGTGATGGTTTGAGGTATGGGAGAAGACATTACAACGATTTGAGGAAGTGGGCGATGATGCTGATATCGAAGTGCGACTTGGACGTTAAGATGGGAGATGAAAGATGATTCAATGCTTCGCAATATATTGGCCAAGTCTTCCCAGGATCACTAACCAGCGAGACCAGTGATCCACGCTCCGCCTCGGCGCCGGACTGTACTCCGTTCCTTGATTAGTGATCTTGAGCGATCGCTCAGCCATTTCTCATACGATCCATCATAATCCTCACTATCATCATCATCATCATCATCTAAGACTGAACAGCCCCAGCAGCAACAACTCCACCCGGCCCCCCATACACCGAAAACCCCGGACAAACAGCCAAAGCCGACATGTTCAACGACCCAATCTTCGCACAATTCAAATTCAACCCACTAGTCACAGAATCCAACAACCTCACCACAGGTTTCAGCAAAGGATTATTTCGATCCAAACCCGAAATTAGAGGAAGTTGTGCTAAAGCGAATTGACTTGCAAAGCACAACGGGCTTGCGGAGATTTGTTTCGCGGTGTATTGCCCGTTAGTGAGGAGTTGAGGGTCGAGGAGTTGGAAGGAATTGACTGTTCCTTTGTTACAGCCTATTTGGAGGATTTCGGGGACTGTGGTGGCGAAGTAGAGGATGTCGAGTTCGACTGGGAAGGGAATGTTAGTGAGGATTTTCGGAGATGTTATTGTCGGTCTTGTAGTGTTGTATAAAGACCGACTACTCGTCTGAAGTGACGGAAAGAGATTTTAGATGGAGGGACTTACAAGCAGGAACGGTGTATTGATCTGAAGGATTGCGCTTGTACCAATTCTCGGGGATTCTCTCATGGCCGGGGACCCATCTGAGGTTATCTTCTGGTCCCTGGATACTCATGAATGACTTGAGAACTTCCTTGTTCAGAACTCCAGCGGGGAATTCCTCGGATTTGTTGCCYATGAAGCGGTAAATGAAAGTGAATGCAGCCTGGGAGACTTCAATTCCAGAGAAAGGCAAGTCTTTGAAACTATTAGCCAAGGCTTCAAGATATGTGCTGGGGTTCCGTACAGCTGTACAATGGATTCTTCTCAATGGACTCCTGGTATCGTTCCTTGCGAAAGTCCCTCAAAACTTCCAAGTTATAGTTGGCCGTGACAGCATCCGGTTGGCGATTATACAGCTACAACAAACATCAGCCACCTCACTCCAAGACATGCAAGAAGAAGATACCCACCGAACGAAACTGGCTCATGACCAATCTCTGATTACTACCATATTGATTAAGATCCGCACGCAGCGGAGAAGAATCCGCCTCGTAATTATTATGCGAGCCACCAATACCTTCATGCGGACCACCACTGATCGACCAGCCAAGTACATTGCCGTCCACAAGTGCGCCGTAAAGGGACAAGAAACCACCAAGATCGCGACCCATACCAAAGACTTTCTCAGTGGCATCTGTGAATTGACTGATAGTTGCCCTACCATTATGAGGCAGATATCCATGGTTCGCAACTGCCAACCCGTCAGCTCATGTAAGCTAGATATATTGCGGACGACTCACGAGCATTCAGACCAGGACATGGTCCTCGAGCATCACTTGGACCAGGCGGGACGAACTATGGCACTGTTCAGCAGGACTCTCTTCTTCACAATAGAACGTGATGTTGACGTACTTTGTTCACTCCCGACACACTAACACGCTGTACAGCAGCATCGAAAGGCGGTGGGACCAACGGCAAAGCGCCCTCACCTTGGGGTGCGGCAGGATTGATCTCACGAGCTGCAATAGGCTGAGGTGCACCCAAGTTCGGGATGAGATGTGGGAAGGCGACGACGGTGGTCGAAATCCACAGGCCGGTGGTGAGAGTTGAAGATCTCATGGTGTAGATTCACTGATAATGATTCCTGCAGGACTTGAAAACTTGCTGCTGAGAATCCGAGAAAAGTACTTAGTTCTATATCGTCAAGTGAGATATTTTAGCTTCGCTTCATCATTCCCATTTCGCAAGTTTTACTTTCAAGGCGCAATGGTGGCTTTCTCTCGTTTACGGAGTACACCGAGGTTCTAAATCTCAGCCTTGTCATCATCATAGGCGTGGACTTTGGACGCCGTGGCGTTAGTTACCTCTAGACTTTAGCTGACGACAGAGAAGATTTTGGCGGAGTTACCGAAGATCGTAGACTGGAAACCTACCATGCTGTCTCAGTTCCCGTCTCGCCATCCGACGGGAAAGATCTCCTAGAGACCCTGATCAACCGGCACAGGAATCCCAACATTAAGAAAGCTAAGACACAAAGTAAGTCATACCTGTCGTGATTCCCGTAAAAACAAAAGCTGATGTATGGTTCAGGTGTCCCTTCCATCCAAGTTCTCGGTATTTGGCGGGGTTTGGGGTTTGGTTCGAGTCGGGTGGCGTTTACGCCAGGCCCTGTTGTTGTTGGAAAGTTTGGCGCATACCAAGACATCTCGGGATTGGCTTCTCTCTGGGAAAGCCACTCACGTATAGATACGGTTGACTGGTTTTCAGCTCTATAGTGGTGGTGTTTTCTTTAGTGCGCCGTCATAAGCACGGCAATCGAACAAAACCGAAGGCAAAAAAGAGCAATGCAGACATCAAACGATCGACTCAACGTCATAGTAATAATGACTGCTATATCCTCTCAATCCATACCTTTCCATCAACCCAACTGCAAAAAAACCCTCCCCAAAACCTCATTACTCACCAGCACTTCCAAACGACCCAACGCTAAATCCGACCTCAAAGGCAAATACAGCTCTTCCCTCCTCTCCACAGCTGCATTCATCACATACCGCAAACATTCCCGCAACATTTCATTCTTATCATGCACATCATCCCCCGGCTCGCGGAAATGACTCAGAGCTTGTAGAGCTATCAGTAGTCTCGGATCCTGCACCACGAGGCCCTTCATGATTTTGTCCAAGTCAGCCATTGCGACGAAAACTTCATCGGCTTGGGTTTTGTAGAAGGTTTCTGCAATTTCTGAATCGTCTTCTGGGGCTAGGAATTGGGGTTTTCCTAGATCTGTGAGGATGATGTCTGGGTAGTCTTTGAATTTGCCGGGGAAACGTAACAGTATATTTTCGGATTGGATGTCGCCGTGGGTGTATTTTAGTGCTTCTGGGAGGAATTCGTTGTTGGCGACTATGCCGTGGTGTAATTCTAAGAATGCGGCGGAAAGTTCTGCGATCAAGTGCCAGGCAAAAGCTACTGGGAGAGGGGATTCTCCTGAAGAGATGAATTGCTGGTGGACTTGATTCTCTAGGGTGTGTAGTGTCCCACCGGAGAGAAGTTCGAGTGAAACCCAGCTGTTGCTCTGCTTGTCGGAATCAATGATGTTGACGATATGTGGCCGCGGGAGGAGATCTTGATAACACTCAATCTCCGCTTTGAAGTCATTGCCTTCGTTGCTGAAGTCTTGATGCGCAATCTTCGTGGCTCGTAAAGACGCTCGAAGTCTATTGCATGTCGCCTCTTTGGTMAAATGGGTGGGATATCGGGAGAGAATCCTGGTGGCGACTGCTTTGGGTATTGTTGCGTATACATTTGAAGCGGAGCCGATGCCGAGCTGCTTTATGATGTAGTTTTTCTGCTGGAAGTAGTCTTGATGTTCATTGATGGTGGATGAAGGTTGACTCATGGTTGTGTCGTGGGATTGAATGGAGTTTGTGGTGAAAGGTTGTTGTGTACATGTATTATCTACCCTGGAAGGCGTGGTGACTAAATTGAGGAAGCCGTCGTGTTGGTACTTTCCGAGTCGTATWTTCATCGCTCCTCCTTCGATAGGAAGGGCATCTGTCGCTCATCTCRAAGATGTTTCTTTCCCGAAGCAGACAATGGTGTGACTTTTCTAACAAAGAAATGTGATCAAAGAAATCCCAGGAGCAGCGATATGCAGAGAGCATAGCGTTCGCACCCGCATCAATGGACGATGTCGTGAGCTGATGATTTTATATTGATGGATTGAGTCCTTTGTGAACTATCTCAATGTTTAGTCAAAGTTCTCAGACCAGTTCATCAAACACGCTACTCAGCTCCTCATCACTTACCACTTTTGCGCAAAACCTGGCCTTGCGTACAGACGGTAATGGCAAGTAAAACTCCGCACGTTTCGCCCGTGCCTCGCTCCGAACAGCCTGCAACATATCCAACCACCGCATATTACCATCATCAACATCCTCATCCCTAGTTCTAAAACCAGCGAGTTTCTCAAACGCTGCTGTAAGCTGAAAATCTCCAATCGCCTGAACAACCAATTTAAGCGCCACTCCAAGATTCCGCGCGTCAGCGCTTTGCCTTCGATAGAATTGTAGCATATCGTCCGCATCATCGTCTTCTTGAATCCGGACGGCATCTCCCAGATCTGCTAGGACGAGATCCGGGTAGTCTTTATAGGAACCTGGATAGCGGAACATGAGATTCGCATCCSAGATGTCGTTGTGTGCGTACTTGACGGATGCAGCATGATGTACGTTATTTATGATTCCGAAATGTATTTCGAGGAAAGCGATGGATGATTCCGCGATGAGATGCCATGCGAATGATGTTGGGAGGTTAGTAGTACCGGGAGGAGTGTTCCATCTGATATTCTCTGTTTCCTCGAGATCGCCTACGGTTCCTCCGTTGAGAAGCTCTAGAGTCATCCATCCAAGCTGCTCGTCGGCTTTCAGAAGTTTTACGATATGGGTCCTGCCCGATTGTAAGTTCATTAGGTTCTCAATCTCTTGAGCTTGGAGTGTGCCTTTTCTTCCGTTGGCGATCTTCACTGCTACGAGGTTTGCTCTTAGCTTGTTGAAAGTCTGAAGCTTCGAGAGAGTGTTGTTGGAATAATCTGCCAGAATTCTTCTAGCAACCGTAGAGGATAAGGATGCATACACGAGTGCAGCTTTACCTCTACCTAGCTCTTTGATGATGTGATTGCCTACCTTGAAACGAATGTAATGTTCRGGAGATACTTCTCTCGGGTCTCGTGGAGGTGACATGCCGGTCATGGTTGTGTCGTTGGGAGATATTGCTCCAGGGCTTGCCTGTGCAGAAGATGTGCCGGTCATATGTGTGTCGATTGGAGACATCGTTATGAGACCTACCTGTAGTGCGTCGTGTTGGGTTGTAAGATGGTGTGCTGCTCCACGAGGGATACTCAAGTTTTATAGTTCTTTTTGTCTGTATTCCAGGTGCTTTGTTCATTGTGATTATTGCCATTGTTCAACTGAGGTGGGTACAAGAGTTCTTTGTTCTTTCAAAGGAATGATATTGCCTCTGCTGTAGCACGGAAAGGATTGACCGTGGTAAGTGAAACGAAGCAAAGTACAGCAATGCTCTCGATGGCCCTCTTAGTGGACATTGCAAAGTTAGAGAGTCGATGGCAGTGTGCTTGTTGGTTTAGTTACCGGTTAGCTAAGGGCTCTTACTATACCAACCAACTAGCTCTACAAGTGAATACTAACTTAACTAATGGTTACCGGCTTCCTAAATAGGCAATTAGTTTATAAAAAGCGACTCTATATCCTCCGAAACTCCCTAAGAGCCCTATGTTGTAGTAGTGCCTATCCCTACAATGTAAAACTCCTTAATTTTATTAACATTATCGAATACATCCTATATTAGTGCTCCGTACTAGCTTTTTAAATAACTACATGCTTTAATTATCTCCTCTTAAAGGCGATTACGGCGGTAGGTAATAAGGTTACGGCCTTCTAAAAACGAGCGTTCTAGCTTATCTAATTAAAGGGGGATTACGAGTGTATTAAAGGYAAACTTAGCTAGTTCCGGCTCTAAGAGTCGCCTTTTAAACYACTAGCTAAGGATATTAAGTAGTGTTTCCCTACTATCTTAAACGTAGTCGGTAGATAGGTAGTTATTAAGAGCGTTACTACGTAAGGTTACTATTGTTTTACGGCGCTTATAGGTRAAYAGGTAATTACGGAGGTCCTTACTATCTAAGGTTRTTACTAGAGCCGTAACTAGCGATACTAGCGTAGGGCGATATTTAGTCGTCTATAGCTCCTTTAYRAGAGTACGYACTTRCTYRATATAGCCCTACTCTTCCTTACTACCTTAGCTCTATCTATCCTCGAACTAGCCGTRTTTAAGAGTTAGATTAAGGACGATAGCAGCGTAGATAATTAGTRTATTATCTACTAGCTTCTAGTACTTCTTAGCCTTCTACTAGGCGTAATTATAATAGCCTAAGAGGTATCCGAATCGTTTATTAATTACTACCTCCTCTTTAAATTTATCTAAGAACTTGCTAGTATAATCGAGGAGGAACTAGAGCGTAGRGTACTAGTTATAGAGGTGTTTCTTATTGCCTTAAGTCGTTATTRTCGTAAGTTCGAAAACGTRTAGTRCGTCGTATAGCCGGTTAATCTAAGCCTAATCGTTTAGAGTTAGCTAGTTATTACGAATAGCTCTCTTAGTCCTATAGAGCCTATAGAACTCGGTAATTCGCTCCCGAACATYCTAAGCACGGCTAAGTATATAGTAGAATAAGTTCTAGCGTATAGAGTTGTCTTAGATAAGCTATAAGGGTRTAGTAATTAGYAAGGATAAAGAAAGTTAATAAGAAGAAGCTTAGATAACTACTCCGGAGTTACCGGAGTTTAGCTCYRGAGAGGGCTCCGGAATAGTATAGATCTACTTTCTTAGACTTACCTTAAGATTATTAAACATTATACACTCCTTACTACTATAATAYACCTTCTTAAACGCCTCTCGCCGCTACGTAGACGCTCTAATCYATTTAATAATATTATRTAGTCGTCCGACGGCGCTACGGTTACGCTAGAACTCTTCTACCTTCTTAAAAGCGCCCTTCTCGGTRTTACGCTCTAGTTCCTTTATCGCCTTACTACTACCCCTACTAAGGAGYATTRCCTTCGTAATTAGGTTAGTAATATAGCTAAGAYACCGGAGCCTCCGTCCCTTACGTATCTTCGCTAAYATRTTCGRATAGAGAGCCTTTAGAACTATCTTAATTATAGCGTCGTTATTAGAGGYATTATCCGCGACGAAGTAGCTAATACGCCCTCTAATCCTCTACTCTACGAATACCTCTAGTAGTTTCGTAGCGATATTATCGCCTATATATTCGCTAAGGATCCTTCTAAAGGCTAGTCGCTCTATCCTACGCTTCCTATACCTATCGATAAAATGCGTATTTATACTAACTATCGAGTAGCCGTTTAGACTCGTCTAGCTATCGAACGATATATATATATCGCTTAGCGCCGTATATAGCTCCTTAACTATCGCCTCCTTCCGCGCCCTATATTTATCTAATACCTATCCTCGAATCGTCGACGCTATACGTAGTAAGTATATACTAACGCCGGAGTTTAAGAACGATATAAGAGCGCGGAAGTACGTRTTCTTAAGYATACGGAAAGAGATATAGTAATATATAATCTAGCGAATAAGTAGGCTCTTAAAACGCTCTAAACTCTTCCTTAAGATAAGCGATAGTATAGATACTATACCGCCCTTCGACGATAATAGCTCCTTCGGCTTAACTACGTTATTACCGTCCTTATTARTACCGTAATCTCTAAGAAGGTAGTATAGCGGCCCTTAATTACCGTTTAGAACTAGTAGAGTTTACTTCTTACCCTTACGCTCGTAGTAATAGTAGTAGTACGTACTTATACTATCCTTCTCGGAYACTAACTACTTACCGTATTACTATATCGTRCTCTTACGCTTCCTTAGGTCCTTATTACTAGTAGTAGTAAGCTAGCGTAGGTAGCGCTACCCTCGAATAGTAACGTAGTTTAGTAGGTTTAGTTTRTCGTATCTATCGTTTAGAGGGTAAAGAGTTACTTAATTAGTAACGCCCTTACTTAGAACCGGCTAGCCGCTAAATAGCATTAAATTAA